CTGTGATTATCATGCGAAGGAATACCGGCATACAAAATCATAGTACTCAAATTGAAAACTTGTAGCGCTAGTCTCAATTCCAGTCACACATGTTTTCTCTACAAAAACCTTGGTTCAATCGCATAATTATGTTTTCACTGTTGTGGAACTAAGTCTTGTTTTCACACGGTGAAGGTGCAGTGCTACTATAGGCGGCACTCCCTTATATCGACAGTTTTTGCTCAAAAGTCGATGGTGGTTTTTTTTAATGTGTACATAGGCTGCTGCCGCGTCATCAGACGGGATTTTCTCAATGATTTCTCCGTAACTTTTGGACATGATTTGATTTCTATTATACTCTGACAATCCAACGTAAAGGGAACAGTTTTCTTTAAACGTTGAACTTGAGTTTCGTCGGTCTGATCATAAAGAGTGGTTTATTTTCTTTGATTTAACACCTTCCTTGCTTTTTTTTACAGTGACGAATGACTGAGAACCATTGATTTCAAAATGAATGTTGAACCAATTTTCTATTTATTTATTTACATTAATGGGGTTTTTTTTTGGGGGGGGGGGGTTTGGGGGGCATGTTAGCCGGCGATTCAACGATAAAAATGCCCAGACAATGCATTAGGGGCGTGGTTAAGGTAGAAAAGGGGGAGGTTTACATGAAGTTGATATCCAAATGGCACACATGTACAAGCCAACACTGAAAGGGAATTATATATATGCACCATCGTGTTTTTTGTTTGTTTGTTTGTTTTTTTACTATTGCGCAATGTAATATTTGTAAAATAACGAGAAAGGAAAACTATCCAACAAAACGTAAAAGTAATACTCCGATAAGGCACAATTGCTGGGAAATATACAATAAAGTAAGCTTACTTGCTGAAATATGCAATACTCAATTTTTGGGAGGTGGCGATAATAAATCGGAAATAATTAACTTTCCGGACCAATAGTAATGTTGAACGGAAACTATATTTGTTTTCTATCATATTTTTGTAGCACCATATTGACGTCCAACTTAACTGGAGAGGTTTTATATCTTAAAAGCCCATCACCTCTGTATGATCAACACTAAAAAGGGATTAAATCGGACAGGGCGAAATAAACAGGGGAAACCACGAGCCCTCCTTTTAAATCCGAAATGTTTTGCTCATAGGAGTGACTTGCAGCAATTAATGAACATAATCATCAAAATGACCACCGTTCCCCCTTTTATGTTCCTAATAGTAATAGCACTTTGTATCGTTGTCTTAATATGACTTCGCACTTTAATGTTGTATCGCAGGAGCGTGGGTTATACTGCGTGTTTAATTCAACTGTTCACAGTGTGTTACATGACAGGTGGGAGGAGAGATGGATGCCATACACAGATGTAATCATCTATTGTCTCTGAACGTTTTCCCACATGTGGGAATTATGATTTGTCTCCACATTTTCATACCCAATTTCAGGCAATACAAATCTGAATTTTTGATAGCTCTCTGTCATTTGTTATGTCGAGGGGGAGAGCAGTTCTGCAAATCCTGTTGCTGTTGTCATTAGCTAATTGCAGAGGTACATGCCACGTACAGTGTCCCAATCGCCCTGCCCGGTGTTTCCGCATGCATACTATGCTTGGCTAGGCAGCTGGCTAATTTAGCTAAAATGATTCCTCACATGCACATAATCACCACTATCGTCTTTCTGCCCCATGAAATATTCAAGAATACGAAAGCATTTGCCAATGAGCACCGTGTTTGATATTTTTTTAAAAAGCAGAAAAAATATATCAGAAATACCCGAGGTTGCGGACTATTAACTGCAGCGATTAGAAAGCTTGCATGCAAGTTGATATAAATAGTAATGTTATGTTTTATTTAAAGAATACTAAAATATGCAACGGAGAAAAGGCGAATAGTGCTTTACGGTCATGTTTTCCAGGAATCAGTGAACCTTTTTTTTAATGGAATAAAAGTCAAGTCTTAGTCCGAGGTTTAATCAGCCATTGTTTTTCTTATAATTTTGTAAAAGAAACCAGGGATGTCTTTAAACAAAGACACATGTACCCGATAATCGATAGGAGTGACTATTTGTGTCTTAATTTAGGAGAGAAAAACTCTAGGAATAGACGATTTAGAGTCAAAACCACTCCAACATACATGTATATTGAACATGTTGCTATTAACTGCTTCAGTTGAAACTCGAGTGAAAACTCGATCTATTAGATTGAAAGAATTTAAGTGTGAATCGCCTTGTCGTTAGTTTCAGTGGGACGGAGGGAATTGTCACTCGAAAGGAGACAATTGTCACTCGAAAGGAGGGAATTGTCACTCGAAAGGAGGGAATTGTCACTATTCTTTGGGAATATTAAGAGAGTGGAATTATATGCCTTAAATCTTAAAAAAAAAAAAAAAAAAATTAAATATAGAAACTTGCGGGACTGATGCATTACTGCTGCAATCATTCACAAACCCAAATGCTTCATTGTGAAGGTCTTCAACCTACAGATCACCACGCCCCATTTTTCCCAAGCTAACATTGACATGGAGGGGAGGTGCTTATTGTGTGACTTGTCAAAACTCCGTGGTCCAATGAGATGAACGCTGGCGCGGGCAGCGGTTGCCGTCTCCAGCCCGCCCGTCTGTCACGGGCTGACTAAGCCTAGCAAGCGAGACACGTGGCCTACAGGACGCGCCAAATATCAACAACAGCGCGGTTTGTGTAGGCAAGGAGAAGGGTTGGATGGGTTCAGTGGCAATCTAGCGGCGGGGACCGGGACACGCAAACACGCTCAAGTATCAGCTCTCACAACTTCACAATTAACAAGGCCAACTTGCACTTCGGATCTTACCCTCATTCGCCTCCTCGGAACTGGAAGTTGACTGTTTCCTTATAGTCTGTTGTGTCTTCTTGAGGCTCCTGTCTATGATGAAAAGGAACACTGTAGCCGATTTCGATGTGGTGACCGGCGTCTTCAAGACGATGTCAGTGTCACATGGTGCCGACTTCAGTTACACTAAAGACTTTCCGTTTTGCCGTAAGTTTTCTTATATCGTTGCAATGTCATTCAAATATTCATTAATCTTTACAACATTAATTCTAATTGCGCAATAATCGGGTAAAGTGTCTTGGCTCAGGAACATGTTTGGTATCACTTCTCTGTTGTTTTTGTCGGTGATTGTTTTCCTGATCTCAAATTACATCCCGTTGATTCGAATCAGAAGTTGGTTTTGAATGAGTGATTTGAGGTGATAAAATTAAACGGCGCGTTATCGGCAGCGATGTAACTTGTCAAACAGTGTTTTATTGACAGACTGAAAAAGTTTGATGGCATGATACATTGATGTGACTATAATTTATTCAAAATTAAGAACCATGATGCTGTTGTGTCAACCACTCCAATTGATTATAAATATTTGATTCGTGTATGTTTTTGTATTGGTTTCAGCGTATAATTTAACATACGATTCATAATTAAATTAAAGCGCGCATTTAAGTCATTAGCATAATTATATGCAAATGACGACACTGATCCTAATTAAAACAGTGCATTTTTTTTCAATTTATTTTTCCATCTCTTGTCACGGTGGTGTAGATAATTTGTAAATGCATATAAAATGTGTAAAAGTCCCTATACAGACCACCAGTTCCCGCTGGCTTTGATTTCGGATACCTCGATAAATTAACAGCCTGTTCATTGTAAATTAAATTATGTTACTCGGAATATTACCAAGAAACACAGCGTGTTTATCCAGGTAATGTTGAAGTCTCGAGCCAATTGTGTTGCACACAGGGTATTGATAATTTGGAAATTAAGTTATTTATATAATGCAGCAAGGTAATTGTATTAGCATGCCTCGGAGCCAAATCATATACTAACAAAATATTAACACGGAAACTATTCGTTGTAATCGTCGTTCCTGTCACAAATATAGCGTGAATTGGACTAGCACAAGTCTCTTACTCAAACTACTAAAATTCTTGTCCCCTTGTCACGAGCTTTGTTTTAAAATCAAATCATGACGTATGTTTTCATCTGTTTTAGAATTACAGTTGCGAATTTCGCATTGTAATGGTTAATAATCCTCGTTGTTGGTGGAGTATAAAGACTTCTGGACTTTTCAAATCTGGAGACAAATTGAATTTCTTAGATTCAACTACGGATGTTTTGGTGAGAAATTAATTAGGGCTTTAAACTAACAGTGGCTGTAGATTTTTTTGATTCATTTTGAGTTCTTAAAGGCACGTAATTACCCGGAAACGGACCTAATTAATGTTAGAAACCTTCTTCAAAATGAAGATAAGGAAAGTATCAAATACCCTGTGAAATTAGTCCGCCTGGAAATGGTATCGCTCAGAAAAAAATTATTAACGGTGATTGTAAAAAGGTGTGCCAGTGGACACACTTTTAACGTTCATTAGCAACAGAATCTAGAGACCCGAAAATTGCGCATGTTTTTAGCTAAAATATCCACCAGTTAGTTGTAATGCACCCTGTACTTAGGATTGTAAGTAATTTTGTTGCCTTAAAATAAAAAGGCAAAAAAAGCAAGTGATCCTATGTATCTTTAATGTTGTGCAGCCATAGTATTTTTCTTATTTCATGTAAATCTGCTTAACGAGCTTGTTAGCAGTGAAATCACTGGAATCGATTGAGGGGCTTTAATGGTCACCAACGACCCAGTCGACTCCTTAAGAACGTCCGTGCGTCGAACGCACACAGCTTCGGTGTCCTCGCCTCGTTCCGCGGTATTGATCTTGTAATTAACCCTTGCAGAACGGGTAAAAGAAAGGCACCAATGAATATTTGAACATACATTTGTTATTAGTAGGAATGTCATTAGTAATTTAAAAGGATAAAAAGTCGTAGAAAATGCAAGTAATTAATAAATTTCGTTTGCGGCATGCAAGGCAATATTCATACATCATAATACTCATTCATAAATGTTGGTTATAATTTAACGAATCTAGCGTCTTGTTGCATTAACCTTACTTTTCTAATAATGGGATGTTTTGTTCTTTGTTTTTTGCAGAGAGTGTTCCCAAATGTGCCGGATGTGAGCAGTCAATCCTAGACAGATTTATCCACAAAGTTCAAGATCGTTCTTGGCACGCCAAGTGCCTCAAATGCGTGGACTGCCAGATGCAGCTGAACGAGCGTTGCTTCACGAGAGGAGGCCAATTGTTCTGCAAAGAGGATTTCTTCAAGTAAGTTATCTAAAGCCTTCAAATAAACCCAATAAAGACTTGATCTTTAAGTGGACACTCAGCTACGATTTCCGTTACCGAACAACATTTTGAAACACTCCAAAAATCGTGTTAATAATATTTGTGTATAATGATCCTTTCAGAAAGACTTGTTGAGAATCTAATCACTGGCGCTTTGCATTTCAACAAAAGACATGGTTATGGCTTTTGCTTCACTTAGCTTCACATTTCGATCCTATACAATGACATCATTATAATGTCATTAATGTTTATGACAGAGATTTCAACAACATGTAGGTAAATGGTGTTTAGAATTATTCGGTGTAATTTTTCGAACTTGGATGCGTGATGGTACGTAAACAAACAGTTTTCCTCAACAGCGAATAATGTTCGAACCCGTTCGATGCATATAAATAATTTATGTGATGTAGCTGATACCGTTTTGTTGCAATAAGAACTCGATTTTTAAAGCCTTTGGGAGGGCAATTTGATCAAATAATGAGAGAAACAGTCATTAATTCGTCTCGTTTTTTCTTCTTTTTTTATCACTGCCTCAGTCTTTCCAAAAAGAGAAAAAGTGGTGCAAACTAAGAAAAACCAAAAAAAGTCACAATTCTAAGACGGAAGCAATGCAGATTATTTTTTTCAAGGAAAAAAATGACGGAACGAAGACACATGGAATTAAATACGACAGCAACATATGTGTTGCTGTTGGCATTAATAGAGTTGATTAAATAGATTGCTCTAGGGTTTACCCTAATAAATTACCAACATCCAGGACAGACTCGTTCCGCGTCTTCGTTCAGTGCCATAATAGCTCCAGGCAAATCATATTTTTCTGAGTGCAAATACAGAGAAAATGTGAGCCAGTAACAAAATAATAACAGTTGAAATCATTATTATAATCAGTTTAAAAATAATACGTGGACTCAGAGGCACATCACATGGTCTCCTAAATGATCGGGTTTTTTTCTTCTCAAAACAGTATTATACGTCATGTTCTGAAGAAATTCTTCGCTTATTATATAATTTGGAGAAAAAAATAATTCATTTAATGCATTTTTGATTTTCTTTACTCCAAACTTGCTCGGAGATGATCTGCAAATTCGATTTTTCGTTTTGGAAACATAATTTTTGGCACTGTATCTTAGCTTCTACTTTTCACATTTTTTCAAACTGTTTAAATGTTGATTTATCGATTTGACTATTATTTTTTATCGTTCCTCGTAACAGCTTAAGCCAATACACAAAGACATGTTTCCAAAAATTATCTTGAGTGTGTAAACCGAGGTCGAGTATGGCAGAAAAGGACAGTTTGCAAGGTTGGTACAAAATGGAAAGACGGAGCTTGATTACGAAGCTCCCGAGCACGCTAAATTAAACTTTGTAGAAATCCCTTCCTTCGTTGATGGACTCCCGGACCAATCTTGCGATGTAAACAAATACCCGCTCGCAGAAAAATTAATCAGGGAGCGGAGCTCGCGGCCTGGCTTTGGTAGGCTCCAGTCATCTACGAGTCGTGACGAGAGAGAACTGTCACGGTACTAATCAATCTAGCAACCTGCTGGCCACTGCGCTGCTACCCCCCCCCCCCCTCCTTCCCTCTATGACATGGTTCGTCAGACACTGGGCTCGTGCAATCAAACCCAGCCAGTAGTAATCAGCGAGCAAAAGGCACCCGGTCAGTATTGCGTCTTACCTGAAGGGCGCGGTCAGCAGAAGCCCTTAACGATTGTAGCTGCACCACATCGTGTAACATTGTCAATGCAGATTTCCCTTATAAAATCATTCGTAAGTTCGTTTCAAATGAACAGAGATTGTTGTATTTTGGAGCAAAGTAAACAAATCAGAATTTTAAACGAAACATGAATACAAGTCTAAAGTGGGGAAAGTTCGTTGTTTTGCATGCATGGTTCTTATAGTTAAAAAAAAAAAATAACGAATACAATTTCCTTAGCGACTCAGTCTGTGTCTAAACGGCTAAGTCTGTGTCTAAAACGCAGGATAAGAGTGAATGTTTGCACGTTGTTTACAGTTGTTATCGACATTGTTGCCCGCCATCTTTAACTATTGTCTTATGGAAGCATAAGCACTGTATTTGTGCAAAATGAACAGTTGTAAAATTTAAAATCGGATTAGTATTATGCGCGTGCAGGATGTTAGTTGGGGAATTTCCTACATCAAATGCGGTGAGCATATGACAATCTCCCTTAAAATCTGAATGAAAATGTTTTTTGTATGCCAGAACTTTCTGTTTATGACTAATTACACAAACACTGCTGTGATGGGTTTGGCGGGCTGCATTTTTATACAATACATAAATCACACAGTCGCTTTTTGGGAAGCGAATCCGACCGTCGTTTGGTGTGTTTGCTGGTGGAGCATGTGTGGCCATAGTTATAGGAAGATGAGCAAAGAGATAGAACATATGCAGGCATTTAATTTATGTGATTGTGTCTGTGCAAGCGCGAATTGGGTCACTTCGGGAGCGGTGAATCAGCACAAGTTGACAGAGATGATCATCTAGGGAAATCAAGTGCTCCATGCGGCCAGCCAACACGGCAGCCTCACCACGCTTACAATCACCGGACAAATTTCTCCGCTACCTTGCTCCCTCTGACAGCCTCGACCAAAAAAAACTCCTCAACGACATCGAAAGAAAATTAAACCTTTAGTCCAAAATACCTTTTTTTTTCTCCTGCGGTGAGGACTTTTTTCTTTCTTCCTTTGTGTTTATGAAGAATATAAGCATTGGCCTTACAGACACTGTAAGGGAACGAGAGATTGAACACTGGGTGGCGGTCCTGCCCGCCCTTGATTTCCATTATGGAGGCGGCAACCCAATGTTCTCTTGGCAGAATCACCCAGGAGATTGGCAAATGACAAAAGCTGAACGGGGAGAAAGGTCTTGTGATTTGAAAGAGAAAATTAAATTGCGGGGGAGCTGGAAAGACAACACGGCGGTCCAGTGTTACGCTCAACTTCACATCTGTTCGGACGTTTCAAAGAAGAATTGAATCAAAGCACGCGTGTAATCATTGCCGGCCTCCCTCGGGATCTTATGCTGTTGATAGCTTCTTCACAAGTATCCGTCAAGGTTTCTCTTCTCGCAAATCAAAGTTTTCATGAACCAAAACTTACCGTTCATTTCTTCTTCCTTTCTTTTCTCTCTGTTTTTGCATGGGAGTTGAAATAAATGTGTGTTTATCTATACGAGCCATGCAGTAACCGAATTCTACAGAGGAGTATAAAGTGTTCAGGTCGGAATATTTCTGTGTCTACTCACTTTTTAAATGGTGTCATATCTGAAAACACCGTTCTTAGTAACTCTAATTTCTAATTCTAGGCCAGTCGTGCACCAAAATATCTTAAGAATAGTTATATTGAAAATGTTCTCGCCATCACTGTTGCGGCGTTCAACTTTAAACAATGTAAATCAATGAACTCATAATAAAGAAATTCATTACTATGGAAATTTGACAAACTATAACATAGAACATCAATTAATATGGCAAAGATTAAATCTCATTTTAGGAAAGAACGTGATGTATGTAGCCTAAATATTTATGGATACATGTATGAAGACTTTTCAGGAAATAACTATCTCTCTCTCTTGTCAACGGAAAAGGTACAACCCATCCCAAACATTTATGAAGGTATAAAGGCCTAAAGCAATTACAACGGAAACAAAATTAAGGCACATCTTTTTGGTTCAGGAATTGAAGACATCAGCAAGTCAAAGTAGTTTGGGGGCGTTACTGAAGGCTTGCTTTTATTTGATATTGTATTTTCGTAGCCAAATCCAACAGAACCTTTTTTTTTCACTACAAAAATATGAATATTTTACATGTGTAGTATTAAAATGATAAATGAACCATTATCGGGTACCGTTCCATTAATAATGCAACTTTGTCAATAATGAATTGCCGTTATAGAGCGTGCTTTAAAGGGCGATCACTCGGCGACCACAGAAACGAAATTAAGGACCAAAAGTTGAGGGTTCGGCTTCCGTTGTTCCCAAGTCCGTCCCCCCTCCCCCCCCCCCCCCCCCTCCCGCCACGGATCCGCTAGTATTATTCGGATGATATTAGAGAAGGTTTTTGTTTTTGTTCCTTCTTTAAGGCTTTTTAAAAGTACAATTTCGCCTTGAAAGTTTAAAAACATTACCTCTTTTTCCACTGGAATTTAAACCATGAGACCAAGCAATTAAAGCAAGCTTCGTGCAAATAACTCTAGAATACATGCCAAAATTGTGCACATTTTTATTGAATCAAACATTGAAATTATAGTCTGGAAGTGGATTATTTCCTGTGTGTTTGTTGATTTTAAATATTCGCAGTTTCAGAAGGATCTGTGCCCAATGCATTGTCTAGTTTGATGGATGGAATAACAGGGGATGTGAAAGAAGAGAAATGATGACGCGTTGATTCCATGCAACGCGATACTTGGTCGGACTTGCTTTGTAGATCCAAACTGTCATCTCATCACGGCTTCCAAACCATTGCGGCGGAAATGATACCGGGCTTCTGGCTAAATTAGAAAGGCAGCATTCGCTCATCTGGCTTCCCTCGGGAAATAACCGATACGATAGCCATAGTTTATGCTGCATGGCGAGGATGTACATGTATATCACATGCATACAGCATTGTCATGGCGATGCCGACAATGATCTTTACACGTAACATTCACGATGTGCAAAAAAATAGTGGTATTTGCCTGTGAATATTTCCCATGATTGGCCCCTTTCGTTCAGCGGTCATAACTTTCATGTGAAGGAACTGTACAGTGCCCCACCCTCACAACGGTTAAAATAGCCCCTACTGGGTCAAAGTTCAAGTACATTTATCAGTTGTACCCAACATGTCTTTGTTCTATCGAGACACGAGTCGGCACGTGATCTATGCTCATAATCGCATGTTAATTAGCCTGTCTTAACTGACGTGACTCGCATACAGATGTAGCTTGTAACTATTTTTTTGTATTCATGATTTTAAAAAATATGAACCGCCAGAAACCGGATATTTAAAACTTAATTTTCACCACTAAGCGAAAGCTTGTAATTGTAACAGTATTATCCCAGACCTTTGAATTTTCAAATATAACAATAAATCATGTACAATCACCATTCTGGAACATTTTGGGCGGCTAAAAATCGAGCTGTTATTGGCTTTTCACGTGTATATTTGTGTCCAAGCCTCAACTACTGCATGCATTAGGCTGTTGGACTCCCCCACAAACCCCCAGTGGTGTAACTGGGATCCAGTTTGCATGAGAGTGGGGTCATGGGGCCTCATTTTCCAGAGGGGACACACAATGGGGGTACATTTTGCCGTCCCTAAATTGTGAGCGGGCGGCATGGGAGGCAAGTGCCTCCAGTTGGGGGGGGGGGGGTGCCCACATTCCCTACCCCCTAAGTAACGCCACTACCACCTCCCATCATGGACAGCTTTTGCTGCAGGTTATCCCATTGTGTCCCTTTCGTGTCCTTCCTTTCTGTCTGACTGACTGACTTACCGACTGATTGTCAATTATATTCCGGGCAGTACTATCGTATAGGATGACCCTGCAGCGCACACGAATGGGCTAAATCCAGCCCATTGTGTGGATGGGATGCATGAAAAGACTTCCTGTGAATTGCCATTCCGAATCAATTGAATGGAATTTTGTGTGATCAGCGACCAGCTTTACTTGCGTGGTCTTTTTTATTCTAACCCTCTCAGTGATTAGGGTTTCGTCCTGAAATAATTTAAGAAATACTAAATAGCACAGCGCCAGCAAACGACCAGCTCAGCTTGTTCGTATACCTTTTCAGAGGTAACAATCTGAACATTTTCTAATATTAATTCAAGTGTCTTGTTGAACGATAGCGACATTCCCGTAACACCTATAGCTGTAGGTTCCTGTATAAAGAACACGGTTCGATTCACAATGGTTGTCTCAGTACCTCTCTACCTAATAGCATTGTTTCTGTCTCGTTGTTTGCAGAAGGTATGCAACAAGGTGCGCAGCTTGTGATAAAAGCATCGCGCCCAAGGAGAAAGTACGGCGAGCTCAAGACAATGCCTACCATCTTCAGTGTTTCGCCTGCGTCATATGCAACCGGATGCTGGCCACGGGGGATGAGTTCTATCTCATGAGCGACAACAAACTAGTGTGTAAAAACGACTTCGAAGTGGCAAGGAGTAAAGGTGAGCAAGACCAAATATATTGGTTGTAAATTTATATTCTTCAGATACCTACTTTCAAATCGAACTAAGATAGCAAACTTGTCAAATTTGGATAAAGAAGTTACTTGAAGAAGGTTGATTATATGCATTTTATATACTCCAAAAATAATGTGTTTAGCAATTATACACAATCTTGCTATCATTTGTAAACATGTTTAGAAGACAATCATTACCTATCCAATTGCTTAACATCAGTGTTCAATCGCTGAACACTATTCATCAATACTCTGAACATATTTAGTAATTAAACATGTTTACAAAGTGATATAGCAAGAAAGTGTTTAGAAAATTCAATAGTGTTTAACTGCTAAACACAGTTTTTGCAGTGTGTAAGTTTATGGTGTTAAGTGTTAGTGCTGGGTTTGTTTTTGCATTGAACAATACAGGACAATAGGGTCCACAATTCCCGAAGGTCCACAATTGACAATCGTGTACAAAACATATGGGAGGTCTTCCTAAAAAGTTAAGAGTACAAACAAAAGACGGACAATAGGGGGTCCACAATTGAAGGTGTTTACACACTTGTGTGTGTGTTTACCCCTCCCCCTCAAAATAACCCCGCCCCCTCCATATTACCCGCCTATATAGAAAAAGCAGGAGGGGTACTTAGAAGGGCCTCATTTCTTGGGGGTGCACACAATGGGTTTGGTCATGGTTTCCCATTAAAAAAAAACTGTTTTCCATTTTCCAAATTATGGCAGTGGCATGGGGTTAACTCAAATACGGTTATAGCTTATCAAGCTAGATTTATTGTTTACCATAAACAAAATATATATTGCAACTCAAAGCATTATTTATATTGCTTCTTTTGTGTACATAGAAGTTGAGATGGATAATTCCAACAAGCGTCCCCGGACAACTATCACAGCCAAGCAGCTAGAGACCCTCAAGACAGCTTACACCAACAGCCCCAAGCCAGCCAGGCATGTCCGGGAACAACTCGCTCAGGAAACCAGCTTGGACATGCGAGTCGTACAAGTAAGGAACACTGTACAAGAAAAATTAGCTTTTGAAAAAAGAGTACGGCAACATGGATAGTTTCTTTCTGGAAAAAAAAGAGATACCCAGGATTTTTTCCGGTTACTAGGCGGCCGCCACCAAATCAAAAGTGGGTGGTTTTGATACCGTTTGACTATTGGGGGCGTTTTTCAAATCGGACAGTTTTGGACACTATCGAACAACAGGTGGCACTATTCGAGCGTCCCCCGCAGTAAAGAGTGTTACTACTATAGTATAGTGGCTGTGAGGTGCTGGCACTTTCGTTTCCTGCAACAACAACAAAAAACGCCCACCACTGGATACCCCTATTGCCAACACTTTTTTCCATACTTTGGAATAACAGAGAATTTTGTTTTTCCGCATGTTTGCAATGAGTACAAACAGCCATATATATATTTTTTGTTTACCTTCATAATGGTCACCAAAAGGGGGAAATGAATGTACTGGAGAAAGTTCTTACAGTGCAGTGGTCGGAGTTCTTGCCATCCCCCGGCTCCCCCCCCCCCCCCCCCCCCCCCCAAATATATCCTTTCGTTATCTTTAAACGCCGTCCTAAACTGGTTAAGTTGATCATGGCAAAGTTTCGATATTCTTTTTCAACAAAATAATAATTAAGAAAAGTAATCAATAACGCACCTGATCCACACTAAAAGATGAATAATAAACAAGCAATTTAAACTCCATAATATTTATGTCAATCATCGCATCCCGTCGAACTATATGAAGACGGAAAAAACTTATTATATTGGTCTGTTACCAGATACTAAACAAATTGAAGTAATTTTTGCACTATTTATGCCCATTTTTTGCCTATAGAACTTCCTTAATGAAATCAAGCACTTTGCACACACTCAAAAGAATCACTTTTCACTTTATACTTTAGATAAGTTGAATCGAATCTAGTCCTGGTATAGCATGAGTCTGTGGATTATAACCAGTAACTGCCGACTTTAAAAAGTTGTTCTGGTGGGAAACACACAACTTGTATGTTGCATAACTATTCCTCATATTTATTCCTTCGTCGTAGGTGTGGTTTCAAAACCGAAGAGCAAAGGAGAAACGGCTGAAGAAGGATTCCAATCGTCAACGTTGGGGGCAGTATTTCCGAACTGTCAAAAGGGGAAATGAGAACAGTAGTCCTGTTCTGAGTGGGCAGGAGTCTCTTGCATCACCCATCAAACTGGAAACGGGCGACGATAAGCTGGACTTCGAAGGTAAATATGGCGGTAGATCCATCCGTGCTAGTTTGAAAATTCAAACACTTCTGATTTTGGCCTTAGCCTAAAGAAATTTGCTGTTTATGACTGTATGCAGCATTGCTAATGTTGTTACCATCATGACTTTGAGCGTGATCCCTGACTACGTGGCATAATTACATGTATATAGGTCTATAGCATCTGACTAGAGCCCCTTTAACAAAGACGTTGTCAGAATTGGGGAACCGTCAACATACTGGATAGCTCAGTTGGTAGAGCGTCAGAACGGCAATCCGGAGGTCGCAGGTTCATACCGGTACCCCGCCGCCAGTCAATTTCAAAAAAGTTTGAAAAGAATTGTTTGATAAATTATTATAATGCATCTAGTCATTTCCCTTTGCGATTCATTTGACAAATTAAACATGTTTAACTGTGCTTGTCACACATCGTGTACATCTTCATTAGCATCTTCTTCATTTCTAAATTCAGCCATTTTTGAGCCAATAATTGATTAGACACATGTAGGATTATATTAATGATAAATTAATCACAATTCACGCGAAATAAAAAATAATTTTGCAAAAGCAGAGTCATATAGCGAAAGAGTTAGTTGTATAATATCAAGAGGCTTATGAGGACGATATGCTCTTGGATGTGTAGATAAATCATAAAACACCGATTTCTTGTCATGTAGTAGAGTCCATCACAACAAGTCCAGTCACAAAGGAATGCATTTGTCAAAGCTGATTTGAATAGCTTGTGAGTTTGGACTGAAGGACTTGTGATGGATTTGCAGGGACTTGTAGGGGCTTGTGACGGGACTCGATTACATCCTTTCTTTATAATCTGTTTGACTTTGGTCGCCGGTGCCATGACCCAAATCGAAATAATTAAAACCCACAGCACTATACAACCATACTGGAACTACATTAGTTTTGTACTCCCGTATTTTCAAATCGATTCAAAATGTCTTTGTCCTCTTTACAGAGTCATCGGAAGTTAGCTCCGAAAGACCCTTGGGTTTCTCGAGTCACGACCAGAACACGTCCACGAATGGTGCCCAGCCCGGCCACTCGACAAGTTTCCTCAACGCGCGGGATAGCTACGGTTCGCCTCCTCCGCCGGTGACTGGGGCTCGCAATGGGGTGTACTCCCTCAACCACTCCCCGAGCCTACCCGTCAGCCAGCCCAACATGATGCCCAACATTCCGTACAGTGATGCCGGCATGCCGAGCCTGCTCAGCTCGGCTAGCCACGGCTTGGGGGAAGCCATGAGGGTCATGGTCAGTTCGGTGGCCGACCTCCAACATGTACCAACGTCCGCTAGCTACGACGACTTTCCCAGCCAGCATTCCTGGATCGAACAATCACAGTATTGATCAACCAAAAAAACTCACTGTACAGATGCTACATGAACGGCTTCAATGTAGTGTGTAGGAATATGGTTCCATGCATCACAAGAATCGACTATTTTAAAATAAAAGTTGGAAGTACCTCCATTTAACATTTCAGACAATTCGAAGTACAAAAGGGTTCTAAACTATTAATTTTTGCGTGAAATGCACAAACAGTTCTACTTTTAAGTACTGATCAGTTTCCTCTGAGACTCGTAATGAGAAAACTAGAGTATTGTTGCAGTGAGACTCCCATTGAAAACAAGAGAGTCCGATTTCAACTAGGTCTATTCTTTATAACTTTGCACTTTGCGTCACCAGAAATGTTGAAGTAAAAAGCAAGCTTTATCAATAATTAGCGGAGTAGCAAAGTTTTTGTTGTATAGACAGAGCTAAATTACCTCATATCGGTGTCTCAGATAAAAATATATCAACTGGGCTGATTTGAGCCCAGACAGAAGTGGATCTAAGATTTTCCAAATGAGGGTGGGGTGGTTGGGTCGTGAAGTCCAAGATTTTGGTGTTGAAGTCCAAGATCCAAGGATGAGGCGTTATAGTCAACGCATAAAAGACCAAAGGGAGAAATAATCAAGTTTGCAAAATTGAGTACTGGCGTTGTTCAGGGAACTTAAGGAATGTTTTTTTTCGATGTGTAAATGGTTGACATTGGTCAGTCGAAGGAGTTAGCCATCCCAACACCTCATTGGATTCGCTTTTGCCAGGGACAACCTAAACCCAACAAAAACGAAATGTGTGGTTTTACATTATCTTTACTTTCCATACAAAAAGAGTAGATTTATACATTTTGTATTCTGCTTCACAATAGCTTATAATGTATTCTTTATCATGTGACTTTTTCCGACTTGAAATACCAACGTTCACAAAATATAACTCAAAGAAGAACTTCAAAGTTTTGGTGGAAAAACAGCCAAATTTCAGTGAATGATCAACTGTTTGTGTGACATGTGGTCACATTATACCGTTCAAATGATTTTCCAACTTCTTTGTTAATATAACGAGCCCTACAGCCTCAATGGACCGATCCAGGAAGCACCGCCCCATGGTGTTCTGACCAATCACAGCCGACATGCGTGCACGCGCGTATGATGCGCGCGGCAGGAAAGTGCAGTGTGGCATTGGAGAGGAGCACGTGTTATTTTGTCCAGTGCGCAGTGGGCGGGGCTTACTGGATCGATCTAGAGATCTAGAGAAACATCTTGTCTACATCTTCGACCGAAGTTGAGTATAAAGTCGAATCGCAACTACACACAGACAGTACGAAAGTGCAGGGACGAAAGTGAAAGGACGGCATAAAGTTTGTTGACCAACGGAAACCCAAGGCAATTTAACTGAAATGAAAATAAATTCCAAGTATAATCCTTCACTCAACCCTTTTTCACCTTTTTTTTAGCAATATTCATCGACATCTGCTTTGATATTTGTTCTTCTAACTGTAAGATTAGTTTCTACGTAGTAGGAAACTAAATGTTATCGTTACAAAATTATGACGTATACTTCAAGTGGCTCTACGCAAATACAATTAGGTTAGTTCCTTTTGTTGTTGTTTTTTCCACTGTAAAACTTATTATTTTATATGCAGAGGTTGAGCTTATTTAAAATAGAGTACATGTGTTTTACAAGCTTAATGCGCAATTTCTGACAATTAATAGCCAATATTTTTTTGCCTAAGTTATTGAATTGAAAGTGTAATACTAATCTTCAGCAAACGGTCAGTGCAATTTTCATGAACCATTTTGTATATATTTGAAACACGACATAAGAAGTATTAATAAACCACATTCCATCTTGCCCAATTTAATGTTATTTTACCATTAAAAAACTGTGAACAGAAACGTTTCATTGAACTCTATAGCAGCCTTTTCAGTGTTTTGTCCGTATTAAGTGTGGCATTTGCTTTGTATTCTCCCCTGCTTTTGGAATATATTTATTCCTTGCCTTTTAAGTGCCGACCATAATAACTGCGTTCGCAAACTCTGAGACGAATGTTTGATATGCATTAATTAATTCAGTATGCGAGCCCACGAGCAAGCCAATCGGAGCAGCCAACTCATAATTGTGAGGAAAGCCTGGACAGAGAAGTCTACGAAGTTTTTGAATGGTCGATAGCTATCAGCTGACCCAACATGGCGGCCCCACGGGGAGAATGTGATGAACGATCATAAGTTGAGGTTTTTCCGTCAGTTCTGAACCCTTCACACATCGATTGCAGTGCTGACAGAGACAAAGAAGACTGCAATTCCTGATGTCATGAAGGACAAATATGACACGTTTTGTTAAGCTCTTCACTGGTTATGGAAAAGTGCTATTAAATTTTATCAACTGCAGGGTACGTCATGTTTCATCGGTTTGCCGAAGTTCGATAAAAGACGCCCGCTGAAGGGTCAAAATCTGATGATATAAAGAGAAAGTTGTCTTGATAGTCGCCGAAACTGCCAGTTGGAAATAAGACAGTAAGGTCCAGACTTTTTTTGATAATTGTTTCGCAATGGATTTAGATTAACAGATGAAACTCTCAACTCTCAGAATGCTGGGAATATCCTTGTAAAACCAGAACTAATGTGTCTTTTAGAAAACAAAGGGAGAGTACACATTAAGAGATATACTGACGAAGAAAAGAAATTACGTTGAATGATAAAATAAACAGAGAGTAAACAAAAATAAAGAGAAAGCGCAACTAAATGGAATAAAATATATATATTTTTAAACAGGATTGCTCGGGCGAGCTTTGCTCGGGCGAGCAGGATTGCTCGTGGCATTTGTAGTCAAACCGCTGGAAAATAGCGATAACAGAAAGTGGGCTGGGATCTGATGGGAAGAGGCAAGGTGGAAAGAGCCATCGGCATCTACAGAATGTCGGAACACTATAGGGAAGGAAGGGTTCATACCCGGGAACAGAACCCCATGGATTACCCAAAAACTTCAGGGGGAAAGAGTACAAAACATAGATGTTGAGAAAGAAAGTCATTGAGAAATCATCCAATATAAAGCATTTGGTAATAAATGGAAACGGTTCAAAGAAAAAAGTCGGGAAATAAGTTAAAATTCCCGTGGTCTTGTCAGCCTCAGTTTTGATTAACAAAAACCGTTGATGGTCGAAATAGAGGGGGTTTTGTATTTGAAGAGGTTGTGAGCATGGAGAAATTTAGATGTGGGGGTGAATTTAGGAAACGTTGGATGGGTTTTGAAAAAGTAATTTTTTTGAGAAGTTGTCTCAAGAAGTCGACAGGCACTCAGGTGGTATCAGGAAGAGGTCAGCAAGGCTGTGAAAGGTTTGGGAAACGTCCAGTTGGTTAATGTTTGTTGTCCAAGACGTACTGCCGCAGCTGCATGGCCGATTTTCGTACTAGTGCGCCCTCTCTGACTGGGTTTTTGTTCGAAAGATTGCCATGTGAGGGAGCTCTACCGCGAAAGTCGCTAAACAACCTGCGCACAGGCGATGTTGTGAAGGCGATCTATTAACATCTAATCGATCACCAGCGCTGAACAACTTCCCACAAAAAAATGGTTGTTTTTTCTTTTGAAGTGCAGCCCCCTTGAGATGCATTTATTTTCTTTTGGGATAGGGCGTTTGGATAGTTAATCGCTGCAACAGATCCACTGTAGTTAACTTTGATCTTAGAGCAAGGATGGTTTGATGATTCCCCAACGGAATTCCAAGAAATTTGAGGACTTGGATTTTCAAGCAAATAGAGGCTCGTGGCTCCGTTCCAAGTTAACCGACCCGTTACTTTGAGGTGTGTGATAATGTAGACCTGCAGCACTATAGAGACCCTACTGTAATGGTAGCCTGGGCGTCACTAGACCAATATGAATGGGGCCCGGGTTCGGGGTCGGGAGGGAGGGGGAGCTGGACAGCATAATATTTGGGGCGCTGTTCAGGGTGCAGACCAGTAAATAGGCCCCAAATTGTCTACGCCGCCCATGCGTCAAATCACACTATAGAGTCAATTTTCTTAATTGAGCAATTTGTGCATGGATCCTGCACGAGAGGGTAATTTATAGAAATGAAGGGTTGCTAGATGTTAACCTGTCTTTGAACATCCCCCCGTACTTGTATTTATTATTATTATTTATTCGGCCAACAAATGAACAAAAGTACAGTGACAAAGCAGAAATATATCAAAAAGTAAACAAAATTGGAAATTGAAAAAGTATGACCAGACAAGACTGAAGGATGCGAGAAGAAATGGGTCGGGGGGAGGGTGGACAGTTTGGCAGGGGAAAGGAGATAGAGGGACAGAAAACAAGGACAATATAACATTCCAAGCCGGCCAGGGTAAACAAAAGTGTACTTAAACACTGTAGCCCTAAGGCCTGCCTACCCATTTCTGAGAATTTCTTGAATGAAATTGGATCCGAAAGTCGGGGGGGGGGGGTTGGCAATTGAGTGGAGGGATTTTTTTTTCTCAAAATGGCGGTGGGCTTCAAGGGTGATTGGAGGGGAAATGCACCCAAAATAAATTTGAAGTCAACCCCACAAAAAAAATATATTGAAAGAGGATACTAATCAAACTTAAGTTTGGCGTATGCTTTGATCACCTGTGAGAGTTGTGAGTATTAAATTCACGATTGTTTGAAGTTGCAGTATTCATTTTAAAGTCCCTATGGCAATTTATTTATTGGTCTACACCCTCAAAGCGGACGGATCTTGACCAACTTCGGTCAAAAAACAGGTGACGCTTAATCCCTTAATCTACGCCACAATCTAGTTCCACGTTCAATTTAACCGACTCACTTTTGCTTCCCAAAATTTCAGACCTTGCGTTGTAAACAGCTTTTTCAAACAGCTGGAATTCCCACCGTGACCTAAAACACTGATTTTGCACATAATGCGCGTAAAACACGAAAAGTGAACCACCGGCGACAATCGTTTTGTGGACCAGAAAAATAGCGCCCTCTTTCATCAGTACAACGACGCCTTGATGAAAGACTAACAAGACCAAATATTTGACTACGGCTGTCAGTTATGTGAAGTACAAGTGGCTTCGACCGTTTGCATTCGCGCATACATGCACGCGTAATTGTAAAAGCCGTAGCCAACAAAACTACTTTGGTATATGTAGTCACTAGCTTGCAACGCAAGTGCAGTGCACGTGTAGTGTTTCAGCACTGCTACTGCACATCATTGTCTAGTGTCTGTCATCGAGGAACAAAATTAGGTGCGTACTATTTAACAAGATTTAGTAGGCCTATCGATTTAGTAGGCCTTTTCCCAAAAAAAGAATTGTGTCTGGATTTTATTTACTGAGTAGTTTGGGAAACTCCCGCTTTAATAATATTGATTCGTTGTTTTCTGGTGTCAAGAGATATACTGGTTCCGGGAAACCAGCGCCCCCACTCTCTCAAAGAATGTAGAGGCGGGAGCAAGTCCAAAAAAAGAGCAAATTTTGAAGACTTTGAAAAAAAACACTTGACTTAGGCTACTTGGAGCTGGGGAAAAATTCTGCCAACCGGACACCACTTACCTGCCGCCAAACATCCAAATTTTCACCTTACCTTGTGATTTCAACCAAGAGGAATCCAGGAAAGAGTGGACATGCGAAAAAAAATTGGTAAAAATGTGTTTTTGGAGCACATTTTGCATGCACATGTAGTGCAGATCCGAGTTGAAGCAGCCGGTCAAAACTGATTGAAGTGTCTGGAACAGCGGTACGTTATACGCATGACATCGATAACCACGACGTCGCATGAGACGTCGCATGAGCCGGCCAATGATAGTGCAATACGTCATTATGAATATTTATTTTCTCATGAATATTTAGTTTATTTCAATGGATACTTCAAATACGTCCAAAGATTGATCATTGCAACAGCGATCGTGCGGCCTAGCGGTTAAGAGACTCGTGTATCAAGCAAGCGTCCGAGGTTCGAATCTCGATGAAGTGAGTGACTGATTGATAAATAGAAATTAAGGATAGGAGGGGGTGAGAGTAGAGGAGGGAAAGTGGAGGGAATAACCATAAAAGAGGTAACTTTTGGCGCTAGAAAATTAATTGAAAAAAGTGGTGTCCGGTTGGCAGAATTTTTCCTAAATTAGAGACAGGTAATGAAGTTGATGGAAATGTGATTATGTAGCACCTTTATTATAAGGGCTCCATGCTGCGACGCATTTAGCAGCCACTGCAAACACCGGGGCAAACCCCTTCTCTAGTCTTAGCGGTAAGATACTGGGTTCTTTAACGTGCATTACACAACACACAGAACCTACGGCTTTACGTCCCATCCGATGGACAAATGGAAAGAATGTTGCAACCTAACGCTGCTTTTTTCTTCATATATCATCTCAATGAAGGTCAGTCGTTGCAGAAATGATGATAAGCCATGAATCTGGGACTGAGAAACATTTCCAATTTTGTTAGGAAATACTTAGAAAATTGTCTTGACTCTCCATAGACTTTGTACACAACCGCTGAAGTAGCGTCAGGTTGCAACATTCTTTCCGGACGAAACAATAATGGTCAAGCACAAGCACCATGTTCCCCGTCAGGATTCAAACTTGTGTACCACGGCACACGAGTCGAACACCCTAACCATTGGACCACATACATGACATATGGGGAGAAAAACTTTTTTTTCGCCATGGTTATCGTTATGGCAGCCGTCACGCTAGCTTGAGAAACTCCAGCTCCAATGCTCATCGGGAATTCAACATTTTGACCTGGAGGTCAATCTACTTTGTAGCCAGCAGTCAAAAAATGGCGGAGGCCGTGAAATTTGGCCTCAACACAGTTGCAGAAATGATCTTCTTTTTTTTCATATGTTTAGTCAGTTTTGTTCTGTTTCAAGTCAATCCTTTGCTTTGTGAATCATTCACAAAGCAAAGGATCTTGAGAGAATGATCAGACTGGACCTATTTCCCACACCGGTATTTACGGACTTGAACGGGAAATTTCTCTTTTTTACCGGATCCCAAGGTGGCATATTTGACATGTTGGTTTCGGTGGGCGATGAGTGCATGATGATTGGATGGCACTCGAATGAAAAGTTCTCTCTAGGACTCACTCAACTATCGCCAGTCCATGACCGAATGTTAAAAAAAGGCGATTTGTAGAGTCCTAGTTGCTCAGAATACATTGTACAGTACTTGTATAAACTTCATCAGTTGTTGATTCGCAGAACGTATAGAATGGCGAGTAGTGAAGACAAAAAGATGGAACAAGTAAAGAAGGAATCTCACAGTAAGACGTCACCAACTACAACACCAGCAAGCAGTGCCAATGCCCCAACTACAGCCATCTCCAATCTGCCAAAGGTATCAATATATCAGTGTCAAGTTTTTGTAAAAAAACAAATCGGTATTCCAACTACGCATGTGTATAACAAGATTCGACAATATTTACTGCCGGGATAAACGTGGCAGATAAATGCACACAAGACTATGGGGGATGTGGTAACCAAATCTGCATTCTGCAAATTTGCATGCAATCTCCTGATTGGCCTAGAGCGAGTTTCATGGCATCAACTATTTTGACAATCAAAAAGACTAATCAATGACTGAAAAAAAGTGCGCTACACGATTGAAAAGTGTTTCAATCGGGGGTCTGTGTGCACAAGCTTATGGGTGTGCATGTTGTGTGTATTGTTCCCACGTCTATAGAATCAGGTTCAAACATTTCGGGAAGAAGTAGTTTGGAAAAGTGCAGGTAACTTTTCAACTAATTTCATTTCTTTTGGTGGAATTATTCAGTTATCGCTCAAAATCAAGCAGAATCTGTGGGTAAGGCATTATAAAACAAATATGGACTGCTTTAACCAGTTAATGCCAAAGGACTTGTAAACACGATCTGGCAATGAATATTCGCATTTCTGAAGCCTGTGTGTTCCCTCATGTTTATATGAGTTGTTTTGTTTCTGTGTTTTGTTTTAGAAGCCTAACTACTCACTGAAATTCACTCTTGCTGGTCACACAAAGGCAGTGTCTTCAGTGAAATTCAGCCCTAATGGTGAATGGTTAGCCAGCTCTTGTAAGTATAAAACTTGACATGTACACAATATCAGTTCTTTATTTCCTTTCATGACAGTAACCCTGACCTTTTATTTTCATGGATAATAAAGTGATTTTAAGCATGTTAAGAGTCATTTAGTGTAAATAAAAAATAGATTTTGTGAATATTTTGTTGTATGAAAGGTCTTGGGGAGTATATCAGGCATGATAGTTTGCCTATTTTAACCCTAACCTTCCCAAATCCTCCAAAAGTCGTCATTACAAAATGGAGGATTTTAGATTGAGGACCTTTGAAAATCAGGATTAACCCTAATTCCCTAGGCCTTTTTGCTAGGATGTCGCCTCAATTCTGCAAAATCCTCCAATTGGCCTCATGGAAAAATAGCATATAGCCTTAATCCTGCAAATTCCTCCATTATTTCCTGAATATGGTCCGTGGACGGGTGACCACTGCCTGAATCCTGCAAAATCCTGCGGCAGTGACTGTCAATATGTTGAGGCTTGGCCAGTGACATCCTGGAGCAGTACGGAGGATTTCAAGCATAATCCAGGCCTAGATTTGTGCATTGCTGAGCAAAAACAACTCAAGGTCCGGCCCAAGACCTTGACAAAATGCATCCTACGAAATCAGTAACGCACTTTTGCCATGTAACCTCAATCCTCCAAATTCCTCCACTTTGGCAAAGGAGATTTTGAAGGATTTAGGGCGGTTAGGGTTAAGGGAATAAGAGGATTTTGCGTCTGGATGATAACAGAGGATCCAGGTCATCAGGTCCAATCTGATACTGGATGAATTTGGAAGATTGAGGCTCTGGCTGGTTTTGCCAAAAAAACGATTATGGAGGATTCAGGCTGTCACTTGTTACTCCAACTGTTTAGGGCCTTGGCATTGCCAATCCACAATACAGGATGACAACGGAGGATTTCAATAAGTTACACAGGCTAATGAACTCATGAGAGCACTGAAATCCGATTATGTGATAACATGCCAGCAAACCCAGTGGAGGATTTCGAAGGATCCAGGCAGAGGCCTCCAGCAACAAACAGTGGATGAATTTGAAGGATTCAGGTGCTTAGAGTTGTTAACTCCATTCCATTAGAGGATATTGGAGGATTCAGGCTTCTGGGCATGAGAGGTTGGGGAGTTATAGGGATAGAACTTTTTTCTCCCTAGCATTTCCTATTATTTCTTCCATTTTCAGCATTCTGCGCTGTATACATCACACTTTTGGGGTCTGCAGGACACTAAATTTTCCTGGGGGACAAATATCATGTCTGATGTAACCAAGAGACAAACGTACATAGATGTATGCAACTAGTATGTGCAACAACAAAAACGCAAAAGTATTATTTGAGTGTCATTTTTTTTCTGTGTGCAATTTTTTTCCAGCTGCGGATAAGTTAATCAAAATATGGGGAGCATATGATGGGAAATTTGAGAAGACAGTGTCCGGCCACAAACTGGTAAGATTCATTCATCAGTAAATTTGAAATGCATATTTGAAGAAGTTGTGTATTTTTGCAATGTCCTCTTACTTAGGAAGTCAGAATATTGTGAAAAAAACATACATGTAAGACTGCAATTTCAAAACTGTCTTTTGTTAACCCCGTTAAATTTTCATTAGATTGTCCCAATATGGGGATACTTGTGTTAAAAGTCTTACAGTTTTTATCTATTTTTTTCTTGGAAACTTACGACTTCCGATTTTATAGATTTTTCAGTAAAAACTTAGTGCAGTGAACTGGCTGTAACTTTATTCATGTACATGAAGTTCATGCAGTGCGTGATTACAAAATTATTGTTGATTATGGTTTTATTTCAATATATGTCGTATTTATGATCGTTTATAGGGAATTTCAGACGTTGCATGGTCAAGTGACTCCCGTCTGCTAGTTTCAGCGTCCGATGATAAGACCCTTAAAGTCTGGGACTTCAGCACTGTGAGTTTACTTTGTGGACTTAATGAAGAATTGATAGATGTTGACAAAGTATTTACAGGTATTTAGATGTTGACAGAGTGATTTTTTCCAACTTTCACTCGGGAGGTAACACACTGAGTATACAGTGTTTATACGTCGGCGAAGGGCAAAACCTAATTTGATTTACATCATCCCGATGCAAAAAGTCCATCTTATGAATGGTTAATGCGGTACCCGCTGCTATGTACATCAGATTTGAACCAGCCAACCAATCCCGTTAGCTCGGTGGTCGAGTGGTAAGACATCTGCACTAGAAAGCAGGAGGTCGTGGGTTCGAGTCCCACCCGAGTGATTTTTTCCAACTTTCACTCGGGAGGTAACACACTGAGTATACAGTGTTTATACGACGGCGAAGGACAAAACCTAATTTGATTTATTTACATGCAATTGTACAATTTAAAAAGTCATTACTATATTTGGAACAAAAACTGCTCAGACAATAGGACCGGTAATACTAGTAGTTGTCAACTACTGTCGACCTCTAAAAAACTCCTCTGGAGCACAAGTAAATACTTTAACAAATGATCAGTTGATTGATTTTGACTGCTGGGATGGCTTTGTTGTAGCTGCCCGCCAGAGATGAAGGGTAGAGGTTAATTTGCTTACTGCCGTTCGTGGCCATGAATATTTGTATTTTAATGTTGTGAGTGAATTCATGAATCACATTCTAGATTCACGTTAAATTTATTGATGAAATATGATTGTCTTTATCAGGGAAAGTGTTTGAAGACATTGAAAGGTCACAGTAACTATGTGTTCTGCTGCAACTTCAATCCACAGTCCAACCTGATCGTTTCTGGCTCGGTAAGTCAAACATTGCAAACCTGAATACACATGGTATAATAAATACTTTCTTATAGAACTAAAGCTTGTACGTCATTGAAAAAAACAACCTCTTAAGCTTCAGTCATCTTTACTTTACGAGGAACTGGACCAAGTCCATCAAAATCCACCAATCAGTGTGCTTCCAATGCGAAACTATACAATGATATAATGGAATCCACCACTGACGCACTGGTTGGCATTCATGGACTTGCTACACATGGCTTTTATCACAATAGCAGTACAGGAAGCTTGGCAAAATCAATCGGATATGCCTAGCACTGCTTCAGGCCATTAGGCCCGAGTCCATCATACTCCATCAATATTTATTGGTCCTTCTGGACCAAGTCCCTGAAAATCCATCAAAATGGGGGGATTGATTTTGATGGAGTTGGGATGGACAGGGTTAAACAAAAAATGGATGAGCGGGGATTATTTTTCCAAAATGTATCTTTGAAGGGGAAAATATGAAAAAAGGGAAAAAGTAAAAAAGTGAACCAACTTGAAAAGGACAGAACATCTATCAAAAATTAATTGAAAATACTGAAAATCCCTTAAAAGTAATTCAACACAGAAAACACTTAAAGTAGGTTTGTAAAATGGCAAATAGTAGACTCATAGTTGTAATGATATGAAGCCCATTATTGATGTTCTTGTTTATTTGATTTAGTTTGATGAAAGTGTACGAATCTGGGATGTTAAGACCGGGAAATGTCTCAAGACTCTGCCAGCTCATTCAGACCCTGTGTCGGCGGTAAGTTCTTTTTCTACTTTGAAATTGAATCACTCATTGCGGTTGCAAATGCTGCAGCCGAACCATCAAAGCGAAAGAAAATTCACCGCACCATTGTTCTGTTTGGTATATTTCAGCAATGCTTGCTTAGTTACCACGCATATTTCTATTTGCTTAACCAAAATTGTAAACACTTGCACCATTAATTCATCAAAGTGTTCCTATTAATAAAAGGAAAAGATAATTTAAGACCGATAATTTTGACAAAAAACGAAGGGCCATTCAATCTACATGAACTGAGTGTCGCGCGACACTGTATCAGTATACGTGAACTAAGTGATCAGCTGCCACTTCTACCACATGTTCAAAAATCATGCTTGTTTTACCCGTGACTTTAACTGAAACAGAAAAATCAATGCATTCGCATAAAAATCAAGTTCTTATGAAATAACTTGATGAAATGTTCAGTTTTTAATGGAATCAAACCTCGTACTGTAAGGCTGGCTCATTAACCCTACCTTTAAAGTACTATTTTGGGTGTTTTTTTTATCAAAGATTCCTCCCTGATTCATTGATGACAATGTTGATATCTCTACTGAATTAGAAGTTGACTAGTGTAATTAGAAGTTGACTAGTGTGTGGTTTGTTTTTAAATTGATTGCAGGTTGATTTCAATCGTGATGGGTCCCTTATTGTGTCAAGCAGTTACGATGGGCTCTGGTAAGTGTTACCTCAGTATTTTTTGTATCCATTACAAGATTGTACATTGAGATGATGACTTAGAAAAAATTATTTGGCTTGACTTTTTTTTTTCATTTCAATTCAAGAAGACATTTATTCCATACTCCATTTTGGAAATACATCGATAATTAAAGAAAATTAGTACATAGGAAAATAACAGAATCACTATATATCGAACATATAATAAACAAAAATAATGAACACTTGGAACTAATAATAAGATAAGAATTATGATGTATGTACAAGAGAAAAAAGAGCATGAGGCTGTTTAAGTAAGCCGAGGCTTGTGAGAAAATAGCCCGTACAGACAAAAAAAACAATACCAACAACTACAAACAAGACAAGGACGGGACAGACAGGACAGAAAAGACATGACTAAAGCTGACGGCGAAATAATACAAAGAAGGAATGTAATATCTGATGACAACTAAAAACTTACAGCAGGACTGAACATTCTTATCAGAACAAAAAACTACTTAGCAAAGTTGATAATAAGCAGGACAAGTTCTTTTCAGAACTAATATCTTCTAAGCAGTAGTTATTACCACATGGTGTTACCGCAAACCGAAACGATACCGATACCCACCATGCAAAGCCTCAAATCTTATAACTAAAAACTTAAATAAATAAGGAGAGAAATACAGCTATGTTACATAATGGGAGAGGAGGACTCTTTTTATATAAGAAGTCTCAAATTGACCCATGGACGGCTCTGTTGTTACGTCATCGGGGATGGCATTCCATAAACGAGGACCGTAAAAGAGAAGGGTGTTAATACTTACATGGTGCGGCTGAAGGGAAGAAACAGATTATTACGGGATCTGGTTGAGTAATCATGCAACAAACACATATGCGTCTCCAGTGCCATTCCAAATAAAATTGAAAAGTGGTTTAAGAAAGCCAGGATTTGTGTTATTTCGTTTGTCATTGGTTAAAGGTTTTTATGAATTGTGCAAACTGTGTAGTTAAAAATTGGGAGTGATTTTTTTTTTAAATTGCCGTGAAAACAAGGCTGCATGCTGTGCACACCTTTAAAATTGCTCTCCCCTTGCCGTTTTCGAGATTCACTTGGAAAATGCATGATTTTTAAATTGCTATTTTCCTTGCAATATAAAAGTTATCTACTGTTGAATACGGCATCGAATAAAAATTGCAAATTATTTGCAGCCTGACAATATTTCAGTTCTTGCAGGTTAAACTAGTTCCTGCCGCCCTATCAGAATCCATACTGATAGAGCAGATCTGTCCGTTCACAAAAAACCCAAAATGAAATCCCTGTTTCAGAGGGTTACAGAAGTCCAGAACAGAAAAAAGGCATCAGGGAAAAATGAATTTGTTCAAGAGCACGGAGAGAGCAACTTTAATACTACAATTATATATTATCAATAACATTTTTTTGCACTGTCAACTGTGTTGCGTTACACTTTTTTGAAATTATTTTAAGAGGTTAATAGTCATGCGCCACAACCTTTTTATTCTTATTACAATAATTATCTGTTGTTTGTAGTCGAATCTGGGATACAGCATCAGGCCAGTGTTTGAAGACATTAATTGGTAAGTTCTTTATAGACTATTGTGCTTGCTGGTACTTTGTGAATGGAGACATGTGCTCTCATAGAAGCATGACCTGCATTGCCTCTTGTTTTACATGTGCCGCTTGTTTTACATGTGTGTAATAGACCAAGTGTGGCTGGGAAAAAAAGGTCTCCGTGCAAGAAAAATTAGTACTTTCGAAAGCTCTTGTGGGAGGAACACACACTGCATGCATGAACTTGTTCTTGAACTAAGTAGGCACGGCTTGTTTTATTTTTATTATGCACAAGCCAGTCTTTTTTGTGAACGTCAGGCACCAACATTAATTCCGTCCAACATCCATTCCATAGGTCTCCCCCAACTCTCCCTATGTAACCATTGAGGGGGTACTTGTGCACGGAATCCATCAGTGAGAAGAGATCCAGTATGTGTGCAATAATGTCAGTCTTTTCTGAATGTTTTGTAGACGATGACAATCCTCCTGTATCGTTCGTCAAGTTTTCACCCAACGGCAAGTACATACTGGCGGCAACATTAGACAAGTAAGTTAAAACCACATGAGGGGGTCATTTCACAAAAATTTCAATTAATCTTAACCCTTAAAAATCAATTGTATTTCCGAAACAATTAATCTGTAGTAAAAGGGTCTATGAAATTAGTCAGGCAAGAGTGGACATGGGTACTCGGAGAGTACACAGACTGATCAGTCCTTAGCAACACTAAAATTCAGCAAACGTTCATGGACATTTCACAGACTTTTTACTGAAGTTTGCCTTATAGACCATTATCATGTCGCGGCCATCTTGATTTTGTCCCATTCAAATCAACGTAACCAAAGCGAGGCTGGAAGGAAAAATAGTCTGGTTCCTTTTTGCACAAAAACATTTATCATTCAGTATTGTTATTGGTTACAGGGAACATGACTGAAATGGTGGCAGCATGATAAAGGTTTATTGAATTTGAAAGGTAGCAACAATCTCTGAAGTAACTAGTACTTTTGCTATATCGTGTGCTTGGATACTGTAATTTCATTGGTCTAGAACGGCCACGTGTCTGGTCTATAAAAATGCATGTCACAGACGGAGAGATCAGTGATATCGCACTGCGTTCATTGTACGCATTGCGCGCGCGTATGGAACCTGCTGGCACGCTAGCCTCGCCTCAGGAGCTATGCGCCCCTCGGGTGTTAAAAACATCATATCCCACATCAACAGCAGTCAACAATTGTTAAATTTACTCCTGGTTCACATAAGATGGGAGATTTAAATAGTATTGTCACTTGTGAGTCGAGCAGTGCTATCATATAGGATTACCCCATAATGCCAACGAATGGGTTAAATCTGGCCCAACTTCCAGTGAATAGCTATTCTGAATCAATTGAAAGGAATTTTGTGGACTCTGGGACCAGCTTTACTCAGCATGCATTGTCCTGTTGCTTATTTTACCCTCTGGAATAAAAAAAACTTTTATTTTTTACTTTTCATTTATTGCCAGCACATTAAAGCTGTGGGACTACAGCAAGGGCAAATGTTTGAAGACTTACACCGGACACAAAAACGAAAAGTACTGCATATTTGCCAATTTCTCTGTGACGGGAGGCAAGGTAGGTTGTTCATAAGATGGAATTTGCATTGGGGAATTGTAAATTCAATATTTATTTCCTGCTTTGTCACGCAGAGTTGCAAATGCCCATCCTTGGCAAGTTGCGATGGCCCAATCTCAGCAGCTTGCTAGCCCAATTATAGAAATGGCCTGTCATATTAAAGGGAAAATACAACATTTGCAAACGTCAAAAAATAAAGCTACCAAATCATTCTGAAATACCTAGCTGGACTGTTAGTGAATGACAGTGTAAAGCATCCTGTAAAATCATGGCACCTGGTATACTGTCATTTTCAAGAAAAGTGGTATTTTTGTATCAATTTCCAACGCTGATCGGCCGATCAGCGTTGGAAAAAACTGGCTTTTTTTCAAATACTGGCCCCAGTTGACCATCGCACTTGTTTGCAATCGATTACACACCTATGAACGGGTACAAGCCAGCTAGACTGGTTCCCTGACCTTACAATTCCCCAATATATGTAAACTGCTCTGTTTCTTCTTAAATGGAGTCAGGGAACCAGACTACAGGAAAATGATTGGTTTTCTTGGTTTTTATAGCATTTTCGAACCCAAAACCTCAAAAAAGTCAGTGTAACTATATTTGCTATATATTTCCAACCCCCCAATTCCAACCATTTCTGAAAATTACAGCAAAAGCAAATGATGTATATTACCTTTAAACTTGGCACGGTTTGACTGCTATTAGAAGCATAGAACTCCTAAGCAATACTAGGCATATTCGTTGAAGCTGTAGGGGCCCAACAAGCTACGATATAACCAACACTATTTGAATGTTACGATCTGTTTTGAACTTGAACAGTGGATAGTGTCTGGATCAGAGGACAACATGGTTTACATTTGGAACCTTCAAACCAAAGAGATTGTACAGAAACTACAAGGCCACACAGGTAAGTGACATGTGAATATAGGAGCAAAGGAATTGAATTCATCAAATATAATGGGCAATTCTGTCTGCGACAGAGTTTTTAAGAACTCGGTGAATAAACCTGAAAATATATTTTTCAAATCTTATACATCCGTCATCTGGTAATGGTCGAGGAGATTACAGACTAGGAGTTTTGGATCATTTTTCCGAGTCATTAATTATATATGGTTCATTGGCTCTGTCACAGACATTACCCCGAACCCCTAGTACTTCCTCAGGACTACCCTGCTAAATCCAACAGAGTCCAACCAGAGTTTCCTGCTCAATCCACTGTGCCTTATTTTCAGTTGTCTGCTGAATCCTACGGGGTTCAACTTGGCATTATAATGTGGTTCAGTTTGCCTGCTGAATCCAACATTTTGCACGAGGAATGTACACAAGGGGTTTACTGCTCAATCCAACAGGCTCCATCGGGTATGTGACATAGTTGGATCCTGTTGGATTCAGCAGGGTTAGGAACTGCTGGAGCTGCACTATTGGTCTCCGCATACTCATGTTCCCCGGGTACCTTGAATTGACCCTGGGCACAGAGTAGAAAGTGTACCCGGGGCGTGCATGTGTCACTGCGGACCCGTTCGCGTGTCAACGCGCACCCATATGCGCAACATAGATTTGCATAGGGCACATTGACACGCGACTATAGGCTATTTCACAGTAGACAACAACTTTGTTGTGTGCTCATTAGATTACAAGTGCATCAACTGATGTTGGCACTGAAGCAAAGGTTTGTGAATGATGAAAAGCCACTCCGGAAATTTTTTATTAAGAGTTCAATTTTCTTGTTATCTTTTCTGCAGATGTGGTGCTATGCACAGCATGTCACCCGACCGAGAATCTGATTGCTTCTGCTGCTCTTGAAAACGATAAAACCATCAAAATATGGCGCTCAGACTGTTGATGCTTGTGAAGGTTCAAGCAGATCTGGACCGATGTGCTTATGGGTGATCTTGGGTTGTGATGAAGTACATGTATCTATCAATAGATTGATCGAGGCGCCAAGTTCATGACGCTGCTTTAAACAGTAAACTTTCTGTGTTTATTCCATCATTCATGTTCAGTATCATGAATTCTATTAGAGTGCCAGCCTGGTACATGGTGGCTGCTTGGGCACCATGTGGGAAGCAAACACTGTTGTCCCCAATCCGCTTTCTTAATCACAAATACTTTTTTTTAAATTTCGGAACGTAATCTTAAGGATTAATACATAAACACAATTCATAAATACCTAAGATAGTTTACCCATTCCTACTGGTCAAGAGCCGTCATGTGGCCAGTTTTAAACGGTTGATAAAGACCGGCTGGCCGGTCTTAAACACTTTTCCAGTGTCACATGAAATTTGGACTCCTATGAAATCTGGTGCCTTTTACCGTTTCATTGGTTGAACGTTCACAATTCTCACGTAGGCATGCACAATACTACCAGTGAGTCAGTATTTCATAGTCCTATGTATTTCGTAGTCCGGGTAATTATTAGCATCCAGAGTCCAACCTTCTGAAACAGAGTGTTAAAAACGGGCCAAGCACACATTCCCTTAGTAATATTGTACTCGTCAAGCAACGGTTTAAATCTTTGGCTCTTGTATTAAATTGTATTGCACTGTATTTATTCCTCCATTAATCAGCAAGGTCCCAGACTGCCAGGACGGTTTGGGGCGGTATGAGGAGTATCAGGCAGGGCGGTTTGGGGCAGTACAATGGCTAAAGGGTTCAACTTCAATCACTGTTTCCATCAAATACATGCGTTTGAAAATGAAGTGGATTTGATTTCGTTTATGGCATTGTCATAATTAACTCAGTTGGAATTTACGTATGTTTATAATGATCGTCCTTTTTGTATGAAATGTGTACATATGTATCTAGAAACACAGAACGAGACCAGAGTGAATTGTTGTTTTTACTCTTTCCTCGTTTTGTTCTTTCTTTTTTTTGGGGGGGGGGCATGGTAGAAATTGAACATTTACTATAACTGGCCTGCCAATTTTCACATGACCTTTTGACCTTGTCCAGGGCCATGGGATGGTTTTACATCTTGTAACTTGTACTTGACTATTTACTGCCAAGATGCTCGTTTGTACTTATCTCTGTTAGGGCCGCATTACACTTTAGGTAGTATCAGGATTCTGTGCGGGTAAACAAATAGAATGTGCTTGTTTCAATCACAGTATTTCTGTATAAAGATCAGTGGTAGAGCGATAAACCTCTGCGCTTAAAAATGTAAGTGATTCTTCCAAATATTCCATGTGAAAAATATGCATTCTGGCCAATTGACACACAAGTGGCCATGACGTCACCTTGTGAACCTTTCAGTTAGCACCTGTACTACATTGTATTACATTGTGTTTATGCGGTTTTGGAGGCTACATGAAGTAATAGGCAGGGCAGTTTCAGGTACTACAGTGACTTACCCTAACTCCCTAGGCCCTTTTTGCGAGGAACCATCCTCAGTTGTCCAAATCCTCCAAAATTGTGCACTTATGTTCAAATGAAGGATACCCAGTGTCTCAATCCTTCAAAATCGTCAAGACCATCCTGCCTCAAAAAATGCATTCATCCTCAATCCCTCAAAATTCTCCTCCTTTTAAAACACCATTCATCCTCAATCCTCCAAAATCCTCCAAAACCGCCATGAGGATTTTGGAGGATTGAGGTGGGTTAGATGGTGCATTTTCCACCCAACATTTCCTACTTTGCGATACGCTGCTTGTCCCATCTCCTTTCCTTTTATTGAACTTCTGTGTGAATTGGCTCCCCATTACCTTGCAATTCATACAAATTGTGACTGTCTAAACATTTACTAAGTGTGGTAAAGACTACTGCAATGATTCAATGGGCCCTACAAAGTAACTTTGTGAAGTTAGGATTTTTCTCGCCGGGATTATTTTGACATCAACCGGACCAGGCGCGGGATTGTTTTTTACGAGCCTCGATGCCAGACGAGCTCAGGCCGTCATCTGCGGGTAGCACACCCTGATATTTCTGCCCTTGCTCATTGCGAGCTGGTCGCAGACAGATATTTCCAGCCTCGCTCGTTGCATGTTTATCCGTCATCCATTCCGAATACCGCAAAACCTTTGCGTGTATACACGTCATCCGACGTGAAATGTAACTTTGTCAACAAGCACTGAGCATATTATGCGTTGATATAGGATCCACTGTTAAAGGAAAAAAGTTACACTCGAATGTTACTATTATAAGTTGAGCCATTATTATGGTCTCTTCACTGTAAATATCAGTATTGTACAATGAATATGAGTTAATGGTATTATTTAGTTTGAAGTACAGATAGCTCATTTTTTTAAGTTTAAACTGTCATCGTGAATTGTGTGTTTTTTTTAAACATTGCTGTACATATGTTTCTTCTTGAATTCTGTGACTTTCTCGTGTTGTTCAGTCATCAGACTGGCAGTGGCTAGGGCTGTGCAGGGTATGCATACCAAATATTCGAATATTTGAATATTCGATGATCAAACGAATATCCGAATAGCATTTTTCAATTCCGGTATTAGAAAAATGTGAGCGGTCTTGAGATGATGAATGCATCTACAGTGTTGCATTATAAGTTGCAAGTTTTAGTGTTTGCAAAATGCCACACTTCTGTTGAAAGCCACTTTCGCACTTGGGTTTGAGAGCTTTCGTGAGGAATATTAGCTCAAATTCCTTCTTTAAAGTTGATCAATTATCAGCCATTCTGCTACCTGTTCTTTGTATTTAACACCCCCAAAAAAGAAAGGCCACACTCATTGGAGAGGTAATAATTTAGAATCTGATTGTCTTATGATGACTTCATTTATATGGACCTTTAGGGAATGTTGTTAGCTACATTTTGATACCCCGTTTGCTACCAAACACTGTAAATCGTCCAACAGTGACAACGGTTTATAAAAAATGATGCAGTTTGAAAAGTTGCAAATATAAAGAGTACGCCAGTGGACATTGCTGCGTGACAATGTTACACTACCCGAAAAGAACGGCAGGGAATACCAATCACACAGTGCTTGCATGCACATCACACAGTGCTTGCATCCACAGGAGCACGCTAATTGAATTACCCGCGCTTTGTGCAGGCACTGTGCAATCAAAAGGGGCCATTACGGGCATGTGTGGTTTACGCTTAACAATTTCTCCTCCCGTAATCTTTAAATTTGCAACTTTTCAAACTGCATCATTTTTCATAAACCATGGTCAATCTCGGACGATTAACAGTCTTTGGTAGCAAACGGGGTATCAAAATGTAGCTAACAAAATTCCCCAAAGTCTATATAAATGACGTCATCATGATAGGATCAGATTTGAAATAATGACCCCTCCAATGAGTGTGGACTTTCACTTTGTCAGTTTTCGACAAGAGCACACGCAAATCCTGATGGGCTGGTGTATGTAAATTTAATCAGCACATTTTGCATTTTTGAATATTCTAGTAAGTCCAAGTTAGAATAATCAAATACTGAATTAATCAAACATGCACAGCCCTAGCAGTCCTTGCTTCATCCAACAATAATTGATGATTTGTTTAAGTTGTAAAATCTACATGCCATGGATTTTGAAGGGGTTGTAAATAAATCTGACAGCAGTTCAAGTTTGCTTGCCAGAAGAGGAAGTTTTTTCATTCTGTGCAGTGACCTGTGGAAAAAGGTATAGTAAAGTTTCCGATCGTTTGTCTTTCAAAGTACCACGCGACCTTCCGGTTTCTACGTGATTGGCCACCATTGCAGTAGGCAAGCGTTTGGTTAGCAACCACTTTATGCATTGTAAACTAGACAGAAGGGCTTATTTTCATAGCAGCAATTTCTTTATCAAATGGCATAATGGTCACTTCCTGTGCCGTGTAGGGTTGCTATCATCGTGCCTACCAGCACTGGGTGTTGGCTCCGCATGTTTCTCAGTTTTCGCCATCCATCACAGCTTTGAAGGCTTGCCTACTACCCCTTCTGCGCACGGCACTATAGGATCATTGCCTACTATAATGGCGACGCTGATGTTCCAGTACCCGTATGTACAAAATGTAGGCCAGCTCATGTGAGAGCCCTATTTGGTAAACCAATTTGACAACTGGATGTCAACTCCTTATACACGCAACCAAAAAAGAAAGTCCCCCTTAATACTTTTTTGTCCAACTCAAAAACTACTGGGCACATCTTGCTCAAATTACGACTGATCAGTACAGAAATTCCTTAGCAATCCAGCCATACTCTTTGTTTGGTACAAAACAGGGATAATGTGTACAAAATGATGCAATTTATGACAAGCGGTACCGAAAAAAAAGGTTGCACTTTTGTACACTTGCAAGGCGAGTGTGAACCGCAACATGCATGTATACTAAAGTGCAACTGTTTTCAGTATCATTTGTCATAAATTGCAAAAATTCATACACATTATTGCCATTTTGGGCCAAACAAAGAGCATGGCTAGATTGCTAATGAATTTCTGTACTGATTAGTTGTTATTTGAGCAAGAGGTGCTCAGTAGCTTTTAAGTTAGACAAAAAAGTATTGGAAGGGGGAACTTTCCTTTTTTTGGTTGAGTGCACAAGCGGTAGCTTACATATTTTTGGTGTTTTGTTTGTTTTTTTTCCAAAACATTCGTTTTGCCTCTAGCACTTCTTCCCAAGCTTTGAGAATTGCAGCCTTATTTACTTGTACATGTACTTTATAAATCTGAGATTTGTTCTGATGGAATTGCAGAAAACACTTCTTGGGCCTTACTTGTTAGAACAATTTTAAATATGAAATTTTATTCTTGATCAACTTCAAGCTACCAGCTTGGTTTAAACTTAATGAACTTGTCAAGTAAATGCTGAACTAATGGAATTGAACGACTCTTTCTGACGACTGAATCCCGATGTGTGGGCGTGACTGTTCACAGGAGTGGGCTATTAAATTGAAAATTGTTTATGAAGTTGCCAGGAAAACCTATACCACGTAGAAAACTATTAGAAAGCAATCAAGCTGCTCAACTTTATCTCTGTGGGGTAATTCTGCAAAATATTGCCCATTTTAACATTCCTCCAATTTTTGGAAAGGATCGTGTCAAACTTTGATACTATCAATGACCAAATCATAACACATAAAAACAGATTTCCTGTGGAGTACAAGCACATTAAGTACATGACACAAGATGGCATTTATTTTCCACTGTCTTATGAAAGTAAACAGAGTTTAACAGTACCACCGAGTTTAACGGTACAAAAATATAATTGGTGGGTGGATATAGTCACCAACAGCTGCTGTAGATACCGAGGAAGTCTTGGTCCAAGACTGGGATTAGATTTTGTTACTCTCAAAAGCAACCAGTCCAGATCCCACGCAACTACGGTCTTCACCACGCCAGTAGAGCGCGCTATCAACAAGATGAATCACATCCAATCTTGGGAACTTTGGCACTGGAACCCAGGAAATTCCGAGTATACCTCACATGGCTGTATTCAAGCTAACCTCACATGGCTGTAGTCAAGCTAACCTCACATGGCTGTAGTCAAGCTAACCTCACATGGCTGTAGTCAAGCTAACCTCACATGGCTTTAGTCAAGCTAACCTCGCATGGCTTTATTCAAGCTTACCTCGCATGGCTGTATTCAAGCTAACCTCACATGGCTGTATTCAAGCTAACCTCACATGGCTGTAGTCAAGCTAACCTCGCATGGCTGTAGTCAAGCTAACCTCGCATGGCTTTATTCAAGCTAATCGCACATGGCTGTATTCAAGCTAACCTCACATGGCTGTATACCTCGCAGGGCTACAGTCAAGCTTACCTCGCATGGCTGTATTCAAGCTTACTTCACATGGCTGTATTGCCTGTATTCGAGCTAATGCACGCGTGTGAGGTGTGCACAGAATTGCTTGGGTCCAAGTGCCAAAGTTCCCAAGGCTGGCTGTGGTTACGATTCATCTTAAAGACAATGTCTACCACCACAGCTTCTGAACTGACCAGGCCTGTCGGTGATCGGTTGCCTAGGAGGAACAAAATATAAATCCAGTCTTGCACCAAGACCAGTACCCAGGGCGGCCAATAGCAACTGTCCACCCAAAATGTCATTGTGTTACTACAACTCATACATATTCAGCACACTAAGCTAATTCACCTTAGTCATCACCTTGTTTATTCTTCAATTATTACCATGCATCTCATCAGTTTCTCTTTGCGTTTTTTTTGTTGTTGTTGAAAATTTGTAATAAAAAGCTGTATCATCTCAGTGATCCTGGTTTGCTATTTCCCAGTTTGCAGCATTGCTCATGTTGCTAGCATCATGTTTTTGGGCATGATCCCTGGCTACAAGGCATATACAATTATGTCTGCACATAATGTTTTTGTCCTGCACATAGTGGTGAATTGACCAGTTCGAATTTGGCTCTAACTCATGAATATGTATGAGGTATAGTAATTTTAAATATTTCATTCTCAAAAATAGCTCTATTGTTTTACAACTACAAAGTAGATCGCTCACAAATTGGAATTATATAAGGTTAAGAAAGCAACAATGCACATAAAAACCGGCAATAAAAGGTTAATGTTCACACATCTCTGTGCCATTAGGTATAGTGAAGTACCACAAAGGTCACATTTCATGAGAACAAATGAAATGGAGAATCATGACCATTGTTGTAATTCATTTTGGAACTCGGTAACAAACAAGCTTTGACATTCATAAAAATACTGCAAGATAAACTTGCGCGATCCCCCTGGCATGCTGGCAGTATTTATAGTCAGTAAGCACACTTTTGAGTTGACCTAACCAAAATCAACAATGATCTCATTTGAGCCCTAGATGACCTTTGACCTCAAATGTCTCAAGTCATCTGAAGTCCCCCTACCCCAAGATTATTGTCACCAAGGTTGGTTGAGATTGAAGTCTGACTTTTCCTATGACAGCACTAAACAGTTAACCTAACCAAAATGGAACACACGGACACACTGATTTCACTATCGCAAGATCCCCCTTTCTTAGCTTAAAAGCCAGGGGGATAAAAAAAAAAGGCTAGACAGCATGTAATTTATAGCACATTGCAATGCTGGGGAAAGCTAGCAGTCGTGTGCAAATTAGATTAATACTTCACTTAATACAGTGCATAATTAAAATAATTGCATACTGTGAGAATAACATATATGGCAAGTTCATGCACAATGTAAATTTCATGTAATGGCCCAAATATATTACTGTAATTCCACATTCTGCAAATCATGAAAATGAATCAGCTACAGTGTGATATAAATCATATTTGCTGGTCCCAGAAAGCCTGCCTGGTGTCCTCTTTGGACCTATCTCACAGACTGACTGACTGACTGATTCAGTGACTCACTTGTGACCCGGGCAGTGCTATCATATAGGATTACCCTGTAACATCAATGCATGGTCTGAATTCAGCCCACTTTGTCAGTGTATAGTCGTTCCTCTGAATCAATTGAATAAAATTGTGTGTACTCTGGAACCAGCTTTACTAGACTTCCATATTCCTTTTTTTTTTATAACTACCCAAATTGAAAAGTCTCGCAGAACATATTTTTTTCCCCAAAACAAAAGAAGAGTACTTAAAATCTCATTTTTGCATCAATATGATCACTTATACAATGTTGAATGTCTGTGTCCTGTTTCCAAAATAACACTGCATATGGGTCCATTCTGCAAATTTAGGGTCCAAAGTGCGACATTTTTCCTGTCCCTGTTACCTTGGTACTTTGCCGTTGGAGTATCATTAAGAATGACTTCAAATTTGTTTTTATTTGTTGGGTAGGTAGTTTGCTATTCATAATCACTATTGGGCGATGACTGTATTAATAAGTGCATCAGAATGATAAAATCATAGATGTCAGATGTAACAGGGACAGGAAAAAAGTGGACCCCAAGTTTATAGAATGACCGTATATGCATTTAACTCTGATGTTGTTGGTTTCAAGAATAGAAAATGATATGTTCGGCACCAAATGATTTGTACTTTTGAGTTATATTTATATATACATTTTCAAGGCTTAAACTAAAAACAAAGTACATGTTTCTCTGAGGTGTCACATTCTTGATGGACTAGCAGTCCAAACTCAATATGCTAATCTCCCACAAAAATAAATAAAATTGCCCAAACTTAGGCAGAAAATTACTGAAACTGAATATCATTCCACAGTCCATGTAAGACTTTGTCCAAATTTTGCAAAATATTTACATTTTTCTTAGAGGGGTACAATTTCAGTGATAAGACACATTTACAACTGTAGCTGGAACCCTTATGGACCTGATTCACGAGGAGGCCATTTTGATCGTGTTCCCTGAATGTATTTTATAATTTGTGAACTGTTGAATGGGAATGGAATGGTGCCAGACTATTTATGCATTCTAGCCTCACTTTTTTTTTTAAATGTGGCTTAGAACAGTAGGGTATGTTTTAATTTAATTATTCATCGTAGCTGACTGGTATTAATTTGTAATTAACTTTGTCACTGCTTTCATTTCTCTTTGCAAGTTCCAAAAATGAAGATTTTACCTCGCTTTCAATTTAATATGGCCGACTCGTGAATAAAGCCCATACATTTTTCAGTCTCTATTAATAAGCCATTTGCGAGTTAAATATGAATAAAATCTGGAACGCTGACTTAATCCAATGCTTTGCACGTTTTAACTTTGCATTCTCCCGACCAAAGAGACTGTTACTATATCACGTGATTCAGGGCAAGCCTTATGCTAGCAACCCCCAGCTCCGGCATGGTCTGGTGTCTTTGTGCCATTCTCACCTATTGTAAACAATGTATTGGTGCGGAGCGTCTCTTACGTAACTATGCAAGAGCTTGCCCCGAATCATGTGATTAGCAACAGTGTCTTTGGTCTGGAGAATTCATATTTAAAATGTGCCAAGCATTCTGAGCAAGTCAGTGTACCAGATGTTTTTCAAATCTAAATCCCAAAGGGTAAAGGTCACTCGCAATTGGCTTATTCCAATAGACCAATCCGTTAGGCCCCGCCCACTACACACATGGAAAACAACACGTATGCCTCTCCAATGCTTAACCGCATGTTCCAGCTGCGCACATCATACGTATATATGTGCAAACATGTCGGACATTAATCACAGCTGTGATTGGATAAGAGACCTTTGGGCGGGGCTAAATGGATTGGTCTATTAGGAATCCTCAGACACCATATTTGTTTTGAAACAGTTTTCTTCTCCGTCTTCGCTTGACATATATGAATATCACAACTAGCAACACCGAGCACAGAGCGTAGAGTAAAACGCACATACTGACATCTCTTGTATCAATACCCAGCCTTGCGTATCCGTATGACACTGTAGCACCAACATTCAAACGCTTCAACGTTTCAGCAGTGATCAATTCATGTGCTTTTGATCGAACTCCGCTCACCGCGAAATCGATGTTGTTAACGCCGTACAACTCCTTCAAGAATTGCAAGATCCTGGTATTTTTCCATCGTCTAGGACTGTTGACGTTGTGACAAGTCGGGCAATCGCTATATGATGGAAATGCTATTTTAGGATGTTGAGGGTCTTCCGACAGATCGCCCGCAAGACGTTTATTGACTGAATTGTGAACCTGCCACAGCCACAGCACCGAATCGTCTAACGTGCTCACACTGGATTCCAGGTGAACACTTTCCTTTGCAAAGTTCTCGCTGCAAGCTCTGCATCCAAAGAAGTAATGAATGTATCCCTTCATTGCATGGAGGACTTCTTTGCTGTCAGATTTCCGATCTACAAACAAAAACAAAAGCAGCAATTTGGAATCTGGTCAATGCATAGCAAACCAAAATAATGACGAAAATTTATACCAATTTCCTGAACCTAGCCATCAATCTAGTCTATGAAACATGTGCTTGTACAGCAAGCGTCTATGATATGCACGCAGTTTCGGCAATTAATTATGCCAAACAAGACTGTGTCTTGACCTCCAGATTCTGACCATTCAGGGGACGCCTTCTATCGGGTCTTCGGTAACCCGTTGTTGTATTACAAAAACATGGCAGCCAGATTGACCAATCAACAACTTAGTCCACAGTTCTGATCGAAATGACGTCGACTCCGATTGGCTGGCACGCGGGTTCGCATAAAATTTACATGCTCACATATATCAGATGTTGAATACGGAGCACAAGCGGGCTTCACTGAACAACGGATGATACTCAGACTACCATAAATCCTGCACTCTGTTTTAAACTAAAAGGCACTATTTCATATTATCAAGTAAAGAGGCACTGACTAGAAACCGTCACCGACGCCACGAAGTAACACTCTACCGTGTTAAACAATATTTTTTTCAATTTCCAGTTTTTTTTATTTTTAAACATTATTCATCAAAGCCTACCATTGCACGAAGTTTCAAAGCTTCAAGAGCTTTACTTTAATAATTACGCTAAGTATCCATGGCAACTTTTGCGCAAAAGTGACAATTTTCATTTTCCAACGGCCGACCACCGTTGGAAAAACCTAACTATTTTTCAACTACTGCTCCAAATTTACCATTTTGTTCAGTCAAAATTTTGTTTGCTATTGGTTACATGTTCATGAACGGGTGAAGGCCATCTAGACTGGTTCCCTGACCTAACAATTTTCCGGCATCTATAAATTGATCCATTTCATCTTTAGTGGAGTCAGGGAACCAGACTACTTGAACGTTTTTGTTTTTCTTGGCTTTTCCAGCATTTTCGAACACAAAACTTCAAATATGTCAGTGTAACAATATTTGATCTATTATACTAACCCCTCAAACAGTTCATTTTTAAAATAACAGCAAAAGCCAATGATGTACATTCCCTTTAAGTCAATTGTATTAATAGGAGGAAAACTGAAATGTGAAAAGTTACAAAACAGTACTCAAAAGTGAATAAAAAAGCATGTAATTGTACTCACAATGTGAATCCAATCTCGCATGGCTCACAGTCAGTGTGTGAAAAAGAACCCACAGCCCACAGGGGTACCCACGATACACCTGTGTACTTCCTTGACAACCGACCCATGTCACTTCGTTCTGCAAAAAGTACCCAGGCTGCAATGAAGATCAATGAAACCACAATTGGTAAATTATATAACAAGCTTTATTTATCCACACTTAAACCATATTATATTGTTGATGTTTGCACCAAGGAGCAAATTTCGCCATGCAGCAGTCTTCAACTGTTTGTGTCTTGATGGTGTGGTTTATCGGATGCACGATCACCAAGAGAACGCTATCCAAACAAACCTCTATCACAACAATGTCTTGGGAATTTTGAAAACTCTCCCTGAAAAATGGGGGAAATTAGTGTGCATGCACTACCTCTGCAGGAAAAAAATGCAGTCCATTGTACTACATACGACAAAAGAACTGCCATGAAGTTGCACAAATGTCTGGTAGCATCTTGTATGTTACTGGCTGAAATTTTGGAGTTTGGTTCGGTGATAATATGCGAAGGTGTTGAATGCGCCCTTGTGCGTGCACATGACAGGACCGCGTCAAGACTTGCAAGACGTTGTTCTGATAGCCTTTTGTCTGTGATAGCATTTCGTTTTGATAACGCCCTCTTGGCAAGTGATCGCATAAAAACAACAACGTCTTGAACCAAGTCCACATGCAGCACTGAACAACAGTTTGGAGCAAAATGGGTTATAAGTTGGTCACCTTTGAAATCAAAATTTCACCTGGTTGAAGTATAGATCTCAAACTTTCACAATACCTACATGGCAATCACACAATAGAACAATTTAGTACAGATTAATTCAATACCAAAGAAATTTGTCCCTTCCCAAATCCACACACACACACACACACACAAAACAATAAAACAAATGTGTTGCCTCCACAGCGAATAAATTTCTCCCTTCATGAAAACTGAACGCACAATGCATTTCGGCCTTTTGTGAACATCTTATTAAACCAAGGATTGGTTGAATTTTCCCCAGTTGAATTTGAAAAATATTTAATCCTTACATCTTGAGAAGTCTGCAGTCGATTCATCACATTGGACCAATCATCGCTTGTCAGCTGAGTATAAGGTTGAAGCAATCTCTGCAGCTGTTTTAATGTATTCATGACATCAGGACGCCCAGGAAAATACTTGCAAGGACACAAAAGAAAAGAGAATACTCTAAATGCACGTAGAAAACTGTAAGTGTAACTCCCACAAGTGCGAGAATTTGAAATGAAAGATATTGACACCCATAACACCAGAGTATATAAATGTAACAGATATGTATGTGAGTTATAATTTAGGAAAGTTCATCTGGGGTCAAAATCTAATTTTTTGATACTTTGAGTTGTTTTCTCAGAGAGGGTAACACACTACGGGGGTACTAAATCCCTTCTTGTTGTTGAACTCATTTCTAACTGTATACATGTTATTTACTCAATGTAATTCACAAAACCTACAAACGATAACTATTTAGTTGCATGCTGAAACTGGAGTAGCAATGTACTTCTAAGTACAGTGTATCTACCAAGCTTCTATATTATTGACCAACACACATTTATGCACCAATAAATCCAGTCTGATTTCGGACTACGTCACTCAGTGCACCCCTCCCCCATTCTCTTTATTGAGTTTAGGAATTTTAAATATTTTGATTTTTTTTTTCGGGAGAATGGGAGCCTATCACACAAGGGTTTGGAGTATCATAAGGCCAACAAATTTGTTTGTTGTGTTGCCCTCATCCGACCGATCCAAATATCCAGAAATCTCTGGTCGGTTTTAAAAAAATATATATTTAACTTGAAAAAAATTAAACAAACTTTAACCTTACCGTTACTGTTTTTTTGTAATGCCGTAATTTTGCAATTCATTACCAAACGTTCATCCCTAGATGATAGTGGACTTTTTATAGTGAGCTTTCCAACCATATGTAACTGCCTTGTTAAGGATAAATAAAGTATTCTGAATTGAATTGAATTGAATAGTGCAGTTCGAATAAGCCATATTTTGTGCGTGTAATTGAGGCCGAGGCCTGGGGCATGTGGTGTAATGTACTGCATGCATTGTATACATATGTACATGCATTGTACATTGTATCGCATACATGTACATGTATGTACACAGTATAGTTGGTGCATGCAGTACATGTAGCCTAGACATGTTGTGTACGTTGGTATGCCTATATGTGAACTATGCGTAACCCCCCCCCCCCCCCCCCCCCCCACCCAATCCACCCACCCACCCACCGAATAAAACAAAACAAATCCCCGACCGACCGGCCCTCCTGATATTTGTCATGTGAGGGCAACACAACATTTTTTTGTTGGCCTAAATAGGAATGCACATGGCCCATGGCCAAATCACCCAACAAAATGCACGTGTTAAATGCATGTAGTAAAGCCTGTTAGCAATGTTGTTTCACACTGTAAATGTAGTTATTGTATTTGTAATGTATTGTATTTGTACATGTGTGACGTGTGTAGTCATTTGTAGTGTATGCAGGGCTCCAATGGAAACCAGTTTGAAACTGTTTGGGTTTACCCTGGGTAAAGAAATGTAATAAATAAACTCACTTTGTTCAACACAGCTATGTATGCTTGAAGGGCGCCCATAGCATCAGCACCAATCTCTTTCTGAAGGCCAACTTCATACTTGAGTGAATAAATCAACGTAGACTCCAAATCTTCCATGTATACTACAGACCTGTTGGGCAGGTCAAACGGATTGATATCAACAGTGAGTTTAAACCAATTGCAGTCTTTACTCTCATCAAAACAAAATAATACAGAATTTCCTAGATTTTTGGTGAGTGTCCTATTACTTTATAATTTACTTTTTGAGTAAATATTGCATACAGGTACCCATAACTAGATAATGACATCATCAGACAAGTACCCTCTGTATCAAGTGAATGCAGTACCTAACATTCAACTTAGGTTCCAGTCAGTCGGAGTAAGGTGCTGTCCAACATGACTACTCTTAAGACACCATGATTGTGTCATGTCTTCAAACCTACTAAAAATGACAACTTTACACTGAACTCCATGCTAGATGCTCAGTTCTATTGCTCTTTTGTGGCCCAGGGTCACACTCATCTCAGCTCCAGATACAGTGAGCTATATCTAGATCACACCAAAAATTGAACACTTCCAAGTACTTTAATACCGGGTGTCTAAAAAAAAACAACCTCAAAGCCCCCTCTTTTTCACAGCTTTAAAAATTACCTCTCAACTATCGAAACATATGGAGCGAAGATAGTTTATTAGCTTTTCACCAACAAAAAATTCTTTCCAATTGGTGAAAATTTATTGAGTTATGGCCAATTCAAAATAAGTGCCGATTTTTAATCTGTCCACGGTTTCAATTGTCATTGATTAGGAATGTAATGGATATGGGTTGAGGGTAGTTTTACTTCCTTTAATGTTTTAATCTTTCTTCCTTTATTTTATTTTTTGCAGCATGGTCATTTATCCTTTTGGAAGTAATGGTAGTCCGGAAATGGACTGTTTGGGTAACTTCTTAGATGTTTACTGTGCTGCTCTGTCTCTGCCCTCTACTTGCTAGCCTTTTTCACACAAATGCAAGTTTCAGCCCGTGTTCATATTGTGGCAGTCAAAATATCAGTCACCGTGGACAAAACGAAAAAGTGGTACTTGTAGTCAATTGGCCATAACTCAATACATATTTACCCGATTGGAAAGATTTTTTGGTGTTGCAAATCTAATGAAATATGCTCTCTAAATGTGTATCAATATTTGTGATGTATTTTTTAAAAGCTGTGAAACGAGGGGGCTTTGAGGTTTGTTTGTTTTTTAGACACCTCGTAATATCCTCCTGTGTATCACATAATCCAAAATACTAATAAAAATGTCATTCACCTACAGTGAGGATATCAGTAAGCCTTTGTCTTTTCTTCAGAAACTAATGAACCAATCCAGAAGTGTACGGTCGATTCAGATCCGCCCGAGTGCTGCTGTTGCACTGCTTTAGTACACAACAAGAAATGTGCAGCTCTTTTGGGATTCACTTTAATGAGTAAAGTGGTACTTAAGAGATGCACATGACATGCAAGCCCGCGGGAACGGGGGGTGCTGTGGGTGCTGCAGCACCCCCAACTATTTGGATTGGGGTGCTGGAATATGCTTCAGCATCCCCTACTCCAGGGCAAAAATGTGTTCCAGCGGCTAAGCGCGGCGCTTCAAAAGTCTAGCACAAACACTGCAAAATACCAAGAGGAGGTATTTTCTAAATCTTCAGGCAGTGCAGGAACGATATTTCTCTCAAGGTATCTAAAATCATGACATGTCTATGATATTTCCGCCACGATGGAAGCTTTGACCCGAAAGCAATAACCTCGGCCATGACGATGGTGGCAAAGTTGATTATGCTTGCCAGGATTTTTTTCATTCTATCTTTCAATAGGGGCAAATGTTCATACCTTTCCCCTGAAGGTTTTCTTTTCATTTAAAAGTTTCATGACGTTGCAAGCATTCTGTACTCAACATTTACAAGTAGCAAGGTTAATTGAAACCAGTCATGCTTTACGCCAATTCCAGTGTAGTTTCGTTTTAATAGAAAAACTATTCATGTTTTACCCTCTGCAAGTTTTTCCTCACAAAAACTCTGTAGACCAATAAATCATTGCCTATAGCCCCAAACTCTACCGATCATAAACATAAAGATACATTTGGTCTTTTAGTCTTTTATATTTGCCATTCCCTGTAGCAAACAAATAACACTGCAAATCTATCTAGAGCCACATCGTTTGGTGAGTTAGAACTATGTGAATATTTTTATGAACAGAAATTCATCCGCTTCCAGTGGAACCGTTTGTTTTAACTTAAACCAAAAAAAATCCTCTCAGGTTTTATAAGTTTCAGTATTCTACCAGTATATTTCATCACAGTGCATCCAGAATCCAACATTTTCCGGGGCCTTAAAGCGGGCCCCTGGCCCAGTGGCCCCACGCCGTAAGGGCTCGGAAAATAAAACAAAACATACACGACGGAATTTACTAAATGTAAGAAAGCAGCCTTGCAACAATAATATTTACATGCGATGTCATGCGTAATGATACAATTCTTTTTTCCCAGAATTAAATGGAACCAAAAATGGAGATAAAAATACAGGGTTCTCCACTTTTCAGTACAGTTAAACGTTTTAAGAGCAACAGTATATTCTAAACAAAATAATGAAATAAATTGTCTTTATAATCTCAAAAAACTTTTGCTAAAAAAGTCAAATGAAAGTGGCCAGGAATCGCCTCAGATTGCACCACAGAGCATCCATATTCCAAATTAAGCCACAACGAAAGGGCTTTGTGCTCCGCTTTCGTATTAATTCTGTCCGTCCTTTAGAAATTCCAGCACCCCCTGACAAAAGTTTGTTCCAGCGGCAGTGGTGACATGGCTGTCCTTTCTATATATATCATTCCGGCTTATACATGTATTTTGCCAGTGGGCTTTGCCAAATTAGATTTTTACTTAGATTAGATTATTAGATTAGACTTTTGGATAAGATATGATTTTTACTTAAAATATAAAGCAAATCAAAACCTCAGTGATGCACATTTTAATAAAAAAGTCAAAAGTATTTCATTTCACGCACATATCAAAATCTAAAAAAAATCAAAGGTCATCATTGATTTAAAGCCTTTCAGTTACCAAGTAACAAAACTTAGACATTACACACACTTCTTACCTTGCTGCAGTTTTCCCGGAGGTATCATTAGCAATTGGCTTGGCTTGTGTCTTGCCTTGATGCTGGCCTGCTTTGGTTCCATCAATATGTGACCCGTTTGTGATATAGCTTGTCTCTTTTTGTACTTTCAACGTTTCTGGCCGTTGTCCTGTCTTTGACAGACTCCCTCCTGCAAAAAGAAGTTATTGAAAAGTATTGAATGTGTTTATAAAAAAAAAAACATTCTTGCAATAACAGATTTCTGGTTTGTTCAACTGGCAAGCAAAAATCCATGTAGCTGACTTTATCTATTCCTTTACATTGCATTTGACTCTTGAGTTTGCAGTTTAACAGAGCGTTTTGAAGTCTCGCCAGTTCACATTCACTGTTTATGTGAATGTCTTGGTACCAAACACTGACTAGTCTAGTCTCAGACTCCCGTGTTTGATTTAACCAATTGTCACATACTGTCAAAATTCACTTCCACTTTCCCTGCTACACTTTTAACAACATCCACGGCTAATTCACAAACCGAAATCAGCTCTCCGGAATAAACCCCCACCTTCTCTGGCTGGCAAATTCAACAAAGCCAACCCAGCAGTCAAAATCAATCAACTGACTTTTATTCAACAGTTAATCCATGCCATAAAAATCAACCTAGCCAAGCTAGACCACAATATCGCAAAAACCAAGGAAGGCCTTCAACATATCAACCCCCCAGCCCTGAAGATTTCTTCAAGGTTAACGGCCAAGTTCAAGAATAAAGTTTCTGTCCGAACAATTTAATAAAATTTGAGGAATCTAAAAAAAATGGTCTTACCCGTGATATCTGAGGCAGGCAGTGTTTTCTGTATGTATTCTTGCAAAGCCTTGAAAAAGGACTCTCTATTTCCAGACCTAAAAGGGAAAAAAATCCACAACTTTTCATCATTAAAGAACTTCTTGCCGGTTTACGTAAGACAGTTTTGGATGCCTAGGTGCACAACACTGGGCAAACATCTGCCAAATTTAGCACCAAATTTTCACCCTTTTTTGAATTTCAAATTAATTTCATGACAGTAAATAGTTCACATAGTTTCCAGAGCAAGATTTATTGAAGATACATAGGATCATTTGCTTTTTCTGCACATTTTTGTCTGAAGCAACGCTATTTCTCAAAATCGTCAGATGAGTGTTTGACAACTACATGTTAAAACTGTTGAAGATTTAGCTCAGTGGATACTGTACATGTTGAGAAAACAGAGAAAACGTACGCACAATTTTGGGGGGTCTCATAACTGGATTCTGTTGCTGCTGCACGTAAAAACTATGCCGTGGGGAGCACTTTCTTAAACCACCATCAATAACTGTTTTTTTCCGAATGATACCATTTCAGGCAGAATCATTTCACAGGGTATTTGGAACCAGTCCTGTCCTCACTTTGGGAAAGGATTTTCTCATTAAATTGGTAGGTACGTTTCGGGGTAATTGCAAATGTCCCTACGTACCTTTAAGATAAAAGTAACACTATATAACTGAGTGAATATGAAGCTACTTAACAAAGAATATTGGCCACATTATGTGATGAGGAAAGATAGGGAACTACTGTAGTCTTTTGGGTTGTATTGCAGTACAGACACAGGCCTCCAACATGACTTGGGCCAGAGCCTCCCATAACCTTAATCCAGCCCTGTGCATATCAAAACTTATCTGGTGAATACGAACCTCCAAAGTACTGATGGGTGTCCATTCCGTTTGAGAATTAACAATGACGGTAACTCTCCAACGTTCCATTCAGGTGGTAACGGGTTCCTTAGAAGTTCTTCTTGCAGCACTCTGACCACCAGTACCTCTTTTGTGTTAGACATGTCCAAGATTAACTGTAACACACACACACACACAGTAATTAAAGGAAGTTATCTGTTCAACGACTTATATGACTGACTGTCACTTGTGACTTACACTTGTCTGGGAATGGGCGGAGCTTGTGCACTAGTCTGGCGCTGCTTGATTCATGTACATGTACTTCCATGACACGTACATGTACATGTGTAGGCATTAAGTCAAGTCTTCTTGCGATCGGCAAAACATTTTTGTTTTTTTCACTGCCATTACATTAACACTACAGCTTATTCTACAAAAATGTTTGTCATTCTAAATCAATTGAGTACCTGGCTATAACAGCAATGGGTACCCTACTCGAATGACACCCATAAAATCACATCTGTACACATTTATCATGGCTACGTGCACATGGCATAGAAAAAAAAACTTAGCCCTACTATCCCAGAAAAGACTAACGTCTGAATTATTAAAAACTACAATGTACAAAAACATTTGGCAACAATATTCTTTCCCCAACAACGCAGGCTTTCAAATGCAGGGAGTAAATTGAAAACTGGTAAGTGATATTTAGAAAAGTATGAGAGAAAGTTGCAACCAAACTTACCTCTCTACCTGTGTATGAATCTGCGTCCTCAAAAACAATCGCCACAATCTTCATCTTTGGTTTGACATTTCTTGAATAAAAGGTCAACAACCATTGCACGCTGGAAGAAAATTAAAGAATGATTAATTAAAACAATTATGTTTTGCCAATTATACCAAGACCGCTGATGTAAATGCCCTCCATGTACAATGAATTTGAAATAGATCTATCAGGGTTAAAAAGACACCATACTGAGGACAGGGGCCATTTTTCAAGTGTGCATTGTCGCCAGAGATGGTTATTCTTCACATTGTACACAGATGAAGGATATTGATGTAAAATTGATGTAAACAAATAATGGAGTTTCTGTTTACTATTTTAAAGCTTGATCTTTTGAACACCGCAAAGATCAGATGTCCTATAGCTTTTACAGAATTTATTTGTATGGAGATTAATTGTAACCAAAAAAAAGTCCAACAATTTTTTTTCTATTTTTGGCATATTGCAACCCTCTGATAAAAGGCTTTCATTTGGGTTGCTTTTTGCGCCTCTTATGCGCAAAAAAGATCTGCCTGAATTTGTGTGGGACCCAAAACAATTCACTTTTGTTCTAATTATTCCATAATTAATCTGGATGGATTATTTGTTCAATTCAGTCAAAAGTGACTAATGTTTGTATTGCTAAAAATATATATCAATTATACAAATTGGGGAAGGGTTGAAAAATTGAAAATAGCTTGGGGACGGGTAACAAGCAAAAGAGCTTCAAGTCTTTACTCGCGTTGGAAGACTTAGGATGAATATTTAAGAGTCAAGCAAAACATTTTCAGAAAGTATTCATCAATTATTTCCAAAATATCTTTTTTGTAAACAGTTAACATCGAAAGTCACAGATTTGAAGGAATACGGAGTGCATGAGGTATGCTTGAAATTTCTTGGGTACCATTGCCAAAGTTCCTAAGAATGGATTTGATTCAGCTTGTTGATAGCGCCCTCTACCACTGCAGCAACTTGACTGCACTTGCAGTTTAAGGCTTTCAGAGCTAAGACTAGACTATTATCAGCTTGTTCCCATGTAGTTGTAATAGACAAAGTCCTAGACAATAGCTCCAGACAAGAAATTTGGAAATGGCTCAAGTAAAGTGGCCTTGCATGTTCATATACATGTACTTTTAATACCCACCTTACTGGAGAGAGCATTGGCCAGTGTGGTGGTGCGTTCTGTGAGCTGATCTGTTTGGAGATGTGCTCAATCAGTGCATGTCTTAGACTAGTCACATCTCGGGATCCTGTCAAACATAAAAGGATCAATAGCTGAATGAACAGAACACAAAATGCTCAAACTTCTGTTATTTGTTCAATAGACAACATGTTGCAATGTATGTACCTCAAAAGTGAATGAGTTCCAAACAGGCAAATTTTCTCCGCTAGGACATTTTAAAAGTAGAATGCCAAGGTTCAGTGGTTACAGTGTTTGACTCATGTACGATGGGGCATGGGTTCGAACCCTGCCAGGAACATGGTGTTTTTGCCCTTGGGCAAGACAGTTAACTACAATTGCCTCTCTCCACCCAGGAGTATGAATGGGTACCTGTGAGGGTTGATAATAATAATAATAATAATAGTGGATATTTATAAAGCGCACGTATCCACCAGGACTGGTGCTCAAGGCGCTACATCATTATTACCCCTGCTCATTGGGCACATGAAACAATCCAAATACCATCTCAGCTCCCTGGGGAGTATACAGCTCGATGCAGCCTGTTAGGCGCAAGGCAGCTAATTCAATCACAACAACCATCTCTGCCCTCACAGGTACCCATTTACTCCTGGGTGGAGAGAAGCAATGAGTGACAAAGTGCCTTGCCCAAGGGCACACGCACCATGACCCCGCCAGGACTCGAACCCACAACCTGCAGCTTTACCCGCAGACCACGAATCAGTGCCCTTAACCACGAGGCCACAGCACTTCACTGAGGACCGAATGTGCGCTGATATCGGCTGCCGCGTGGTCTCGTGGCCTGATGAACAAGGGGAATAATTCTACAGGGCGTCCTGAAAAAAATGGTGCATGTAAACTCCTCTATTTTTGCTAATTTACAACCAAAATGTTTACACCATCTTCAAGGTAATGGATTTAGCTTGAGAATACCGTTTGTTTCATTGAGATTGCTTTTGTGAATCCAAAGATATGTTTGAATAACGGCAAAGCCAAGAAACCCATTTTGTGCCACTTTCTGTGAAGCAGTTAAAATCAGTATAGTCCTAGTCTAAAACCAAATCACTTTACTGTTAGCAGTGTTGTAGTCGAGACCGGACAGTCCGAGACCAAGACCGAGACCTGAAGTTGCGAGACCGAGACCAACCCCTTCAAGGCAGACCGAGACCGAGACCGCAATGGTCCGAGACCCAGACCGAGACCGAGACCGCGGATAATAAATAACAATAATCTAAATAAAAAACAAGACACTAATTACAGCTGAACAGTCTGTCCTTGAGATGATGATGTTGATGGGGATGTGAAGGAAGTGATTGAAAGCTAGGAATCACTTGTACCTGCTTAATTGTGTCATGCGAGTGCTCTTCATGTTTGCCTCAAACCAACATGGCAACAGAATTTGTTATTGTCACAATCAATTAAAAAAATTGGAAACAACCTAATTTAAAGAAGGGGAAAACCTAATTTGATGAACTCCATATATTGTTGCCACTTTAAAAAAATAATAATAATAATTAAATATTGTTGAACTACTATAAAGTGTAAATCTGATGAAGAAACTCTAACTTAGGAGTACGACAATTTGTACTAGTTTTTTGCAATGTTGATACTTAACAAAAGTAAAGAGTTCGGAGCAAGAAAATATTGATTTATTTTTTTTTAATTTCAGTCATGGAATATATACTTGTACATGTAGACCCAAAAATTGAGAGATGGTAGCCAGATATGGATTGGTCTACCCCCCCCCCCCATCCCTCTTTGTGATTCTCCTTCCCAGCTTGCATGTTTGTGTGTCCCCTACATGTTTGTTTCTTGTTCCTCTGTCATTTACCTCTGAAGAAGGCCTGGCTAAGGCTGAAATGTAATGCCATTTTATTTTTGTTTAATGTCAATACTATTACATATACTATAGAAGATCGATGAACCATATTTGCCTGATCTATTTTCTGTTAATCTGCCCGCTGTCATCATCGTCATTAGCCTATTTGAGAATATGGCCGACACAATAGAATGGCGCTGTCACAAACTGAATGTGGTGGGCGAGATGTACTGTTAATATTCATGGCTCAGTGCCCACGCCTCTCTGTGTTTTGTACCAGCGTATTTTAGTCATTTACAAGTACGACACATTGCCAATATTTAATCGTTTATTGTGATTGCCGTAAACAGCATTTAGCGATTAATGGAACAAAAGTCTTCTCGACTCATGCAAATGCAATTGACATTTAGGAAGGAGACGAGGCAGGCAATTAGACTCTATTTTTGTGTGACTATGGCAGTAGCTCAATTTGTGTTTATCACAGATGAAAAGATGAATACATGGCGAGTCAAAAAGAAAGTGACAGTATGATCAAAAAAAAGAAATGGCACGCTCCATTTTGTAAAAAAATATAATTGGGATAAAGAACATGTTATTGAGTAGTAACTGTGAACATTTCACGTAATTTGCATTCTCTATTCCCAAGTCGTGTCTATTTTAATAAAGATATCACAAAATTCAGCTGTCCACCACTAATACCAATTTAACGGTCTACGAATTGATGAATATATCCATTAATAAATATAATGGAGAAAAAAAAAACGTTTTTCCCGCCTCCACGAATAAAGGAAAAATTGAAAAGGAAAATAGAAAAAAATCACCAATATTTCTGGGGAAAAAGAGTTGAATTGTTCCCCATAATTATTCAAAACACAAAATCTGACGGTAAAAATAATGTTTCAGTCTTGATTCATAAGATTTAAATCTCAGTTGTATTTGGAGTCAATGAGGATGGCTATAAAGTGCTTGTTTCAACAGATCATCCCACAATAAAAACGAGAAATAAGAAGAGGAGCAATGGTTATTGGACTATGCCTCACTCACTAGAAAGTGGAGAGAGACATGTCCATTAGCATCACACTGCAGTCACATTTGCCCTCAACTGATTCTTTACTTAACCCTAAAAGGGCCGGGGGACGGAATTCGCCCCCCTCACTTTTTGGCTGGTCTTGACTCGAGACCAGCCAAAATATCGAGACCAAAGGGGACCGAGACCAAGACCGAGACCACAGCTTCCGAGACCGAGACTGAGACCGAGACCAGCAAAAAGTGGTCTCGAGACCGAGACCGGTCTCGAGACCTACAACACTGACTATTAATGATTTTAACATTTTTAAGCAGAGTGTGCAATATTTATTTATATTTAATTGAACTCTTTCATTGAAGTTTTAAAGAAGTGAACCTGTCTGTATTAAACTGTTAATAGAACAAAACCCTATATTGTCGTGTGAATGGAATGTTTGTCTTACACCCATAGGGATAATCTTATCAAAAGAGCCATACTGGCATTGTCTGATCTTTGAAGCACTCGCTTCCTAAAAGTGGCACAGAATGTTTTTGTTTTTGGCTTTGCGGTTATTCGAACATATCTCTGGATTTACAAAAGCAATCTTAATTAAACAAACGGTATTCTCAAGCTAAATCTGTAACCTTGAAGATCGTGTAAACATTTGCAGTAAATTCCGGTTGTAAATTGGCGAAAATGGCGGGGTTTACATGCACCATTATTTTCAGGATACCCTGTAAATTTGAGATTGTTGATACGTTGGAAAGCACTACATGTATTTAAGCATTACAATTTATAATTTTTTTTTATTATGAAGATCAACAATTAAATTCTGGGGTCTAAACTTGCTATATCACCCCCCCCCCCCCAAACAAACCCACTGGTTTCGCCTCTGTGGCACCTCGTTTACATATAACAGTTTGTTCTTGATTTGGTTGTGTTTGATAACACTTGTTTACTTACTAGGGGAGGCCACAAGTAAAGTACATACCCTTGTTTTACGATTTTCATTACTTATTATATTTATTACTTTCTGTTCATTTTGTTTTCTTTCGCATTTGTTACATGCAGCTGCTTTTATACGGCAATTTTTTGATTGATTGAGGTAGGAATGCAACCCATCCTACTGGCTAGGGATTGAAAATTATTAATTTTATCTCTCTTTGTCTGGCAAATTCAACAAAACCAACCCAGCTGTTAAAGTCAACCCAGCTGTTAAAGTCAACCCAGCTGCTAAAATCAATTGAGTGACTGGTTTTTAGCAGTCGAGAGCTCCTTGCCTCCATAAAGCAGGATTGTCTGGTTGTGTCTGTTTATGTAACTTGGTATAGCTATGCTTTGTAAGAGATTGGTAAGCCAGCTGTACCTACCAGTTACTTACTTTTGTCTGTTGATGGAATTTGACTAGTCACAGTGGCTACAAGAAATACGATCTGACTGTTGCTGACTAGCCTGTGTACAAGTTATGGGCGGTGAAGTGGACTGAATTTCTGACTGTCTGTGACTGATCAAACAGTAGGAGGGTTTTAAGGGTATAACTATGAAAAATCTTATCTTCACACATAACAAGAGAATCTGCATATTTCGCATTTCCTATAATTTCCTCAGATTCTGGGATTCTAAACACAGAGTGTGGACCTAAAATAGTCTAAAAATTTGGGACTCTCAAAACTATGTATGAAAGTTCCAAAACTTAAGGTAGTAAAAACCTGCAACACAAGAAAATAGACTGGCACATGAAACAACCAGTCCAACACCCCTTTAGTAGTGCATCAATCAACTGTGTCAAAAGAAACATCTGGTACCTAGTCTGTATTTCTCCACATTCTCTATTTCTACACTTAGTCATGCCACCAGACTACTAAAGGGTCAATCTTTTCATAAAGTTGGACATGTACCAGTCTAGCCTTAGGCTTCAAATTGAAATCACTTGGCTTCATGAACTTTCAGGTGAAAAAAAAAATGAAGAAACGTCTCCTTTATAAATTGAATTGAGTCCTCTACCTTGACTGGTGTAATACCGATGACCCGTCTTTACCTCATGAAACTTTTGGAGAAATTGTCCCTATAAAGAGTGAGTAAAGTTGGTCTGATTTTGTTTTGCATGTTTTTACTCAAGGTCCCAATCTGAGCCTAAAATAGATCAATACACATACCTTTGTATACATCCCCAGTTCCATTTTTCTGTAGGGCATTGAAAAGCTGTTTGAAAGAACATCAATTGAAAAACGTTTTATTAAATCTGTTATTACGCTCAATTCTTAAAGATATGCTAAAACAAAACATTGTAACAGGGGAGTAATGAGTGTGCATGCACACAATGTGGGTCATGTTTTAGGGGAAAACTGTAAGTGTAAATGACGACATTATGATTGAAAACATGGGATCCTTTTATTATTAAACCTAACCACCTGCTGTGATTTACTAGGAACCTTCCTCACTCCTGCAAATTCCAACACCATATGGTAAACTGCACACCCAAACTGTTGGACTCTGATTATTGGTGGTATGCTTAACCCCATGTAAAGCATAATCAGTTTACTAGTGCAGTACTCATTCCAACATATTCCAACAAACCCTGGTGTTGGAGTTTGACTGGATAGGGATTGTTAGGGTTACGATTAAGTTAACATCCACCAAACTACTAGGCCCCCAAAAAAACAGTTCTGCTTCTGATTACATGGCATTCGAAAAAAGGGTAGGTACGGTAGGTTGGGATTTTTTTTTTTTTTTGCCTTTTTTTTTTGTGTACGATCATATGGAGACGTCTGCGTGTAGTCAAGGGTAAAAGGTACAAATTGATGGATTGGGGGGGGGGGGGTTCTCATTTTTCCCCTTAAAAAAAATAGGGTAGGGGCTGTCAGAATAGGGTAGGTAGGGAAAACGGAAGCAGAAATCTTTTTTTTTTTTGGCCTTAGTCTACCAACTTTGAGAAACTGGTGTTGTTTGGGGTTTTCTATCTTTGTTTACAATTAGATAGATGTAGCAATAAAGTCTCAAAGTCTGATTATCTTCAGAAGGGATGTAGAGATGTTCTCTTTCTTCAAACTACATTAATTTGTTCACTTACCCGCAATGTTGGAAATCCAGTGTCAATATATTGACTGCATATCTTATTGTTGTTCTGGTCAGCACAATTGAGAGCAGCTACTTTGGCAATGCTCTGCCAACCTGAATGAAAGCGAAAAACAAGATTTAAAGGGAATACATCATTTGATTTTGCTGTAATTTTCAGAAATGGATGGAATTGGGGGGTTGGAAATATATAGCAAATATAGTTACACTGACTTTTTTGAGGTTTTGGGTTCGAAAATGCCATAAAAACCAAGAAAAACAATCATTTTCCTGTAGTCTGGTTCCCTGACTCCATATAAGAAGAAACAGGGCAGTTTACATTCATTGGGGAATTGTAAGGTCAGGGAACCAGTCTAGCTGGCTTGTACCCGTTCATAGGTGTGTAATCGATTGCAAACAAGTGCGATGGTCAATTGGGGCCAGTATTTGAAAAAAAGCCAGTTTTTTTCCAACACTGGTCGGCCGACCAGCGTTGGAAATTGATACAAAAATACCACTTTTCTTGAAAATGACAGTATACCAGGTGCCATGATTTTACAGGATGCTTTACACTGTCATTCACTAACAGTCCAGCAAGGTATTTCAAAATGATTTGGTAGTTTTATTTTTTGATGTTTGCAAATGTTGTATTTTCCCTTTAAGCAAAGGTTTATCTGACATGATCTGACAAACCTGAAGGCTTAGATTATGGGCAATTCCAGCATAATGTAATGACACAGCGTAGCGTTTAAGTACTCAGTGAATAAACCTGAAAATGTATTTTGCTAATCTTAAAATCCATCATCTAGTAATGGTCTAGGAGATTACAGACTAGGAGTTTTGGATCATTTCTCTAAATCATTATTTAGATATCATGGTTAACTGGCTCTGTCACAGACATTACACTTCTTTTCATAACACTGGAACTGCCCTTATTTAAAGGTGCGACGAATTCTGCCACAATTTGCTAATAATTTTCAAATTTTAGATTGGTTATATTTATGTCACATTTTACAGACAAAAGTTGAAAAACCCAGTTTGTTTACATATGACGCAGCAGCAGTTTTGAGCCTTGCAATACATCTATAGGCCTACTTATTTCAAGCATCAATCTTTTTGGAAAGAATGTAGTATCCAGACGCCACTTCTTTGGTTGTGGATCATTTCTCTGACAAACCTGAAGGCTTAGATTATGGGCAATTCCAGCATAATGTAATGACACAGCGTAGCGTTTAAGTACTCAGTGAATAAACCTGAAAATGTATTTTGCTAATCTTAAAATCCATCATCTAGTAATGGTCTAGGAGATTACAGACTAGGAGTTTTGGATCATTTCTCTATTAATCATTATTTAGATATCATGGTTAATTGGCTCTGTCACAGACATTACACTTCTTTTCATAACACTGGAACTGCCCTTATTTAAAGGTGCGACGAATTCTGCCACAATTTGCAAATAATTTTCAAATTTTAGATTGGTTATATTTATGTCACATTTTACAGACAAAAGTTGAAAAACCCAGTTTGTTTACATGTGACACAGCAGCAGTTTTGAGCCTTGCAATACATCTATACTTATTTCAAGCATCAATCTTTTTGGAAAGAATGTAGTATCCAGACGCCACTTCTTTGGTTGTGTACGTACAAAGTCTATGGAGAGTCAAGTGCATTTTCACAGTATTTTCTAACAAAAATGGAAATGTTTCTCAGTCCCAGATTCATGTCTTTTCAACATTTTTGCAATGACTGACCATTGAGATAATATGAAAAAAAGTGGCGTCAGGATGCAACATTATTTGGCGATCGTGTAGTGTAGGGCCCGGTTAGGGAACAAAATCCACTTTAAAATTATTAGACCGACCAAACTAGTTGGCAGCATTCTCAATAAACAGCTATGTCATAGATAGAGGGCAGGGTTTTGATTTTTGAGGGAAATTTGGTGGTAAAATGATCATGACAGCGCGGCGACAACACGCAACCTGAAAATATGCAATCACCGCGCGATGTGCCCTGAGCACGCACGGCGCGCTGAATTGCAAGGCACAAACCGCGCAGGAACATCGTGATTTCTACCCCAAGAAACTGTTCAAAATTGCAAAACGGGTGTCATTAGAATTGAGAAAAGTCTGCTTTTGATTGTAAAGGTGATTTTTGAGCAATACAAAACATTTTTGACTCTGATTTGATCAAAACAAAACAGGAGCCCTACACTACATGATCGCCCATTATTTCCGCGCAGTGTCCAAGATTGTCTGTTTTCTACAGTGCCCCCAATACTAGTAAGATGGTGTCTCCCCCCCCCCCCCCCCCACCCCCTACCCACCCCACCACCTGTTTTCAATATCAAACCCATTCATGGGCCATGGCACAGATCTCTTCACCTTGTTTCACTCTCATTTTCACTCAGTCTCACATGATCAGGATGATGTATTTGTTTACATTACCTTTGATGTCTCCTGCAAATTCTTTCCAAGTTGGAGCAAAATGCACACAATGACCACACCAACTGGAGTAAAACTGGACAAACCAAGCTTGTTTGGAGCCAAAGATTGCTCCTTTTAAAGTGCTGTTGTTGAGTACAGACACGTCATCAGAAGGATCATACAGCGAAGTGCTGCCCATATTTACAGAATTACAAGGCCAGTTCTCAATTGCTAACAAATAAAACACGATCCATATGCAATGTTGGGCCTCCATTTTCATGTGGTGGTGATGGGGGAGGTTACGTACACGTAATCACAATTTTAGTGTTAAAACTCCATATGGAGTTAAAACTCCATATGGACATGATGGAGATAGGCTAGTTGTTTTCCGGAATCGTGTTCGCTTTCCAGATTCGTCACGTAGCCACGTACATGACTGATATGTGCGCATGCACGTACGGTCGTATGTCCGTACGAGTTATCGGACGTAGTCTGGTTCCCATACCAAAAGATTCTGACTATTCTGACGGAGAGTACTGTTGTCCCCCCCCCCCCCCCCCCCCCCCCCCCCCAAGTAAGAAAATTATGTTGCGGAGGGAGAGGGGTGTCTCACAATTTGCTTTCAAATCCATAACAAATAATTGTTAAACCTCCCGGGGGCTGGGAGGTGGTCAGCATTTTGCTTTTACAACTCTTTAGCAATACAAAAGTTATTCAATTTTAGACCTCCAAAAAAAAAATCGCTCACGTATACATTTTATAGGAATATTTACCCTCTACAAATTGCGGCCCCATAAGTTAACGTGGATGCAATAGCAAACTTCAATAAAAACGTATTTTTAGCTTGAAAAATCGAAAAAGTATTCATGTACAAATTTAAAAGTTGTCGCCGGGAGAAAAAAAATCGAACGTGTTGAAGAACACGGGTAGAAAACTGCAGAGACATGGAATGACGCACCCTATAAGCCAGTGCGTCTGCTGGTTTATTCGACGTTCACACCTAAAAAAAAAAAAGTAGCTTCCTATTTTTCTAGCAAGCAATACAAAAGTAACTTATTCACTTTATTCACTCAGATAGCGACCATAAAATTGGCACAAGTCTAGTTGTGAAATAATTACTTAACTGGAATTGGTTGCGGCTCGGAATGGTGCCCCCCCCCCCTCCAAACAGTTGAGGTTTCAGTGACCAGAGCCAGAAGAAAAGGATTCCGATGGCCCTGGCGAGTATGTGGTTATTGACAAATAACATTCTGTTATTGATATAATTCTGACAGTCCATGTCTTTTCCACTCCATCATTTCATGTCTCTTATAATTTTGTTTATGTTGGGGCGGCGGAACGCTTTTCAAACTGGGGGGGGGGGGCAACACCAAAAAGGGGCACTTATCCAGAAGAAGGGGCGCCTTTCCGTGGCGTGAAAGTGATAGCCGATCCGCTTAAAGGCCCCGGAGAAATTAATGAATTCTAGATGCTCTGTGGCGCGATCTAAGGCAATGTCTGACCACTTTAACCATTTTTTTTAATAGATGGTGGTGTACGTCCTGTTGCAACCCCCCCCCCCCCCTGGATCCGTCCTTGGCCTGCGGCACCCCGCAAACCCTCCGCCCCCGGCAGTAACCTCTCTGGGTCCGCCCATGAATTTGACCATGAATTTTATCGCGAGAGGGAGTGCACTGTTGCTTTTGATGGCCAGCTCATTCGCGTGAGGAGGAGCACTATTACTTTTAAAGGCCAGTTTTCCATGAGAGGGGCACAATTTTAATGTTGCGAGTGGGGCACTAATAAAATTGTGCTTTCGAGGGGCAGTTTTACATCTCAAGAAGTTATCGCGAGCGGAGCACAATAGTTTTTGATGGTCAATTTCCCATCTCGAGAGGGGCATTATTTTATTATTGCAGGGTATTTGTGCTTTCGAGGGGTAGTTTTCCATCTCAAGAAGGACCACAATCTTGTTAATGCGAGAGGGGCACTTGTGTTTTTGAAGGGGCAGTTTTTCTTACAAGAGAGGAGACAATTTGCTTTCATTATGTACGTTTAGTGAGGAGCAGTTTTGTTTTCATCTCGAGGGGGCACATTTTAACCGCGGGAGGGCATTTTTGTTGGCCTGGGAAAATCTGGGGGGGGGGGCAAGGTTCCGCCGCCCCCGAGTTGATGTACCCTAACGTGGCGCGGCTCCTAACGTGCAGGTGCACTTTGATTTTTCGCCTAGAGCTAGCGCCTCGCTAATAGAGCATAAGTTTTACCTGAAATTCCATCAAGCTCTAAACATTCCCGTTCATAAATCGTGAGGACATATCTACCCGTTAAAAAAGGTTAGCAGAGAAATTTATTTTGGCGTGATTTTCCGGTTTTATTTCGAAGTGCACAGTGAACCCTTTGAAAATGTGCCAAAAAATAAGAAAATAATTTTCCGACCAACTTCTAGTTGGGTGGGTAAGTAGAGATAACAATGGTTTTATCAACTTTAAATTCTTAAAATTAATGTTCAACTTGCGATCCCCCGAGATTTATTTAAGTGCGCCACGTTATCGAACACTCAGCCGATTTTGTGTCAAATTTCCGGACGCGACCGCTTTTGAATTTCCGACTTAATTTCATGACACTGAAAAAGTTTACAAAGGAAACAACAAGTATTAATAATGGGAAAAGTATCAGTATTAAACTGACTGAATTTGAAGTTTCTCAGCAAAGAGGTTTGGCATGTGAAAAGTCGAGGGAAACGTCGAAGTGCGCGATGTATCATTTCCCGTTTGACGCCGCTAGTACGGGGGACGTATTATGTGCATGTCTTATTCGGTTCGCCATAAATATATTCGAATGATCGATACGAAGGGTGTCGCCCCCCCCCCCCCCAAATACCTCCGATTATACATGTACTTATTTTCCAGTTCAGAGCCCATGAAAAAAAGCGCTATATATTTTTCAGAAACGTAGGCCTACCAATTCAAATTTAGAAACTGCAGACTTTTCCGCCGTTAGGGCCTAAGCAGTAAAATGAAGCGGTAGGAATTTTACGAACACAGGCAAAGAGCTAGGGATGTTGATAAATTTGATTTATATTATCCAGGCCTACGTAGACTGTTCTCTGTGGTTAGTTGCAGCGGTTACAGAGAATTAAGCACTAAAAGCAATTTAGCACTAAAATAAAACGACATGGAGTGGCCCGATGATGTTCTTCGTCTCTAACGTTAAAACAAACACGTTAATGTGAAACAGCGCCATCTCTTGACGGATAACAACAACAATCCCAGCATGCAATACGAAAAGTTTACTTTCGAGAACTTTTGTTAAGACACGTTTCTTCTGCGGATCAAATGATGATATCTGCATATATAACGGAGCATTTTGTTTCATAAAAAAATACGATGGTTCTTTTTCATGCAGCAATCATCGGAATTATTTACAATGAAGCCTCCAGTGTGGAGAGAGCGTTTCGAGATGTGAAAGAGTACAAGTTTCTGAAGAATAAAACCATTGTCACGTCATCGTCTGTTGCCTGTGCTGTGTCGTTGCTCCATTCTGGTCGCCGGATTCCACAATAGAACAAAATGTATTCCATACTATGCGTTGACGCGTTGCTCCGGTATAAATTCAGCGAAATCCATGGAAACATCAGTTGTGTTTATGCTGTGCTTTCAGTGTGGACGCCTTTTTTGGTTCGTGGTGAGAATTTACTGCGATACAATGCGATTTTGCATGATTATTGCGATTCTGCTTTCGGCTTCAGTCGTCAAGACTGTAAGGTGAGACAAATGTTTCATTTTGCCCCCCCCCCCCCCAAATTTAATGAAACTTTCTTGCAAAAACAAATGAAATCTGAATGCTAGGCTATGTTGCCTTCTCCAAACTTACATTTCTGTGCATGCCTCCAATTGCCTTGCCTCATTCAAAGTCACCAAAAAATTACAATTTATAAAAGAAAAAAATTAAATTCAAAGCCTCAAATCAACATGTAGGGCCTAGGCCTAAACACTCTCAACAAGACAACATGTTCAAGCCAAAAAAAAAAGGAAAAAGAAATTGTATATAGGGCCTAGGCCTATTAGCTGATTTGAGGTATATTGTTGCAATGTTAACTTATGAAAGCCAAAACAATATATAGACCCTAACACAAAATAAATGAAAGAAGATCAAGCTGACAGGAAAATTAGCCATGGTTTAGCCTCAAAAGCTTTAAACTTATTTTCAAAAGTTGTGTCACCTTAAAACAAAAAAAGTAACTCTATTTTTTTCCCCAATCTGTTGCAGCCCTGCGGCGACCCTGAGCACCATCTCGGGTCCCATCCAGGGTAGTCTTTCCACCTCTGCCCTGCCTGAAGACTGCCTGTCAACCATTGACTTGAAGGACATTGTCTTTATCTCCGCAGTCCCAATTGCCGCTGGCTTTGGACTGCTCCTGCTCTTGACCTTTCTGCAAGATCTCAGACAGGCATGCAAGGTACAAATCATGATATTTAAAAGTATAGTTGCCTTTACTTCCAAACTATATCCTGACTTAAAGGTCAGCACATTTATTTGTGACTAAGAGTCCTTTTTGTGAAAAGATGTGTTCAATGTCTCTTTCCTTGTTGCAGAGCAAACCTTCCTGCCCATCATCTCCTTGCAACATACAGGGAAACAGGGCCAGAAAGGAACGTGCCTACGTCATAGACATAGACTATACTGGCCGTTCACGTTGGGGTGCATTCCTACGTTGGTGTGCAATGCACAAATCACCTGGTGCAAACAAAAACCCACATCTGGTGAGACTCCAAGGAACAACTGGCTTCAGCGACTGGTAAGTTGAACAAATCAAAGTCTATATCTTTTCATTACAAATGTTCACTGATTTCCAATTGTTGTTTAATGGGAAGTCTACTGATGTACGAAAAAAAAATCAATTTTTGTTTTTTTCTTAATTACAGGCTGTCTTTTGACCTGATTCTTGGAAAGAAATCAGAGCAGAAGACTCTGACCACACTTTGCTCCATCGGTAAGCTCGTAGCTGTGGAGACGAAGTTCTCATCAGCAAGCGATGGACTCCACTCAAGGCTGCGACCAACCTCCAACTTGGGAGCTTGCCTGAGAGGAATTATCAACAGGGCATGTGATATGTGAGTTCCTCACTTACCTGTCTTTTGTCTTATGTCTGAAATAATAGAAATTGATATTTTTCAGCTTTGTATTTACATGTCCCCATGGGATTTTACTCTCTTTTTTTTTTTAATGTAAAGTTGTTTCTTGAAAACAGATGAAGTGCTCTAAACCAAATCTGGAGTATGTAATATTATTTCCATTCCTTTTTCCCAGTGAGATCAACAATATCCATGTCACGGATACCAAGACCCAGGACCATTACATTTCTGGTTGTGGTCCAAGCTGCGGTGGTATTTCATCATCGGACCTAGGAATCACTACTATCCTTCCACTGCTACTCTCTCCCGCTCAGCCAGTATCCAGGGTCAGTTACACTGCTTACTACTTCAAGAATGGCTCTCTTTGGACCTCTGCCTTCACACCTTGGCGCAAGGGTAACTTCACCGGATGCCGTCATATCACCTGCTTGTTTACCTGCATCAGTTACACCATGGTTGCAGTGCAGGTGATGTCGGAGCCATATTTGCAGCCATCTCTGGGAGAGTTTGTGGTGGTCAGTCCCGTAGGTGTTGATATCACCGTGGGAATGATAATTAAAGCAGCAGGTGTGAGTGCCGTACTTTTCCCAGTTTTCATCATGATTGAAGTACTTTGCCGCACAACTCCAACCATTCTGTCATCTTGTGGTCAAAGTGCCGCAGTTCCTTTGGAACAGAGTGGACACTTGTTTGTGGCAGCTGCCAGTGGTACTCAACCAGTGAAAGTTCAGTCAGCTGCTGGGAGCTTTTGTGATAGTGGTGGTGGTGGCGATCTCCAAGAGGAGTTTCCTCAAAAGTCTGTCAGTACTCCAGATATGCAGAGGCAGGGAGCCAGACCAAGTGAAGGTCCTGATAAACAGACCCATGATACTACATCATATTGCAATAATGTTGGCAGCCAGTGTGTCGCATCATCCCAAGATGAGGCTGAGAGACAACTGACTCAGCTCCACATCACAAATGACAACAACAATAATGAAGTGACCATCATTGAGATCCATCCTTGCGATGAACCGTCCACCAGTCTGCCTGTCAGCACCAACTCGCATGCAGTTGTTGATATGGAAACCAGTCAATCTTCATCGAACTCAACTACTACGCAGACTGGGTCCTCCATGATTGACACCGCCAGCAGCCTTGGGGAGTCGGCCAGTGCCAACCAGGATAAATCTTCATTGAACCTGAAGATGTTCAAAGCCGATCTAACGAAGACAACCAACAAGCATTGTTCAAGACACTGCAAGCTGATTCTGGCAGCTTTTGGTCATACTTTGCTTATAGCAACCTGTGTGTTTGCCACACTGTGGTCGGTGTCATCCTTCCACGGTCTCTGCTGGAATGCCTTCTGGGAATGGGTGGCAACTTCCATCATTGCCATTCTCATCCAGGCTGTTATCTTGGATACAATCAAGGCTATCATTGTGACTGTCATGAAAAGGCGTGATGACAAGAGAGCTACTACATCCACGCCTCACTCCCTTATTCAATAAACTATATTCATGGCCGTTCAGCAGATATAAGGCTGTAATGTAACAAATAATTCATCCACGATTTTGAAAAATTTATCCTACAGAATGTTTAGGACCAATGAATGGTGGTAATTTTACTTCAAAATTTGAAATGAATCTGATCTGATTTCCTCAATATTAAATATTCTTGTTCAAATCAACAAATCCAAAGTGTGACATTTTCAGCATTTGTAGCCCTTTCTTATGGATGGTCAGATATAGTCTGTCTGGGAGGGAAAGTCCATTTAAGGAGGCCTCCGCGACACTTCTTCTTGCAGAAGCATATACATTAAAAATGGATCCTCTGTCATAAGAGAAGCTGCTTTAAAATTGGCAAGATTCACTTGCAATGATATGTGGACAAACAAGCACTCAAAAACTTTGGGGGGAGGAGGGCTCCAGAACACAGTGAAGTAGATCTAATAGCACGGCCTTTCCTAGTTTAATTAAAGCTGTAAAACCACCCTAAATGGGTTAAAATTCATCACTGTTTTCACGAAGAGCCTAATATGTCAAAAATTACAATTTTTTGATGTTTCAATTTTTTCACTATTTTGCTTTAAAACATTGTACTTAACCATTTTGACATGTTTCTGTAAGCAAAACATCTTTAATTTCCAAATTATATTAAAGATATAGTCCATTATTTGTAATTTGTGCATTTTGTTCGTTTGGAGCAACAAAAGTGTTCAAAATCTAATGAAGGATACTGAACAACTAACCTGATGAAGTTTCAGCTCAGCTTCAGCTGTATATTCCGAGAAAAACAGCATTCTAGGATCTCAATTTCAAATCAAAAGTTGCTGAATCATGTTTTGAATTGTTTTGATTTGCAGCTATACGCGATGTCGCGCACTGATCTGACGAATTATAGCAACCGCGCGCGCCTGTGCGTCATGCCAATGCTTGCGCGCGCTGCGCCGAATAACAAAACAAACTACTAATTTAAATTTTCCTACGGTGGTCTTAAGACGCACCGTTGGAAAGGCCTTCTTTCGTTGATTACTTCAAAATAATAGCTTGCCAGAAAGATTAATTTCACAGGGAGTTTAGTCCACTTACTATCTTTCAACCAAGTATGTTTTTCAACAATAATACGCCAGTTACTTTTTCGGATGGCTGCAAATGATGGACTATAGCTTTAATGATGTAAGGGGCAGAAATCTTGATTTTGCGTTTTCACGAAGTGCCACATACATGTTGGCCCCTTGAACGCGTACAAAACCTATTGCACGGAACCGGAAAGGCGTAAAAGTAGGTCAACTGAGATTTTCTTTTTCACGAAGAGCCACATATCTTTGTTACATTCTCAGCTGCGCACGTACTCACGCGTGCCCCTTCCATATGGAAAAACACATTGAACAGAAAGGGCCAAAATGTGGCCTATGTTAATGTTAGCAGCTCAGGAGATATATTTTTTATTGCTCTAGAGTTATGATCATGTCATCGTCATTGAAATAAAGTTGAAATACTATAGAAACAAAGTCAGATCCAACAATCTTGAGCCAAAAGCATATTTGTCAGTCAAGTTGATTTTGTAATAAAAACTAAAAAAGGAATTTAAAATGACATACATTTTTGCACAAAAGTCTTGTGAAATAATTTTAAAGAGTACAAAAACTCAGATGATTTTTTTCTTGAAACTTGCTTAATCCTTTCAAACAATAATGTTCTGCTTAAAGAACTTTTTTGGAAGAGCTATTATTCATCAGTATCTTGCATAATTAAATGTAATCAGGGATGTCCAGCTGTGCAGGGGATGAATAAAAGTAATGGAAAAATCGTAACAAATTTGTGTTCTGCTAAAATTTACTAATAAAATGTGTGTTTGTTGCCCTCTTTGTTTTATGAAGTCAAGAGTGTTCTCATAAACTCTCAACCCTTTTTTCAATTTGTTTTAAATTACCACCAATTTTGCATACTCTTTGGGAAGTAACACCGCCAAAATGGTGATTGTTGAAGAAAAAAAACTCTGAAAGTGTATTACAGTTTTTCCTTTGTTTTCGGTCAATAAAAGGAAGCCCTACTGAATCTAGCCCATGTTTACAAACGCAAACATTAGTTTTAGATCAGTGGATGAATAGACGGGGAGTATAGTCCCCCCCCCCACCCCGCTAGGACCCTCCCCAATGCCATCGAATTTATGTTTTGGTTTCCACTTTCATAATTCTATAAAGGGTGCAGACCAGTAAATAGCCTCAAATTTTCCAAGTTAGCCAAATCCAACCACGCCCATAGGCCTCCCAGGAAAACGGCAGTTGAAGTCGAAAGAATTTTTTTCGTCCTTCATAGGTCCTACACTCTTGAGCCTCGCGTCACTTAATAAAGGTGTGTGCTCCGTGCTTTTCTGCTCTTCCAAAAAAAAATCCTAACAAATATTTCAATATGTATGTTTTGTTTTAACGGAAAAAAAAGTACTTATTTCCGATTTTGGGCGTCTGCAACCCTCTGAAAAAGGGCTTCCAATTTTGCGCATGAATAAACCCGTCCTGCGAGAACCAGTTGAAAAAAATAATAATTTATCATGGGGTTAAACACTCGAAAAAACATGGGGAATACAACTTAAAGTCTCTTACACAAGTACCGGGTCAGTCCATATCTTTTACTGCGTCATTTCTTGTCTCTCATACCCTGTACCACGTCATCTTATATCCTAGTGTCAGCAATAGTTTATCATAATTTGAATATCATTGTGTTGTTTTCTTCAAAACTCTATAAACCTAATGGAGATACCTGCAATTGGGGATAGTCTTATTTTCCATTTCGAAAGTCTTATTTTCCAACGAAAATCAATGACGTTTTTCTTCGAGACGTATACTATACAGGCGCGGATCCAGGGGAGGGCCGCGGGGGCACGTGCCCCCCGTCAAATTTGAGTCCCCCCCCCCCAAAAAAAAAAGGAATAGAAGGGGAAAAAGAGGGGAGGTGAGGGAAGGAGGAGGGAACCTCCTTACAAAAATACCGGCGCCGATATTAAACATGAGTCTGCAAACATTGCGTACTCGACTCGAGAAGCTTCGAAATAAACCGCGATCCCATCGTACGTACCCCGTACCGTACTACATGTACTAGTACGTACGTATGTACGTATTACCCTGCATATACCGTTATTAAATGCGATTCATACGAACGTACATGTATACACGATTTATTCTCTACGAACATGCAGCTTTATGTGCGCGACAAACACACGTTGCGCAGGACTCTTTGGACCACACCATTGGTCAAGGGTGTGTTTTAGTAAAAACAATTTGCCAGCAGTTCCACGCGCTTTTTAATTACAAATTATACTTTTTTTCACGGAGTCCAAAACATGTCCTTGTTTTAAATTGACTTCTTCAACGTCACGTCATCATATAATTTTCGTAAAGACTTTATTCGAGAAACGATGTAAAACCCTGAAAAAATTGAAACACCCCTGAAGGTCATGGATCCGTCCATAAAACGTTTTTTTAACGAAGAAAGTTGAGATCCAAAAGTTGGGTTTTGACGTTACTACGCGTTGCAGAAAATATAAATCTGATAAGTTTGGTACATAAAAGAGATCTGTTTGTCTGAGGACAAAAACAATCAGCAGTTATTGCCCAAAGGCAAGTTTTAGCACTCGAGACATGCTCTTGCAAGCTAGACGGAACGCAAGTGTGTTGCTTTTTGAATGGCAAGCGAGATAAATTTAATCGTAGTTCGCCGGTGGCGACGCGGGCCGGCATCCGTGCCGGACCGGGAGGTATACACCTATTCCCGATGTCTATTTCTCAACGTTATCATCAACAATTATTTACTATAATTTTTTTTTACATAACTAAATGACGAATCCACCTTCAAAATTGTACCATGCGGAAATTGCAATCATGGCGCCGAAAGACCCGATGTCTATTATAATGTAAAGACCAGACGCAGTGTCTCACACAATTTGTCTTGCTGCACCGCCGATCTGCCGATGGTTTATTTACAAATACATGCACGTGTAATAGGCCCTGTTCTTGATATTGAAACTGGACTGAATTAAAAGAACATTTCTTTAAAATGTTTGGGCATTATTTTTACATCATGCAAAAAAAGAGGGAGAAACTTGGATGACCGTATGATTAATTTCTGTAGTCATGAGATAAAACTGAGCTGTGAAGTTACAATGCAGGCTAATTGCTCCTCTGTTTTAGTTTGATTAAATTACACTAATTTTAAACTTAAATTCAATTAACATGTTCAAGCGGTTTCTTCTTGTTGATAAACTGAAAATTTCAACTTGAAACAAAACATTAGAAAGCATCCTTACACCAGTTTACAAACTAAGTTTTTACAATTCCTTTTTCAAAAAAATATAATGCACGAAGACATGCAGACGAAAATACATGGTATCAAGTGAAGAACAGAAGAAACTGAGAAGGCTTGTAAAAGCAAGATTATATTTTAATCAATGAAAAAATCTTATAATCTTAAAACAATTTACTCAAATAACTCTGGGGAAGAGGGACCAGGAATTGCCTCAGATTGCACCACAGAGCATCTAGAATCCAAAATTTCCCGGGCCCTTAAGCGGGCCCCGGACCCCACGCCGAAAGATGATCGCGCTCCGCACTGGTCTTCGGAAAGATGCCCTATACTCATCCTTGCAAGATACAATTCTTTTTCAAAAATAAGCACGGAAATAACTATGCAGACGAAAATGTTTGGTTATACAAGTGAATAACAGAAGAAACTGAAAAGGCTTGTAAACGCAAGAGTATATTATAAACCAATGAAAAACATCCTTATAATCTTAAAACGTTTTGCTCAAATAACTCATGGAAAATGGGGCTAGGAATCCCCTCAGAATACACCACAGAGCATCTAGAATTCTAAATTTTCCGGGGCCCTTAAGCGGGCCCCGGATCCCACGCCGTAAGACAGGCGTGATCCGCCCTCGCATTAGTCCTCGGAGCAAATGCCACAACACATCGTTGCAACAGTTTACAAAACGAAGTCAATACAATTCCTTTTCCAAAATAAAAAGCAAGAAAATATAAAGACGTAAAATGGTTTTCGACTTTCAATTAGCACACAGTAACTTAAAAATTGTAAAAGTAAGAGTATGTTTTACAAAAATCCTTAAAATGTTAAGCACTTTTGCTCAACTAATTCAGGGGAAAGGAGCCAGGAATCGCCTCAGATTGCACCACAGAGCATCTAGAATCCAAAATTTCCCGGGGCCCTTAAGCGGGCCCCGGACCCCACGCCGTAAGGGCTTCGCGCTCCGCGCTCGCATTAGTTCTCGGAGCAAATAATTTTGCTCCAACAGTGTGCCCCCCGTCTAAACAAATCCTGGATCCGCGCCTGCTATATACCAACAAAGAATGAAGACTTTCCAATGTCAAGAGGTAAAATGAAACGGCAGATATCATCCACCTGCGGCGGATCTAGAAGGGGGTGGGGGGTCCTCCTTAAAAGCATGTTCAGCGCATTATACTAGTACCGACGTCGGTAATTTTGAGAACTTTATTTTAATGAGAGGCTTGCGCATCGCCTGTGTCATTTTACGCTCGATGAACGTTGGAGGGGGGGGGGGGGCGTTTTCGGCGGCCCGGGGGGCTCCCCCCTTTCTTTCGAGTTAGGGGAGATATTATACAGTTAGGTAAGAATTAGGTATAAGAGTTGGGAGTCCAGTAGAAAGTTTTGTCTCACTTCCTTTGGTTAACTGTCACCCCAGTTGTACTGAACAATAAGCCGGAATTGAAGATGAACCTGTGTCTGTGTCTCTTCTTTTGGTTAGTTAGGTTATGGCATGTATGTTAGAAAGCTCACCCTCTTGTAATTTAAAGTTAGAATCAGCTTTTTACAGTTAAGTGTGGAAAGTGAAAGTGATGTGTAGAGTTAGTGTGTTAGTTTGAAATAGAACACACATGCTACTTTTGAGAAAAGGTTGAAGATTTTTGAGCTTGTCCGACTACAACTTTGTTGGCCATTGACAAACTTAGGGCAATTTTGCCTACTGTTAGACACAAATCAGGTGTCTAAAACTGACAGCTTTATGTCCCCCCCCCCGGCCCCGTGACCACTTATCGCCCAACTTCAAAAAATACGGACAAATATCGGAACTCTCAAGCCCGGTTCATACTTCACGCGAAAGCTTGTGCGAAACGAAATTCATGTCGTTAACAATGGTGGACGCGCTTCGAAGGTATTGTTGACGTCACGAATTTCGCTTCGCTTCCGCTTTCGCGTGAAGTATGAACCGGGCTTCATGCGTGATGGAGACACACCACACAACTCAACTTTTCTGTTCATTATTCTCCATTGAGAGATTGAACGAAGAAGCGGTCCACGCGCGCCCAGTATAATCAATTTACTTTGTTGCCACTCCTCCTAATTCAGCTTAGACTTTACTCAAGTCGGACTTTTTGATATCCACAACACACTCAGTATTTAGTACCCTCTCACAAGTGGCGCCAGCCGCGCCGAGTACCAGTTATGACCTCTCACCCCACGCGGAAAATAGCGTCTGCTACTGTAAACTGCAAGACGACGTTGTTTGTTAACAAAAACTGGTCAACAAAAACACCCCGAATATTACTTTCTCCAGTGATTAACATTCCAACCATCAAGGAAAATGCCAGGACAAGAAGCACCCAAGTCACAAGGCACCCAGACGGGGGCGATTCCGTTCACGTTATGGCTGGATCCAGCGTATATCGAGTACGTGCGATCGGGTCTGTTGGTGCTGGTTTTCTTAGCGGCGATGTGGACGCGCAGCAGGCGGACCTGGATCCTCGTGGACACGGTGGCCGTCTTCGCGTTTGGCCTGGCCTTCATGTTCATCCCGGACAAACTTCTTGGCTTCCAGGTTAGCGGCTTGAGCTTGGTGGAGATCGTGATAACGTTAATATCACGTTGATCATAGTGAAGTTGTGCTGTCAATTTGTTAAAGATAGTGATTGATTGATTTATTAATTTCAAGATAGGCTACTAGTAGTCCGAGTAACTTGGACCCAACTTATCGCCTTTTTAAAAATTTGGACATGGTCTGGCGATATCGCCAGACCATGTCCAAATTTTTAAAAAGGCGATAAGTTGGGTCCAAGTTACTCGGACTAGGCTACTAGTACTTACTAGATTAGCAAGTAGGTTAAAGAATAAGAACAGAAACAGTGATTATTGTGAAATTCTATGCTGAATGAAATAGTCATATAGTGGTAAAAGTGTACTCTCCAAAAAGGTTTAAGACCCATCCCCCACTTTTATGTGAATTTTTTTTCTTATTGTATTATCCTCTAAGTTATAGCTCTTCAAATGACTTCTCTACCTGTACAATCTACAACTAGGGCCTACTCAGGCTACTGCCAACGACTTACAAGCATTTTCTTTTTAATTCTAGTGACCCCAGTCATGCCAGTTTTGTAATTTTAAACAGTTGTTTTAAGCGTGATTTTCAGTGGTGCTTTGCATACCAATGTGGGTTTCGAGTGAACTCGGTCCCAAACCAACTGTTGGGGGGGGGGGGGGAGGGAGGGGGGAGGGGAGGGGGATTTTGATCGGGGGGAGGGGGATGTTGATCCTGACGCCACTTTTTTCATCATATATTATCTTAATGAAGGTCAGTCATTGCAAAAATGTTGAAAAGACCTTAATGTGGGACTGAGAAACATTTCCAATTTTGTTTGAAAATACTTTGAAAATGTACTCAACTCTCCATAGACTCTGTACACAACCAAAGAAGTGGCGTCTGGAAACTAAATTCTTTCCGAAACTGCTCTAGCAAGGCACTAGGGGCAAAAATCTAATTGCACCACATGAGGGGCTGAGAGACCTTAAATGTATCCAACCTTTGTTTGCGTACATTTATTTTTTTTACAGGAATCTAGTTGGCCTTGGACCGAGTTGACTGTGGACTTTGGGCCAAGGGCGTCAGTTGCTTCTCAAAAGTGGGGGGCAGACCTTGATCAGAACCATTGCGAGTGCGAAGCGCAAAGCGCGAAGCAATAATAGCGTGGGGTTCAAGGCCCGCTTAAGGGCCCCGAAAATTGTGGAATCTAGATGCTCTGTGGTGCAATCTGAGGCAATTTCTGACCACTTTAACCATTTTTTTTTTTAGCAAAAGATCATCATTTCAACATCATTTTTGAGTTTGGAGTCATTGAATCAGCTATTCTGAGCTATAGAATCATATGTCATGTATGTAGGCTACAATTTTACGAAAAAAGTGGGGGGGGGGGTGACAAACGATATGATATCCCTCACCTTTTAAAAGTAATTTTAATTGTAATATGCTTAACTTAAACTTTGTTAAATAAACATCTTTCCCAGATTAGATTTCTAGCCTTGTAGTGTGTTCTAATTGAATGCTATTTCCCTTTCAATTGGAATTTGTGTATAAAGGATTTAGAATTCATTAAACTCACAGTTGATTTAATAACCTTTGCTGTCTTGGCAAATTTCAGGTGGAAAGTAAAGTCAAGATAGAGGGCGTCATGGTGATGTTGTGCCGAACCTTTGGTTCCTTTATGATTGGTTCTGGGTTCTCCTGGTTCTTCCTTCGCAAGTCGACTGACAACTACACACAAGTCATGCTGTTAGCTACCAGAATTGTGGTAAGGTACTGATAGATAGGGATCATACTAATTGACGTAGACACACCGTAAACACATACATGTTTACGTTACATACCTAGTGTGGACATTCCTTTGTTTTCGTGTACTAATCTTTTACAGCTGTGGGATAATCCTTGAGAAACCCACCTCCACACGGTCCCCAATGATCCCATACATCACTGGCGAAACTTCACACTCACTTGACATCAATTCTTCAAGAATTTGGGAGGCTGCTGTAGCCACATGGTGTAACTGGGCGCTGCCATTTTGACAACGGTTAAGTTGCCCAAATCAGTTCTGCTTTGCCGAACACTGTTGGTTAACACTCAGCAAACATTCAGAAACTGTTCGTACCAGAACACAGCCCAGTGCATTCAAGTTCAAGAATTACCTGTGAATTCAAGACAAGAATGACATTATGTGATTTTTCTCGTACTGTCTTTTACTTTGATACATGTAAACCCATACGAGAAAAAGTATCAATTTTCTTTAATGACAGCTGTTATGTGAAGTACATCCTAAGTAGAATTTTAAGCAGGACAGACGAAAAAAAAAACCAAAAGAGGGGAAAAAAAGATAGGAAAAATTGAACTCATTTATCATCATATAATTCTTGTTGGTGTTTTCCATGCAGGGAAATGCTGCTCTTCTCATAGCGATGTACGTGGCCAAAACGCAGGATAAACTGTTGAATGACCAAGTAAGTGCGCAGACAAAACTGATTTTAGTTTTTTAATAAATTTGTATTTGCCATAGTTTGGGTTTTTTTTTTTGCTATAAAACACAGCCAATGCTTCGCAACAATAGGGTACCAGCTAAAAAGCCATCTTTAATTAAAACAGTGTATTTTGTCATCATTTGTATCAGTTTGTGCGGTTTGGAGTCTTGGGCGCTGTCCTGTGGACCCTCGGGAGTGCCCTGCACTTTCTGATGGCCAAGAACTACGGTGGTCACACCCAGCTGGATAGCTGGCTGAACCTGCATCTTAGGATTGACTTCTTCCTGACGCTGATGTTCGGTCTGTTCTGGTATGCTTACCCCCACCTGGTTATCAAGATGCATGCCCCGGTAAGTACACAAAGAAAAACTGCCTATTAGCTGTTTTCCCATTAGAACTTTTTTGATTAACCTATTGCATCTTTCCCGTAGAATTACAAAATTAAGTCTAATGGAGACAGCTGGTGAACTAACATCCCTGTCAACTTACCGCGACCGTGATGTAAAACTACCAGGCCAAAAGTGATTGCAGAAGATTTCCGTGCAGTTACTGTAGATTAACAGGGATGCTGATAAGTCCAGTGAAAACATCCTCACACTGTACAACTACAGCGACCACGCTGGAAATCTACTGTGAAAAATACCTTGCAAACAACGTCACTTCCTGTATTACGTCCTGTATTTACAGCATGCGCGCAAAATGTAAACATGATGGTGGTATGAGTTCCTGTTCCCTTGTGCATAGTACAACGTCCAACGTACACAACTGATGCAACGGAAATGTCTTTTCTTGTCCGTTTGCCCCACTGTAAACTGTCAAAGGGTCAAAAGTTATTGTGCGCAGCGCCCGCAATCTGTGACATTTGACCAGCCATGTATGGCGATTGAAGCATTCTGTCTGTGTTGAAAAAGTCTAAGTGGGAATGGCTGGTAGAAATACCCAAAGGAATGTTGACAGTAAGTTGCGGGAAGTTTCCGTGAGACCGCAGAAGAGAAGTCCTATGGTAACACAGCTATTGAAACACAAACTTGTTCCAGGGAGAGAGTAAAGAAACAGCCTGTGCTTTCAATTATCTACTGTAAGTTGGGTTTAATAAATTTCCCTTCACTTGCTTTTTATTGCTGAATTTGCACAGTCCAGTACACATAAAACAATTATCTGGTGTGAAAGTTATAAACTTCCTGGGCTTTGTAGACCCACTGAGGCAAATTCTGCCATTGTTTTTTTCTCATGGTTCAAGATTTCATTGAATCCTCTGCACTGGGATGATTATTCCTACCCTGTTTTGCTATCAAGCTGACAAGTATGAGCAAAGATGACATGCTAGTAGTTATACATGTGTATTTAAAGGTAGAGTACATCATTTGTCATTTGAGAATTTTTTTTTTCATTTGAAGCAACGAAAGTGCTCACAATCTAAGAAGGGTGCTTATTTGTAACAACTAACCTAATGAAGTTTCAGCTCAGTGAATGCTGTATATTCTGAGAAAACAATATTCTAGGATCTTGATTTCAATTCAAAAGTTGCTGAGTCATGTTTTGAATTGCGCCTGAAATCAGCATCTGGGACACGTTCTCATTCAGCCGATTGCAGCTACGCGATGTCACGCGTTGAACCGACGAATTATAGCAACTGGGCGCGTGTGTGCGTTGTGTCAACGCTTGCGTGTACTCATATATGGCGTCGCCGAATTAAAATCGAACTACTAACGGAAATTTACAAAAATGCGTCTTTAGACGCATCGTTGGAAAAGTCCTTCTTTTATTGCTTTCTTCGGTGACAGCATGCCAGAAGGAATAATTTCACAGGGAGTTTAGTACCATTAACATCTTCAAACCAAGTCTGCTTTTCAACAGTAATTTTGTCAGTTACTTTTTGGATAGCTGCAAATGATGTACTCTACCTTTAACCCTGTACTGGTGTTTATTTCAGTCCCTTTATTTCATGGCTAGTTTATAACCTTCTTCAAGTGTACAAGACTCAGTATAGGACATCACAAAATACAGCAGTTGCAATAGTTGAACGTCGTTGCAACTTCAAAAACTATTCTAGAGTGAAGATGCTCATTACCCCCAGAATATTCACCTATTCACAGGTATTCACTTGTCTTCTCGGGCTCCTTGATAAGACAATATAATGCCCACCCATATTTATCAAAAACACCACTACATTTGATTTAACTTGTGCTGATAGACTGAAGGTGGCTGGGTAGGCTCAACAGGTATTAACACCTGCTGGGTCTGTAGCTGAACTTGTTGTGTCTAGTTGTGAGAAAAGTATCCACCTCTAAAAAATCATTAAAAAAAAACTTAACAGAGAACTTGTGTTGGAGAACAATGTGTATGCTTCTGTGTTGACAGGGTGCTGGAGTGAAGGTCAATGGCATCCATGTTCTTGTGGAGCAATCAGTAGGAGCCATGCTGATTGGCTCGGCCATTCTGAGCGCTGTCGCTCCGGGGTTCATGTTCCACGAAGACAAGAGAAACGTCCTGCTCTGTAGGATCCTGGTGAGTGGGCAGCCATCTTTGTCTTGTCTCCCGAGCAAACCAATATCACAGTATACTGAATTTAAATCCAGACAAAGGTCACCACACTACAACTATTTAGTGATAATTTGCCTTGATCCAATGGTTATAGTGCCTTATCCTTATCATCAATGGCGGAACATTTTATCAACAATCTCAAGGTGTTTTACAATTATTACCCCGTTCATCAGGCCATGAGACCATGCGGTAGCCAATATCAGCGCGCATTCACCCTCTACCCTCACAGGTACCCATTCATACTCCTGGCGGGGGAGAGGCAATTGTAGTTAAGTGTCTTGCCCAAGGGCACAAAACCGTGTTCCTGGCAGGGTTCAAATGCACACACCATCGTTCATGAGTCCAACACCGTAACCACTGTACCATGGCATTCTACATGAGTTTGAACCCCGATTGGGTTCATTGTGCTTGTGTGTTCTTGGGCAAGACACTTTACTGCAATTTCCTCTCTCCATCAAGGGAAACAGGTAACAGTCAGCAAACATGACAGATTGAACTGATCTTAAACTGAACTGACAAAACTGAACTCATGGCCTGAGGAATTGAGGGGGAAGATAATTGTGAAGCACTTCTAAAGATTGGCATAAAGTGCTACATTATAAAGTATGATATTTATTATTTGTTTTCAGACCATCATCATGGTTGTCATAACAGCCCTCTCCTCCGTGGACCATTCCGACATTGACAAGAGCGCCATGCTTGCCCACTTGGTGGGCGTGGCCTGGATCATCAATGCTGGGCTGGGCTACTTTGCCCCCCATGAAACAGATGGGTACTGGAGCAGCCGGAAGAGGGCCAACAAGACGGACTAAAGGGGGTGGAAAAGGGGGTAGGATTTGGGGAGCTTTGTAGTCCAGTCCTTTTCCAATTCTGTCAAGAATTCTGAATATAAAATAACAGTCAGAATTTTAACTGTATTTTTAACCTGATTACTTTGGTCATTCTATAAATTCAGGGTCTACATTTTTCCTGACCCTGTTACATCAGATATCTGTGATTTTATAAATTCTGGATGTACTCCTTAATGCAGTCGTCCTCCAAGAGTGAGTAATTAAAAATCATTTGAAGTCATTTTTAATGATACTTGAATGGCAAGTTACAAAGTTGCAACTTTACAGGGACAGGAAAAATGTCACACTTTGGACCCTAAATTGATAGAATGACCATTTTGCCCCAAAATGTAGGCTGACAATGTCCGAGAATTCACTAACAAACTCGGACTTGAGTATGAGTGTGTCCTACTCTTGTATTCATACTTGATATACTCAGTCAACCTAGCACCAGTGCTTAGGTTTGATTTACTGGCCTACACCCTTGAATATTGAGGGATTTGGAAAAGAACATGTCTACGTTACTGGTGTTATAGAGATGGGTGTTTATAGATTGGTGAGTAACTGGGATCCTGGAAAAAGATCACAAATGACGTTCATCTCTCGAATTTCACAATCAGGTATGTCACTGAATGCAGTTGGAACATTGTCAAGCCAATGGATCGATTCAACATGAAATAACTTGTACACTGTTTAAATAATCTTGTTTGTACAGCTGTGAAAAAAAGTACTAATCAAAACCGAGATTGGTAAATATCACTTGCAGAGATGCCAACCATTACTCTTTTGGAGTAATTACTAGGATTTTGAGGCATGTTACTACTCTTGAAAATTCCAGCTGTCCTAAATGCCAACATTGTGGTTACTCTGAAAAGTACTGTGGTTACTCTTAAACTTGACTGTTGTCCTATGTATTTACATTAGAATTACTCTTTGCAGGAAGAATCATTACTATTTTGTAGTCTGTAAAGTTGGCATCTCTGCGCTTGTTTTCATTCAATTGAACCTATAGAATTGAAACAAACAAATGGTTTAATTTAGGTGCTGGGGATTTTTGGCAACCCCCCCCCCCACCCCCCAAAAAAGAGAAACATAACTCACATTAAGGTTTTTTGTTTTTTTAATTCTTTGATTAAATTTTGTCTGGAGAGCCATTGATTGCAGGGCTTAATTAGTGGAGAGTTGCATATTATTAAGTGGGTGGCGGTCTTCCGGGGCGTAGGTTTTTAAAAATATTTTTTTGCTCATTGAAATGTAACCAGCAGGAAATCAACATGGCTGCATTGTTTTTAAACGGTTATTTAAGATGTGATAACATTGCAACATCATCATTTTTGCTTTTGTGTAAATTTTAAGCCTCTTAGTGAAATATTTTGACATTGCTTAGAAGTGCGTTCTAAGTTTAGTTGTAACACACTAATTATCCATCAAAATGAACAAAGGTGAGGTACCCAAACATTATGGTTACTTCCTTTGTAAATATAGTAGAAAATAATTTACTTCGTAGAGTAGTTTTGTAATATTTTTACCACTAATATGATAATTTTTGCTGTACATTTGTGTTTAAGTGTTAAGGGGATGTGATCAAAACGAAATTGGTAGATCTCGTGTAGCATTAGAATTGTTTCATTGTTTTAAAGCCACTTTTATTTTTGTTTTCTGAAAGGAATGTGGATTAATAACTTTCTTCTTTCCCTGCTTGCCATTTTTAAAACATATTTCTTAAAGCTGTATATAAATCGGCACAGTAAGAAGTAGTTTTGTTTGTAATTTTAATCATGTTCCCATTAATGGTTTAAAGTCATTTGCTGTTAAAATACATGTAGATGACAGTGTCAAAAGTCAAGCAAGACTGCCCTGAAACAATGCCATGTTGACACGGCAAATGAAATAGGTTTGGCACTATAGCATCAGGAATTTCTGGACTGGTTGCAATATTATCACAGGAGTGTTGTATTGTTACCTATTACATGGACATATTTTTTAAATATTAGCACGTATGTGTTCTGTCACCATGATTGAGCTTAAAGTTGGAAATTGTCATTTTGCAGTACAGTGAGGCAAAGCCAAATTTTGAAGGGGTGGTCGCTTTTTTTGTTTTCAGGAGAATCTCAATCTGTTCTACCTTTCCCATTTTCCCCTGTTTTATCAAACATCTTTAAAACCTATTTTCATCCTGTTTTATAAGTTGACTGTTCATGCACTGTGATAGTCTGGTTCCCAGACCAAAAGATTCCGACTATTCCTGATGAATCTTAGGTCAGGTAGCCTCCGGTAATACAATGTATTACAATTTACATCACGTGACTAAAACGGGAGGAATTCCTCCTTTTTCCGAAACTGTCCGAAGTTTGCCGAATTCATTTCGTCGACAATCGGATAGTGTCCGAGTATTTCCGAGTATAATATAGGTTTTATTAACTGCTAATTGCTTATTAAAAACTTTTAAAAACTAGTTGATAATTAATATCCATTGCTTTTATTTAGAAAACTTGAAATTCAACGACGATTTTGCACTCGGATCGTATACGAGGGGCGAACTTTTTGCTGCGTCATGCACTAGTTTGAATTTGACGACCGTTACCGGCATTTTCCAAAACGCGGCGTGGTCTCAATTCGGCTCCGCCTGCTAACAGTGCTGTTTGGGTGTCCAACTTTGAAGATTCCAGGTTAAAATTAGTCAATGTTTTTTTACAGAAGTATTAAACTGTATATCATAACTGTATGATATATGAAGCAAGTGATTTATTTTTAAAAAAATTATCGGAACATTAAAAGCTTTATGTGATAAAGCGAATTCGGAAACGAAGTCGAGCTTTGAAAAAGGGCCGTCAATGTCGTCATGTTTATTTTTAGCCACGGAGGCTGCCTGACCTACAATTTAGACGTGTAGACGTCGGGGGAAATTGTCAGGTCAGGGAACCAGACTAGCACTGTGATACAACAGCAGGATCTGTAAATGGCATTTTTCTCAAAAATAATTTTTTCAATTTCATTTAATTGGGGTCTATATTTCCGTTACCGAACTCAGTATCCCCAAGTGTTGTATACCATTAGAAATCTCTTGTTTTGCAGAATCCAGAAAGTAATATTTCTCAATTCTTAAAAACTCAAAATTTATGCTCATTTGTTGGTGACAGCTCACATATAAGGAGTGCAATAGCATGTGCCATCCATGTGATAAGTCTTTGGGTTCTTGTATGATGTATACTAATGTGAATTACATTTGACTGATTTTCTCAGCGCCAATTTGAAAGTTCTACAGTGGGCCCAGAACCTCCTAACAAGTTCTGTCATATTCACAGAAACCAGCAAATATCCATTGTCAACAGAACACATTCATCAATTTTTTTTAAGTTCAGGAACTTTAGAGGTCTCATTTTTCTGGTGGGGACTCTCGGTGGGTTTACATGATAAAAGAGCGGGGTGTAGGCCAACCTCGTCCCTGTGACTTCGAGTACACTCCTACTAGCTACCCTCTTGCCCTGGTATTGGATCATTGCATGTGAACAAAATCTTTAGGTACAGAATAGTCTGGTGCCTGGCCATGCTTTAAATCAGTGTTTGTTTTTGTATGTGGTATCCAGGGTATAGATTGAATCAATTCATCGTTGCTTGAAATCGGCAAACACAGTTGTTATATTAAAATCTTAGCAATCAAACCTGCAGTATTGCACTCAATATGATCATAAGCAAAATGGAAAGGGAGCATTGTTTTTTTAAGAGCATTGGATGTAAAAATTCACAATGAATGCTAACAACGTGTGCTTCATGTTGATAATAAAATCACCGAGTCAGGATATAAATCCTCTTCTTGCTATTTCGGGATCGAATCGTGGTAAAGGAAGCAAGTATTCATTCCAGGGTCTTCTCGGACTTTGCTGATGTCTCAAGGTTGAAAGTAACCCTGGGAAACGGGTTGGGGTGCAGGCCGCTCAATTCCCCCCGTGCAATCCTGTCATTATCTTATTTTTGCACGTGTATAGGTTGTAATACTATGACTTTTTTTCAAGTGCAGAATTTGTTTTAAAATTGAACAAAGAAATTGACTGGAGCAGGGTTTGAACCTGCGACCTCTGGATTGCCGTTCCGGTGCTCTACCAACTGAGCTATCCAGCCCTGTGTTGGCAGTTCCTCATTTCGTTAGTGTCTTTGTTCAAGGGTGCTGGTCAGAAGTTTTGTAATTAAGGTACCTGACTAGTGTTCTTAGTGTTTTCATTTAGTAAAATGCATAAGCATAAAATGTGTACTCATGCCTATCCAAGTGATAGGAAACCACTGCCTTCTAGCTTTGGCTTGTACATCAGTTGTATAAGGCAGTTTTCGGCAAATTATCCCTTCATCATACTTTGCAATTTGTGTTTTTGCTAGTTTAAGTTCCTTTCCTTGTACATGTATACTAAATGACATTATTAAAATTAACACTTTTTGTTTATGTTTTTGTTTTTAAAAAAAAACTGCTTTTGTAAATACATGTATATGGTATTCCATGTCAGTTGTACTGTAATAATTTCGATAATTTGGCACGTTTTTATAAATAATGCCAAACCTACCAAGTGATCTTACAAATTGTAAACCACTCTAGAAAATACTACGCATTTTTGCTAAATGTGTTACTACTGCTCAGTGAAGTATTCGTTTTGAATAGTACTGTCAAAAACTCATATTGACTATTTTTGTAACAAATTTTTGCAGTGCAAAAGTCACATATACAAGTATTTGACTGCCAAATACAAAACTTCAACAGTAGATGGTGCTTGCATTCAAATGTCCCTCCCAGTGTCTATACCGAGATATACTGGATAATATAGGCCAATTGGACTATGGAAAGGCAAAACTGACTGGCACAATTTGCCTGCCCTTGTGAAGACATGATTATATATCGTCACATGCCCATTGAATGTTGTCAAACAGTGGGCAGCACTGGACACATAATGGGTGGCCATCTTGTGTCCAATTTCCACGGTGTCAAAACTAATTTTAGAGTTCCGTCGATAGGCAGAGCTCTAGATGAGGAACTGCAACATCTAGCGTCACGTGGACGCAAAATAGCTTCGTATAACACTGCACGTGGTGTCCATTTTGTGTCCAGGAACTGAGATGGTAGTATCGAAAACGAAGACCCCTAAAACGAAGACTGAAGACCCACTCGATAACAAAGAACCGCTCAAAAAACGAAGACACACTCGAGTGGGTCTTCGGTCTTTGTTTTCGATACTACCGAATTGAGACGGTTGTTGTTTCACATTTGTATTAACAGCTCATCCATTAGAAGGTGCTGCCCTTAAGTGACAGATTATCAAGACAACAGGGCCCAATTTCATGGAGCTGCTTAACAGTTAGCAGAAAAGTTGTGCTTACTAAAGCAGAAAATTGTGCTAACCTTAAGCACTATTTCATGGTCTGGTTACGCTAATGGTTGCGTGCATGGAGATTTCTATAGTTACGTCACGAATTTAAGCAACATTTTCCTCTGAGGTAAGCATGCTTTTTGCTGTGCTTACTGCTTACGGTCTCCATGAAATAGGAAGCTCTGTTAGCAGAACATTGTGTGCTTAGCAGCGTCATGAAACTGGGCCCAAAACAATCACCTATGACATTCAGCAGCATCTAGATTGTGAGAATGATAATGGACAATCATATCTGTTCAATTTAGATGGTTTATTGAGCCTCCTTTATGAGAATTTTTTGAACAAATAAAAAAAAAGAATAAAAATATGGAAAACTTATCCTGTGTATTAAGCGGCAGTTATTTGTGAAATTTCGGTTTTTCCTAGGTTGGTTTGAAAGATGAAACTGTGTGTCAATACCAAGACTCAGTTCACTAACTGTTTGAGAGAAGACTAACAATGCACATAGCATTAACCGTTCACTTTTGAGAAGAAAAAAGTTCCAATCTTTTTGAAGTTAATTTTTAAATTTTTTATTCAATACCCAAGGAACAGAACACAATGCATGGCTACCCACTTAACATTTAAATGAAACCAAAAAATTCAAAACTTACACAAAAATGGACAAAAACAATACTCTATTAATGGCATTGTGGATATACATTGTAAATACTAAATATACCTTAAGTTCAGGGCTTGTGTTTAATAAGTAGTGATCCTCTGCAAAGTACTATGCCAAAAAATGGAGCACACAAACTTTGACTTGAACACAAATTAATAATTTCATAAATATTTTGTATCAGATCTGGACAGAATGTCTGAAAAGTAACAATTTAATAAATAAACCCACCAAGGAATCATGAAAACACATAATTAAAAATTAATTTGTATTTTGATACTAAACTATGTTGTCTGTTTACAAATGTAACATTTCTAATTAAGTACAACTACTACACAAACTCAAAATAATGACTGTCATGTTAGTTTATTCCTAAATGTACCATTAGGGAGACACGTTATCGTAATTTCTTCGATAATAGGGAGACACCGGTCATTAGGGAGACACATTACTGTCTCTCTAATGGCACAGCCCCCCCCCCCCCTTTAGAGGCAACATTTTACTGTTGCAATTATGTTATATTTGTTGCTTGTGGTCTAATTAGTAAACATACCGAAATTCGCGGAAAAAGGACAAGGGAATATTGGGTTAGGGCACATTTAAGTTTGAAAAATTTTGTGCACAAGTCTATGGGAAAGTCTCGCTAATGACCCATTGCTGGTAATTATTATTTCTTTAAAATGAAAAAAAAAAAATCTTAATTAAAAAAACAACAATAACAACAACAAACAAACAATGAAAATCGCCAATTCTGTATAAATATTTTCACAGCAAATATATACTTTATCTTACATGTACATGTATCAACAAGTCATTTAAAAGCCACAATGGTTTTATTATTCAAACCAAATATGACATAAACATGACAAACCATCAACAAAAACCTGGAAAGTAAAAAAGAAATGGAATGTTTAAAAAGCCTCAAAGTATTCATGAGGCCACATTATGCAGAACATAGAAAATCTTGGCAGGATTATATTTTTTTGGTGAATATAAACAGTAGTTCTTGTGGGTTCATAAAAGAACCTTTAAAATATTACTGGCTATTGCGATGCATGCAAAAAGTGAATTTAAGGGTTGAAAAAAAAAAATGTAAAACTAAACGAGGTGCATTTCTTCACCAACCTCCATCCCAACAAACATGAGGACGGACAGACGATGAAAATTAAAAAGTGAGAAGTGGTGCAAAGCCAATACAGTAGAACGCCACTATAATGAACATGATGGGGTCCATAAAAAAATGTTCGCTATAAGTGGTCATTTGTTATAGTGATTGTACATTACAATAGAACGGGGGCCACAGGGGATGTAATGGGCTCCGTGCACAAGTACTCCTTCAACAGCCAGAAAAGGACAGTTGGGGGAGACCTAGACTGGTTCCCGGTCCATCCACTGCATATTTTGAATGATCTAAAGTTATTGGAGGCGGGGATTAGTCTGGGAGACCATTGCAAGTTAAATTTGAACGTATTCATGCGCCAAATGTTCATTATAGCTGTGTTTGTTATAGCAGCCTTTTACTGTAGGTTGATCAAAAAATTTAAATAGAAAAGGCCTAAAATGCACCTTTTGTGTATAAATTTGTTTCATGAACAGATCCCCCTAGTCTCAAATGATATGCTATCTAGATAAATAATAAAGTTCTTACTTCACTACCATCGTTGAGTACCCATACTACTTAAGATCTTTACTTGAGAATATCAACCCTTTAGCTGCTGTACTGACCATTACCGCCCTGCCTATAGATCAACTGCATTCAGCAGTCATCTTTGTGGTGTGGTTTGTTATTTTAATTCAGTAACAGTGAATGCACAAGTCTTCTACTTATGTGTATCCCTGTTGAACAACAGTACACAACACAAAGGTGGCTGCAGTACTAACGATCTATTACTCCCCCCCCCCCCCATAGCGCTCGAAACCACCCGAGCACTCTATGGTTTTATGTATTCATCAGTGAATAAACTCAATCTAATATTTTTTCATCATGGTTTCCACTATTATTACTCTTTTCACTCTTACGTATTAGAAAAGCCGGTCAAATTTTAATGCTTAATGGTGGGAGTTTGAGGGGTAATCAGCATGTTGAGTCCCAACTTTTTTTCTTTTTTTTTTGTGGCTACGGTGTTGGAATTGCAAGACTATAAGTTACACTGTAAGCTGCCACCCTCCGCACTGTCCAGATTGGCCAGGACAGTGTCTAGACTGGCCTCCAGTCCTTCCAGCTTGCCATCGAGCTCCTGCATTTGTTCACGTTGGGTCATGTACTGTGTCATCAAGGCTGTAAGAATATGAAACAGGGAATTGCTCAATTTGCTTCATTTGTGTGAAATAAAAATATTACACTTGCTCCTTAAAGGGAATATACAACATTTGCTTTTGCTGTAATTTTCAGAAATGGATGGATTTGGGAGGGGGGTAGTATTTTATAGCAAATATTGTTACACTGACTTGTGTGAAGTGTTGTGTTCGTAGATGCTGGAAAAACCAAGAAAAACAATCATGTTTCTCTAGGCTGGTTCCCTGACTCCACTTAAGATGAAATGGAGCAATTTATAGATGTCAGGGAATTGTCAGGGAACCAGTCTAGCTGGCTTGTACCCCTTCATAGGTGTGAAATCAATTGCAAACAAAATGCGGACTAAAATATGGTAAATTGGGGGCAGTATTTGAAAAAAGGCCAGGTTTTTTTCCAATGCTGGTCAGCCAACCAGCTTTGGAAATTGATACAAAAATACCACTTTTCTTGAAAATGACAGCACACCAGGTGCCATGATTTTACAGAATGATTTAGACTGTCATTCACTATTCATAATAATTTGGTAGTTTTGTTCTTGATGTTTGCAAATGTTGTACATTACCTTTAAAGGTAATGGGCACCATATGCAAACATCAAAAAGAAACTGCAAAAGTACTATAACATATCCTACTTGACTGTAAGAAATTATTGTATTAAGCATCCTGTGAAATCATTACACCAAGCTTGTATGCTGTCATTTTCAAGAAAAGAAGAATTACCATCATTTCCTTCTGATGGTTCAGACCAAACCACTGCGGGCATAAAAATATTATATTTTTATGGGAAATTTAGGGGGCTCGTTTTTGGTCAATTTTCGGGGACAGACAGACCAACCGACCGACAACCAAGTGACATGACATGTAGAAGCTCCTGCCAAAGCTTAAAAATATAATGAACATTTTGTAAGAGAAGGGCATTACAGGAACCTTGCTTTGTCTAGAGAAAAATGAAGATGTCTTTTCACAATTTTGAGCTGAAATTGTGACAGGTTAGTTATTTTTCAATAAGCTGCTTCAGATTTGTTGTAGTTTGTTCCTTGAATCGGCAAAAATACACTTTGTTTGGCAAAAAGTGTCCTTACCTTTAAGCAACATCATTATATTGGACTAAGTTTTCATGTGAATGCTTACTCCAAGGGAAAAGTGATAAAAAAGTTGAAAAAGTTGAGAGGTAGTAATACAAATAAAAGCTGGAAGGCTTTGATAGATTGTTCTGCTTACCATCTAGATCAGCCATTTGTTGGACAGTGACCACTTGTTGTTGGAGTGTCTCTGCTTGATCAGATACCACAGTGACGTCATTCAAGGCAGTAGAAGACTGACTTTTAGTTGCGTTAATCAGGGAAGTCAGGGATGCCGTGTCTGCAGCACTGGATTCATAGGCCTGCAAACAAGAATCAATTTGTTTTATTGTCAAAAAAACAAAAACAACAAAGGATGGTAATAAAGCAAAGGAAAGCATCAGAATCTATTCTGCATAACAATTCTCATCATCACATCAATTTTTTGTTCAATGGCACGTCAGCGGTAGTTACTTTAGCCCTTGATGTACTTAGATATATACAGCTGACCGGGAACATGGTGTTTGTGCCCTTGGGCAAGACACGTTACTACAATTGCCTCACTCCATCCAGGAGTGAAAATGGGTACCTGAGATTAGAGCCCAGATTGTGCTGATCTCGAACTGCTGCAGAAATAATTGGCGCATTGCCTGATGAACAGCGGTGGCAGAAGACCTCCGAGTACAAGTACGAGTACAGGGACCTCTAAGTACGAATTCTTTATGGAGTACTCCAGTGAAAATAATTCAAATCCCAAGTAACGAGTGGACAACTGAAACCACCAATTCAGCAACATGGATGTTATGGACTACTTTTGAGCAAGACTTTTTGAAAGCCAAGTCTGCTGCACTGCATAGTGAGATTTTTTTCATTCAAAACTGAATTACTTGATTTTTCCCCTGAGTCCTTATAATCAAGTATGAGTATGGTATGGTTATGGAGTGCGATGATGGAGTATGATATCAAATATTCCAATCAAATTTGCTTCTCGAGTATGACTTTCATGAGTTCAACTTTGAGTATATGACATTTGAGTATTCTGAAATAGTACTTGAGTTGTACTCGAGGTTGAGTACTGAGTACGAGTACTATAACACTGGACTGACCTGTTGTGCTGTGGTGGCCTGGGTACCAGCCAGACTTGCCCGGTATGCTGCATCCTGAGCCTGGTTCCTCCTAGCACTGAAACACTGCTGTGTGGTCCTGACTCCCTGTAGGATGCTGGATATAGCTGCTGAGGTCTGCTGTCCGCTGCTGATTGCCTGATTGGCTTCTTCCTGAACCTAAACAAAATTATGGAAAATAACAAAAAATGCTGCAAAACTGCTTTGTAGAAGTTGGCGGGGCTGCTTTTTCAATTCATGAAAGAATTTTTAAAAATCAATTACTTGACTCAAGTCTGAGTTTGAGTTGTAATTTTCAGTGTCTCGACTCGAGTGTGACAGATAGAAATTAAAAAATAAATATTAAATTGAACCCATTCTCGTTTTGTGACACAAACTGATCTCAAGCAAGGATGTAATGCAAACTTGACTCAAATTGAGTTACTGCCTGAGAATGACTCAAGTCACTGGCTACAAATGACTTAACTCAACACGAGTCACATAACTCAGTGGCGTTACAACACTGTGTCTCACCTGACTGGCTGTTGACCTGATGCTGGTGATGTTGTTGTCTGTTTCTGTCAGTCGCTGAGTCGTCTCCATTCTCACTCTCTCTCCTTCAGTCAACTCGTACTCAATGGTCTGAAGTTGAGCGCCCACCGACTCTGCCTCCTGCCTACCATGCACAAACAATCCCATAATGAACATGTTACTCAGGAGACACTACCTGTGGTTACTGAGACACTACCTATGGTTACTCACAAAACACTAGCTGTAGTTACTCATGAGACTACCTGTGGTTACTCATGAGATAATAGCCATGGTTACTCATGAGACACGTACTACCTATGGTTACTCACAAGATACTACCTGTAGTTTCTCATGAGACTACCTGTGGTTACTCATGAGACACTACCTATGGTTACTCATGAGACACTACCTGTGGTTACTCATGAGACACTACCTATGGTTACTCATGAGACACTACCTGTAATTACTCATGAGACTACTTATGGTTACTCATGAGACACTACCTATGGTTACTCACGAGACACTACCTATGGTTACTTACGAGACACTACCTGTGGTTACTCATGAGACACTACCTATGGTTACTCATGAGATACTACCTGTGGTTACTCACGAGACACTACCTATGGTTACTCACGAGACACTACCTGTGGTTTTTTAATAGTTTCTTTTCTATTAGTAGTTTTTGTAGGCTCACATTTAACTGTGATGTTTATACAAGAGAGTTAGCTCAGCGGAAGAACAAGTAGAATACTATCAGAGTTAATAAGCAGCACTGACTGCTAGCAGTACTTGGATGGGCTACATGACCATATCACCCTGTAAACTTTTGACAAAGCATGTGACCGAGCGGAGCCTACACTAACTGAGTGAATTCACACTTCCTACATAACAATCCTTACTGTCCAGCTGAAGCCGACAATTTGGTCTGCTCAGCCTGTCCCAGTTTACTGGTCGCGTCCTGGAGTAGATTCTGGACATTCGAGGCGGTCAGCGGTGCCGCATTGATCTGGTTGACCAGCTGGTCCATCTGAGTGGAGGGACGGACCGTCGTGTCCTGCACGGCCCGGGCAATGGTCCGAGCCTCCACGCTGCGTGCCTCAGCATCCTGGAGGGCTGTGTAGGTATCTAGGACCTGTAAGTACAGGCTGGTCATGTTGGCCTTAGTGGACAAGGCAAGGTCCTGAGATGAAACAAAGGAAATACATAAACAACTTTTCAACTTGCAGAGACGAGATTCTGTAGAAATCAAAATTTCATATGACACCACAAATCCATGTGCACATGCAGTGGGACATGTCCAGGCAATGGGGGAGGGGGAGTAGCAACGGGGGAGGGGGTGTCAACGGGGAGTGCAAAAAAGGCAGGCCCCCCCCCCCCTTTGCTTTTCATATTAAATTGGGGGCGGAAGTTTTTTGGACCCACTTTATTGGGGGAAAAAATATGTTTTTGGCTCCCCCCCCCTCCCCAAGTTGAATTCTGGATCTGGCCTTGTGTCCAGGACACTGGAACTCATAGTGCCAGCTACCATATATTCCTACGGGAAGTCCACAGCAAATCTTCAAACTGAGCATTATGAAATTTGTCAGTACCTTGTAAGTCCTGGCAGCAGACTGGGCCTGGTTAGCTGCTGTATCAGCATTGGTGACATTAAACCTAGCCATCTCGCTCCGATAGGCTTGGGCGTCTGCCTGCCCCTGGACTATGAGGGCGCCCTGCAAGACCCCCTGCATACTCTGATTAGCCTCCAGGGCAATCTGCTGGGCAGCTGAGGCATTCTGGGCCGTGGATGCCAGCGGGTAGTCTTGCTGGATAGCGCTGATTGTTGTCAGCAGGTTTGCATTCTGGTTGACCTCAGTGGCGCGGTTTTCGTCGTCCAAGATCACTGCTGCCTGTTGTCGCTCCATGGCAGCGCGTTCAATATCCTGCAGGAGTCTGTCCACACCACGTATAAGCTGCTGGATGCCCTGCTCCGAAGCCTCAATTGCTGCATACATGCCTGCAAGACATCAGCACACCAATTCTTATATTGTAACAAACTGCATGTAGATCCTTCCCTTATTAAGGCCGGTTCATCCTTCCCGAATGCGAGTGCAAAGCAAATTTGACCTCAGGAAACATTCGCTGTGAATTTGTTGCGAATTCCCGGCGCAAATACTTACCATGATGTCACAAATTCGTGTTCGCTTTCTCACCGAGTAAGAACCAGCCTTTACATTTTAAGAATGAATCACAGACTTAATGTGACGCTTATACAGGGGGGTCCGAAATGTGTTTTTTTCACTTTTTCAGAGGCACATTTCTCAAAATTAAAGAGACATGCTGAAATTGTTTTAAGATATTCCTAAACTACAAGATGTTGATGGTAGGCCTATATGGTGAAAACAGCATTGAAAATAAAGCTCAAGTTAAGAAATAACAGCCACTTACCGAAAAATGGTCAAAACTATTTGTCCACATCTAGGGCAGTCATGTAGACGTAATTACAATTATTGCAGTTCTCTTTGTGCGCAGTGCTATTGTGTTGACCATATACATCTCACAGATTTGCATGTGGATAAAGTGGTGTTTGACCATCTTTCTTTAAACCATCACCATTTCTTAATTTAGGCTTTATTTTCATCGCCGTTTTCACCACATACCACAAAGATGATGTAGTTTAGGAATATCTTGAAACAATTTTAGCATGTCTCCCCAATTCCAAGAAATCTGCATCTGAAAAAGTGTAAACCGTTTTTTGAACCACCCTGTATATCTCCATGTTCCAGCATCTCAAAGCACTTCATAATTAGTACCCCTCAGTTTTCCGACAGTTTTAGATCAGCGCAATCTGGTACCCATTTCTACTCCTGGGTGGAGAGAGGCAATTGTAGTAAAATATCTTGCCCAAGAAAGGCTCAAAATGCACCCACTACAAAATGATGGTACTTGGAGAGATTGTTCAACAGTAGAATAAGATTGTTCATACAACTATATCTTAGAAGTTTTCTGTTTTCATGTAATTACCACGTGAAGGAATTTCAGGGTACAAAAAAAAACGGTCCTCAAAAGTCAAGCCATTGTAGCACTAGTTGTCATTCCATTCACATGTTACTTTTCAAAAAGGTTCTTCAAACCCATGTGTGTGCTATGTGTATAATTCTGAAGCTAACGTGGGACCTGTTATTCCACAGTGAATTGTCGGATACATTTTATGCAGCACCAGTCTTTTGTTGACAGCTTGGCTCAAAAAACATTTAAAATATGTACAGACAACGCCAAAATTAGTGTCACGTCTGATGGGTTTTTCACTCTTTCACTGTAAATGTAAGACATGATTTGGATTATCTGTGACCTAGACTTTTGCAATAAAGTCAGGAAACAATCTAAAACACTCTAATTTTGTGGAAATCTTCCCAACGTACACCTTTAAACCAACAATATTCCAAGTGATAAACAAGCAGAGTAGAATAAGACAGTTTACTGAAAGTTGGAATCACATTGCCGCAACATCCAATTTTGTAAAGAACTATCTCGTGGTCTTTTCTGAACATTACAAAGATTATAATTTTGAATACAATTGATATAAATCAATCATAGGAGATGAAACTTGAGACTTGGATTGTGGGCTTTAGCCAAACATTCTTTCAGATACCTGAAGACCTGTGAATGTTCCTACCTTGTATATTGACCCATGTGCCGTTTCCTAGTTGAAACAGTGCCGTCGTGGTGCTACTCAATGCATTGAGATCCTGCTGCAGCTGCTCGGCAGTCTTGACGGTGTTTTCCTGGATCAGTACGCTTCCTGTGAACTGCTGGACATTGGTCAGTCTGGTGGTCAGCTCCAGCCGACGCGTCTCCACGGCGGTCACTAGGTCCGTGAAGTTGGCCACTTCGGCTGAAATCTGGATAAATAGGATGACAGTCATTTGGGATGAAGTGATCCAAATATCATGCCTTTGCCCAACTCTAATTTAACAAATTCAGCTACGCAATCACAGCAGTCGAAATCAATCAAGTTACTGTTTTCAACAGTTAAGAATTCCTTATTAATTTGACATAGCCATGCTTTGACTGGAGGTGATTGATATGCCAACTGACAGGGGTATATGCACACATTAAGATATCCGTAAGTGTTATAAACCATTCTATTGTTTCGTATCATGTTCACGTAAGCATTTGTTTGTTGGACTGTTGCCAATAAAATGGAGTAATCCAAAATGGCAGCATCAAATGCAAGCCTCGTATCTGTGGCTAATCCTGCTATGAAAGACAGAGAAATGGCACATATACAGGGTGAGTAAAACAAAGAAACCCAAATGTCAGGACCATTTTTTTAAATGAAATTCTGCATGTAGCACTTTCAAAAGCTAGGATATGAAAGCCCAATTTATAAGCTTTCTTTTAGTATGAGAATCATTCAAATCACTAATGTACTTTTCAAGTTACAAAATTTTAAACACAAACACCGTTTTAAAGTTCTGTCCACGGATCACAAAAAAGGTAAAACAAAAACAATTCACATTTATCCCAATTCAAATTGTTTTCGTTTAGCTGAAAGAACACTTCCCTTTTTTAATTGGGCTTTCATATCCTAGTTTTTGAAAGTGCTACATGCAGAACTTCATCAAATAACCGGTCCTGCCATTTGGGTTTCTTTTTTTTTTACTCATCCTGTATGTTCAGCAATTCGTCCTCTTCCAATCAAATCATCATGATCGAATAAATGATCAGAAAAGAGGGTGTAAATTTACAATTTACAATGCTTTTCACATTGACGTGTTTCATGTGATATACCATGGTCCAAACATGGTCCAGACATGGTTGCGGTATTCGACTCACTGTGCCGTGGTATGTGGGTTCGAACCTTGACAGGGACAATGACGCTTGTATTCTTGTGCAAGACCTCTTACTACAATTGCCTCTCTCCACCCAGGAGTGTAAACGGGTACCTGTGAAGGTAGAGACCAGATTGCACTGATCACGAGCTACTTCAGAGAAATGGTCTCATTGCCTGCTGAACAGGGGTAATAATTGTGAAGCGCTTTGAGACCTTTAGTATAAGCACCACATTATTATTACCCATGCTGTGTACACGCGTAGCGGATAGTGAATTGTGTATGACATCACAAGACCACACAAACTGAAGACGTATCCAGCGTGCTAACCGTATCTGTTCGCATGCGAAACCATTATATTAACAGGAGTCAATTGTGCGTTTTTAAGAACCTACCATGCTGAAGCCAGCCTGAATGTATTCCAGATCCACCAGTTCCCTGGTTCCCTGTTCAATGGCCCCCGCTGCACTGCTGAGGTTTCCCCTGATGAAGTCTAGTGTGTTGTCTACTTCCTGGCTGGTCAGATTGTTGTAGTTTGCCAATAGTCCTAAAAATAAATTGATCATTTTGTTCAAGTTGATGAGTCCCGAAAAAAATTACAATTTAACACAGAGAAGTAGTTGGAGGCAAGGACGCGCATTTTCTTTTCCCAAATGGATTAGGTTTTCCATCTTCTGACTGGTCCATTACATAATGCCTTGTTCTTGACAACACTATTCATCAGCTTTACATGTTGTAAGAAATGTTCCTTCCTTGCTAATCTAATTTAAAGCTATAGTCCATCATTTGCAGCCATCCGAAAAGTAACTGGCGTAATTATTGTTGAAAAACATACTTGGTTGAAAGATAATAAGGGGACTAAACTCCCTGTGAAATTATTCTTTCTGGCAAGCTGTCATTTTGAAGTAATCAACGAAAGAAGGCCTTTCCAACGGTGCGTCTTAATTTAAATTAGTAGTTCGTTTTGTTATTCGGTGAAGCGCGCCCAAACACTTTTGTTGCTTCAAACGAACAAAATGCACAAATTACAAATGATGGACTATATCTTAAGGGATAAAATGAGAAGCAAAAAAGGACTAATTGGGATTGGAAGTCAGCTCAACTGAGTAGAAGTCTCAGTTACTTCCAGCTAGTCCACAAATCTGGTTTTTTTTGTAATGATATACCTTAAGCCCTACACATCTATGAATATGCATGTGCACCAAAAGGATGCTCTCTTTCGGTCTTGCTGGAACTGTTTGGGGGGGGGGGGAAGTGCGGCCAAGACACCATTTGATACTACATACAGCATCAGTACCTCTTTAACTAAAACTTGTACAAATTACATTTTAAGTATAATCCAAATGGGAGAACATGCCCCCTGTAGTTATGCAACTGCCTTGAATCTGCAACATAATGGGGGGGGGGGGGGGACCATACATGCTCTCATTTGAAATCTCAAATCGAAAAACAATTATACTGCTATTGAATTTTCATTTGCCTTTTGTTCCCTTGCAAAATTGATGCATCCCAGGTGTCCGCGGAAGATTGATTCTACTTACGCCGCTGAGTGAGGGATCATGCAAAAAACGCAAACAACTATCCTGTAGTAAAAGCTGAAGTATGTTGAGGAGTTGGCTGAAAGTGGGTGGGTTGGGGGGGGGGGGAAGAAGGCGATTAAAATTTGAAGCTTACCTCTGAGTATCATCTGTTGCTCTCTAAACAGGTCTGCCATATTTTGGAATGCCCGGCGCCAATCCTGGAAACATTCCGGGCAAGGCTCACAGTTTGGAAAAGCACCTGCAACCAATGTCAGGAATTTATTGTCATTCAAAGTTTTGGAGAACATTTCTCTTATAGCAAGAAACTTTCAGTGCATTTTACCTGCCTTTTTCTTTGTAATATTTAACTGTGTATAAGCAATTCAATATTTCATTGGGTTAAAACTGTAAGAATTACTACTTCTTGGCATATATATGAAGAGCAATGGAATTTACTGAGTGTGTCTTTCAGCTTTTTATGCCGAACTAAGAACACAAGGAACACATCGTCGCATCAATGCAACAAGGTCGTATCTCCTAAAATGGCATGAATGCAAAACGCCCATTTCAGAATGTCAAAAGGTCGTATCTCGCTTAAAATAACCCGGATGTACACGCAAAGTCAATGGACATCGAGATACAACCTTGTTGCACAGAGTGTGTTCACGCGAGATACAACCTTGTTGCACAGAGTGTGTTCACGCGAGATACAACCTTGTTGCACAGAGTGTGTTCACGCGAGATACATCTTTGTTGCGGAATGGAGTTACGACCTTGTTGCACTGACGCGACGACATAGTGCTATTCTCAGAACTCCAGGAGAGAAACTGCCTCGAAAACTCGAGCCAGTTTGTGCCTGTTTTTAAGAACCCCACTTTTTCAAAAACTGGATGCCTATTTTAGCAGACTGCAGTACCTACTGGTTCAATATCAAAGTCTGTCTTTAACCCTTTAGCACTGGTATTAAACTGCATTACATTGTATTTACTCCTCCATAAATCAATAAAACCATAGAGTGCTGGGGTGGTTTGATAGGCAGGGCAGTCTGTGGCATTATGAGGGCTAACAGGTTAAAAAAAACTATACAAAAGTAAGTAACGGTTCCAGTCATCTTGATGCTGATTTTTTTTTCATTTTAAAGAGTTTCTTTTTATTGCCTTTGACAAAGATTCTGCTAAGACGGTAGGCCATCTAATTTTGTTTGAAATGCATTTTCAGACTCATTTTTACAGCATTTTGCGAGGCAGGCGGGCCCTACACATGCACCCATCATGCACACGCAATATATGAAACAGCGTATATAAGACAATATATATGAAACGTGGTGTATATAAGGTAATTTATATGCAGTGCAGTGTACATGAAGTAAACGGTCATTTTTAGAGATGAGATACATGACCGTTTTAGACCAATGAAATTACAGTATCCAAGACATGATATAACAAAACATCTTGTTGTTAATGACAGATCAAATCTTGTTTATGAGATACTTGTACTTGTTATTTAAGTCAGTAATCTATTTGCATGAAAAGAAATAAATTATGGGAAAATAAAAACAGTGAAACGTGAAACTCATTAAACTTACCAACAAACACTTCAGTGACTATTTCAGACCCATCTAAAACAGTGATAGAGGGGTTGAAACAGAAAATACAAAAGGACAGAACGATGGAGAAGAACACAGCAAGACAATTGTTGGCAGGGAAACGAGGCAAAAACAAAACAAAATCCAAGTATTATCAACATGTCTAGTGTTACGTACATTTAAGAACAAAATATGAAACGATAAAAACAGTGAAACAATGAGTACATGTAAGAAAATAAACACACTTGTTAATTAGTGAAGGGGAGATACTATGGTGATCATTATACAATTCTTAGAATGAAAATGTACAATGAAACTGAAATATTGATCTTCTATGATGCTCAAAGATATTCTTTTTTCGAGTGGTGAATCCAGACCTTGGAAAAGTGACCCCAACTTTGTTGCCCATGGATTTACAAATGTAATTGTCTTATGAGAAACACATTAGACAATACAATTTTAGAGATGTGCATCTTCAACCTTGTGAAGACATTACACTATTAACATAAGAAATATTTCTCTCAATTTGAAAATGTTAGAACTGGAAGAATGTACATGTACGTGTTTAGGTTTACAGTCACAAAATAACCCATGAAATATATGAGAGGGAAAGGACGTGTCATATTAGGAACAAAAAATTGTCAGTATAAGAACAAAATACAAAACAAATTATACCGGAATAACAAAAGACATACACTCTGCTCATAGAAAAGGACAAGTGGTTAAAAAATTCAACGAGACGATTTTAATGCTCTGTTGTAAGCAAACAAGATAAGTACCTTCGTCGACGCGTCCACACCTGTTGCACGTCCGTCCTGCGATTGTCTCGGACTTACAGCTGCACTGACCGGTCAAAAGATCGCAGGCACAGTTATCATTGACGTCACAGGTGTCAAGGGCAGTACCCTCAAGGCTACACTCACAAGCTGTTGGGTAGAGAGAGGTAAGGTTTCAGTTATTCTTCTATGGGCCGATAGAAGGGCCGTTCATACTTCACGTGAAAGTGAAGGCAAAGTGAATGTCATCATGTCAAGAACTAAAGTTTTATTACTCTGATGAATTTGCTCCGGAGTGAAATTTGCATGACGTATGAACCGGCCTTTATACTGTGGCTTACCCATTCATGGTGCACGTTTATTTCTACTCCAGCACCTTGCATGTCTGAAAGTTTTACCCCAGATTTCAAAGGAAATGAAAAGTCGGCAAATTGTGAGTATTACTATTCATAATGCCCATTAAAAAAGTTTTGAGAGAGATGTCATTTTGATGTATTTTCAAAGTGTGCATTGAACCGTTTTAAATTGTGCTCCAAAATAAGAAAAGATATTTCTCACAAAACATGTGGCTTGAGTAGAGATAATAGTTTGTCACCTTAACACAAATTTTCTCTTGGTCAGTTAGGAGTTTCTGGGATTTGTCAAGTGCAAGACATTTGAGCAATCGTCTACCCGATTTTGTGCTTAATTTTGGAACACCACCTTTTGATTTTATGACATTAAATTATTCAAATTACATTTGAAGCTCATCAACTAAAGCAATGAGGAAAGTTGGGAAAATGTTTTGTGCTGCATGGACTTTTTTATTTATTGTTTTATTTTACCAGGGTAGCCCCATCAGTTATCAAAGAATTGTTCTCCCTGGGGGCCCTGGACTTCAACATTCCTTGGGCCCAGGGTCTCACACAACCATAATCTGGTCCTGAGTGCAACACGTGTCAAACACAGATCAAAACTGAAAGAATTGAAGTTCTCACCTATGCACTCTTGGTCTATGTTCCAGTATCCCTGCTGACACTGGTCACACTGTTGACCTGTGACCCTAGGCTTGCACTCACACTGACCTGTCACCTTAATGACAACAAATGGTACATAACGCTTAGCATTTGACTTTAGACATCCAGTCTGAATGACTAGTCATGATATGATTACAACCCTAATAAGCCTGTAGCTAGCCTATTGTTTTGGGTGGGTCTTTTCATAGTTAACCAGTTCGCACTGGGGTTATTTTGACAAGAATGGAACGAGGCGCGGGATTACTTTTCACTCGACCTCAAGCCAGGCGGGTTGAAGCCATCACCCTCGGGCAGCACACTCATATTTCTGGCCTTTGCTGACAGATATTTCCGGCCTTGCTCTCCGCGTGTTTATCCGTCATCTGTTCCGAATGCCGCAAAACCTTTGCGTGTATACACGTCATCCGGCGCGAACTGGTTAATAAAGGACTTGTTGTTGTACTGGGCTTGTTGCACACTTACAACTTAAGTTTGATAATTTCAATTGCCAATTGACAGATTTAAACTGAAGTTCGCAGTGATGTTGACATTATTAAGACTACAATTTTTCAGCCTGTGGCTACTGCCTGTATGACTGTTACACAATTCAAAGAGTTATAGAAAATCCTACCAAGTCACACTGCGTCTGTTGGTTCACAGTCCCGATGTGATGACAGTCACAAGGCATACACCCATCCCCGCTGGCAAAGCCCCAGGTATCCACAGCGCACTGCATACATCGGTCCCCGATCACGTTAGGATAGCAGGAACATACGCCAGCATCACGACTGCAGTTCCCAAAACCGCCGACTGGATCGCAATCGCATGCTGAATGGACGGAATACGGGAAATGGGTATAGAATATATAAAGTCAACATAAAAAAATCAATTCTTATTTTGAATCAATTTTCATGTTCTTATTACAGTAAACAAAATTGGACGGCAAAACCGTTTCTGTCCTTGTGTGACTGAAATTTGAAAAAAATTTTGTTCAAAAAGAAAGTTGTTTCACTCCAGTTACAGTCTGCCTGCTGATTCAAACATAGAACAAGTTTGGGGGTGTTTATAAAAATTGGCACAAATTTATTTTATAACTATCGAGAGAACACAACAAAATACATTCAAACGTACTGGACCCCTTTACCAGCAAAGTGACACATTTTGGTAAATAAATAAACAGATATATACTCGCACAGTCACCAACGTTCATGCTACAAAGTGTTGACAGATTACTCCAGGTGTTGATAATTAAAAGTACATGTGACCATTTGCATTTTGTGCATTTTTTTTCTCATCTGAAGCAATAAAATTGCTCAAAATCTTAAGAAGGGTGCGTGACAACTAACTTGTTGAAATTTCAGCTCAGTGGATACTATACATTTTGAAAAAACTGAGAAAATCTATGCACAAACTTTTTGGTCATCTAACTGGAATACATTGCTAATGCCTGTAAAAATGTGCCCGTTGGCACATTTTCTTAAACCGCTTTCAATACTTTCGTTTTCTTCCAAAGCATACCATTCCAGACGGAATAATTTCACAGGGTATGTGGTTTCAGTTCTATCTTCACTTTGGGCACAGATTTTCTCGTTAATTCAGTTAGGTACATTTCCGGGTAATTACCTACAGGCCTGGATTATCCAATAGGCACAGTACGCACTGTGCCTAGGGCCTACAAACAATTTGGGGCTTACGAAAAATTTGACAGCTTACAAAAATATCACGGTATGGCCTGGCTTGCTTAGTATAGCTTAGCATCAACATGAAATTGGTGCTAGTGCCTTGGGCGCAGTAGGGCCTATGGAACACTGGTGCCTAGGGCCTACGGAACACTTAATCTAGCCCTGATTACCAATGTTCAAACGTGCCTTTAACAGGCAAATTGTTGATGTTTACCTTGGCAGTTGTCTATGGTGCCCCAGTAGCCAAAGTCACAGATGTCGCAGGTATGGCCAGTAGTGTTCCCTGCGCAGTTCAAACACTCCCCGGTGATGGTGTTGCAATCGCCAGGGCTCAGGTTGCAGAAACAGGGCAGGCATTGGCCATTGTTTGTCTGGCGTAACAAATAAAAATATCTTTGAAATAATTTCAATTCCTTATTGAAAGTTTGTCAATATACAAAATACATCCATCAATGGGTGCATGAAATACAGCTTAATGACTAGGCATTTTGGGAAGTGTTGCCTAGTGGTTAGTGTTCGTGACTCATGATCTGAGGGTCAGGGGTTGGAATCCAGCTGCTGGCCATACATTGTGTCCTTGGGCAAGTCACTTCACCCCCACTTGCCTCTCTCCACCCAGGAGTATAAATGGGTACCGGCATTAGCTGGGGAGTAACCTGCAATGGACAAGCATCCCATCCAGGGGGAATAGAAATATTCTCAGTGGTTTCATGCCGAAGAAACAGAAGATAAATGCCAGCCTGATCGGCCATATTGGTTTACGACAGACTTTAATTGGCTATTGTCCATAAGTGAAATAATATTTACCAACTTATATTTTTAGGCATTTTAGAAAGGTAACCTTCCTGAATTGTCTGGCATGTCCTTTGTACTTGATGTATAAAAGTATACTGTTGCATGAGTATCCTTGAATAGCAGCTGATATTGAAGTATAACAGAATTGGATTAACATTTTCAGATTTCACAAAAAGCGAAAAATTCACAACGTTGAACATGAAATAAGTCTTTCAACCCTCCAATTAAAATCAAATTCAGTTTTTTAATTAATACGTCGCTCTCAAATGACGTCACTTCCCACAGTTTGTCATGTGCATCAGCATTTTGGACGTCAAATTTTCATGACGCGCATTGGCTGCACCGTATATCGAAGAAAGTTTAAAGCAACACATGCGCATGTTTAGAACATTTTACACACTGCGTGCACGTGCACCTGATGGCATTGAATACGCAGTTGTAATTTTCCTACCAAGATGGCGTCCTATGAGAGAGATCTATTGGAATGTATTTATAAATTTGACGTACTCTCAAAGAACAAGTAAGTTTGAATTTCTGAAACCCTTCTGCACATACCAAAGTGTTAGTTGGAACACCGTAATACCCGGTCACGCATGTCTGGCAGTAGTCCCCACTGTGGCCTACTGCACAATCGGCACAGACTCCGGTATCATCACAGACCGAAGCAAAGGAGTTGACACTACCCGGGGGTCCTGGGCACAAACAGGGCTGACAGTCACCTGTGAGGGAAATGAAAAACAATTAACTGGTCATTTGGAAATTCGCTAATTTGGAAACTCACATTTGGAAATCAAAGTGTGCTTAACCACTTCAAGACGGGATTATTTTTGCTGAAATTTGGATGTTCGAAAAAGGCAAAATATAGCAGCCAACTTCTGACATACAGCCAAACGCCACAATTACTGATTCGCAAGAGTCATTTCAACAATATTTGTTAGATATTTCTTGCCGAAACCTCATATTTTTCAACACTCCGAGGTGTGCAACGGAGCGTAATTGTACAACGAAAGGCTGTGCACAGCGGCCAACTCAAGATCAACACATGGTCTGCCTCCACAGACTTCACGTGTGTGTACAAAAGACATAAGGGATTAACGTGTTTAGACGTCACCTGGAGGCGAAACGAGGCAGGCTTGACGTTTTAGCCCGTCAGCCGTGCCTGTGCATAAAAACAGCCAGCGCGTGTTGACACAGCATCCAACGCAAACTGGTTTTAATAACAGGGAAGCAAAATTCACCCAAAAATGAGAGCCTCAAAGTAGACTGGTTCTCAGTCCAAAAATTACTTATCCTTTCATAGGAGGGTGTAGGAACCAGTCTTGAAGTCAGATCTTGTCTGGCTAGTTTGCCTGTACTTTTCTAAAAAAATTAAAATCATCGCATTCCAGTAAATTGTTCTATTAAAAATGATATTTTTTTTTTAGTTTTTTCGATAATCAATGCATTGTTTAAATTTCTAACATGCTTTGATTTTGCTTTGAGGTGTGTTCGTGCAATAAGTGTGAAAGAACAGGTTAGTGGGAAAATAATGTTTTCAAGGCATATACTTCAGTGACTTCTGACCATCTCACAGAACATCAGTGTTTCCCCCTAAAAAACTTGTAAAATGTTTTCCAACATTTTAAACAGTGCCCCCCCCCCCCAAAAAAAACACTTACCTGGCGTGCCGCCCGTGGCGTTTCCATAGTAACCATCCAAGCACAGCTCACAAAACTCCCCTCCGGTGTTGTCTCCGCAACCCTGGCAGACACCGGTGTCCGGGTGACAGGGTAGATCACTGTGACTGTTACAATCGCAGGGGACGCAGTCAGAGAAAGGCCCCATGTCTAATGAGGCTCGCTTGAAGCCTGGCGCACAGCTCTCACAAAACAGACCCTGGGTATGGCAAGAGTAGACTTGAATAAGGTTGAAACGTTTGGAGATTGATATGCACAACGGTTACCAAAGGAGAGTTGGGAAAGACCACTGGGAGGCACATTGGAACGCATTGGTGAAGTTCTGCATGTAGCACTTTCTAAATCTAGGGTATGAAAGCCCAATTCATAAGCTTTCTTTTAGTACAAGAATCATTCAAATCACTCATGTACTTTTCATGTTACAGAATTTTAAACTCAACCACCGTTTTAAAGTTCTGTCCACGGATCACAAGAAGGTAAGTGTTCTTAACGAAAACAAACCACATAGGGATGTGTGCAAGGGCGGATCCAGAACACAATTTTGGGGGGGACCAAAACAATTTTGGGTCCCCCCAAAAAGTGGGTCAAAAAAATTACGGCGTGGGGTTCGGGGCCCGCTTAAGGGCCCCGAAAATTTTTTGGATTCTAGATGCTCTGTGGTGTGATCTGAGGCAATTTCTGACCACTTTAACCAATGTTTTTTGAGGAAAAGATGGTGGTGTACTCATTGCCTGCCTTTATTGCGATGTCACATAAAAAAAAAAAAATTGATTTCGTTTTTGGGGGGGGGGGGCCATGGCCAAAAAACCAGACATCAAATGAGGGCATCAAATGAGATGCTTGATCTAAACCTCATATTGACTTTGTCATTGATGCCTTACCGTGTACTGAGCAGGGCAGGTACAATTCTCCACAAAGTCCGCGGATTCTCCCGTTATTGAACCATCACCCTGCATGGCATAATCTAGCATGGCACTATGCAGGAATACTGACTCCCCAGGTAGCTGTGTATACAACCAAATGCAAATTAACTTTGAGAGAATATAGTTGCAATTTCATGAGCAAGTTGGGCCCATTAACTTTTTAACGCACTTGTTTGTACATTGTATAGACTATGTTAGATGACCTCAAAAACCTGCAAGATTTTACGAGAATACAGCACATCCGGGCACCGTGTATAGGATCTTTAACTTATGTGATGTCCTATTTTGTTGCGTGTATTTTGTGTCCTGACTGGGCCCATCCATTCATGGGTATTAAAGAAAGCACTACAATTTACAACATATTAAAAAATATTGCGAACTGATGGCTATTATAAATTAAAAATATTGACCTCAATTTCTGTTCAGTCAATCACGCGGATAACAAGTGGGTGAATTCAAACACGGGAGTCTGTGACTAGACTTGTCAGTGTTTGGTACCAAGATGTTCACATAAAACGTGAACGTGGATTGGCGAGACTTACACGCTCTATCACAGCAATTTACTCCTTGATAGTTCCATAACACCGCCTTTTTTGTTGTTGTTGTTGTTGTTGTTTTTGAGTGGGGGGACTAATAGGTTAAAGATTTACGTACTGTCTGTGCTGGTTTTTTTTTAGGGCGATCAACTCGTAAGCACACCCACACATACACACCCACGTTTGTTTTACATACGCTATGTGGACATTCCTTTGTTTTCGTGTAGTTAAGAAAACTCGGTACAAAAAAATAACTTTACCTAAATTGTGAAAACTCTTTCAACCCCCAATTTTTAATTTTTTTTGGATTTCCTTGGATGTTTCTCTTTATTCTGTGACAGATAACCCTAACCCGAAATGTCTCTAAACCTGTTTTCCAGAGAGGGCGAAACGTTATGTGGACACGGCTTAGTCCACATAACGTCAACACAACCTGCATTATGTGGACATCTTTTGTTCACATGTCCACATAGTGACTGCAAGACAAACTCACACCCTTTGCTCTTTACAGTATAAGTGGTGATATATTCCTTCCAAAAATCAAACATTTTCATCAACTTACGATAAATCAAGCTTCAATGCAATTAAGAAGCTATCGCAACTTGCATTGCTGAAATTTGGCAATGTTAATTTTATACTTGCAGATTGCATATAATAAAATTGGATTTTCCGATGCCATGCATGAAAAACTGCTCACTGTTAAATTTGGTGAACTCATTGGATGGGTGCATTTGGACTTACCGTAGTGTATTTGGCCCGGATGCGGATGGACCGGATACCAGCTAACATCTTGATCATAAATTCAGCGGTTGGCTGGTCCCCTTGCAAGCTACCTTTGCGCCAGTAGTTCTCATGTAGCTTGAACTATTGAACATTAGGTCAATCAGTAACAAATGCGTAAAAATGTTTGTTTGTGAAATTATCGATCAACATAAGCAACGTTTAAAACTCAACCTGTGCCCATATATGTGAACAAAAAGTAAATAGAAACAAATCACAAAAGAATTAAGCAAACCATAAAATAAAATATACAGAGAACAATAGATATCAACAATAAACTAGAAAGTCTGTGATGCTGGAATTGCCACATTTAGTATTTTGAAATATATTTGCGGGTTAGGGTTAAGGAAGACATAGAAATGTCTCACCTGGTACTCTGTCTCATTCATATTGGTGTTTGGTACATACGGCAGCGCGGCAACCAGTGTCTCATCCACATAGGTTCCATCAATGAAGACATCTCCCTCTGGATTTACAGAGGGGTCTTGGGCTGTTGACTGGCTGAGCGTGAAGGTCAGAGACTGGCCGTAGGCCGTGCGGAAATCACCGTGGAAGACAGAGGGTGAGGCAAAGAAGAAGTCAGTGGAGTTACTCAGCTCGGTCAGCTCTAGAATCAATCTGTAAGGATGAAATACAACGGCAAGAAAATACTATTCTGTCTCGTTGAGAATACCTTTTAAGTATTCGAATGTCAACAAAATACATAAATGTCTCGTCAGCAGCTGTGGTAAACTGGTTCCTGTTACGCTGCAATAAAGACAATTACATCACTGGATCCACGATGGCACCAAATGCACTGTTTGCCAAAATGTAAACATTACATATAAACATTAATGATATAAAATGAAGATTTCAGTGAGTTAATTCATGAAAGTTTTTTGTGCATGAATTTTTCTGTTTTCTGGAAGCTAATCGTGATGTGTTAATGCTCATTAAACGACACTGCCACTGGTGCATTGCTGCGCATGCACATGGGTGTGAGCTGTCCATGCATGTTACAAATGTGCGGTTCCGACCGTGTTGGTCATTTGCGTTACATGACTATTACTTGGCTTGGATTTTCTTTCATTTTCAGTAAGTTAATGAAATTTAATGAAAGCGCATATCGATGAGAGACCTGCTGGTATTATTTTCAATTGAATGGAATGGAGATTAAATACTCTACATGGTGTCTAAAACAATGTAGCAGTCAAACAACATACCAGGTACTTTTTCTGAGGAAACTAAATTGGGTTTTTTTGGTAAAAAAAATTACCATGAGATGATAGTGTTCTTTAACCTTGGCAGGATATTTGTTCGGTGTGATATGGACCTTTTGTTTAAAAGTTACGGCAAAGCCTGTATTAAAAGACTTGGCAAAATCTGTTTGAGCCACTTTCGTCACCTTTTTGTTATGTGAAAGCCTTTCACAAGATACAAAGTAGCCCAACTTGGAATTCATGTCCATTCTAATAATTAGCTGTATCTCTGGACTTGGATGTCCAAATGAGATGGGATAAAGACCATTGTGTAGAGTATTTCCTATACCTTCAGACTCTATAGACATGTTTTGCAAAAAGAGAGTGCTGCACCCGATTTCATGAAACTCATCGATCCATTTCCCAAAACAAGTCGTTAAGTGCAACGCGTCATAGGTGTATTCATAGCACAACTCGGTGACTGTTTTATAGTCAGCGTACGCTAAATAGTCGGCTGAAATTCAACAAAGAGTCATCAGATCTCTGCTTGAAATTTGTTAAAACGTAAAACAAAATGGCGGCCGTGTGATGCAATTTTAAAGGAAAACAAGCTCTCACTGGACTGTATAGTTACTTTGAAATTTCAACTGCAATATTCCAGGCTAATTCATAATTATTCAATGAATTTTCTATTTACAACTTTACACACATTGCCTCGGTATTATAGTCTCGCTTTATGGCATAAAACTGGCTAAGAAAAGGACTTTTCTTATTTTGCGATGACCACTAGACACGTCGTAACTTGCGACGAGTTTAATTCGTCACGTTTCGTGAAATGGATTATACGATGCGTCGCGAGTTGCGACCTGTTACACGTCGTAACTCGAGTTGCAACGCGTCGCAGTGCTTCGTGAAATCGGGTGCTGGTAATATTTATGGATATGTATACTGCTACATTTTTGTGGAGACACCCTGTGCATGCGTATAGAAACCCTCTTGTCAACTTTAAATGTCATGCTGGTGGAAATTGCTATAAAGAATGACCACTATAACAAACCTTCTTGGACCCCATTATGTTCATTATGTGATGTTCATTATGTGATGTTCAATTGTATCACATTATCTTTCAGTATATATGTTTACTTGCAAAAGGACTTGACGACAACACTGAAACATGCATAAGGATTACCTGGGATTGGACACATCCAGAATGGGCACTTCACTGATTGCAACACTGTCACCGGTACCCGTCACCCCGGTCCAACGTGGATCAACAGCTCCAAAGTTAAGCAGGGACCAACTGCTGACGACCTGGCCCCTGAACCAGGATAACGCAGTGCTGCACTGCGTGCTGTGTGAGGAGCAATAGCAGCGGGCACAGCCACGCTCACTCCAGGGCCCAAAGCCATAAAAACCTGCATGGGAATAGAAGGTTGAATAAAAAGGGCGTAACCAACCCCGAGAGTTGAAATGGTGTTTTAATCTTCAAACAAAATTGAATTCTCGATCCTGATTGGTTGATCCATGGCAACCAGGCCACATTATCCTATATACCACGATCCATACCGCACCCCGCATATTGCACTAATCCAAGATATGTGCACCATTCCTGCTGAAAAGTTTGTGGACAGCGTGCCCAATCCAACTTAATACAGTGTGTCAAGTTTGCTTGAAGATAAATTTGTTATCCCACTCACAGTCGAGGAACACGGAAAATGTAGTGCGTCGCTGTCCCATATGCCACTCTATGTGACACAGATGCACTACACTATTCCGTGTTCCACTCATACTTGTACGGTGGGATAACTAATAGTGTCTATTAAGTTTGTATGAATTGTGACCAATCCGCAGATGTCTACGGTATATGTTGTTCAACAATCAAGGCTGACAACATAATTGTGGGAAGCGTGTTGCATCCAAGTCAGGTTAATTTTTGCTCGTTTCAGTCTTCAGGGTTCCTACACTTTTAGGACAACAAACTTTTCAATCACCAAATTATGAAAATATAAGACCTAGTTCATCAAAATGCAGATCAGAACTGTAAAACTTGTTCCGTGAAAAGTGCTTAACAGAAACAGAAAAATAACAAAACAAAGCAACAATGTCTTTTGAAATCAAAATGCTTGCATCGGCGAAATTTGTCGCATTTTGTCGGCTATAAAAATCAGATTTTCGATGCTGAATTATGAATATACAATATTTAAAATTTAAAATAAATTGGTCTACACAAAATTCAATGACTTTTCCACGACTTCTGTCATTTTTACAAATTTCCATGACTTTTTCAGACCCGGAAATTAAAAATATAATTCCATGACTTTTCTAGGTTTATTCCAGGTCACAGGAACCCTGAGTCTTGCTCTACCCCATTTTACTTTGTTAGCCACAAATTTTCACTGCACTTATACATATATATTAAATAGTAGAAAACACATACCAATTATATTAAAGGAGCTAAGCAGTAAGCACTTATGAAAAATTGGAAGCAGAAACAAATTGGAATGAAGAGTCAACCACCTTGCTGGGGCGGGGGGGGGGGCACACATCGATAACCACGGACCAATTGACCGATAAAGAGTCGAGGTTACCTTACCCACAATGCATTACCTTCTTTACACGCTTCACATTTGTCGCCGGTGGTGCCCTCACTACACAGGCAGTTGCCCGCGCTGTCACAGCCACTTTGCGCACTCCCCACCTGATCACACTCGCAAAAGGTACAGCCCTCTGTTGTCAACTGGTAAAAGCTGGGGGAGTAACAGAACAAAATGTAACATCTATTAAATTGTAGTGATGGGAAATACAATACAAATATATCATTCGGGAAATATACTGATATACAAGTTTGGCGGCCCTCAGGTCGACCTTGTGACGACACAGAACAGTTTGCGACTGACTTTTCAGGATCAAGCTGCACCTGAGCTACGACCGTCGGGAACATATCAGTTGCCGATTTTTGCAATCGGCGCTAAATAAAAATCAACAGTCGAAAGAGTAGAAAAACGTGTTCCCGACATGTAGGAATATATCGCAGTCAACATGTGTGAAGTTACAATGTCGTACGTGCATCCAGATCATCTTATTTCACTGTATAGCCAATCAACGTGCGGCAAAAATGGTCCAATGAACAGACGGGGCTGTGGAAGGTCGTTTGATTGTCATCAACACGTGCACCGCCATTTGAAGACATCACCTGATCACGTCTATGCCGAGGAATCGTTGCCGTGTCGCGGGTGACGTGAGCATGGTTGAGAATATTTTGTGTCAAGATGCCGCTTGTTCCACGAGAATCAAAACTTTCTCAGTTTTTGTGACCTTAGCATTACTATTCTGCTTGATGCCGATGGTTCCGTCGCGGTGCAAGCACATCGCAGGTCGACCTGAAGCTGCCCTTTGTCTTCGTATAGTGTCATAACATTAAATAAAGGGATTTTCATGAATATTTGTACAATCCAGACTTCTTAAAGTCAATAAAAATGTTCACACAAGTCAATCATAGTTCGATTACAAGGTCACAAGTAACAGGGGATGAACAATGACAAAGGAGTTTGATAATCACAGCTCATCTGAATAGCTGGCTACTTGACTTGACACAGGGTTGAAATCCAGTCCCTATCTGAGTCTAACAAGTATATTGAAATCTAAGCTAGTGCATTAGGAATTCAACCTGATATACTAAAATGAGTGGTCTGATTATTTGATCAATGAAATACTGAAAATGTCCTTTGCTTTACTTAAAATTAAACTTCTCGGCAAATTTTCTGCATTGAAAGAGAAGCTGTGCCATACCCAGGTGCACATTCAGTGCAGCTCTGTCCCCCGATGCCTGGTTTGCAGCTACATTGACCCAGGTCATCACACGCATTGTCCAGGGAGTAATCAAGATCACAGGTACAAGGGGTGCAGCCAGTACCTGCTCAAATCAACAACATGAAAATGTATTTACGTGAAGATGCCATTACGTCAAGATGAAGATGCTATTACATTGCATTATTATGCAAATAATTAGTGTTTATGAGTGCAATGGTGAGAATATTTTTATGAGTTAAAAGATTGAATGTTCCATTCAACGAGGTGAAGCCGAGTTGATTGGAACATTCAATCTTTCATCAAATGAAAATATTCTCACCATTCCACGAATGCAAAACATTCATTATTTGTATATCTTTGTCAAGTATATCTTGTCATTCGATTGGAGGATAAAACTTTAAGAACAAACAAAGCTCACAAAATTGTATCATATCCACTACTTTTTTTCTAGCTTTTTCAAGGCTAACAAAGGTTTAAAAATTAAATCATTGACAATAATGAAAATTAACATTGTAAGTTCTTAAAACAATGTCAAAAAATCATCAAGGCAACTGCATCAACTTCAAAGGCAAGTTTGTAATGCTATAACGCATGATAAATGTCTAAATAGCGCAAAGATCTATAGCGCCAAGATCCGCTGCGCGTCTTAGCGTGCGCGCAGCGTGCAATAGATCAAAAGGGATGGGACGAAAATGCATGGTGAATGGAACCAAAAATGCACAGTTATGACATAGGCCGTGCAATGGTTCAATTAATGAATGCCGCGTGACCTACAATCCTCCAATCAAATGAGAAAGATTTACTTGGGTGTTATATAAGGTAATACAATTATGCATTTGCATAAGTTTTGATGAGCGAGGAAAGCACGATAATAAGTAGTCTAAAATTAAACATATTTAAAAACCCATGTAAAAGCTGTAAAGAAAAAAAAACCCAGTAAGAATGACTGGTTTGATTTGTTAGTAACTAGAAGTGAATGCAATACTCAATAAACCCAAAGGGATTCAAGTTGTCGACCTCCCCGTGGTGAATCCTGTTAACTGGCGCAAGTCAGGCGAACGACAACTACCAGAGTTAGTAGAACTTACATCAATCAACTTCTTACCACTCGTCTACACTCGTCTACACGATGGATCGTCAGCCACAACAGACTAGAACCAACCCGCAGCACGTGCCCTCATCAGGGCAGGCACCTGCGGATGCCGTACGGGCTGGTATCTCCCTGCTGCAGCTGAATGTAGAGGGCCTAACCAAGGCCAAAATCACCATCATTGAACATTTGATGCAGACCAACAAAGTCAGTGTTGTCCTGTTGCAAGAGACCCATATGAGCGACAGCTCTCGTCTTAAGATCCCTGGATATACCTTAGCAGCTTACACTGAAAGCGACATCCATGGGATCGCCACTTTTGTGCGGAATTCGGCCAAGTGGAAAGCAGTAGCAGCCTCTGCCTCCGATTCTGACCTGGAATGGACAGCAACTCAGGTGGAAGGTGTGACTGTAATTAACGTCTACAAGCCACCCCGAACCAGACTACTAGTAGACTCCATCCCAACATTTGATCAGCCCTGCATGTACGCTGGAGATTTCAACTGTCAGAGCACGACGTGGGGTTACCGCACGACTACCCTAGATGGTTCTGCTCTCGAAGACTGGGCCTCAGCCTCTGGTGTCCACCTTCTGTATGACTCGAAAGAGCCCGACAGCTTTCGCTCTGGTCGATGGAACACAACATCTAACCCTGACCTAGCCTTTGTCAACCTGAATGGTCCGTCCCCACACCGTTCAGTTTTGGACCCTTTCCCCAAGTCACAGCATAGACCATCACTCATCATTCCGGATAACCCTGTTGTGCCAATCTCTTCCAGACCCGTAAAGCAATGGAACTTCAGAAAGGCCAACTGGAATCAGTTCAGAGAACTGGTTGAGTCTGGGACAGACACCCTCCCTCTTCCTACTAACGGGAATTTGGACAAAGCCTACTCTGCCTTCTGCAAACTTCTAATCGACTCGGCTAAGCATGCTGTCCCTCGTGGATTTCGTCGCAGCTACATACCGGCTTGGGATGAAGAGTGTGATAGATGTTACAATGCATTTATACATTCTGACAGTGATGAAAAGAGTGCCACACTGGCCACAGAGCTGACAAAATGCCTAGATCAGAAGCGGAGGGAACGCTGGGAAGAGACAGTCCAAGGCATTGATTTCACCCATTCTAGCAGGCTGGCTTGGATGACCCTTAACCGTCTCACTGGCCGCAGCTCCCGTCCGAAGCATTGCCCTGTCACAGCAAACTCCATCGCACATCAGCTGCCTGCTAATGGCAACTTTGAGAATGCAGACAAAGACCACGCCCGGATTGTCAAACAGGAAACTTCAAGACTCTGGAATGCTCCAGGCGTAGATGGCTTCCTTTCCAAACCCTTCACATCTGCTGAGCTCGCACTGGTTGTCTCCCAACTAAAATGTGGGAAAGCCCAGGGCCCGGATAACATCTTCCCAGAATTTCTAAAGCACTGTGGTCCCAAGAGCCTGGACTGGCTCCGTGAGTTTTACTCGACCTGCCTCACTGGATTGCACATCCCGAAGATCTGGAGGAAATCTACTGTTATAGCCCTCCTGAAACCCAACAAGCCAGCAGATAATCCCAAGAGCTACAGACCAATCTCACTCCTGTGCGTGCCATTCAAGCTTCTCGAAAGGCTCCTTCTGGCCCGACTCAACCCAGTGGTTGATCCCCAACTTCCGGATGAGCAAGCAGGCTTCCGTCATGGTCGGTGTACCACCCATCAGATTGTCAAGCTTACCAATGATATCGAGGTGAGTTTTGAAAAATGCAACAAGGCAGGCGCTGTTCTAGTGGATCTCACTGCAGCTTATGACACAGTGTGGCATCATGGCTTGACACTAAAGCTTCTCCGCACCATTCCAGACCGCCACCTAGTGCGGTTCCTCGCAACAATTCTTGCGAACCGCAGCTTTGTAGCCAAGACCAGCGATGGACAAAGTAGCCGACCACGTCGCCTACGGAATGGGGTGCCCCAGGGATCAGTTCTGTCTCCCATGCTCTTCAATATCTACATCAGCGACCTACCTTGCACAGCTTCACGGCAGTATGGCTATGCAGACGACCTGGCATTGCTGTATACTGATAGGAACTGGAACAAAGTAGAGAATGCGCTTACGGCTGACATGGAGCTACTTACAGACTACCTCAAGAAGTGGAGACTCAAGCTGAGCGTTGCCAAGACTACTGCAACTGCCTTTCATCTCAACACCAAGGAAGCCAATCGACAGATGACTGTTCTTCATAACGGGACTCCCCTACCGAACAACCCCCACCCAACTTACCTTGGAGTGATACTGGACAGACAGCTGACATACAGACAGCACCTCGAAGCCCTACGAGCAAAAGTGTCGGCAAGGAACAACTTGTTGCGTCGCCTGGCTGGTACATCATGGGGTGCATCAACATCCACCCTTCGCACAGGAGCTCTAGCCCTGGTTTACAGCTCTGCTGAATATGCTGCGCAAGCGTGGTGCAGGAGTACCCACACCAGAAAGCTGGACTGTGTACTAAATGACACCATGCGGCTCATCACTAGATGTCTCCGTCCTACACCCACAGATCTCCTCCCAGTCCTCGCTGGAATCGCACCACCAAGGCTACGCCGCGAGAATCTGACAGACAAGCTCACAACCAAATCCCTTGCCGATGATGACCACCTTCTTCACAAAATTACGACAGAATCCCAGGACCTAGGTGGCCAACGCCTCCGATCGCGTCGACCTTTCTCCCGACATGCAGCCGCCCTCAGCAGATCCGACTTTAGCCTAATACAAGAGTGGGAAAAGGGCTGGGAAGGGACGGTTCGCCCAAGGCAGTTCACTGTTCCCCCTGGCACCAAAGCTCCTGCTGGCTCGGAACTACCCCGGAGGAAGTGGGTTACACTGAACCGGCTGCGAACTGGGGTTGGGAGATTCAATGCCAACATGCACCGCTGGAAACTCCGGGATTCACCGGCATGCACCTGTGGTGCAGATGAGCAGACGGCAGATCATATATTATACCACTGCCCCGACCTCCAACCTCCTGACGGGATGACTGATCTGTCGTGCCCAAAAGACGCACAAATCAACTGGCTTACGCAGCTCCAAGAAATAGCCTGATGTACAGTACTACTAACTCACACGAAAGAAGAAGAAGAAGAAGAAGAATAAACCCAAACTACCACAAATTCATTAAATCCAAACTTTCTTTTGCTACATTAGGGAGGTTTTAAGTTACACATTTTGCTCAACGCGTACGTTGAAATATGCTGACAGAAATTTAAGCATAAGAGTTTCATATAAACTTTGTAAAATGCTGAATGGGATATTTTTCTTGTGACATTCACGCGCATACCATTACTTCATGTGGAGATAGCTAGATCTTGTTTTTGTTCTGAATGTCCCATTGATTTACTAAAGAGGGTGTAATTTTCTGGAAGTTCAAAATGTACGACTACAAATGAAACTCTTCACATAGTTAATGATATTAAACTTTTTATTTCCATCTACATACCTGTGAACAGCCCATAATGTTCTGTCAAGCATGCGTCACATTTGGCACCCATCACGTTCACATGGCAGTCACAGGCTCCCGTAGTCTCATGGCATGACGGTGTGATAGCACCATTGATGTCACAGCCACATGCTGAAATATGAAAGAGTAAGAAATCTGTGACACTTACTCTCAATCAGAAGTCACGTTTTTACGCACTGTGGAACTTTCGTGAAATGTGTCATAATGACCCATAACTGAAATGTTGCACAAAGTCAAATGTTGTGCTATTGCACAATAAAATGTGATGAAGTGGAGTCATGCCATTGCATACAGTATTGTGAAATGGGCTGTTGAATAACAGATCAATTTTCATAATGACAAAAGCTATTTTCTTAGATCTGCCAAGAACATGAATAATTCACGTCTCCATAGATTTCATGAAGTTGTATGGGAAAATATTTCAAATGGTCTGAGGCACTTACGTGTGCAGCCTGCCACTGTGTCGTAACCATAGTGATACGCTGCGCAGTAGTCACATGACTGTGAGGTCACGCCTTCAATGCACTGGCATTGGCCACTGTACGAGTCGCACGCTGTACCTGGCACAGTTCCAGCATCATTACACGAACAAGCTAAGACCAGAGGGAAAAATACAAAAAGCAGAATAAGTTGTCAGAAGAACTGAGTTAAAACAAATCAAATAAAAGCAAAGTAATCAAATGTTAGTTGTTACTATGAGGACATTACCATTTGAAACCTACTCTTAATCTTTACTTTCCTTTTAAATATTTTCATGGTGGCACTGACAATCCTTTTTACACCCATGCTACATACTCATGCTACATATTTAATCAGTGTAGAATCCATACAACCATACAGTGCTAAGTTGGTTTGGGGTGGTACAGGGAGTAATAGGCAGGGCAGTTTAAGGTGCTACAGGGACTAATAATGGGTTATCCAGATTAATATTAAAATCACATATTTTTATATAAATCTTACCGACAGCTCCGTTGTAAACTTCGGCCATTATGGAGAACTCATACTGTGAGCATTCCCCTGAATCCACTGTCAGGCCAGGCCTGGCTATGACAGCTGCCTCCCAACAGGATGTCATGACCTCTCGGGTCAGGTTAGAGGTCATGTCAGAGGTGAAGACATCCAGGTCATCCAATACAGGAAGCAAGACCACCTGGAGAACAACGAAGATGGTTGAACCACATGGCTATGATCTTATGTTCCTTACCAAATCTCACCGCCATATTTTGGGAAAATTCAATATTGTAACTCTGATTTACAAATGTACATGTGGGAAAAAACAATAAAAAAGATCAAAAAGATGCGATATTCAGACAAATTTGTACTCACCGAATCCAGAAGAATGATAGCATTCTCGCCTCCATCAGACAGACCAATTTCAACTGAGATATTGTACTGGCTTGCTGCATTCAGACAGGCTGAGCCAAACCGCAGTGCACCTGAAAGGTCAACGAAGGGATTTGTCCTCTCAAAATGATTTTGGAGTAATACATATCCAAAAATATCTTGTTGCTAAAAGGTCCCGTTTTAAAGTCTTTGTTCGATAGAAATGTTTGGGAAAAATTACACATCTTTTTCTTTGTCTTTCATTTTTGTGTTTCAATGTGTGAATGTTACATCCATATCAAACATTTATATATTTGCCGAGTAAAGTTGATAGAATTGTATTTTGAATGCTGTTTGCTGGTCTCTGAGGCTGAGGGCCGGCAGCCTAGTGTCATCTTTGCACCTATCCCACTGCCTGACTGACTGTCACTTGTGACTTGGACTGGTTGTAGGCTGGTGAAGAGAACCGGGCAGTGCTATTGTATAGGATAACCACATAATGCCAACGAATGAGCTAACTCCAGCATATTGTGAAAAGATTTCCAGTGAATAGCTATTCTTAATCTGAATCAATCAAATATAATTTGTGCACTTATTGTAAGACTTATTCTCAAGTACGTTATTTGGACAGTCTAATTTCTCAAAGTCAAGCACAAATCAATAACGAAAACTGCAAATAAAATGTTCACGGTGAACATTTACCTCCAACTCCAGCTGCAGGTATGTTCGATGGCAGAGCTATGGTGTCACCAGACTGCGTGGTCCCCTGGCACTCATAGGCCGTGGGTGCTTGCTGGTCCAACGCAATGCGAACATTTGGGAAATTAGCAGCACTCTATAGATAATTGGAACAATAAAAGAATTGAAGAGTTTATATCAAAAACGTGATAAACACCATTTTTTTCCCTTTTAGAATCCCACTTTCTCCTGTCTGCCCAAAGTCAGTTTTGACGGCTGTTCTACAGTTCAACACAATTTAAGAATACAATAAAGCGAAAAATGTAGTTTAGAAACAGCTGTCATACTGTTTTATTCTTTAAAGTTTAATAACTGTGCACATTTTCTGTTTTAAAAGAAAATTACATATCGCATTCTGGAAATAAACTCTTCAATTGCTGAGCCAAATGTCAGTTTGCGATAAAATGCAAGTGACTTGATCCTAGTACAGCAAGAATGAGACTGACTCAGGCACATTTGTGGCTCGATTTGACTCAACCTTGTTGACCACATGATTTAAATTGACTCAAGTCACTGCCTTAGAAGGACTCGCTCGAGTGTCCAAATGTACTGACTGATTGTATCACTGCAATGTACACGTCAGGTATGTAGAATACAGTTACTCCGTCCTATGATTACCTCATATCTCAGCACCATTTCATAGGCCTGTGTGCGGGGAATGTTCACATCAGTGAATGTGACTATAGTTGAAATGGGGACAGCTAGAAAGCCTCTGCCTGTGTGCCTGGCAGTGTCGGTATCGGTAGGTCTCTCCTCAATGGTAACATCCTACAAACAAAATGGATTAATCAATGTCCATGACAGAGCCAATTAACCACGACATCTAGCGATTCAGAGAAATGATCCCAAACTCGTAGTGTTGATCTCCTTGACCATTAATAGATGATGGTTGTATAAGATTTCTTCAAGTAAAAAAAAAATATCTGATTTGCAATGTCCGTGACGCTATAATCTAGAATCCCAAAATGTGGGTCAAGAAATTGGGCTCAGATATTCAGAACTGACAACCTCCAAATTCCAAAATCAGTTTTCCTAAAGCCAGAAATCCGTATTTTTATTCCAAAATCAGTATTTTTTCAAAACTGATGAATAATGCTTACCAAAAGAAGCCTATGTATAAAACTGCCGTTACACGTTAGTTCTACAAGTAGTACTAGTATAGGCTAGCCAAAAGTAATGGCATAATTTTAAAAATGCTTCATTTATGTTCCTATTTAGGCCCCCCCAAAATAGTAGGTCAGTCGAACATTTTTTTTTGGGGGGGGGGCCAATTTTTTTTGGTGCTGATTGAATGGGTTATTCAATTAAATGCAAATTTCAGCATGAGTCCACTTAATTGTGTACCTGACCACATCTTGATAAACCCAAAAGTTAAATTGTGAGAATTTTGTTGTTGAAAACATAAGATTAAGCATCATCATTATTATTAACAAAACCAAATTCATGTCTGTCAGAAAATTCTTTTCTCCTTTTTCAACTTTTGAGCCAAGCTGGCAACAAAACACTGATGCCGCATAAGATGTATGCGGCAATTCTCTTGCGATATTCGCCCTTTGCACGCTTCCGCCATAAGCATGCAGAGCCTTGATCTGGCAACTTTACACAATAAATATACTGATTCCCGTGTCGGGGTTCAGTGATTCCCATGTATGCATGGAATCACTGAACCGGCTATATATATTGTGTAAAGTTGCCAGATCGAGGCTCTGCATGCTTATGGCGGAAGCATGCAAAGAGCGAATTAGGTCCTATGTTAGCTTCAGAAATATACGACTAGCGCAATGGCTCAATTTTTGAGGACTAAAATACTGTACTCAAAAATTCCTGTGTGTAGTATTTACACAAAAGCAGCCAATTTCCAAGGTATGTTTGTGTGAACATTTCATATTCTACTTTAGAACGATCTTCCCAATCATAATCATTTTGTGGAAAATGCATTTTCGAGCCCAAATGGGCGCATTCTCTCAAATGTATTCCTTTAAAGGACATATCAAATAAAAGCACAAGAGTAACAAGTCTCACCTTATCCGCCGATGCCAGCTCCCCCTCATACGTCAACCCATCCAGCTTAGGCACATAGTAACCCGTCACGGTCAGATTGCAGGCCCGGCCGGCAATGTTAGGCCTGCATGTACAAGCCCCGGTGGTCCCATCACACTGACCACTCAGAGAAGCTCCTATGTCACAGCTGCATAGGGAGCAGCCATCAGGATTGGCTGTATCTAGGTTGTAGCTACCGGCCTGCAAATTAAAGAGACCATGTAAAAGAATTTGGTTTAAACAGATTCCAAAAATGACTCCCACCCATGAGCCACACCCATGACTCACACCCATGAGCCCCACTCATGGGCCACACCCATGAGCCCCACTCATGAGCCCCACTCATGAGCCACACCCATGAGCCCCACTCATGAGCCACACCCATGACACACACCCATGAGCCCCACTCATGAGCCCCACTCATGGGCCACACCCATGAGCCCCACTCATGAGCCCCACTCATGAGCCACACCCATGAGCCCCACTCATGAGCCACACCCATGACACACACCCATGAGCCCCACTCATGAGCCCCACTCATGGGCCACACCCATGAGCCCCACTCATGAGCCACACCCATGACACACACCCATGAGCCCCACTCATGAGCCCCACTCATGGGCCACACCCATGAGCCCCACTCATGAGCCCCACTCATGGGCCACACCCATGAGCCCCACTCATGAGCCCCACTCATGAGCCACACCCATGAGCCCCACTCATGAGCCACACCCATGACACACACCCATGAGCCCCACTCATGAGCCACACCCATGGGCCACACCCATGAGTCGCACCTATGACCCAGACCCTGGAGCACACATACTGGAATTTGTATCCTTGTGGAGTCATTTCTTTGTTCTCGTGTACTAAAATTTGAGAGTTTGAAAGTGTACTTTCAAAATGCTCCTATTTTAATCAGCATTAATTTCCTGGGCTGAAATTTGGACTTAAAATCCCTTACATAAAATACTTCAATTTGGGATATATCTATTTCTATTTGGGATATAATCCATATATCTATTTTGTGATAACCTTGTGGAGACGTATTCACCAATAGAATTTCCCTGTGGAGACGTACACAATGCTTTGTTCCCTATTATGAACATGTCTCCACAGGGTACCGTGTACCAGATCCACACCCATGAACCACACTCATGACTCATTCCGTTGGTAAACACCTGTGAACACATGAGTCCCATCTGCATGTCTTGGCCATGAGCTAATCTCACACGATTCCTGCCTTCCCATCATACCTTGCAGGTGTCGCATCTGCTGCCCTCTACATTACTCTTGCAGATGCACTGCCCGGTGACTTTGTCACAGAAGTTGGTGGAGCCCAGGGAACCGATAGGGTCACAGTCACACGCTATAATTAGGGTGCAAGACCATGGCATTGTTCAGCATGAGGTAGCAGAAATACAACAAATTGCTTCCCTCAAGTTCTCAACACTACATAAATATGTACCTAAAACAAATTTCATACAAACAACCCGATTTTGAAACACTTGAACACAAATCTAAGAGAGGTATACTAACAATGTTGTTATGTTGGCATTATGTTGAATAAACTTGTGGGTCAAATCGATCTCTAACATTCTCTTTAAATTTTCAAAATGTATGGCGGAATAAAAAATATAGGTTTTTATGGGTTATGCTTTCAAAATAAGAGGCTCCCAAGTGTAGTGGAAAAATGTTTTTGTTTTGTTTTAAAGATTTCGTTGTGATCCCTGCGTTATACTCACGTTGGCAACCGACTGGATTCAGACCGTTCAGATTGAAGAACGTGTCTTTGCATTCATCGCAGTGTGCATTCTGCACGTTCAGCTTGCACGTACAGTTCCCGTCTATTTCGTTGCAGATTGTGTTGGGTTGTGTGCCATTCACATCACACATACATGCTGCAAAGGGACACAAGTACGTAAAATTAGTATCATGTACTAACAAGGATTTTCTAATTGCTTTGATTGCAGGTTCTTGAAATTTAAAAAAGCAATAAAGAGAAAATAAAAGAATCACAAAAGATTTTAATGCATATAGTTATTACAAGTCTGTAAACCAAAAGGCAAGAAACATGCCACTGAAATAAGTTGTTAGTTTATTATTTCTGCTCACATGTTCTTTATGATTGCTTGTATTTTGGTCTATTTTACACTTTTACTAAATTTTACGAACAGCGATACAAGTTCAATGTACTTCACTACATGAGATATCCAACATGGGTTTGTGGAACAGCCAATGAATGGTTCACACATACCAAAGAATTATGAGCAAAACTAGACAAAAGCTAATTTCTAACTCATAATTTTCTTGCATTACCCTTATTTTGTGCTTTCAAGTGTAGAACTCATTAGACGTTTATCATGCTGCCACCATTTTAGTCATGCTCCCTGTATCCAATAACAGTACTGAATGACAATGTTTTTGTGCAAAAAGGAACCAGACTATTTTTCCTTCTAGCCTCGCTTTGGTTACGTTGATTTGACATGTTTGAATTGGAAAAATCAAGATGGCCGCAACATGATAATGGTCTATTGAAAACCAAACAGATTCCACATTGAGTCAGAACGGTGAAAAAGAACCCTCAAACCAGTGAAATGACACAAATTTGTTCAAGAAAGGTGTTAGGAGAATTGGAAGGGGTTTTATCCAAGTTAATGTGTTAGTTACTCACGCCAGCAATACTGACTACACGGGTAAGGTTCCGTGACATCTGTGTTAGGAACAAAACATGGCATTAAATTTGGTCAATGTTAGTATTGAATGCAAATTAAAGCAGTGATTTTTTTTCTAAAGAAAAATCTGAACACAAGATTAATGTCCACTCATGGGACACCTTAGTAATGTCAGAAGCATTGGGCCAGCTATTGTTCTCAACAATTGTCATATCGCTACAACATAATGGCATCCTGTTAGTCCAAAATCAGTCTGGTTCCCGATCTAATGATTCCCTGACATCACAGGTCTGGTACCTGCACAGAACGCAAAAGCAGCAATATTAGGGACACCCTGCCCTGACTGAGTGCATATTTGAGGTACAACACCTTCATGGGCTCAACACACAGATACTGAGCCAGAATGAACTGATGTAATCCAAATCACAGGATTGATGACAGACATGATAAAATTTTTGATGTTAACCCCTTGACGCTGGTATTGTTCGGCCACGGGCAGCTGCACATTGGGTGGAATGTGTACGTGCAGGCATTCAGCCGTTGTCTATAAATGGATGCACTATGCACAGTATGCAGCAGGAATGCGGCAATAGCAGTCCCCCAGCTTATCGGCTTTTGTCGAGCTGCGTCTATCGCTGTCAGCCGGCGTTAAAGGGAATGTACATCATTGGCTTTTGCTGTTATTTTTAAAAATGAACTATTTGAGGGGTTAGTATAATAGATCAAATATTGTTACACTGACATGTTTGAAGTTTTGTGTTCGAAAATGCTGGAAAAGCCAAGAAAAACAAAAACGTTCAAGTAGTCTGGTTCCCTGACTCCACTAAAGATGAAATGGATCAATTTATAGATGCCGGAAAATTGTTAGGTCAGGGAACCAGTCTAGCTGGCCTGCACCCGTTCATGAACAAGTAACCAATAGCAAACAACATTTTGACTGAACAAAATGGTAAGTTTGGAGCAGTAGTTGAAAAATAGTTAGGTTTTTCCAACGGTGGTCGGCCGACCACCGTTGGAAGTTTATACAAAAATTCTGTTTTCTTGAAAATGACTTCACACCAGGTGCCATAATTTTACAGCATGCTTTACACTGTCATTAACCAACATCCTAGTAAGGTATTTCGTAAAAACTTGGTAGTTTTATTTGTCGATGTTTGCAAATGTTGTATATTCCCTTTAAGGGGTTAAATGCAACCATTAAACCTATCAGAACTCAACCCATCAAACCCCAAAGCCATATTTTGTTGAATCAAAGTCAGAAATATGTGAGTGCAGTTTCCCATATGGTGTTGGAATTTGCCAGGATGTGTATGGTTCCTAGTAAATCATGCTAGGGAGTTCGGGTTTTAATACACCCAGAAACACCCAGTAATAAGATCAATGACACTTTCTGAATTTTTGGCATTTTGTAAATTTCGGGAACAGTTTGGAACATTTTCAGTAGCAATTCCTTCTTGTACAATTCCAGAAGGAATTGCTAACTGACCAATCAGCTGGTCACATGATACTGACAACCACCTGATCTAAGAATCATTAGATATCATTACAATAATCAGGTTTTGGAAACCAGACTAGATACGTTTGCTTATTATTAATGAATTTTAAAAAGAATTAGTGCTGGGTCACAAACGAACGAGGAATGTTATGTGATCATTAGTATGGGTTTTAACCTTTGTCCTTCACATGGTTAACAAGCACTGGACAATGCTGGATGCTTTCCAAGATGGTGATAAAAAAAAATTCACAAGCTCGGGGTGAATCTTTAACCCATGATCTCCTACTTTACATATCAATGCAAAAATCCATCTTTGGGAGAATGGTATCTGAGTTGATGTAGTAATCAAGGCCTCACAAGTCCTCAAAAATGCATCCCAAGTTCTCCAGACTCAAGCAAAGTCACAAGCCATTCAAATGACCAGTAACAGCAGCAGTATCTGCTCAACCACTGTTGCTTGTGACTGGAGTTGTGACCGGACTTGTGACCGGACTTGTGACTGGAGTTGTGACTGGACTTGTGACCGGACTTGTGACCGGACTTGTGACCGGACTTGTGACCGGACTTGTGACCGGACTTGTGACCGGACTTGTGACCGGACTTGTGACCGGACTTGTGACCGGACTTGTGACCGGACTTGTGACCGGACTTGTGACCGGACTTGTGACCGGACTTGTGACCAGACTTGTGACCAGACTTGTGACCAGACTTGTGACTAGACTTATGACCAGACTTGTAACCAGACTTGTGATGGGACTTGTGGCCAGACATGTGACCAGACTTGTTATTTATGTTTGACAGGACCCGTGATGAATTTGTGATGGATTCGCCTACAACACTGTCCTGAGCCAAAAGCAAATGTCCATCATCATCTGTTATCACGATATGCCGCTTCCATTGCTTACCCACACATGTGTCGTTGTTTGCAGGGTCTGTATAGGGGTTCCTGAAGTAGTTGTCATTACAGCGTAGGCAATTGTCTCCACCTGTGTTCTCTGCACAGTCCTGACAGACCCCATGCCCCTTGGTGGCATCATAGATACAGCTAACAGCAAAGCCATTGCAGTCACACTCTGTCATTTGGTAGGAGAGAGTTTGAGGTAATAAAAGCACCTTTTGCTAACAGGGGACCAGTTGACCTGGCCCCTAACAAGTTTCAAACATCAGGTTTGTAACTGCTCAGTCACACACTATTAACCCCATTAATAACTAACTTTACAGTTAAAACAAAACTCAACCTAAGAGTTGACAAATTTCCCACAAATTTGTTCTACAATTCTACTCCATGTACGGACTCAAGCTCTGGTGTTTCTGATTAGCAGAGTGTGGGTTTGAGTCCCGGTCTTGACACTTGTGTCCTTCAGCAAGACACTTAACCATTATTGCTTCGTCCTTCGGATGGGACGTTAAGCCGTAGGTCCCGTGCGTTGTGTAATGCACGTAGCAGAACCCAGTAACACTTATCGCTATTAGAGAAGGGGTTTGCCCCAGTGTTTCTGGCAGAGGCTGCTTAATGCGCTGCAGCACCTTGTTAACCCTTATAAGGTGCTACATAAAGTAGGTCTCATATTTCAAATACGGTGAAATCTTGATAAGTCAAACCTCAAGGGAACAGGTTCAAAATTTGACTTCAGCAGAGTTTTGAGAAATCACAATCTAAACAAAATTCAGCCCCATTACCATACTCATTGTCTTCTCTTACTGTGTTAATTGCCAAAGGCTTCAATATCTCAAATTGAAAAACAGATCACCTATTGAATGCTATACTGGAACTTTTTCTAGTTCTATATAATTTTGATGACATACCTTCACATGCATTGGCTGTGTTTTGTCCTCTGACGGCCGCTTGCCAGGGTTTGTTGTTGAACAGTGGCAAGCAACGATCACAGTGACGGCCGGCGGTGTTGTGCTGACAGACACATTCAGATAAATCCTGTCAGGAACAAAAAAATGACCCATTTGATATTAGTAAGGGGGTCAGGGGCTGGAATAAAATACTTGACACTAAAATAAATGTAATGATCTTTGATTCTTAGTAGTGATCTTTGATTCACAAGTGGGCAATATTTGTTGCACTTTTGTTTAGCACCCCTTCAAGGCTCTGCTACACCTGTATGAAAAATCCACAATGGTTAACAAAACCCGAGTTTCTAGTATGAGAGAGGCCTGTAATAGATATATATGTTCATGACTATGAGCAATGTTTGCTGCAAAAAAAGTATACTTTTTAACCCTTTAGTCTCAAAAACACCCTGCCTATTACTCACTGTAGCGCCAGAAACCGCCCAAGCACTATGTGGTTGTATTGATTCTTCAGTGAATAAACACATTGTAATACAATGTAGTACAGGTGCTAATGGGTTGAAGGCCCTGGATATTTGCTTTTGCTGTAATTTTAAAGGGACACACCGTACTAAAATAACCGAAAAATAACTAAATACCTGTATAGGCCAACTTTTCTGGTCGATGTCTCATTGAAAAGAGAGTAAATTTTGTATTGCTAGCAATTTAGAAAAGGAACCTATTTCTTGGGATGAAACTCAAAAATAGCTAGGGAATGCAACTTGAAGTGGCTTGAATACAAAGACCTACCGCTCCCCTGCACTCCTCAGCATGGCCGAAGCACAAACACTGGCCGTTCACTTCCCAGTCAGCTACGGCAAAGTAGTTCCTAAAAGCCACCTCACTACCTGGTAGGCCCAGGGTGACACGGATGTTGGTGACAGTGAAGTAACGCGTGACTGAGTCCTGGGAGAAATCTGGGCCTAGCTGCTGAGCTGGATTGTATCGCACCTGATAACAACAACAAGATTCTAAATGATGTAAAATATGCCTTTAACTTAACAAATTCATTTGAAAAAAAAATTGGAATTATGAAGTTATATGATATAAACCTTAATAAACAACTGCATATTAAAGTTGTTTACAAGTGGTCTTTCACACATTCAATTTCTATCTCTGAAGGAAATTTCATTTGTATGTTTCATTCATACAGAAACTATTTTTATATTTTGGATGCTTTCAACCCTCTGAAAAAAACAACTGTTAGGCCAAAAAAAAAAATACTCCAGTCTCTGGTCAGCACGCGCGTCGATTTTAACCATGCGCGTCAACCTTTTTTTTCCCTTCAAATTAACACGGAAGCTACAACAGCGCCCTCTATTGCCGCACCTCCTAAAATTTTTGTACCAAGGAGCACCAAGGAATGGTGAAATTGCACCAAGGCAAATGATAGAGGGCACCAAGGCAAATTATGGAGAACACCAATGTATAATGAGGGCACAAAAAAGCAAAGTACCCACCTTGTCTGTACAATTCAAGCTTGAAAAAAAAAAAAACACCAAAAAAAAAAAAACCCCGCGTCGCCGCATCAATTCCGGAACTTCGGTCTGACCAGAGACCGATTTTTTTTGGGGGGGGGGGCCTTATTCTGGGTTGCTTTTGTACCCACGTATTGCACAAAAGATATGCCTAAATTAGTGTCAGCCGCAAATTTATATAGTAATTATTCTGTAACTAAACGCTGGCATATTTTTTTGTTTAATATGTGTTGTTCAAAAGTGAATAAGTTTTGTACATTGTATTGCTAGAAAAATAAGAATACAAAATCTATTTTGTTGGTAGACTCTAAAATAACATGGGCAGAACAATTTTAAGATTTCAAGACTACTTAAATGCATAAATTTGCATACTTATTATGTAAAAACGTTTAGTACAGTGCACCCTGAAAAGTTGCGTTACCTCTGTGTACAGCAAGTTGATTTGGCTAAAAGGACCAGTGGTTGGCGGACATGGAGCCGATATATCAACTGAAACGCCATATTTGATGCGGCAAATATTGTTTTAATTCAATGTCATTAAGGCAAGGATTACAAAATCATCGGGTGACCGGCAGAAGGGCATATGAGCATTCTGATGTGAAAAATCACTGTTCAAGAAATTGCATTGAAAGGCTAATGTTCCCCACGCGTATTAAAATCCAATGTTCTCCCATGCGTATTACGCTACGGCAAAATTTTTTTAAGTTGTCGTACGTATGAATAATAATTTTTGGAATTTGTGTCAATTTTCAAAGAAAAGGTTTAAATTTAATTCAAATACAGACTGTTTCTGCATATGCTCTTTTGCTGGAAAGATTTTGGTGATTACGCATTCGCGGGTTAAGGGGATGCCCTAGTGCCTGGCACACAACGACATACTCACTTTGTAGAATTCAGCCATATTTCATGTCTTTCCATTTAAGGGGGAATTTTTATTAAATAATCTGACACCTTGAAACACGGCCAAAAAATTCAATCATTACCATTAAAAGACAGGGGATATGAAGAGGGAGGCCATTTCGACCAATTACGTCCCTTTCACTTATTTGGCTGAATTGCATTACATTTAATTTGTTCTTATTTTTGCCAATGATTTCAGCATGCATCCAGCCGGCAATTATTTTGAATGGAAATACTCTCAATTGTTCAATCACAGTCAAGGGGAAATGAGATGGAAACAGCCATTATGCTACACACAACAAGCTGAAATGGTCCAACCATTGTTTGTACCAATGGAACAGTTAGTCTGTGACCTTGAATCCGATCATGTACAAATCTGAGCTGATGTGTTAAGGTAATACACAGAAGACTGAAACCTCTAAAAGATCTCTGGTCTTATTTTGAACTAAATAATGAATATCAATTGATAAAAAATAAATAAGACTAATTTAGCAAAACGAAATGACCTAATGTTTGGCAAGCATGCTTGGATGGAATACAAGTCTTGCACCCTCCCGTACGTGTACATGTACGTCTCAGTAAAGAATTATTAGGGCCTACTCATTTACACAACTTTGTATTTAAAATATAGGGGCCAATAGCACTCCGCACTAATGTTAAAAATAGAAGCAACTATGACCCGGATCTCAGAACTTCTCGTGTGAATATTATGCGCACGCTTGCAGCACCGTTTCTATGCGAATGTATGCGGCCAGATGTGCATGCATGTGCAAGCGTGATTGTTCGAAAGTTTGTCTGACATCCGAGGTATGCGCGCGTACAACGCGGAGCAAAATTGACGTCATTAGTGCAGAGTGCTATTTTATTTAGTTGCTGAGCACAGCCACAGAAAAACGAAAAGCACAGAAAAACAAACAATAAACGAATAAAAAGAACAGAAATTGTAATAAAGAGAAAAGAAATAAAATTGTAATTTAAAGGTTAAATATATGTATGTAACATTTGCTTTTGCTGTAATTTGCAGAAATGCATGGATATAGTATTTTTTAGTATTTTATAGCAAATAATGACTTGTGCCTGTTCACTGATATGTAACCGATTGCAAGTACATGTAAACATGGTAAAGTTACTGAATTTGGTCAATTGGGGGCAGTATTTGAAAATGAGCAGGTTTGTTTTTTCCAACGATGGTTCAGCTGAACCATCATTGGAAAATGATATAAAATTCCACTTTTCTTGAAAATTACAACACACCAGGTGCCATGACTTCACAGGATGCTTGAGATTATTTCCTTACACTACAGTCAAGTATGGTATTTCATAATAACTTGGTAGTTTTTAGTTTTGTTTTTTGATGTTTGCGAATGTTGTAGATTACCTCATTAGATGACAATGACAAATATATATTGGCAATATTATGAATTTGGGTGTGGGCAAATACCATCCAAAACAAGGCAACGCCTAAACCACCAATCAATATTGAAATCAACAAGCGGCATGCAATACTTATCAAAGCTCTGAAATTGCAGCAATTGACCAATTAATTATAATCAAACAGACAACAGGTGCATTGATAACTCGTGGACTGTACTCAGAAACTAGTGGGTGTGGTACCAAACGCTTGTATGACATCATGTCTATGTGTTCAGAAATTTGTGTCAAGGGACATAAATCAATCCTTTTCATTTGTAAAGCTAAAAGCCAGAAGCGTGCTCAGGTTTGGCAGGCAATAACAATTATTTATTAAATTTCTGAGGCTAGTTGTAACAGGTGCTATGGATGCATAATTGCAAGTGCATTCACAATGCTGACTACACTGCCTGGAAAATACAATGGTCTGCAGTTATTCAATTCAGGACTAAAAATAAAATATAATAGCCAGCACAGACAATTAATGTTTTGATGACGCATTTTGGTGGATTTTATTGGGACGAATGCCAAAAAACTTGCATGCAGCTGTGATTATTTTTTCTTGTGAAATAAACTGAATATTTCTCAACAACTTTTTTGTATTAAATAAATATTTTTTTAAACAAGTCATATATTCTGTAAAAGAATTATATTGACAACACAGAGAGTTTAATTGAAATGCTGCAAATGAAATTGTAGAAATACTACTTGGTAAAAAAAGGAGAAACTTAAAGTGAATTGGCCTAAAATTACTTACAGTTTCACCCTCCCTCTCTCCATGGCAAATTCAGGCACACCATCACAGCAGTCAATCCAGTTACTGTTTTTACAGTTAAGAATTCCCTAGTTAATTTGATATAGCCATGCTTTGACTGGAGGTGATTGATATGCCAGCTGTACCTACCAGTTACTTCTTTGTCTGTTGATGGAATTTGACTAGTCACAATGTTTGCACAAATGTGATCCGTCTGTTTTTTACTAGTCTGTAGGCCTATACAACTGCATGGCAGGGAAAGTGGAAGAAAGTTTTGACTGTCTGTGACTGATCAAACAATTTAATATTAAGCACTATCTACATGTGTGCTCAGAAAATTTACATACTGGCCGCTCTACATGTATGAGATTTGGCTTGTTAGACTTAACTTTATGAACTAATGAATTAAATCCAAAGACTTACCTCCTGAATATTACTATTGGGGATTTCTGTTGAGGCATCTCCAACAACGTATATCTCCTCACATATAGGAAGGTAACTTATAACACCTTCCACAGTGGGAACAGTAGGAAAAGTCTGGCTGCAGCTGACGGCATAGTACTGCAGGGGTAACCATGAGGTCCTCCCAAAATCGGTGTTCTTCTCAATGAAGAGAGACTGGGGCCGCGGGCTGCGGAAGGCAAGTGATGTCCCCTGGAAAAGAAAACTGTCTCCGAGTGTCAGCGTCAACTGAACATCCCGGGCCCCGTTCTCCGACTGCCACCACGTAGTCAGGTCGGGCCGCGAGATGAAGAACGAGGTGACCGAGTCATAGAGGGCGGTGTTCGGATGCGCATTTTGAGGGTTGGCGGCGTCGCAGGTCCTGCGCTCGTGGGTGTCTCCACTAGAGCTGGAGAACAGGAGCTCGTAGTCCATTGGTGGAGTGCCGCATGTGGAACTGACGGCAAGCGTCCTGTTAGGCAAATCCTGGATGAGATCAATGAAGGGTGGGTAGCATGCTTTGTTCTGACAATTGGGCGTGTCTTGGGCCGACACTCTGGTAGTATGGATGCAGCAATGGTGGGTTAAGCAAAACAGCAGCACCATCCATAAGATTTCAGCACACGGGCTCATTTTGAGAGTTCAAGTGTCCTTGCACCTGTCATTAATTCAGAAGGTCTTTGATCAGAGAAGCACAACTTGTTGATAAATATCTTGATATTTCAGCTTTTGGTAGTTGGTGGCGATGACTCACAAGCGAGTTCCATTATGCCCTGGATGTATAAAAAATTCAAATGAATATAAGTGTATTATGGATGAGCTCCATGTTTTAGTGTGTAAATAATTTGGTACCATCACTCCCAACTTATACAATACAGAATAGGACAAGGATCTAAAACCAAACACCAAATTATTTTGACACAATTCTAAGTACTAGGTAAGAGCTGATGTGTATAGACTTATCCATTATAAATATCACCAGGGAATTTGTTTGTCAAAGTGAACATAGCTTGAATGTTGAATTTGGCCATTTTCTCTACAATCTTACCCACAAAATTTGAATATCAATTTTAATTTTGTCCTTTTTTTCTCCAGAATTATTCTTTGCTATGTTACAGGGGCATACATACAATTTGTCTTGTATGACACCCTTACACACAGTAATCCATGCACCAAGCTGATCTATATTGCTCAAATGTGGTCGATACAATGGTCCTTTGAAAAACAGGGGGTCACAGAAAAAAAAGGTCATTATCCCACCCTGAGTAGACCCTTGTACTTGAACAAAAATGTTTGGTTTTAGTCAATTTCAAACTAAAAACAGGAAAAGTTTACCAACAAGCACGGTAATGTCTAAATCTACATAAAGGTGATATATATTTTGATTCAGATGTAAAAGAAAATATTAAGATGTTTATTCACTAGAATAGGCCTTCAATTATACTCTGATTTTATGTTCATATTCATGAATAATCCACATTGTTTTGTGGCTTATCATAAGAACTGGATACAAGACTGCCTTAAAAGTACACTTTCGTCTGGAGACCTACAAATCTTAGTGAATATTGTTTTCTAGCCATATATTTTAAAGGTTTTGGTCCTACATTTAAAGAGAAAATGTTGAAAAACTCTGTTTGTTTACACCCCGTGCAGAAGAGATTTTTGTCTTGACTGTATAATATTTCAAGCGGTGCATAAACTGCCAGATGTTTGGTAAATGGTAAAAATAAGACTGGCACGGCATAAAACGCATAAATTACATATGACAATTCACTGTTTGATATCAGGTCCATGCAAGTTTCAAACTTGCACATATGGCAATCTCAAGCAGCGCACACGTTTGAGGTACAGAGACATGTCTGACTGGAATTACAACAATTAAGCACTCCAACAGTTTGCGTTTTAAGGACCAAATTTTTGTTCCCTGAAATTCCTTGATGCTGTAATTGAATGGAAACACCAAATTTTCAAGACATAGTTTTGTGAACATTCATACTCTACTTTTAACTGATTTTCCCAACTAATATCCTATGCTAAACGCATTTTGAGCCCGTCGGTACAAAAATATGTCTGACTGGATTTACAATAATTTAGCAATCCAACAGCTTGATTTTTAAAGACCAAATTTTTGTTCCCCGAAATTCCCTGACGCTGTAATTGAATGAAAACACCAAATTTTCAAGACATAGTTTTGTGAACATTCACACTCTACTTTTAACTGATTTTCCCAACTAATATCCTATTCTAAATGCATTTTGAGCCCGTCGGGTGCATTGTCTCGATTGTGCTCCTTGAAATTCTAACACTTTTCCATTTTTTCCTTCTACTTTGCCCAATATTTGTAACCAACAACTTGTACTTAACAACCAATATCCCCGGAGGAATGAAAACAAATCATAACTCATCCAGCAAACTTCAAACTACATGTACACGTACATGTACTTTTCCCACAAAACAAAATTAGACGTGACACATTGTTTATTTCACAGGTAGCTATGCCAAACATATCCAATATGCAACTGGGCCAGGCATTGGAATTCGACAGTTAGCCTTGTCAGTTGATCACCATAGCAACAGGTTGCAACACAATGTCTGCAACCATGGTCACGGTGGGGCAGCGTCCCCGGCAACCGCACTAGGGGGCAATAAACTGGATTTACTCCATTTTAAAAGATTGTGGTATATGGTGGTGGTTTCACTTTCAAAGTTTTTATGCTTCATTTATTTTTCATTGTGTAAGGAAAAATGCACAGTAATGTACTGAACTGAATGGTTGACCCAATACAGTAAGTTGGTTGCTGAATACAATATGCTTTTATGCAGGGAGAAATACAGGAAGTCATTTGTCATAAATAAATACCTGTGCCCTTGATATTATTGGGAAAAAAAGCCCAGTTCTAGCACAGTAAAACACCATGGTTCCTCCAAATCTGTTTTTAACTGTGGAGAATTCGAATTTAGCACCGGCATTTTTGCTTGTGAGTGGTTACACCAGTATGAAAATGAAGACATGTTTTCAAATGCAAAAGTGTTTCCAGATGTGTATAGGGCTTACAAGTAAAGAGCAATTAAAATGGAAAATAAAGAATTTGGAGGGAATTGTTTTAGTCTTTATTGTTGGGCAGATAGGGGAAATTATACAAGCACAGGCATTTGGCACACAGTCAGAGTATGTCACACGAAAGATATCTGACTAAAGACATGTAGCATAACAAGAAATTTTCATTTTTTTTCAAAAGGCTGCCATTGCTTGTTAATCTACCTATATTTTTTTCACAGGACAAATCTGTGATGGCCCTATAGCCAAATATCTTTCTCATGACATACTCTGACTGTGTGCCAAATTCCATGCTTGTATCATCAAAGGCACAATTCCATCACCTACATATATCTGCCGTACTATTAAAGATGATTCCCGTGCTCTTTTCCAGTTTCATCACAAAAAATAGATTCTAGATTTTTTTCTAGCAATACAAAAGTTAATCACTTTTGAATGAGACCTTGAATGAAAAAAATTGGACTATGTTTAGTTTAAATTATCACTTTACGATTTAGATAATTTGTCCATTCTTGCGGGGGCTAGGCTAGTTCCCGCCCCACGATCAATATCAATAACGTACATGTTTGGACTGGGAGCCAGTCTTCTCGCACAACGCATCTGTTTGTGCCCAAAACAAAACCTTTTTTGCAGAAGTCCAAAAAAAAAAAGGAAAAAAGAAATTTTGAGGTTGTAAGAAAAAATACAAGCGGAACATTTTTTAATAAAAAAAAAATCCAATTTGTTGAAGAGCGGGGGGAAACGCAACTTTAAGAACTTCACTGGTAATTTTTTTTTATAACATTAACAATCGTTTATTCAGGATTTTATAGGTCAAAACTAACATTTTTTTCACTTGCTTAAATTATCAAACTTTCCTTAAACCTGCATGTATCCTTACAATACAATAAGCAGGCCCACTGCAGGCATTTAAATGTTAGTTTCTGCATTATTTAAAAAATATTCATAAATACCTCAGACAGTTTAGCTATTCCTATTGGTCGAGAGCCCGTCACGTGGCCGGTCTTAAACGGATGATAAAGACATGGCTAGCTGGTCTTAAACACTTTTCCAGTGTCACAACAAAATGTGGACTCCTAAAAATCCAGTGCCTCTTACCGTTTCATTGGTTGAACGTTCACAATCCTCACGTAGGCATGCGCAACACTACATGCGAGTCAGAATTGTATAGTTCTAAATTCAAAACGCAACCCCCCAGGTGCGTTCTGCGTGACATCGCGCAGAACATGCTACGCGCGCGTCAATCTCCATAAAAGGGTTGTTTACATCTTAATCGCCAGCTGAACACTCCATTATTTTGCTAGAGGGATGTTTCAAAAAGCATGAAGTGAACTTGTTGAACAAAATCGGGATTTTTTGAACGAATTATTTGATATTTTTTTACGGATAAGGTATTTATGAATGGGAATAAATATGTGCTCGGTCGGTATTTATCACTCTGTTTAATACCGCTTAGAGTCTGGGTGCTGATAATTACCCTCGCCTCCGGCTCGGGTAATTATCAGCACCCAGACTCTAAGCGGTATTAAACAGAGTGATAAAAACCTCTCGAGCACACATTTATTCCCTTAATAATAAAAAATAAAAATTGGCTGTTGAAAGTTAAAACTGTAATTTATATTATCTACATATTTAATATCATCACATGTACTTTTGCTCTGGCAATACTTGCTAATAAGTCAGAATTAAAGTATACATAACAAAATTCCACAAACTTCTCACAATAAACAAATTTGCAAAGTATTTAACCAAAATGCACATCCATAAGGAATAATGACATGTCCAATACTAAAAGAGACGTTGTAAAGTAATAAAATGCAATGCTCAAATATTTCAAAACAAACAAACAAACAAACAAACAAACAAATGTTGCTAAATTGGTTATTTAATCACCCATACATGATACAGTATACAACCGGCTAAAAACTGACAGTTAAGGGATTAAATGGCCATTGCTTTTGTTACAGGATCCATTAGTTTACACAGCAACAATATAATACTAGAACAGGTGCGACTGCGAGTGTTTTTTTTCTTCATCATACGACATACGTGTTCAACTTTAAAACAAATGACTGCACTCAAATTTTATCTGGGAATTTAAGAATCTCCTTTTAACTGATGTTTGAGCAAACAACAACACAGAAAAAGCGATGGTATTTACCTTCACTTTTCAGTAAATCAGCTCCAACAACGTCTCTTGTTCGTAGTGCATGCCCCTCTCTAGTATCTTTGGTGTAACACAGGTGCATAACCGCACATGCAGCAGAAGACCAAAAACACCGCCATTGACCACCATTGGCTTATTATTATTCAAGAGGTACCGCAAAGTGAAGTTGGGAGAATTTATTTCTGAAACAAACACCCGAAAGTGGGAATAAATAAGTCACTTTCTACTTGAAACTTATCGTTGAAAGAAGTGGTATTATATGTTTACAACATTGTCATAATGGTAACCCTCGTTTTTCATTACCGGAATTATTTTTATTTGAGACCCAGACAAAACTTTCTCATTCTTAACATTAACATTAATTAATTACAAAAATAGACTTGTTACAGTCCATAAGTAAGTTACAAAAACAAGTGCCCACCCCATGACCCATGTATGCATTGGTGGTTCCACGCGTTGTACACGAAGCAAGGAAGAGGAGCAAGTTTATCCAAAGGCAAAATTCAACATGGCGACTCGCATGGCAAAACGAGTTGCCGAAAGGTGCGCTCGTGTATCGAGTTCAAGAGCGATCGGACACAGGTTTGTATTAAATTTCCATGTTAATCCAAAGCAGTGGTCAGTTTAGGGTACCGGGTGTCAGTGATGCCTTGTTCTTTGCCAGTTTTATTTGAATTCTATGGTGTTCTTATTCCTCCATGGTACCAGTCACGCCAGTACACCGCGATGCCGGTCGAATACCGCACTGTATGTGTGCTCATTCAATCGTGTACACGCAGAACTTCACGTATTTTTGTATGGGAATTGTAATTGAGCGTTGAACTTGAGGTCAATGAAAAATGGATGATGTAATGGGTCCTACTAAAAATGCATCAACAAGCGTCAACAAGCGTCAACGGGCGTCAACAAGCATCAACAAATTAGTTTTGGAACATCACAAGACTTTTTGTTATGGTAGAAAGAAATAGTGACAAAGGACACATTCAGCATATAAAATAAAGTTAAAATTATTTAAAAACTTGGGTTTTTTTAACGCGAAATGTACGAAGAGTTTGTCGATTAGTGTTGGCCACCATCTTGTTTAGCTGGCACTGTACACTTCGCGCATGCGTAGTCATGGTAGTATGATTCTGTACACGTCACGCATGCATAGTACGGCTGGCTTCACGTAAACAAAATGGCGGCCACCCCAAACTCGACAAACTCGTCGTACATTTCGCGTTCAAAATAACAAGTTTTTAAATAATTTTAACTTTATTTTATATGCCGAATGTGTCCTTTGTCACTATTTCTACCACAAAAAAAGCGTCTTTTGATGTTCCAAAACTTATACAAAATTTGTTGATGCTTGTTGAATCTCAGAATCTCAGAATCTCAGAAAGTTGACTGGATATCGCCGCTAGGCATCATCATCCAGTTTGACGACCGTTGACGCTTGTTGACACTTGTTGACACTTGTTGACACTTGTTGACACTTGTTGACGCAGTTAAGTAGGACCGGATGTAATTTGTAAGACGAAGAGTGTATAATTTTCTGAGTAGTTCTGATTTTAGACATGGATTTTCTTAGTGTAATTCAGAACTCAGTACTATGGGCTAAAGACTACCCGAATTTCAGGTGCGCAATGTTACAGTGTTAGGAAAAAAAAATTCCAGACGCCAGCTTTTTTAAATTTTGGCCTTTGCCGCTTGCACGGTCACACGCCAAGTTTTTGTGTGATCTTTGCATCTCTGATGTCATAGATGGAGGCCAGGGTTTTGAACTTTTGAGGGAAATTGAGGGTAAAATGACATTGAAGACGACAAAATGCAACACGATGGCGATCACCTTGATGTACCGTGAACGCGCAATACCGCACTGAATCGCATGGCAACAGCCGTATGTTATATGTATGTTCATGGGCGTCAATCCTGGGGGGGGGGGGGGACATGCCCCCCCCCCCCCACACTTTTTGAAGTGTGGGGGACACAATATCAAATGTCCCCCCCAGATTTTTGAACTCGTGCCTCATTTACAGGGCCCTATTATGTACTACAATGTATCTTTTGCTAAGAAAATATTGGTTAAAGTGGTCAGAAATTGCCTCAGATCGCACCACAGAGCATTTACAATCCAAAATTTTTCGGGGCCCTCGGGCCCCAAACCCCACGCCTTTAGCTTAGAATATAATAGCTTATTCAGTGACTTCAACCTCGAAAATGATTTTTAAATTATTATCTTTTGCTGGGAAAATATTGGTTAAAGTGGTCAGAACTTGCCTCAGATCGCACCACAGAGCATCTAGAATCATTTTTTTTCGGGGCCCTTATAAAGCAGGCCTCGAACCCCACGCCTTTAGCTGAGAATATAATAGCTTATTCAATGACTTTAACCTCGAAAATGATGTTTAAATCGTTATCTTTTGCTCAGAAAAATATTGGTTAAAGTGGTCAGAAATTGCCTCAGATCACACCACATGAACATCTAGAATCCGAATTTTTCGGGGCCCTTAAGCGGGCCCCGAACCCCTTGCTGTAAGGGCTTCGCACTTCGCGCTCGCATTATTTCTGATCAAGGTATGTCCCCCCCCCCCCCCCACACTTTTGAGAACCGATTGACGCCCCTGTAAATGTTTAATATGTTATATGGCGTAGGCCAACTTGTATACGCATGAGGGTGCTGTGCGATTTGCCGGTTTAAGAATGGAGAATATGCGGGACCAGTTCACAGCACTTCAAATAAAATACGGGGAAATTTTCCAGTGATCACAAGTTAGGAATACATAGTGGGTGTGAGCTGATGAGGCCAGAGGGTTATGTACCTTGAGACATTGTTTGAATCTTGGGCTTTTCATGCTTCTAAATGTAAATCATGATGTAGACTATTTTTCTATCATTTTGTGTACTACTCACACAATATGCTTGAGGGGGCTATGCTACTACCGCTATGGTAAAATAGTACCTCAGATGGCTTCTTCTTTTTTTATAAGAAAAAGTAATAAGTTTCAAAAGCCAGATTATATTATTGCAGAATGTAATATCCTGCTGCCAGGATGTGTAACCATTTAATAACCTCAGTGGTAGTCAGTGATTGCAAATGTGTTAAAATACATTACATGGAGTGCCATGGCCTCGAGGTCTGGAGCATCAAATTCTTGGTCTGCGGGTAATTCTGCAGGTTGTGGGTTCGAGTCCAGCCTGGGGTCATGGTGTGTGTGCCCTTGAGCAAGGCACTTTGTCACTCATTGCTTCTCTCCACCCAGGAGTAAATGGGTACCTGTCAGGGCAGATGTGGTTATTGTGACTGGTTTTTGCTGCTTTGCTCCGAAATGGCAGCATCGAGCTGAGATTGTCTTTGGAATGTTTCATTGGCCCAATGAGCTGAGTACATAATGATGTAGCGCCTTGAGCACACAAACGTGTGTTCACCGTCGATCGTGGACGTCCTATTGTCCCTCTTTTGTTTGTCCCTCTTTTGCTTGTTTTTAGGAAGACTCCCATAGGTTTTGTACACGACCCCAATCGCGGACATATGCTGGGAATCGTGGACGATAGTGTTCTCTTTTGTTCTCTGGTATTTTTCGTCAAAGGTTTGAAAAGACGAATATGTACACCAATACTGGCGGATACATGCGCTTTATAAATACACATTATTATTAATGAAATTTGGACTGTAAAACAAGTGCATATTTTTTTGTTAGACATTCACATTATCCCAGTACTCAATGGGCTGATTTGAAACCTTCTGAATACGAATAAATACGGTTGAACAAAGAAATTGACCGGAATACTGTACCAGCTTTCTACCCACTGAGCTATCTAGCTTTAGTTTTAGCAATCCCCCAATTAGTCAATTTCTTTGGCTCTAGTCACAAGCCAAAAAAAGTATTGAAATTTGGTGTTATCGCCCACAGGTTAAGAGGTCGTCTAGGCAGTCGCAGTTTCTGCAGTGCTGACGGCGGTAATGCAGGCAGCATCCCCCTGACGCAGCCCTTACCCGGCATGCCCCCGCCGGTCTACGCAGCGTTGTCCAATCATTCCCAAGACACACAGGTCACTACGCTGGACAATGGGCTTAGGGTGGCTTCCATGAACAAGTTTGGTCAGTTCTGCACAGTGGGAGGTGAGTGTTGGGTGCTGTTCTTAAACAGTTTTATTGCCCTAACCCTGGAACCTTGGGTTTCCTACCAAAAAGGTACACATAGAATGAAGTATTTCGTCACAGGTTTGCCCAAGGCTATTAAGATTTTCCCATTTAAGTTGTATACTTCAAGTGATATTCCCTGTTATACTCAAATTCTTCTGTAATCTGTAAATGATTGAACTTGGCCGATCTTGCCACAATAGATACAATAAGAAATTCACCTTACTTATGATATATATATATCGCGTCCATTTTTGCACTTGGTCATCAGTTCACAATATACTAATTGCAAGACTCCCCGCAAAATGCATTATGACGCATAATATTTAAAACACCCATACTTCTAGGGGTAGGTATAGCCGCCTCCATCCCATTTTAATAAACTTCCCTGTAAACATGGCTTTTAGAGACACTGTAACACAGTTTTGTGTATTAGATTGTAAATTGAGTCACTGAATAAACTGTTGAAGAGATCTCTTTTCAATCAGTCGTGACTGTTCTTGATTTCTCCCATGCTATCCAGTGTTGGTTGATTCTGGGTCACGGTATGAAGCTGGCTACACTAAAGGCATCTCTCATTTTCTGGAAAAGCTGGCATTTGGGGTGAGTTGTATTCTATAAAATCATGAGCCAAAATTGTTTCAAGTCGCTAGTCTCCAATGTCTGGGTCGAAGAAAGATGTGATAAATCAAGAGTACTTGAGTCAATGTGGTTGGGAAACCAGGTTTTAATCGTTTAATTTGATTGATTTTTTTTTTAACTAAGGTTAGTCCATTTTGGGGCAACATCATGAAATTAAGCCCAGTTGATGATTTTGCAAATCCAGGTTGGTCGAGTTGCAAGTATTAATTGAACCTATTGGTAAAATATTCCACAATTTCATTTCGCCAAGTCAATTTGACGTGTTTCCTTTTCTCATTTTCTAACACTTTGTGTTTTCTTGATCGACAGTCCACAGAATTGTACAAGAATAGGGATCACATACTTCAAGAGCTAGAGAAATACGGTGGAATATGCGACTGTCAATCCTCTAGGTAAATCTTTTTTTTTTTTAGTTTTGGAAGCCTAATGGCTATAGCCAATGAATGCCAATTTGTAACGTCACAGCAAGTTTTTGCGCGGCTAATCTGCAAAATTTTAACATATTGTGACTCTGGCGAATTTTGCAGCAAATATATTGTGCCGTCAAATTCGCTTTGCATTCATGTGATGTATGAATCAGATTTAATAGGTGAGTTTTAGAGTAAAGCTGGTGTGTTGTTTTGTCTGCAGGGATACCTTGATCTATGGGGTGTCGGCCGAAACGCAGGGTTTGCCTGAAGTCGTCAAGCTTCTCTCACAGGTTGTCCTTCAACCTAATCTGACATTGGATGAGGTAATGGTATCCTTTTCACTTACGTTGAAGTTAGAGTTTTTGCTTTTTGCTTGATAGTTTACTCTGTAAATTATGCCATTATTTGTTGTATAAGTTGCAGGCTTACACACTGCAGAACTTACTAGAAATGTGTCATAACTGAAACTTCAGGTTCCATAAATGCAGCCAGGGTGAAGTCTGGGTTTGGGCCAGGGTTCAAGTCCAGTCAAGCTGATACTTTTTTTTCTCCACTTGGCCCTAGAATTCATTACTGGGAATTAATTTTAAAAAAGGTGCTTAACCCTACCCCTGCCATATGCAACACAGTGCATCAGGTGGAAAAGAACTGGTGTACTTTGATGCATTCAGCTACCAACACCAGTGCATGAATGGCCAGGTCTGAAACAATGAGAGCTAATCCCATTGAACAATGCCACAGTTGTATCCTGCTGCATGCGGTGACCACAGACTCTGAGGCAGTGTGGCTTGGAGATTTTTCCCTGATGGATCTTGCTACATTTGGCAGGCTTGTCACTTAGTCAAGTGTTGCTATGTTTGGCATGGTTCTAGCAAACATACCCTGGATGGTTATTAACATTGATTTTGTTTCTTATCTTTGTTGCGCACCCACACAGTTTGATGATGCTAGAGTGGCCATCCAGTTTGAGTTGGAGGACATTACATTCAGACCAGATGCTGAGCCAAGTCTCATTGAAATGATCCATCGGGTAATAGCAATAGTCTTTTTATCTTTGTGTTTTGAGAGTTGTTAATGAGTCAATCACAAGTGAATCACAAGTCAAATCATTGGTCTGGCCACAAGTTAAAGGTGACGAACAATGACGACGGTATTCACTTGAATAGCATGTCACTAGTTGAGATTAATGCCACTAGTGAGATTGAATGACTTTCGAGTGACTTGCGTTGATTTGATAACAAATGTGTGCCCCAAAACCTAAAGAAACTAGTAGACAGTGAAGACAGTTTTAACCAGTTCACGTCGGATGAAGTGTATACGCGTGGTATTTGGTATTCGGAACAGATGACAGATAAACATGCAACGAGCGAGGCTGGAAATATCTGTCTGCGACCCGCTCGCAGCGAGCGAGGCCAGAAATATCAGGGTGTGCTACCCACAGATGATGGCCTGAACCCGTCTGGCAATGAGGTTTGTGAAAACAATCCCGCACCTGGGTCCGGTCAATAACAAAATAATCCTGGTGCGAACTGGTTGAAAGGCGGGTAAAAACCTACGAGGGGCCCCTTTGGAATCAAAATGGGAGTTGTGGACAAGACATTAACCCTAACCGAACTCAACCCATCAAAGTTCAACCGCAGGTTTTGTTTAAATCTGTTGGGATAGGTACAGTACCCCTAAACTGATGGTCTTTTTCACTGGGGTTGGCATACATCCAGAAACTAAGTCCAACAGTGTGTGTGTACAATTTCCCATGTGGATGTTGGAATTTGCCAGAATGGGTGTGGTTCCTAGTAAATTAGGCTGGGGAGTTAGGGTTAAAGATCTTAAATTTTTGAGAGTTTTCATTAGTCAATTCACCATGTCAAAGTTGTTAACAAAATTTGATGTTGTGGTCACTTGATACCGACTTTCATCAAACTGATGCATTCTGCAATACATGTATGGGCTCCCTGCACAAGTACCCCCTCAGTGGTGAGAAAGGGAGAGTTGGGGGAGACCACTAGGAGAGACATTTGAACACATGACGCCTGACGCTCACGCGAAGACACTGTGGCTTTGTGCATTCATTTCAAGACGCTACGAGTATGACTTTGTGGACATTCAGAATAAACATAAATAAATGTGCTGTACGTGCACCAACCAGTACGTATATGCTGGGCTCTGGAAAGTGGTAAAAAAAAGTGCCTCCTGTTGTTCACGCGTAGAGCCCACACCACAATGTAAATAAAATATGGCTAGAAGTAGAAGGTTTGAAGTTACAGGGAAGTAAGATGAGAAAGATGCTTGGGTTGCCTGATTTCCTGTCAGTAACCAACATGCATGAAGTCACAAGTGATATGGTGTATATAGGGCCACTCTAAATAGAATTTTACTTTAACTTACATGGTCAAAACCTTTTTTTGTACATCTCACATACAGGCAGCCTATAGGAACAACACCTTAGGTTTGCCCAAACTGTGTCCGGTAGAAAACATCTCCCGCATCGACTACCGCACGTTACAGAAGTACCTTCACAACTACCACACCCCAAAGCGTATGGTGCTGGCCGGGGTAGGCATGGACCACAACCGGCTAGTGGATTATGCATATGAGCACTTTGTGGGCGGGGCCCCAGCTTGGGAGAACTCGGAGGTCGTTGGGAAGCCTGTTGAGGTGGATCAGTCGATAGCACAGTATCTTGGTGGCATAGAGAGGGTGAGGAGAATGTAACACTTCACTGTGTGTTGTTACTTTACAACTTGCTGTGTATTTGCAGTTTTGTAGTTGAGATATGTTTGACTGGTGTCAGAAGTGGGATGCAAAGCCGCAGCATTCAAATGACTATCAACTATGCATGATTTCTGGGTACACCATCAGCATGTGTTGTTTGTTGTTCGTGGATGTTTAAATTTATATATAATTGGTCCAGAAACATCACATTTCAAGCTCCTAAGAGCAACTTTTGGCACAGGGACGTTTTTATGATACCACACATAAACATTACATTGCACATCAGTTACCCCAACCTAATGCTTTTCTACACATTAGTGATGTTGACCATTAACGTACCATGAGGAACTATCATGTCACTGGTACCCATGCTATTTCACCACTGCTTCAATCATAGTCAAGTTGTGGGAACAGTGGAGTTGCTGATGAAAATCTGTGCTGAATCGGTGCTTATCTCACCTAGTCCTGCAAAAATCCAAGATATGTTATGACAAAATATTGGCTGCTAAGGGGTGCGTGTCACCCAATGCAAGAATTTAACGATGGTATGGACATTTTTAATTACTTACGGCCCTTGCAAAAATTCAGGTCTCACCACTGAGGTAGACTGGTTCCTTCCCCCTATCAGAATCAATGAAGTAGCGACTTGGAACCAGTCTACTCACAGGTCAGATATATTTGTGCGCTGAAGCAAACAAAAACTAGAAAAATGTTAAGAGGCTCACAGATGCCCAAAATAAAATTAAAAAGTAGTCGAAAATTCCTTTGGAGAAAAATTTAATTTGTTGAAGAACACGAATATTACATCTTTAAACCTGTGTGTTTCATTTGTTACTATCCCAGGAGGTTCGAGATATGTCCAACATCGCCCCAGGCACCCCTATCCCCGAGCTTGCCCACGTCGTCATTGCCTTGGAGTCCTGCGGCCACAAAGATCCCGACTTCATCGCCTTCTCCGTCCTGAACATGCTGATGGGCGGTGGGGGGTCCTTCTCCGCTGGGGGTCCTGGTAAAGGCATGTACACGCGGCTGTACCTGAACGTCCTGAACCGATTTCACTGGATGTACAGCGCTATCGCCATGCATCATAGCTACGAGGATAGCGGCATCTTCTGCATTCATGCCAGCGCAAACCCAGGCATGGTTAGTATCCACGCATTTGCAATTTGAACTGAAAAACTGGGTATTTATTTGAAAAGGGTAAAATCGAGAACAAAAAATAAGCCTACTCATTTCAGAAAATTGGGGTGGTTTATACATTTAGAGTTTTGGATGAGTGGAGTGTTTGACATTGTTAATTACAGGCATATAGCAGCAAATGCATTTTTATCGCAAAAGTGACCTAAAGAATGACTATTTGATGTAATTTGTCACAGGTGAAAGAATTGGTTGAGGTAATAGTGAGGGAGTTTGTCAACATGGCAGGTCGCATAGAAGAGGTAAGTTATGAGCTGCAGCGTGTATGCGTAAGCATCAGGCACCATCAGCATAGCTGCCTGTCGTGTCTGCATGTGACAGGTAGCCAGTCTATTAGAGTGTGTCAAAGGTCAACTCGTGTAAGAGTTTCTGTGCGCGGAGCCATGTTGAATAAACGTGTGTTACGAAGTTGTAAGCCAAACCGAGCTGGAGTTGTTGTGGTGCTATTTGCGTCCCAAGTTGTTTAAATACGAATCCGTTCCAAAGGATATAACATTGGCGACGAGGGTAAACAATGGAGAAAACCGTGATTCCCACCTTCGACTGCTTTTCAGAGCCGGCAAACCTCGGGCCGCGTTGGGAAAGGTGGCTCACGTCGTTCGAACTGTACGCGGACGGTAAGGGCCACATCGTTAGATCTGCCACCGCACCCGAGGTAAAGCAAAGACGACGGGCGTTGCTGCTCCACCTTGCGGGCCCAGACGTGCAGGAAATTTTTCAAACCCTGCCGAACACGGGTGACCCTGCCGACTACGATGCTGCAAAAAAAGCGCTGAATGCCTACTTTGTTCCCCGGAAGAACGCAGCATTCTCACGGCAAACATTTCATCAGTTGTCACAGAAGGAAGGAGAAACTGTGCTACAATTTGTAACCAGACTTCGGAGGGCGGCCAGGGATTGCGATTTTGGAGGGGAAAAGGACAATCAGATCAGGGATGCTGTGTTGAGTAAGTGCAAATCCGATTATGTTAGGCGCAAACTGTTGGAAACTGGGGCTGAACTGACACTAGATAAGGCACTGCAAATAGCTGATAAATGTGAAAAGGTGGAAGGACAAATGGCTGCACTGTCTGGCAAAAGCAAAGACCCTAAATCTGACTCTGTCAACCGTGTGTCAGACAAGAAACAGAAATCCCGTGACAAGCAGTATAAGCCCAAAACGGAAACCAAACACTTATGGTCGCCACAATCACAAACGGGAAATCGGCGTACAAAACCTGAACCGACCCCCAAAGGTGCTTGCTACAGATGTGGTCGAACCGGACATTTCGGCCGTGACTCGAACTGTCCCGCGAGGGGTCAGACATGCCAAAAGTGTTCTGGCAGGGACCACTTCGCAAAGATGTGCAAAACAAAAACAAAGCCCAGAGTCAACCAAGTGGGTGAGGAACACGCCAACCCCGAGGCTTCACAAGATTACGCCTTCCTCATCCGAGAGGGACCACATTCGAACATGTTGAAGATCAAGGTGGGCGGAGTCGACCTTAACATGCTGATTGACTCGGGAGCCACAAGCAATATCATCGACGAGCAGACTTGGGACTCACTCAAACAGAACAAAATTCAGTGTGAATCCCATGTAGCCCCACCAGACAGAAAGCTGTGGGCGTATGGAGCAGACCGTCCCCTGTCACTCAAGGGTACATTCGAGTGCGAAGTGCAGGTATCAGGCAGATCTACCCGAGCCGAATTCATCGTAATCAAAGGAAAGGGAGTACCGTTACTTGGCAAAGACACAGCAATGAAACTGGGCATACTCCAAATCGGAATCAATGCTGTAAGTGGCCACGCCGGGACTATAGATGAGGTCAAAGTTGACAGGTGCGCTAAGAACAGCTCAGCTATGAACGGTGACAAGGCCAAGCAGTACCAGCAGCAGTTTCCTGGGGTGTTCGGAGGCGTGGGTAAGCTGAAAACTGAGCAAGTTAAGCTCCACATCGACACCTCAGTTACGCCAGTTGCGCAGCCCCTTAGGCGAACACCATTCAATTTGCGCAGTAGAGTAGAACAAAAAATACGCGAACTAGAGTGCCTTGACATAATCGAAGCCGTTGATGGCCCGACACCTTGGGTCAACCCTGTCGTCGTGGTACCGAAACCGAACGGCGATATTAGACTTTGTCTAGATATGAGACGCGCGAACGAAGCGATCATACGCGGCCGTCATCCAATCCCTACTGTGGATGAACTTTTGCAAAGCATGAACGGCTCAAAGGTTTTCAGTAAACTCGATCTCAAATGGGGTTACCACCAGTTGGAACTCGCCACGGAGTCGCGAGGGATCACGACGTTTGTCACACACTGCGGTCTATATCAGTACAAACGACTTCTATTCGGAGTAAGTTCCGCGAGCGAACAGTACCAGTACATGATCGCAAAAGCGCTAGCAGGTCTTGAAGGCGTAGAAAATATCTCGGACGACATAATCGTACATGGCCCTGACCAAAATACCCATGACAGCAGAGTGCTTGCAGTGTTGCGCAGATTGCAGGAGCTAGGTCTTACCCTGAATGCTGAGAAGTGCCAGTTCAACATGAGCCGGCTAGTATTCATGGGGATCCTGTTGTCCGAGAAGGGCATTGGTCCCACGCAAGAACGCGTTCGAGCCGTATCCGAATTCAGAGAGCCCGAGAACGTATCAGAGGTTCGGAGTTTTCTCGGCCTAGTTGGGTTCAGTAGTAGATTCATACCCAACTTTGCTACTCTGTCCGACCCGCTTCGCAAGCTGACCCGAAAAGGCGTTCCATTTCAATTTGGGCCACACCAGAAAGCAGCCTTCAACGCGCTTAAGGAGAGCCTTGCGAAGGCAACCACTCTCGCGTACTATGATAAAACGGCACCGACAAAGGTGATAGGTGACGCGAGCCCAGTCGGCCTGGGTGCAGTATTAGTTCAGGAACAGCGTGACGGTTTGGTTCCAATCTGCTATGTGAGCCGCAGCCTGACCGATTGCGAAAGAAGATATTCGCAAACAGAAAAGGAAGCCCTGTCGTTGGTTTGGGCCTGCGAAAGATTCCATGCCTATATCTATGGACGCGACTTTGAGCTTCTAACTGACCACAAGCCACTCGAGGCCATATATGGACCCCGTTCCAAACCATGTGCACGGATAGAACGCTGGGTACTACGCTTACAACCGTACAACTACAAAGTTGTATACGTCCCCGGACGCGAGAATATCGCTGATGCCCTGTCACGCCTCTTAAGTGGCAAGTGCAAACCGGAACATGCCCATGGCGCGGATGAATATGTTCGTTTCGTAGCTGTATCTGCGACGCCGCGTGCCATGACCACGAAGCAAGTCGAAAACGCGTCTGCCGAAGACGGTGAACTTGCAAACGTCAGAGAAGCAATTCGCACTGGAAAGTTCGAAAAGTGTAAGGCATACGCTCCGGTCGTAGGAGAGCTGTGTATCATGGGACAGCTTGTTCTGCGGGGAACACGCATTGTCCTACCACAGAAATTGAGGCAACAGGCACTCGCTCTTGCTCACGAAGGGCATCTCGGCATTGTTGGCACCAAACAAAATCTCCGCACGAAAGTCTGGTGGCCGGCAATGGACAAAGCAGCGGAAAAATTCTGCAAGTCGTGTCACGGATGCCAAATTGTATCGCGACCTAACCCCCCTGAACCACTTAGGTCAACCCCACTCCCGGATGGTCCGTGGCAAGATCTGGCAACCGACCTTCTTGGGCCACTTCCATCGGGACATTCTATACTAGTGTTGGTGGATTACTATAGCCGGTACTATGAATACCAGATATTGAGCTCCACCACCACAGACAAAATCGTTGACTCCCTCGAAGAGGCATTTAGCCGCCACGGCATACCATTGACCCTTAAGTCGGATAACGGTCCGCAATTCCGCTCGCAAGAGTTTCGTGACTTTTGTGAGGAGAACGGAATATCCCATGTGCGAGTAACAGCCAAGTGGGCTCAAGCAAACGGTGAGGTGGAGCGACAGAATGACTCGATCATGAAACGAATCCGCATTGCGCAAGCTGCAGGTCAGGATTGGAGAAAAGAACTGCGCAAATACGTCGCGAAGTACCGCGCAACCGAACACCCTGCCACAAGGAAAACTCCTGCTGAACTACTGTTTAACCGGAAAATCCGCGGCAAACTACCAGCATTCAAGCCAGACGATCACACTGATTTGGAGGTTCGTGACCATGATGCTGAAAGCAAAGCAAAAGCCAAAATGTACGCGGATACACGCCGAAATGCAAAATACTCTGATGTGCAGATTGGCGACCAAGTCCTCGTGAGGCAGGAGAAGACCAACAAACTTTCTACTCCTTTCACTCCCGACCCATTCACCGTTGTGAGTAAAACCGGCAACAGTGTGGTTGTTGCATCCCCGGAGGGAGCCCAGTACTCACGAAACACCAGCCATGTTCGGAAGTTCACGCAGAGTGCAAGTGACACAGGCATTAACACCGCCAGTGAACCTCCCATAGCGGACAGCAGTGGGAACACCATGGACCAGGCAATCAGTCCCCAAAAGACTGTAACTCATACCCCACCCGCTGTGACCCCACCGGTTGCAAAGGAGCTGCCCAGTCCATGTGCGGGCAGACCCAAGAGACAGTGTGGCATGCATCCTAAGTTTAAGGACTACATCTTGAACTAGAGTGGACTGAACTAAAGTTACTTTATATAAGTGTTGTTCATCATAAAACATGTATTTAGCATGCTTTTGTTTTGAATGAGAAAAGTTTTATAGGAGTGTTCTCTAAAACAAAACAAAACGCAGTTTCATCTCAATCCGTCCACTAGAGTTTTGATTTTGGGCATGATGCTCAGCAAAAGAAAACATCCTCAGTTTGTTGATAGTAAATTTCAAACCTGCGCTAACAGTAGTAGCTTGACTTGTGCATGTATACAAATCCATGAAGGTCAGACAGATGCATGTTGTTGATTATATCAGGGTTTGTAAAGTTTAATATTTGTGTTTGGATTTAAAGTTAAAGATGTTTGTTAGTTGCTGTGATTATTGGGCAGTGGAGATTGTTATAGTTGACCTTTTGCATGTCACCCATTATTCAAGAAAACCAAAGTTTCTTTTTGAAGGGGAGGGATGTCGTGTCTGCATGTGACAGGTAGCCAGTCTATTAGAGTGTGTCAAAGGTCAACTCGTGTAAGAGTTTCTGTGCGCGGAGCCATGTTGAATAAACGTGTGTTACGAAGTTGTAAGCCAAACCGAGCTGGAGTTGTTGTGGTGCTATTTGCGTCCCAAGTTGTTTAAATACGAATCCGTTCCAAAGGATATAACACTGCCAACTAGTACGATTTTTTCGTAATTATTACGAATTGTTTGTTAAATTACGAAAATACGATTTGCCACTAAAACATTACGAATTTCCCATTTTCTACCTAACGAAAAAAAAAAAATGTAAAGTATCGTTTTTGACCGAAAACGAAATAATGGATGGACTGGTGACAAGTCTAATAAGAATGCAGTCAAGCACCTGATAGACATCAATGAAGTGTGCGCAGTGGAGTACTTGAGGACCAGACTAAAAACATTTTTCAATGGTGTGTCATTTGTGTGCATCTCGTGGATGTGTGGTTGTGTGTACTGTGACTACTTTTCAGTGACGATCGTGAGCACATTTAGTCGCTTATTGCCGGGATGAGACCCATCAGTGCGAGATTTTAATCATGGAATTTAATAAGAGTATGGTTGGAATAATTGGTAATAGAGTTTGAGTTTATCACAACGGACAGAAAAGATAATCAGCATGCGTTTGCAAGGTATGTTGGCAGGATATTTCTATTGCATACGGTGGCCATAGATCATTGTGTGTAAAAACATGATACGAACTCGAAACTCAACATCGATAGCATACATCTCAAGAAAATATGCGCACATGTTATTTATTTTATTATTTATTTGACTTCAACAAACAAATACAGACATTAAAACAAAATTAATAAAAAATAAAAAAAATAAATAATTTTTTTTTTTTTATTTATTTTTTTTTTTTTAAATTATCTTTTGGCCTACAGTACATTATTATTCACAACAAGAAGGGTATGCACATGTATGTGTACATGTAAACCATGTACCTGTACTCGATGTTGGTAAAGCTTTCGATAAAACGAGAAGTTGAAAATGACCGCGCGGGTTGATTACTAATTGGGATTTTGAAATGTTGGCAGCTATGCATCAGTGTAAGCATCAGGCACCATCGGCAATGTGTGCATGAATCCGTCCCAGTGGTCTCTCCAACTTTCTCTTTTAATCATTGAGGGGTACTAGTACATGACGTCCATAGTTCAATATATCTTTGAATTGCTTGTGTTTTCGAGTTTTGTTAGTCAATCCACGGATCCTCTACACAAGGATAAACGACTCATCTGAGTTTGTGTACAAAATGCATGGAACGGTGAGTCCGCGATGCGCGGACAGCTGGCATCCTGACAGAAATTTGACCACTGAAAGACTGCAGTCGCGGGCCGAGTCTCGCGCACGCGCATGTACGACGCGCAAGTGCCGTATCACGCATCTGACCAGAAATTTGGGGAAGTCGTTTATCCTTGTGTAGAGGATCCGTGGTCAATCTATGGTTCACTATAGGTTGCTCTGGAACTGAAATTGTAGCTGGGAGGGGTGCCCAAGAAACACAGAAAGTAGATGAACTCAATCATGACATGTGTTTGTCTGCTGTAGCATTGATCTGGCTATGGTCTCCTGCGGTCTGTTGCAGGTTGAGTTGAGCCGAGCCAAGAAGCAGCTACAATCCCTGATGATGATGAACCTCGAGGCGCGGCCGGTGGTCTTTGAGGATATTGGTAGGCAGGTCCTAGCTATAGGTGAGAGGAAACAACCGCAGGAATACTGCCATATGATTGGTGAGTATCGTCAATTAACAAATCTTTGAAACTTCTGATAGTCCTGTTCCTTTTGAAATTTCAAATGGATTTTCATCACTATGAAATAGTAAACATGTTTATTGGACTTTGCCAAAGAAAAATAGCATCCATACACAAAATTTATGATTTTGTAAGATGTCTATGGAGTGACATGAAAAGCTGCCAAGTATTTTCACAAGTGATTCGCCGAGTGATTTGCAAAGATAATCACATTTAAACATTGTGGAATTTTTAGACTCACATTTGTGAGGCGTTCTGGCGAAATGAGACGGAACTGGGCACCAGCCACAGTGGAGAAAATCTAAAAAAAAAAAATAATTCAATTTTCAGATTTATTGATTTTTGTAATCTTTGATACGTCTACTGCACATATTTTAAAGAAAAAGTATAAAAATCATGGAAAACAGTGTTTTAAAGGAAAAACAATTTGCATCGTTCATTTTATGACAAAACTCATGACTTTAAGGGCCTTTTTCTTAGTATGTTACTTTTGACAGTCGATAAATGCGAACTTTAAACAGCCACAACTTGTGAACGGAATATCCGATTGAAGTCCTTATTTTGGTTTATAAAAAAAAAATTTGCGTTCATTAACAGAGAGTATCACAGCGGAGGACATCCAGCGCGCAGCCAGCAGAATGCTGCGCTCTAAGCCGTCCATCGCAGCGATGGGTGACCTCTCACGGCTACCAGACTATAACGCCATTCAAGAGGCGCTGGCCAGCAAAGACGGACGTCTGCCGCGCAAGTTTGCCTCCCTCTTCAGGAGGTAGTATTCAGGTCAAGGGTTACGGTTCAAAGGTCAAGAAATGTCCAACAGAGTTTTTAACTTATAACTTGAGACTGGAAAGGCTGGATTTTGATAATGGAATTCAGTCCAAAAAGGTTTTAACCAGTTCGCGCTGGGGTTATTTTGACAAGAACGGAACGAGGCACGGGATTACTTTTCACTCGACCTCAAGCCAGGTGGATTGAAGCCATCACCCTCGGGCAGCACACTCATATTTCCGGCCTCGCTCGCTTACAGATATTTTCCGGCCTCGCTCCCTGCGTGGTTAACCGTCATCCAGTCCGAATACCGCAAAACCTTTGTGTGTATACACGTCATCCGGCACAAACTGGTAAATATTTGTAAAGTTGAACAAAGAAATTAACTGCAGCGGGGTTTGAATCTGCCACCTCCTGATTACTGTTCAGGTGCTCTACTGATTGAGCTATCCAGCCCTATGTTGATGATTCCCAAAAAGGTTTCATTTAGTTTGCTGTAGTTACTTTCTCACACAATTCAAAACTTCCGCCAAAAGTCAAGGCCAAGGTCAGAGAATCACCCAGGAAAGATTTTATTGTCTGAAAGTGCTGAAAGGTTTGCTGCTAGAACTTTTGGGAAAAATGGGGTTCAAAAATTTAAGAAAAAAGGTCCAACAGTAAAGTCTTTTTAAAAGATTTTTCCCCCTTTTAACGAGCGTTTTATGAAACGGTCAGAGTTTAAAGGGTGACAGTTAACTTGTAAAGCATTATATTTTGATATAAATGTATGCACTTGGCAATATAGCAGTTTTGATGCAAAACTCATGCATTTTCCCAAACTTTCTTTATGCCATGCAAATTGTTTGTGTAAATACAGTACCTTCAACTGAACGCTTTTTGGCCGAATGTTTTGGCGCATATATTGAAGTTCACCAAATCGCAATACTCTTTTTTTCTTGGGTACTTAGTTATTAGAAGTAGTTCCATCTCATAACATATTTGCTCCCTCCCACCTTCTCCCCCACCTTCATGTTAGTTATCTTGAGGCATCATTTGTTTTATTTCAATCAAGAAAATGAAACGCACACCGATGAATTTTCTACAGATATTATAAATGTAAAGCTCAATTCAAGTATCATTCTGTGAATAGTGATCAAGTAATAAAAATATGTTTCTTTTCAATAAACTTTTCTTTTTGTTTCTGACTCATTTATTTGTTGCTGTTTAATGTGATAGTGCCAATGAGAAAGGCCAAAACCCCACTAAAATGTTGTGTACACATGTACAATGTACAAAGAAAGTGTCAAATGCTAAGTAATGGGACTATTTCCATGCATATTGTGATTTAGATGCATAAGAAGCCTATGCAGAGGGGGGATTTGAGACCCTTGTGTACACAAGGTAACTTTTTTTTTCTAGCAATAACACGCTGGGTCAAATTCATATTGGCCTAAATTGTGGAGTTGGGCCCTATTTGCTTCGAGTTATTAAATTTCTTGTTTATTTTTTGTGTGTAAAACTACTTGTTTCTGGAAGTCCATCTGTAAAATGATCCACAGACTTGCTTTCAGCACAATATTGTGAAGGGCTGATGGAGTGGGGGGGGGGGGGTATTCACTCAATATTAGAAATTGGGTCTTTTTATGGTCTTGGGTCTTTTTATGAGTTGGCTGCAGTGCCTGGGCCCCCCCCCCGCTCCCCGTGGAAAATCTTGAATTCAGTATTCCAGCCACTCCCCTCCCCCTTGGGAAAATGCTGTGTCCAACTTTGATTGTGTTCTTTCAATAAGCACATTCGTTAAACCAACTTCTTGGAATCAGATTTGAATAGGGTCATATTGTGCAATAGGAATTAGCTCGGTAGCCCTATTAACTGAAACGCCCCCTCTTAATCACATCCATCTTTATAACATATATAAAAAAAAAAATGGTATTAATCAGACCAAAAAAAAGAAGAATGTATTACATTCTTCTTTTTTTGGTCTGATTAATACCATTTTTTTAAATCAACACTTCTAAAATTCAAGTCGCTAAATAGCTTATGGTCCCCCCCCCCCAGTATGTTTGCATCGGTTGCGAACATGCAGCAGAGTTTCCTGTGCTTGATAATGATCATTATGAAATTCTCCCTACCAAACCGGCTGTCCTGCGAGTTTGAGTCTCATGAATAATCATGTGAAGTTTTCGCTGAGCCAATCAGAGTCGTGCTTTCGAAAGCGGCATCTGGTGGTAAAATGGGAAAGTCCATTCACTTTCCGCACACTTCACGACTGTCACTGGTGATAATTTCGGTAGTTGTATCGAAAAGTACCGACAGAAAAGTGCTGCAAAAGTCATGTTCTTGCCACCGAATAACAGGTATGTTGCAATTTAATGATGAGATATAACTATATGACAAAAGCAGAGACTATAAAGGGTTTTGTGCCAGTAGGAATTTATAGAAATCAAATGTTTTTCTATTTTAGTTTCATAATACACGTATACATTCACAGGGGGTAGCGTCTGTAGAAACAGGTTGCTGTACAGCCTTGGAATGTGCACGCATGAATGAATCGAGTGTGATACAGGTGCAGGCATTGTATTATGCACAGGTGACGGAATTGTATGACAGGCTTTGGGTAAAGGACCAATTGTGCGCTTCCAAGCTTTAGATGCTTATGGGGAAACGGATACCACAATCTTTACTACTGTGTGCATATGTCATGGAGGAATGAGAAATATAACTGTTTTTTCTTATTCAAATGAGGGAAGGAAAACAGCAAAATAAGTTTAGGTCATGTAAAAAAATAAACCAGTTTCTCGTCCCCGCCCACTTCCTTTTTTCCCCAGCCGCCTCCCTTTTTGTTCTTTTAAAACAAATTCCTACATTTACAATATATTTTGCTCATTATATTGTAAATATAGTTTTATTTGTTTTCAACAAAATTGTAGCTATATGTAGAAAGGGTAACGCCTAACGGCTCCTTTGGAAACAATTTTGTATCAGCAAAATAGTTGAGGAAATGGAAGAATCTATCCGCCATCTTGGAAAGTCTGTCATCTTGGGGGAAAAAAAAAATGAGTTTTTAGAAACTAGTTATTTTGCTTACTCAGCCTAAGTAAATATATTTTTAGCAACTTCTTTTGTGAGAAAGTTGTGTTTATGTAAGATGGAAGATTTAAATTTGGGTATTATTCAATGTTTGCAATGCATTGTTCTTCTCATCGTAGCAGTTTGCACTTTTTGGAACGAATTAAGATAATGTCAACTTTTTTGTATGTCCTATTTATTTTTAAACAATTAACATTTACATGTTTTATTTTTCTATGTTAATCAACAATTTTGTGCATTTTATATCTGCCTCACATATTCTGACTTTTATTATTTTTTTTAATCTCTTTCGTCTTACAGGTTATCAGAACCATACATGTAATTATGAGTGACACACCAAACAACGCTGGTCATACAAAGTCACATGTCATGTTGTGGTACATAATGTAAACAAATCTTTCAAATATGTGCTAAATTTAGTTGATTAAGAAAAAGCCATAGCTGAACTTGAAAAAAAGTTTAGTAACTTAAAAAAAACTTGCCAGCAACCTTTAAAGATCAAAAGGCCCCATTATGAAGTTTCAGAACTTGGGCAAAATGGTATTTCCCAAATTAATGGTGCTGTGCCTAGCCCTGCTAGTGCTTCCGACCAGAGCACAAAACGTCAACCAACAAAACTGTGAGACCACAGACAGCAACGGCACCACGCATTACCAAGCGTGTCTTGCCGATGCAGAGGTGCTGTATAATCTCAACATCTTGCCGACAGTGGAACCAGAGGACCACACATGTGGGTATGGCCAGACCATCAACGAAAATATTTACTGCACGCTGGTAAGGTTGATTATATACTTCCATTCATTCAGTCATGCATTTATTCTTGATTTTCTGCTTTAAAACATAAAAATGGAAAATGTACGTATCTGTTGAAAATATCTTTTAAAGTCTCTAGCTGTGCTGCCCAAACTGTCCTTTCTATTATTTTCTGTACCGCCCCGAAGCGCCCAAGTTCTGTATGGTTTTATGGATTCAACGGCGAATAAATACAATACAGGTGCTAACGGGTTAGCTTGGTCAGTATTAAACACTATGTTTAAGACCAGTTGGAGTCTGGATGCTGATAATTACCCAACCAAGCACAAATTTATTCCAATTCATAAATATCTTTTTGGTCAAAAAATCAAAACTTTTCGGTCCAAAAGTCAGACCAAGTCAAAATTATATATTTCCAACGATTTTGTTTTTCAAAACCCCCCTCTAGAAACAACTCCTTTCATGGCGATTGGCAGGCACATTGCGCGTACTGTACGATGTCGTGCAGAACGCAGCTGTGGCAGTGAGTTGTGAATTTAGGACTATGAAATACTGACTCCCTGGTATTGCGCATGCCTACATGAGGATTGTGAACGTTCAACCAATAAAATGGTAAAAGGCACTGGATATCATAGGAGTCATGTGACACTGGAAAAGTGTTTTAGATCAGCCAGCCGGTCTTTATCATCAGCTTAAGCTATTTCCTGGGTTTGCAGTTTTCCTTATGTTGCTAGCAGACTAAGGGGGTGATCCATGGTTACATGGTCCATACGTCTTATGGCTTCTGACTAGCACGAGCGCCCCTTGAACAAAGACATCGACAAAATGGGGAACCACCAACACGGGGCTGGATAGCTCAGTTGGTAGAGCACTGGAACAGCAATCCGGAGGTCAGAGGTTCAAACATGTCAAACCCCGCTCCAGTCAATTTCTGCATTCTACTTTTTTAACTTTTAGGGAACCTAGTCAGTTTCCCATTGGTATAATTGATTATTTTATAATTTTAACAGTTTTATTGAATATTTATCTTTCTCATTTTGAAGAATACATCAAATGAAGCATTATTTTGTTCCAAACAAGAAATCCAGCGAAATTGGCACACTAAGTGCATTTTATTTTGGAGGTTAAACAATCATGACATCGGACGTAAACTGAAAAAAAATGCATGTTGACATTTTTATACTCAACTTAATTTCTAGTTGATAGATATTTGTGAAAAAAATGGTTTTTCTTTCCAAATTTAGAGGAAAACCCCCACTGATTTCATTAACTGATGTTTGAATCAATGTTTAGAAAGTATTAATATCCATAGCTTGGCATTTAACAAAGTTTGGCTGAATTGGAATTTGTATAAATTGTGCGCAGGGCAGGGTGGAATTAATAATTGATTCTTAATTTGCTGCATGGCCTAAACACAATGCGTATCTGAGTCACGCATGTGTTTAGGTGTGGCACATGCTGATGCGTCCGTTTTAATAATGAAAGTGCAGCTGTTGCTGTCTCCATGGTAACGGGCCTCAAAGGAGCAGCCTGGCTGTGTTTTGTTCCGGGAAAATTCTGATTGAATAAAAGACACCATTGCCTATTTTTGTGTCAATAACAACCATGAATTTGCATAAATAAAATGTTTATTTTATTGAGATTGGTTGCCCTAAGTGCGCTCTGATGAGGGAATGGTGTGATGATATCATCTTGATTTTTTACAAAAATATTTCATTTTTTCATTTGGAAAACAATTTGGGTGTGGGCCTATAGTTGGTGCTATGTGGCGTGGTATGTCAAAACCAGGCAGAATTGGGCAGAGCTACGAATCGGGAAACAGCTGCTAAATGACATTTGGGTGATTTTCAGCAATTTTGCAATATTTTTTTGAAATTTGTGATGCTACTAATGTTGAAAATGTTTTGTAAACGTTTCAAATAGAAATTTTATTGACAAAGTGGGTTTTTTCACTAAATTCAAACTTTAAAGGTCTTTTCCCCATTTTTGACATTTTGGAAAGTCCGATTTCAAAATTTACTAACTTTGCTTTGAAATATTCAATTTCAAAAACATAGTGGTATTTGAAAGAGCAAAGTCTATATTTTACTAATATTGCAATAACAAAAACTTGACTTATTGCCCAAATGCACAGGTGATTTTGGCATACCAGGTCACATGCTTTTCAAATGCCTCGAGCAAGATGAAGAATTGAAAAAACTACTTTCAGTCAATACAAATTCCATTTTGTAGACAAAATGAACAGATGCACCATGTATTCCAAACTTGTTCAGACCCTGACTTAATTTGTCTTTGTTTGGGATGAAGTTCCAAATGCTGCAAAATACAGCATGTTGCATGCTCTGCTACATTTTTTTTTGGCTATAAAATACTTTGAATAATGGACACCAAATGGCTAGAGTATTGCAAAATACAAATGACTACTAGTAATATTTTGAAGCTAAAGGCCTATGGAGGTTGGGGCTTAAAAAAGTAAGCAAATGAATGAATTTTCCTTTAAAAAAAAATGATAATCAATGTGTCACTGCAATGCTTTAATATAAAAACTCAAGATGTAAATTTATCATGTAAGACTGCAAGAATGAATTGTCAAGTTGGTTTTGCTAACGTTTGTCACTGTTCGTGGTACACATTCTGTTCCAATTGTGAAAAATGTTAAAATGTTGGTAGCCAGTTACATTTCAATACATTGCTTTATTTATTATTTTATTTATTTGGGTTTATTATCACTATTGAGCAGCTTGAAAGCTGAATTGCACAGTGATTTACAAAATAAAGGTAAATTAAATTTAAAATAAACACAATGCAAAAGAAAGTAAAACACATACAAAATCCACAAATACAATCAATTATTCTAAGACATCGAGCTTAGATAATAGTAGTTAAAAAATCCTATGTTGAGCTATTGATGAGTCTGGTGAGATAGGGCTGGGGGCACCAAGTTATTTCTAAATCTTTTGTGTGAACTGGGATACTCCTCAAGTGTTCTGCTCGATCTAAGATTCATATTTGTGCAAACTTTTTGATTTAGGGAACCACTCATTAAATCTGCCTGATTTAAAAGTACTTTAATAGAGCAAAGTATTGGCTTCCTAGAAAAGTACGGCAAACTCGGCTTTACCCATATCCCCACTTTGTTTGTAGGACATTTCCAAGGAGTGCAGTTTGTGTGATGCCACCAATGCGAGCCTGTCTCACCCACCTCAGTACAGCTACGATCAGCCCACCCCAGGCCAGCCCACATGGTGGCAGTCAATCACCTGGTACAACTACCCTACCCCCTTAGAAGTCAACCTCACCCTCTCCCTAAACCACTCCTACACCATCAACAGTGAGATCAAAATCGTCTTCCAGTCCAGCCTGCCGCGCCGAATGGTCCTCGAGAAATCCTCCGATTACGGCCAAACATGGCAGCCGTATCAGTACTATGCGTACAGCTGCAGTTACTTTGGGATGACGCACGCGGACGCTGCCGCTACCCCGACGGAAGTCATCTGCAGCGAGAGTTACAGCAGCGGGCCCCAGACAGCACTGTACTCAGGCGGTGAGGTCCTGTTCACAGTCCAGGACCGCCTGACTCTTCTGACCAGCTCCCCTTTTCCCCAGGATTTCCAGAGGGCGTATGAGAATGCCACAGAACTGAAGGCATTCTTGGAAGTGACAGACCTGCGGCTTCGTTTGCTGTATCCTGCCACGGACGGCTTGGAATGGACGTATCAGTTCCAAAGCCTGATCCATTACTACTATGCCATATCCAACATTGGCACCTTCCTCATGTAAGTTCATTTTATAATCTCTTTTTTTTATTTTAATGGACTTATGAAAGATATGTGTAAAGGTTTGTGACATGCAAATACTGATTCCTTAAACGTAGGATTTATAAAGGTTTAGCAGCATTGTTTGTTTATGACAAATCAGTCTCAATAATTTTGGAAAACAAGAAAATTATTGCATGCATAGGAACCTATATCTTGTCTTGTTCACTCCAGAAGCATTGTTCTCTCGATTTACACTGGCTGATTTTTTATCTTTTCATCTACGAATTATTATTAAAAGTGGATTCATTGATCCGTTTTTTGGAAAAAAGTAACTCATGAATTAAGGTGGTTTCAGTCATATGATTTGGTCAATACAAATCACAGAGTTAGCTTGTAAAAATGTCACAGAAACATATACATTTTCAAGAAAACTTGTCTGGTTGTTTGAAGATCGCAAGCCTTAGGCCAGTAACATAATACAAATTTGAAGCAAATTTCATGTCAAAAAGCTAACGGCACAATTTCCTAGAGGTGAAATGTGTTCAACTCTCTCAAATATGCAGCATGAATATCTTGCCGTAACATCACAAATTTGCATTGGAGTTGTGAACTGAAGAATGAACAGGCCCCTATGATTAAATATGAACAATTAAATTACAAAGGACAAAACATTGCATAAAACAAAACAGTTTTTCTGTTTCACATATACCTCATCACAATTTCTTTTCAACTTGACAACTTTCAGGAGTTTCAGCTACAAAACTTCCTGAAAATGTTGGTACAAAACTATTGCCCTTGTAGCATATTCATAAATTCCACTGAATCTGTTCATTACAAATGTTAACACAAGGCTAATTTTCTCGTCTGTTTTTTCGTTTCTTTGACTATCCACAGATGTAACTGCAACCTGCATGGCAAATACTGTCACGTGAATGATAACTCAGAGACAGTATGTCAATGTTCTCATAACACCATGGGCAAAAACTGTGAACAGTGCCTCCCTCTGTATAACAATCGGCCATGGGCGGCCGGTTCCACCCTTCCCTATCCAGGGGGGACTCCAAATGAATGCGAAAGTAAGTGATTTGTGTAATCAAAATAATATAGTAATATGCATTTCTTGTAGGGCTGTTCCACCATACATGCCATAGAGCTATATTTAATTACTAGAGCGCTGACTCATGTACAAAATGATGCCTGTTTGCACACAAACCTATGGAGAACTAGAAATGTTGTACGTCTTTTATATGGCTATTTGCATATCTGCATTTGTATTCCATACTGGTGCTTCATCGAAACCGATACGCCCAAAACCAAAACGCACGATCAGCAAAAGAGTGTCATTTTGCTCTACACAAACAGCGCAACACGTGCGCGTATCCGCTGCAGATGATTAAACGTGTTTTTTTTAAACCGTAGCATGCGCTTAAGAAGTTTGCGTACGCTTGCGCATTGCATTTAGATTACACTTTCAAAATTCAATCCATCTAATTTCATTATGTTCTACAAACACGCACATGAATACAAAATGTCTGCACCCAGGATGGCTTCAAAGCTTCTCCACACACAAGAATTTGGAGTTAGCGCTCTAGTAATTTAATAGCTCTATGGAAGATACCGAATATTCAAATTAGGCCTGTCTGTTTACGGTTTTGACTGGAACCTGGTACCCTTTCCCGGTCAAGGTCGGGTACCCGGGTACCCGTAAACCCCCCCCCCCCAAAAAAAAACCCGGAAGTAAGTGTTTTCATTTATAACGCCAACCCGGAAGTAAGTGCTTTCGTTTCTAAACACCCCATTGTGTTCTGTAATGCTTTCTGTGCAGGTATACCGATTTGCAAATGGTTGATTTGTCAGTAAAAAATAGGAATTGCAAATTCAATGTCTATTATATACAGCACCTGAGTTTATGAAATAAAAGAAACGTAAGGTGATTAATAAAGAGTTTAAAGACATCGATGACAAAGTCGGCGAACTTCCAAGAGCTCCCCGCTGTGTATTCTTCAGTGAGTCCATCCGGCCGTCACCTCAGCCCAGGTGGCCCACACTGACTGCAGCGCTGGTTGTAGCATGCATGCAGCGCGCGCAGCGTGGTCGGCTTACTCGGCTAGGCATGCGTACGACGACCGGTGTCATATGAAAATCAGACTCGTATGAAAATCGGACTCTTTTCCCCTTTTATTGGTTAAACCCTTTCACGTGACCAGTCCCTCTCCTAATTATCTATGCATAAGCATGCGCAATACCACCAATGAGTCCGTATTTCATAAAACCTAAATTCATGCTACACCGGCACGGCAGTCAGTACTACTAACGGTAAGTGAAAGCACGTGCACAAAAGGTGTCATGCTTTATCATAGGGACCCGGCGCATGCGTCTTGTACTACGCTAATCGCTAGTCAAGTTGCACTTCTTACGTGCGTTGTGATTGGCCGGTTCCGCAGAAAATATTGGCGCGCGGTTATTTTTATTATTATATCATTTGTTGTTAAAGGTATATTTTTTATCTACACTTTGTTCAATCATAGGAAATTATAAATGCCCTTAAAACTTTCTCAGGCTTTGAGACATCGTACATCAGAAAAAAACGGGTTAAAGAAAAGCAATTAATTGACAAACAGTTTTGACTTTTTCTCAAAATGTGACCAAACATGGCTACTTCCTGAACGTGGCATGATGATCACCGGACAGCAAGGTTATGAGACAGGGAATGTCAGGGACAAGAAATAATCACACAGACACAGCAAAGTAACTTGGGCTTACATTTTGTCATCTTTTTTGATTGTGCGTGACTGCAATTAAAACGCCAATCACTTAGTATCGTTTGTTTATTCCGCCATCTGCGGTGCATCAAAGAAGATCATTTCCTGGCGGCCCGCTACAAGAAACTTATTAAAAACATGATGGGTCAACTTTCGTGCTTCTGGAGACACATCAATTCAAACTTCAAAGATAGTCAACAAAACTGAATACAAACTAAAAACCGCAAGATGGAGTTTTCAGTGAATGATCGGTAATTCACTTTGAACTTTGTAAATCTTAGGTTACGGACTTGTTATGGGTACTACCGGCCATCTGCGGCGCATCAAAGAAGATGATTTCCTGGCTAGCGGCTACAAGAAGCTTTATTACAAACACAAACAATGGGTTGATACTATCGTGTTTCGCCACTTTCGGGCTTCTGGAGACGCATCAAAGATAGTCTAAATAAAACTGAAAACAAAATATAAACCGCAAAATGGAGTTTTGGAATCATCGGTAAACTCACTCTGAACTTTGTAAATCTTCTGTTAGTGATATTTGAATGCACGTACTTGTGGGTTTTTTTTGTCTCGGACGTTGCGTCGAAATTTATAAATTCGGTTACGGGTACCCGACCCGATAAAATGGAACCAGTTCTTGGCCTCCGCGGGCGGGTACCCGGGTACCCGCAACAGGCTTAATTCAAATGCTTTATCATCCACTGCATATCTGAATAGCATTTTAACGATTCAAATATTTGAAACATGTCTCTGTCCGGAAGAAGCTCTGCATTTGTCATTTGCAACTGCTTGACTCACCAATACTGATAACTTCATTGTGGGAAGATTGCGGGGAAGTTGTTCAGAATCTTGCAACTTACACCCACTACGATGTCCGGAACTTGTCTGGAACTCGTCCCAGATATGAATTGAGGTGGGCCCTCAGCACTATATGCTACCGGAGTCTTGATGTCACTAGGAGGTCAACTTAATGCAACCATAATTACTGTTTCATGTGCACTGCAGCAGCCCAAGTAGAGTGTTTCGCTATGGCAGTTGTAAACCTAAGTTTAACAATTGGCTGAAACATTCTCTAGGAAATGATAATAGGTACAACTCTGGTTTTAACTGTCGTGGTGACAATCTGCTGCAAAGCACTTGACCATTTTCAGGTACTTATTTTTGAAAATGTTCTCTGAAAGTAGGATGTAAAATTGCTGTCTGTGATTGTCCATGTTAAACTTTTGCCTCATTTAGGAATGAGCGTGAACTGTTGCAGAGGAAGTGAACTAAATCTGGGAGTGAGGTGATGTAGGGCATCGGCAGGATATAGTACATGATGTATAACATTACGTCGGTGAAGGACAAATTCACTATTAAAATCAACCAAATATTGATTAAAGTCTACTAAGTCAAATTTGATTTTCTGTCGTCTTTTCCCCCCAGAATGCGTTTGCAATGAACATAGTGATAGTTGCACCTATGATGAATCCCTCGGCCAGGGAGTATGTGATGACTGTACAGACAACACAGCTGGTCCATCCTGTGAAATCTGCATCAGCGGTTACCACAGAAATACCTCTGTCTTGGCCAGCAGCCCAGATTCTTGCATTGGTAAAATGTTCATCCCAATTTTCTATTCAGTTAATATTTCAAAAATAAGGGTCACACATTCAGCCATATTTATCAAAAACTTCTATTTAAGATAGATTACTTACCTTCTTTCAAAGATCTGCATCACAGGGATTCCGCAAAATGACTTACCGTAATTTCCTGCGGATAAGACGCGTCTTATCTGACTTTCTAGACCACAAAAACATCGCTGCGCCTTATCTACAGGTGCGCCTTATCTGGTGTCGCTTGAGTTCAAAGTGACGGTCTTTGTGTGAAGAATTCTTTCAATGCCGCAATCAATAATGCAGTCAACCAAGGCTCAACTCTCCAGACATTGTGACCGTATTTTCATTCCAACAATGCCGCGATGTGTTGATCCCCCATGATCGTGCTTTCATTCCAACAATGCCGCAATGCGTTGATCCCCCTTAGTGATCGTGCTTTCGTTCCAACAATGCCGTCATACAAACGTTTTTCTTTGTGGCCGTTTTTTCATTCCGAAAATGCTGCAATCAGAATTACTTAAACGTTTGGAAATCGCATTCACTCAAGTTCTATTGTGTGAACGTTGAGTTCGAAGTCTGCTTTAGACTTAGGATAATATGAAGTACTAATGTTTATTTGTTGCACTTTTGTTTGTTTCATTAAACGTTCAAATCGTTCATTTATTAATTGCCAAAATCGTTCATTTATTAATTGCCAAACGAGAAAAGAGATGGTTCATGTGTCTGTTTCGTTTATTTTATTAGTAAGATATCAAAAAAGTTTAATGATCTTGAAAACAAAACTAACACTAAGAGAAGCGATGTATTAAACAAATATCTTATGAACGTGATTAACTAATTATAGGTTTGAAATAAAGGAAAAGAACTTTAAATACAAAAAAACTTTACAACAATTTTTAAAAAATATAATAAAACATTTTTGTTACGTCTCCCCCGGTGTGACGGGATTATTTTCGTATGGTATATACATATAGGCGACGCTAGTTTTTGTATTAGTCACCGGTAGAGGGCGCAACATCTGGCTCGGAGGGACTGGGCAAGTCTACGAATCTGATCCAGCGTGCGTGTTGCAATATCTTCAGACAGCGCGTGGACCATCGTTTCTGGCCGCTGATTGGGCCGCACTGCATTAACAAAAGGCCAAGGAAGGCCAGGATCGGAAACCGCAAGCAAGCATGCACAGCGCGCGTTGGCTGAATGGATGAAGGTCGGTATCAATTTACATTGGTCTTTTCTTCATGGCTCTACATGTGACCAGCCAATGTGGTTACGGTTTAATTCATCCTCCGAATAGTGTGATCGTTCTAAGGCAACACAATGGCCCCTTTGTGGCGATGTACCGACACCGGGTGACGCCTGGTGTTCTTCTGTGTGCGGTCAAATATGCGGCGGTGCGCCTTATCTGTTGGCGTTTGAATTTTTTTGGGGTGATTTTAGGGACCTGCGCCTTATCCGCCGCGCGCCTTATCCGCAGGAAATTACATTACATTTACAGAGAAAATGTTGGGAACCCCGATTTGTTTACATTAGCCGTGTCTAAATGAATTTCAAGCATTGAATTTTGAGCCAGACTGTTATCAAAAAGACTGCTGCCAAATATAAAGTATTAAAATCACAGTGAGATTCACTGCGAGATATCAGGTCCCACAGCACATGTATATTCAGTATTATACTCATGGCGATTCTGTGAAAGGAAATGTGTGACTAGAATTGGTTTGATTTTTGAGGACCAAAATTTTGTACCCTGAAATTCCTTCCCTCGTTTATCACACAGAAACAACAAATTTCCAAGATTTAGTTGTGTGAACATTCATATTCTACTTTTTAGCAATCTTTCCAACAATTATCATTTTGTGGTAATGAATTTTCGAGCCCCAAAAGGGCGCATTCTCTTGTATTTGAAGCATTCTCTTGGTTCTGAAGCAATTTGAGACTTAAAATCAAAACCTTGGGCTTGATTACACTAATCGTGTTGTAGAAAAGCCATGTTAAGTAAAACAAGTAGAAAATCGTGCTTACCCGAAGCATTTTCTCAGCAAACTAGGAATGGTGACTTCTTTGCTTAAAGCTTACTGACTCTTTTAACCAGTTCACGCAAAGGTTTTGCGGTATTCCAAGCGAGGCCGGAAATATCTGTCAGACCCGCTAGCAGCGAGCGAGGCCGGAAACATGAGTGTGCTGCCCGAGGGTGATGGCTTCAACCCGCCTGGCTTGAGGTCGAGTGAAAAGTAATCCTGCGCCTCGTTCCGTTCTTGTCAAAATAATCCCGGCGTCAACTGGTTAATAAGTGGATGAAGATTCCCTAAGCAGAAATCACAAGCTAAGCATCACTATCAAATTATTCTTTTATTGATGTTAAATTCAGAGTAGTCAGGACACACCAGGGGTGAACATCGACAAAACATTCATCTATTCCTTGACTTGTGACTTTGACTTTACCTGTGACTTGTGATTGCGTAATGATTGCAGGTTAGTTTTGTTCAAATATTCAGTGGAAACCTTCGATTGTTTCAATATGTAGAATGCAACTGTGAGCCAATTGGCACAGTGGTGAACGGCACAAGTTGCTCCCAGTTCTCTGTGGATGGCAAGCCCGTTGGTCAGTGTAATTGCATTGACAATGTGGAGGGCCGTGCCTGTGATGTGTGCATGGATGAGTACTACGGACTGCTTCTAGAAGACCAACTTGGAACATGTAAAGGTGGGTGAATTGGGTCTCTGGCTGTCGTGATCATCACAGTGACATATATTGGTGATTATGGGTTGGTGGTGGAATAATCCTGAAAGTTTCCAAAATTGGACATTTGTAAGCTTGGAGGGGGGTGGGAATGGGAGTGGATTTAATGCACCATCAGCCAATATACATAGGAATTATGCAACCAATTTGTTTCACAAATTTCACAAAACATGGCATAGCTGAGAAACATTTTAAATGTTTTGAACAACTTATAAACGTTAAAAACAGCTATGAGATGGCAAAACTGTTATTTCATCCGGTTGTTGAATGCTGTATGCCCAATCATCTCTCTAAATCCCAAAGAGTGAAATTAGGGACTAGACGTTTTACAGTGAAAATCACTCTCATTTTAAATTGAAATACTTGAGTTTTCACTCGAGCTTCATCTGAAGTGATTTTTTTTTCAGAGTATACTCTGAAAGAAGAATCACTTCTGTCTAAGCTCGAGTGAAAACTCGATCTTAATGATTGAATGAAATTCAATCTAAAACGTCTAGTCCCTAGTTTCTGACTGTGGGAGTGAATCTTCACTCCAATGGAGTGAATTTGGAACTGTACTCAGGCTTGGAATTGGTAGAGTTCCCCCCCCCCCAAAAAAAGTTTCCTTTGGTATACTGGTTGACTACAACTGTATCGGTATTGAGTATTTACGGGTTAATGCATAAAATATGCATATATTTGCTTCAGAAGTTATGTGTTTAACACACTTTAATTTCATACAATGGACATTTTGTGTTTTGCAAGCTGTGCACCCAAATATTGCACTAGCTAAATTGTGGATTTATAAACATTTACTTTTTTACACAGACTGCAATTGCAATCTCCTGGGCACCATCAATGCGAGCAATGTCTGTGAGAAGCAGGCTGGAGCTTGCCCCTGCAAACCAAGCACGGACACCCGTACCTGCGGAGAATGTAAAGATGGTTACTATGGATACCCAACCACAGAAACTGAGGTACATTCAGCATTTTGCTGAATTTGAGAGTTATATTTGGTTGGACTACAAAAACAGGCCTTAATGTGACCTGTGCAATACTGTACTGGCTATCTACCATCTGAGTCATCTAGGCCTTTTAAACAGTCTCCAAGTATTTCTGCAATAAAGAAGCGTGGTTTACCACAGCTTGACTAATTTCACAAATTGACACACCGTTCCACTCAGCAGCGAAACCAAGTTTTGGAGAAAATAAATCCGTCACTGCATCAAAATGGAAAAATTAGCGCATGCGTACATTTGCCACACGTACGTAACATGTGTTTGTACACAGATTTGCCGTACGATCCTACATAACATTTGTACATTCATAGAATACAGAACTAGCTGTCTCTTCAACAAAATGCACATTTTTTGCGACTATGTGCTAGCAGACACGTGTAAAATTGTTGAGACAAAGTGATGAACCAAGATTCAAAACAAAAACTGATTTGCTGCACATTTGTCACTTTGTGTAATTGGTGTAATTAACAAACAGTGCAATTTTGTATCTTAAAATTTAGAAGATTATGTAGAGGACATAACAAAATGTGAGAATATAAAAAAAATCTCAACTTGCTTAAAATCGGTGACGATTTGGACCTTATAATATTAGCATGCAAGTGCGAAGTTGGTTACTGTACTCTTCAACCAATGGTCTTTAATTGAACATGTGCATGTTTCTCTCGTAATGAAATTATCCTCTCTGTTATGCACAATTTCTAACTGTTTTCTCATTAGGAGTGTGCAGCATGTGACTGCAACGTTGGAGGTTCCACTTCACCGGTATGCAACAAAGTCTCAGGTCGCTGTTCATGCCGCAGTAACATCACTGACAGACAGTGTGCGGTTACCGACCAAGGCTTTTACTTCGAGTTTCTTGACAGTAATAGGTGAGGAATGTGATTCAGAATTAAAAATTGCAGAGTTAAAAATATAGAGGATTCTAAACAAGGGCGGATCCAGAACACAATTTTAGGGGGGGGCCAAAAAAATTTCGATTCTAGATGCTCTGTGGTGCGATCTGAGGCAATTTCTGACCACTTTAAACAATGTTTTTTTGAGGAAAAGATGGTGGTGTACTCATTGCCTGCCTTTATTGCGATGTCACATAAAAAAAAAAAAAATTGGTCTCGTTTTTGGGGGGGCCATGGCCCCCTTTGGCCCCCCCCTGGATCCGCCCTTGATTCTAAAACAATAGTTCCTCTGCTTATCGAATTGCATAGCAGATACACCCAAAATGATTTTGCCAAAAATCCGGTAAAATTTTAATTTCTCCTACTTTGTGATAAGTTCTTGTCATATTTTTCAATCATTATTGTACAATTGTTCTATTTGACTGCTGCAAGATCCAGTGCAAGCCTCAACGTATTATCTGGATTCCTTGTGCCAGGATTTTAATTTTCCTTTACTTTGGTCTCAAAATTCAGTTGTATTGATGATATTCTGTGGTATGGGCTCCAGTGTTGTAGGTCTCGAGACCGGTCTCGGTCTCGGTCTCAAGACCACTTTTTGCTGGTCTTGGTTTCGGGAGCTGTGGTCTTGGTCTCGGTCTCGGTCCCCTTTGGTCTCGATATTTTGGCTGGTCTCGAGTCGAGACCAGCCAAAAAGTGAGGGGGGGGGGGGCGGATTTCGCCCCGGCCCCAGTTTAGGATTAAGTAGGGAATCAGTTGAGGGCAAATGTGACTGCAGTGTGATGCTAATGGACATGTCTCTCTTCACTTTCTAGTGAGTGAGGCATAGTCCAACAACCATTGCTCCTCTTCTTATTTCTTGTTTTTATTGTGGGATGGTTTGTTGAAACAAGCACTTTATAGCCATCCTCATTGATTCCAAATACAACTGAGATTTAAATCTTATGAATCAAGATTGAAACATTATTTTTACCGTCAGATTTTTTGTTTTGAATATGGGAAACAATTCAACTCTTTTTCCCCCAGAAATATTTGTGATTTTTTTTCTATTTTCCTTTTCAATTTTTACCTTATTCGTGGAGCAGGGAAAACGTTGTGTTTTTTTCATTATATTTATTAATGGATATTCATCAATTCGTAGACCGTTAAATTGCTATTAGTGGTGGACAGCTGAATTATGTGATCTCTTTATTAAAATAGGCACGACTTGGGAATAGAGAATGCAAATTTTCAGAGTTACTACTCAATAACATGTTCTTTATCCCAATTATATATTTTTTTTACAAATATGGAGGGTGCCATTTCTTTTCTTTTTTTATCATACTGTCACTTTATTTTTGACTTGCCATGTATTCGTCTTTTCATCTGTGATAAACACAAATTGAGCTACTGCCATAGTGACACAAAAAAAGAGCCTAATTGCCTGCCTTGTCTCCTTTCTAAATGTCAGTTGCGTTTGCATGAGTCGAGAAGACTTTTGTTCCATTAATCGCTAAATGCTGTTTACGGCCATCACAATAACCAAGAGTGAAATATTGGCAATATGTTGTACTTGTAAATTACTAAAATATTCAAGTAAATCGCCCGGCATAGTAGCCAATGCGGGCGATACGCTGGTACAAAACACAGAGAGGCGTGCGCACTGAACCGTGAATGCTAAAAGTACATCTCGCCCACCACATTCAGTTTGTGACAGCGCCCTTCTATTGTGTCGGCCTCATTCTCAAATAGGCTAATGGCGATGATGACGGCGGGCAGATTAACAGAAGATAGATCAGGCAAATATGGTTCATCAATCTTCTATAGTGTATGTAATGGTATTGACATTAAACAAAAATAAAGTGGCATTACATTTCAGCCTAAGCCAGGCCTCTCTGGCGACCACCTCTCAATTTTTAGGTCTACATGTACAAGTCTATATTCCATGACTGAAATTTTTTAAAATAAATCAATATTTTCTTGCTCCAAATTTTTTTGAATCAGGTTTACAAGGAGGTCCAATGTAAAATTAAAGCTGCTATTAAATATCTGTTAGTAGTCATTGCTGAAACCAAGGGGTGGCTGTGGAGTTTAGGGTCCTGTAACAGTTTAGTTTAGTTCCTATAACAGATGAAACATCCACCTTTAACTTTTTAATTTTGTCAAGTTTCAACATCGCAAAAAACTAGTACAAATTGCCTTACTCCTAAGTTAGAGTTTCTTCGTCAGATTGACACTTTATAGTAGTTAAACAATATTATATTTAAAAAAATATGCTTTTAAAAAAGTGGCAACAATATATGGACTTCATCAAATTAGGTTTTCCCCTTCTTTAAATTAGGTTGTTTCCCTTTTTTAAAATTGATTGTGACAATAACAAATTATGTTGCCATGTTGTAATTTATGGTATGAAGCAAACATGAAGAGCACTCGCATGACACAATTAAGCAGGTACAAGTGATTCCTATCTTTCTATCACTTCCTTCACATCCCCATCAACATAACCATCTCAAGGACAGACTGTTCAGCTGTAATTAGTGACTTGTTTTTTTATTTAGATTATTGTTATTTATTATCCGCGGTCTCGGTCTCGGTCTCAGTCTCGGACCATTTCGGTCTCGGTCTCGGTCCGCTTTGAAGGGGTTGGTCTCGGTCTCGGTCTCGGTCTCGCAACTTCAGGTCTCGGTCTCGGTCTCGGACTATCCGGTCTCGACTACAACACTGATGGGCTCCATGCGCCAAAAAAAGAGGGCGCATTTTTACCACTTTTGAGAGCCCTTGGACGGGACACTACACAGCGTGTGCGTACTGTACTGTACTGATTTGCGCGCGAAGTACGCACGTCTTCCTCAATGTGCCAAAGCTACAGCATCTTCATGTGAGCGTCAGGCGTCGGCGAGCGAAAACGTTTGAATTTAGTTTGCGTTGGTCTCCCAGACTAATTCCCGCCCCCAATAACTTTGGATCATTCGAAATATGCAGTGGATGGATCGGGAACCAGTCTCGGTCTCCCCAACTCTCCTTTTATTGCCGTCGAAGGAGTACTTGTGCACTGAGCCCATGGAACAAACCAGTCAAAAGCCAAATCTCCTCTTGACCATTGAATCTCATTCTTTTCAGCTATGATTCTTGGGAGGCAGATTCAGACTGTGTCCGGACCTCCGATGTGCCTGTTGATCTCTTCACCGGTGCCGGTTTTCAGACTTGTTACCAAGGCAACCAGGTGACATTCAGGGGAGTCACAGCTGCCACCAGCCTGGCTGATGCATTGTAAGTTGCATACAAGATCTGTAAATGGTGCTGTGAGGTTGACTCAGTAGAGATTGTGAAGCATGCATCACATTATGTTACTTGTTTGCATGTGTGTATGTTACAGATTGAAATAGACCAATTTCCAAATGAATATGAACAAACTTGTCCCATTATTGCATGGGAGAATGCAGTGGTGCATGGTAGTAGTGGCATCAAGTGTTCTTCAACAGAGGCGTAGCAAGAAAAAAATAATGGGCGGGGTTTACCAAATTTTTTCCCTGAAGTAAAGGTTTGATACATCTGCAAACAGCATGCCAGCGCAAGTAGCCGTGTGCAGAGGGCATGTTTAACACACTGATCAGATGCGTGCCTACCCTTGCCCCCTCCCCCCCCCCATTTTTTAGGTGCCTCCCCCTCCAACCCCCCCTCAACCCCCCCCCCCCTCCCCCCACCCATCATGGATTACAAATCCCAAAACTTTGAAGACTTTGACTGCCATTCAGTTATATTTCATATATTTTTGAGAGGAGTGAAAATGCAATTTAGTTATCTATCCCTTAGAGGGGTTTTTGTTTTTAGATGGGAACACCACACAAAAATAGTCCACACTAATTGGAGGGTCATGATTTTGAATCTGATCATCTCATGATGACATCATTTGTTAGCTACATGTTGATACCCCGTTTGCTACCAAAGACTGTAAATTGTCCAACATTGACAACAGTTTTATGAAAAATGATGCAGCTTGAATTGTTGAAAATCTAAAGAGTATGTGAGTGGAAATTGCTGCGTGACAATGTCACGCTGCCCGAAACGAACGGCAGGGAATACCGATCGCACAGTGCTTATATGCATAGTAGCTCGAGTATTGAATTACCCGCGCTTTGTTCTGGCACTGTGCAGTCGATAGGGGCCAATTACAGGCACGTGTGGTTACGTTTTGCAATTTCTCCTCGCTTAATCTTAAAATTTGCAACTTTTGAAACTGCATAATTTTTTATAAACCGTTGTCAATATTGGATGACTTACAGTCTTTGGCAGCAAACGGGGTATCAAAATGTAGCTAACAAATGTTTATATAAATAACCTCATCATAAGAGGATCAGATTCAAAATTATGACCCCTCCAATGAGTGTGGTCTTTGTTGTGGTGTTCATGTCTAATCATATCCAAGACACAAATATAATTTTAAAGTTTTATGTTTTCTTCCAGATTTTACCGTCCTGCCATCCGCTACACCTACACCTCCAGTACCCCTTGGCAACAAGCCAACTTGAACATTGTCGTTGCCCAATCAGACGCCAACCCTTCGCTCTGCCCGGTGGCTGTAGGCACTTCCATCTCAACGCTGGTCATCAGCTTACCCCCTGGCACGGCAACAGCCTGGTATGCCTCAGAGAGGGAGGCGTTGACGTTGGATCGGCGGTGCCGGTATGATGTCACATTGACGCTGAGTGCCAGAGGAACGGGAGCTCAGGAGATTGCCATTGATGCCTTGGTGATCATGCCTGCCACTACATCCTTCTCTGTCTACACACAAGCTGGTAAGGCTGAAAGCAGTGATTTGAAAGGAAAAAAGTGGACAACTTTTGCAAATCTCCAAAAACGCATTATAATTGTTAAATTATTATGAAAAATCTTGTAATACTTTGTTGAAAGTAAATAATAGTATCAAGCAACCAGTGAAATTGTAGCACCTGAAGGAGAGGTGACTGTAATTAAAAAAAAAAAACTTTCAATTTTCAATCAATTTTCAATGATTGCTCAGTGGAGGGATTGTTGGAAAACTGCATTATTTTCTATCTGTTAAAGGGACACTAGGTCCTGGAACAGCCCAATTGGGCTGCAAAACGCGCTTTGAACGAGATCATGTTAATCGGAAATAACATTTAAAAGTAGGATATAAACATCCACACAACTATCCTTTCAAAACTGGGCGTTTTTGTGTTATTCCTGTATTATGCGTGCGAGAACGAATTTCGGGGTCCACTTTTGCGACCCCATAAATTCGAGCTGTTTGGATGCTAGTTGTGATTTCATTCGTAAAGTGTTTGCCTTTTGTGGACGTTGAAGAAACCACTTTTGGTGCATTGGTGATTGGTCACCGCGCGCTGTTCCCGAGACACACAACGTGTATATCGTACACTGAGAACGACACGAAAAACGTATTCTTACTCTGTCATGTCCGATGTAAACAAGCGGGTTTTTTTCGTCTTTTCTCGGGAACGGTAAGACATTAGGTTGTTTTCCTTTCAACCAGATACAGGCTAAGTAAACAATCCAAAACATAAAATTTTCGGGGATTTCAGGACCGAGTGTCCCTTTAAGCCAGAAAGAAACTATTAATTTTACTAATAAGCCAGTTCAGTATTTCAATGACATTCAGGATAACATCGCTGACGTGATGTTACGCGATGTTACGCGCATGCCCATTCTGCTGGTAATTTACATGCAAGCCTTGTGCGTCCGCGTTATGCGCCTTGGAAACGTTCATTGTGCACATGCGCAGTTGAAATACCGAACTGGCTTATTCATGTAGGTAGGGATCCAAGGAGGTGTTTAGTGGAAAAAAAGCCACAAAATTTCCTAAAGTTTCCTACGTCATAACTCATGATTGAAAAGCTTGATTGAAACGTAATGCCTCACCTTCCTTGAAAAATCTTGGACCTCAACACCCAAGCCAACCCCACCACCCAAGCCAATCCCACCACCCCCTTGGAAAATCCAGGATGCACTAGTGTAGTTGTGGTGATCATAATGGCCAGTAAGTTGACTAATATTTGTTTTGTTTTTCCCAAGATGCTAGCATGATGGAGTTTTATACAGCATGCATCAGTAACATGACAGCGATGGCGACACGGCAGTCTGCTGTAGACCAATGTCAGGCATTTATGTTTGCCGTGTCAGCGGAGGTCAATGATGGAGCAGTAGGTGAGTCAGAAAGAGAGAAAGCTTATAGACATTTCCAGGGAAGTTTGCAATTTAAGATTGAGGGTAAAGCTTTGCAGTAGAGTATCAAGAAATTTTGCAGGACTACTACAGCCTGTTTGAAATTCTCTTGTATGCTGATAAGTAATTACAGACAATAATTGACTTGCATGTATTTAACAACATACACTTCAGTAGAAGATTCTGCAGCAGGTTCTTGTAGTAAGCTGTTGTTTCTTCCAAAGCTGTGTTGGCATTGGACTTATTTTGGTTAAACTAACAGAGACTGTTGTCTACTTAATCAGATTAAGTCCAGTGCAGACAGCTGGTAAACTACCCAAATTGTCAAGATATTGACTGTCGATTAATTGTTTTACAGTTCGCAGTGGTTAGTTTTACGAGCCAACTGAGTCGCGGAAGAATTACATTGTTAGTTTTACATCACTAAAAAGTCCTGTGCGGATGTGGGTCACCTATATTGATTTCTGTAACTCACACGAATAGGCCTACATGGTGTGTGAGATTCTACCATATTTCTGCTGTGTGCTGTGATATTATTTGGTGCATTTTTCCACAACCACATGTGGTATTGGGTTAAAAGTTTAATAGTAGGGCGCCCTCGTAAGATTCTGAGAGAGAACGGTACGGTAAGGTTCACACATCAAATGACTTTCCACGCGCCAAAATTAATCTTAGAGTGGACACACTTTAGAATAACGACAATGGAATGTCATCAATCACTTGCGGTTACTTTGTACAAAATTAAGTCCAATGTGAACATGGCTTTAGCGCTTTTCGTCATTGTTTCATGCTTCCAGAGTGTGACTGTGACCCAGCTGGTACCGTCGGTAGTGGCTGCAGTTCGTACGGTGGAGGATGTACATGTAAGAGTGGTGTGGGTGGACGTCGCTGTGATCGCTGCCTGCCAGGATTCTATGGCTTCACAGCACAGGGATGTACACGTAAGAAAGATTCTCTCATCTTCCTTAAAAAGTTTCCTAAACATTTCTATACAACACATTCTCCTTGTACATTGAAATTGGTGGGAAACCCTTTCTTTCTTTATGGTTCGGTTAATGATTTGTAACCAAATGCCAGATCCTCTTTGGGCAGGCATATTTTCCCAATTTAATACAAATTTCAAATTATTTGCCCTCACTATATACAATTTTTTCAGCCGTGTAAAATTGGTGTCATATCCGACTCAATTTTCTCTCATAACAAGTATGAAATGAGCCAAAAGTTTCAATAAAACTCGTACGGTCGAAATAAATAAGTCTGATGAACAGGCCACACTTTTGTACAACATACTGTCACATTATATGTACGTAAATCTGCACATGTTGGGTTAGACTTGAAATCAAGTCTGTAACGAGTGGTTTTAATCGCGTCCGCCGCGCGCGACTGCCAAGCTCTGTGCAGGGGGTACGACATACCGCATGATGTCCTAGTAGCGGGGACGCTACGTACATTTTTGACCCCATGCGTGTGCGATCCCATGCGTGTACTGCATTGAAATGAAGTCTGTAATGAGTGGTTTTAACCGCGTCCGCCGCGCGCGGCTGCCAAGCTCTGTGCCGGGGGTACGACATACCGCATGATGTCCTAGTAGCGGGGACGCTACGTACATTTTCGACCCCATGCGTGTGCGATCCCATGCGTGTACTGCATTACAGACTTGAATAACTCGTTGTCAGTTTGTGCACAGGCAATGAGACTTGCTACCAAAATTGGACGGAGCAGTCTGATTGGTTAAGAATCAAGAAAATATGAATATTCAACAGGCATCTCTTAGCCGATGCGTTTTGGCTTGCACGACGCGACGACACACACACACACGTACCCACACTGTGCACTGTACATACATGTACACACAACGCCTGATTATCGCGGCGTCTTCACAAAATATTCTCAATCGCTTCGGATTTCCTATCGCCCAACGTTAAAATGGAGGAGTTGGAAGCTGGCACCGAAAAGTATAGAGGTTCCATTGACCATGGGTTGCGAAAACTGGGGATTACCAGTGCTCTGAAACCCCAACAAACTGAGGCAATCACAAGTTTTGTTGATGGCAACGACACCTTCGTGAATCTACCCGGCGGGTACGGGAAATCCCTGATATACCACATGGGCCAAAAAGAGCTTACGTTTACAGTCGGTGCGCACTTCATTTTTTGAAGGGGATTTAAAATTATTCGTAACAGTTTCAAGTTCCATAATTACACTAAATGTTACTCCTTTTTATTCAAAGACAATTGCAAAAGTACTAATAATATCTACAATGTTATACTCTTTTTTACCGTAATTTTAAAACTAGGACTGCCAAATCAAATGGAAACTTCAAATGATCGTGTAATAATTACCCCTATATTTATAATGGATGTTTCTTCGTAAGCCAGATGGGCTACCATTGGCCCGCGCTATGGAAATACATGCATATGCATTGCAGTGGCTGCATATATGAATATTCACTTGAAAACGTGTTAGTCAAGTCGTTAGACACGAACTGACCATGCCGCGTGGTTGTAGCGCTCACGTTGCGTGAACGGCGGTGGCATGGCCGGTATGCGGATTCTGGCGCTGATGACGGACATAAACCACTATAGTCTAACGACTTGCCATCAAGTCTAATGTTGGGTAAATGCACGATGGTGCATGTACATCTTGTTTTTGTGTGCGTGCCAATTTGCTGGTACCTGCACGATTCAGCATGTGATTTGGCCTGCGAATCAGCATTTCCAGCCCACAATTTAGCCCAGGCTTCTGGCTGGGTACAAGTAAAATGACATGCATTGGTTAGAGGGTCCAGTGTTTGTGTGTGGATTATTCACATAATGTTATGGCATTGGTAAATGCTTATGCACCCACTGATTTTTGGACAAACAAAATTCTGGGTCTGTACAGCTTGCAACTGTGATGCGACAGGCTCACGCAGTCTGGCCTGTGACTTTGACACCGGCCAGTGCCCCTGCAAATCAGGCATCACCATGGCCGGACAGCTGAATGACCAAGGCACCGCTGGCGGTCGGCAGTGCAGCAACTGCCTGGCCAATTACTACGGGTTCAGTACGGGTGGCGGATGTCTGCCTTGCAACTGCAATGCGGATGGTTCGTCCAGCCTACAGTGCTCAGAGACTGGTGTATGTGCATGCAAGGAGACCATTACAGGCACACAGTGTGACAACTGCCTGCCAGGATACTTTCTATTCTCAGCAGATGGCTGCACGTGAGTGTGACAGTGTGATTTCACTCAGTTGTTTTATCAATTCAGAGTACATTATTGAGTTGTTTTGATTCATTTGAACTGTCAGTTTATCAAAGGCAGTGTTTCTAAGCTTATGCTTGCAGTATCATTCACTTTAGGGAGTATTTCCTTCATTCTGTACTAACTGACACCCTGTATCAATATACGATAAAAAGAAAGAGCACACTTCCATATACATGTATGTCATAATGCTGGTTCGAAATACACAGATGCCTCAAAATTATAGAGTTTAGAATTTGAATTGTGGCCATCTGATACCTAAATGGGACACAAACCCATAATTTCTGGTGTGTGTGCAAATAAATGATCCACACAACCAAGAGAAACGGGCATTTGAATTACTTCAATATTTGAAGTATTTGTATTATAATGTTTTGTGATACCTGCAAGTGGTGGCTAACCGCTGTTGGTCATCATTAAATTTCTTTAAAAACTTACTTAGGTGAGCTATTAGATCTGAATCCAAATATCTTTTTGTATTTTTTGTGTTAATTCTTATTAATTATAAGAATGTTTAATTTATACATCATTCAATCATCGACAGTTACTTATATGGCGGGCCCATCCCCCCCCCCCCCCCAAAAAATAGAAAAGGTCAACATTTTGAAAGTATTCTTTTTGTAACTTGGCCAAATTATTACTTTTACAACTGTGACCCCTTTATGGGCTCCGTGCACAAGAACTGCTTCAACGACCAGAAAAGGAGAGTTGGGGGAGACCTAGACTTGTTCCCGGTCCATCCACTGCGTATTTCAAATGATCCAAAGTTATTGGGGGCGAGGATTAGTCTGGGAGACCATCGCAAGTTATATTTGAATGTATTCGCCCGCCGACAACGCCTGATGCCTGATGCTCGATGCGAAGACGTTGTGGCTAAAGCTTTGGCACATTCAGGAAGTCGGGCATACTCAGTCGAGCACTAACCAGTAAAGTACAGTATGCACACGCTCTCAAAAGTGGTGAAAGCATGCCCTCTTTTGTTGGCGCACGGAGCCCATTCTTATTATGTTTTTTTTTTCATGACACTTCTACATGCAGTTTATACTGGGACACGTAGCAGCCTTTCTTTAAAATTATTGACAGAATGGTACAGTGAAACTTGAAAGTGTTGCTTAACATTTGATGTCAAATTAAAATTAGTTTCCCATCCAGATGTTTTTTTTTTTTTAAGGCCATGCAACTGCAATCTTGATGGCTCAACCAGCACAAGCTGCCACCCTGACCAGGGCACATGTGCCTGTAAACCCAACGCCCAAGGCATCAAATGTGACCGGTGTCGCCTTGGCTACTTCAACCTGCAACCAGCTAATCCTGATGGTTGTCAGCCATGTTTCTGCTACGGCCATGGGAGCCAGTGCAACGCTGCACCTAGCTACATTGCATCTACCATCGCAGATGCTTTCACCGTTGGAAGGTGAGCAGTCTGTTGCCAGTGCAATTTACTGTTGTACAGGTTTAGGGATTTCACCAAACCCATTGTAACTTCAGATCCATTGTTGGCCTAATGGGAGAAAACTGCGCTTCAAGGAATGAAGTTACAATTATTTTCTTCACTATAATTATCATGTATAATTGGCATAATATGATGATTGTTGGTGGATCAGGGAAAAACCTTGAAGTGAGTTTCCATTTTTCCAGTCGGGGAAAACTCAAGGAATTATGGGAAAACACCAAAAATTAGGGAAAGTGCAGGGAATGCAGTTTGGCATATGGGTGTTTTGTGTCATGATTCCAAGTTGTGTCCATTGACTGACTGGCTATGGTGGCTTTTTGGTGTATATGCAGTGGGAATATTACACACCTCTCCAGCAACCTCAGTTACTAAGTGAAAATATTTCTAATGGACTTTTGGACATTTCTCATGGAAATATCAGGCAAAACTCAGGGAATTTGGTTTTCATAAAGTGCTGGGAACTGTGAAATGTAATATAAATTTTCAAGGTAAATCACTTTTTGTTTTGATGTATCTTTGAAGGGGAAGTACTCATCCTGTCAGAAAAAAAACTTATCTGCCATATTAGCCATGATAAGTTAAGAAATGTAACCAAGTGTAGCGTTAATAATGAAATGGACATTTGGTTGGATTGACTTGAATTCTTGCCAGGGCATTTTGTTCCTGTAGGCCATTCGATATGTAATATGTATGTGCATGAATTTCTACGTTTTGGTGGGCATTAGAGGGCCAAGATACCCCCTCCCCTCCCAGTTAATGAATTCGCTCCTTCTTATATTTTTAATTTCCTAATAGTGTTTAGAAATATTAGTGGTTGAGGTTTTGTTGTTTGCACTCTTCCTTTCTTCCTTCCTTCCTTTATGCATCTGTCCAAAACAGTCATGCTCCTGAGCCTGCTGTCACTACCCATGCTCCAACCCCACTGGCTCCAACAACCCACCCTCTAACAACCCTTCCTCCTGCACACTCCCCCGTGACTACCGATGCTTGCCCTACCCCAACCCCAGGGTCCCCACCCTGCCTCCCGCCGTTCCCCTCACGCGCATGCTTTAACTTTCAATCACCATGTCATCCAAATTCCTCCACAAGCTCCAACAGTTGGACCGCCACGGACCCATCAGCCCTGACAGTCAACCCCAGCAACATCAGGGTCACCCACCCTGCAACATCCCCAAGTGCCTCCTACGTCTACCTGCTAGCCCCTGAGGCATACCTTGGGAAACATCTAGATCTGTACAGCCAGCGGTTCTCCTATACCATGAAGCTAGACACGGGAACAGTAGAAACCATGTCAGCCCAGTACCTGATTGTTACTGGAGGAAGAAGCAACATGGCGGTCTACTACACTGATGAGGTGTTCATTCCTGGGCTGACAGAGAGGCAGTTTGAGGCCACGTTTTACGAGTCAAAATGGAGACTGGTGGATTTGGAGAGAGTGCCAACAGTCAGCGAATTTCAAGGTGAGTTTTTCTCTTCATAGAAACCTGAGGTAACTTGCATTAACAATTTTAGTTTGTTTAATTTGCAGTATTAGAGAGGTTTTTAACAAGCACACAGCTACGGTTAGTGCCACATAGGTCATCCGTTTGTGTGGTCTTGTGACATTATATGCAACTTGCTTTCTGCTACGCATATATATAACGCATGCTACGCGTCAGTGTGAAACGCAAAATAAATTGTCAATTGTCACTCTCTTTTGTGGTAAGTTATTTATTCATGTGTGATTTGAAAAGATGAAGTACTGAACACATACAGTGAAATCACGATAAATCTAACTCGGATAACTCAAAACTCTGCTTATCTCGAAGTGATACTTCATTCCCGTCAAGAGAAGAGGTACATGTACATGAATACCCCGTAACTCGAAAAGCCCACACCGATACCTCCATTTAACTCAAATTTTTGTTTGGCTATAACTTTTGTTTAGCCAGTCCATAAGAAACCGTAGAGCCTAACGGGTACAAAGTCACGAAACTTTTTTCATGAGTCATTATTGCCGAATGCACTTCGTCTTTTTACGTGGGGATGCAGTATACACAATTGTGATCAGACTCCAGCCCATAACTGCAACAAATCCTGGCTTTCCAGTCAGCCTTATCGCTAACGCTGACCCAATTGCAGCCAGCTCGCCGGCGGTCCAATCGCTGGCTCTTTGCGGTGGTCATGTGACTGCATTAGAAACACACGCCTACCTTTTAGGAAAGAACAAATATATAATCTGAGCAAAAGGATGATTTGTGATTGAAAAATACATCATTAAAAGCAATAAAAAGAAGGAAAGTGAGCCAAATAATGTGTCCAATTCATAGCCTGGCATATCAAGTTACAGTGAAAGCCATTCATGTACATGCATATGTATGTGATCGTAGAAAATAAATTGGGAAATTTTCTTAACTCGAATTTCGGATATCTCAAATTTTGTATCCATTCCTTTGATATTTTACTTATCGAGATTTCAGTGTATATGCCATCTGTCTGTGGTTCAACGCAGGATATGAGCCGCCGATACAAAGCCACAGATACCATTTTTTGTTCCAATATCATTTTTCAGAAATCCTGAGTGATATCGCCAGCATTCGGATCCGTGCATCCTTCGGAGCTGGCACAGCCAGCACTTTCTATAGCGTTGCCATGGATACAGCTCTGTATGTCAACAACCCAGGGGATTTCACCAGTTTTGTGACTACGATGGAACAGTGCTCATGTAATGTGGCAACCAACACTATGGGTAAGATAGCAAGACAGTGTGTCTGCAGGTTTCTAGCCTTTTTTGCACAGTGTCATAGATTCCAATTTCCTTTTCTGAGCCTGTCAAACGTAATGAATCATTATACAAATCGTCAGGTGCCCGGAAGAAGGTCACAAGGGCAAAAAATGCGTCAAAAGGTCAAGTTCAGGTTTTTCGGGTAATCGATAGAGCTTGAAAATATCTTTCATTTGATATACATAATTGTCTCAAGGGGCTGTGTTATTCTCACGTAATTGACAGTAAACAAAAGATAGAAGGAGGTTTTTCATTATTTGTGCCCGGCAAAAGGTCGTAAGCATGTAATTATAATGTAACAAAAAATGTTCCAAATGCGCTAACATCCCATTTAAGTGGGAATGCAGAGCCAATTTTGTTCCCGGCAAAAGGTCGTAAGGATTTAACATGCCGCTTAAGCGTACATTTAAGGTTTGGGAAGTTCCCTGTAAAAGGTCATTAGCACAAAAATTGAAATAACTTCACAATCAAGTAATATTTTGACATAAAAATGTGCAATGATATTTTGATTATTAACGAATTTCATCAGTCAAAACTTCAACCTTATGTGATTTTTAATCTAGAAATGGCAGCACAAAACCTTTCAACTCGATTATCTCCAAAAGTACTTTTTGCGTGCCTGGGCTGCTTACGGCCTTTTCCTTGTCACACAACGAAATAATGAATGTTTATGAGAGCAATGGTAAAAAAGCTTAATGAGGTGACAGATTGAATGAATGGTGCATTCCATCAGTCACCATATGAGATTATTCTCTCCAATACATGAATATGAAACATTTATTATTTCTTTCATACAATACCTGAATAAATCCTCGTCATCTGATTGGTAACGAGTGTAACCATGCAATTGAACTTCGGTTTACCGTGGAATGTAACTTCTATTTTGGCGGCGCGGCCAGGCCATGGGTTGGGACCAATAATTGAATGACGCTTGATCAACCATCCACCAATTAGATGATGGGGGATGTATTCAGGCATTTTATAAAGGGCCTTAAAACCATGTGTAGTCTTAGTTATTAGAATTTGAATATTTGGATAGAAAAATACAAAGAATTTATTATAAAAATGGGACAAAAGCCATTTTGTTACCTTTTAAAATTTTGCTCTCTCCTGGCTGCCCAAAGTAAGTTTCGACGGTTGTTAAAACACAGTTTGATTACTATAAAGCCAAAAAAATTAAGTGTCTTTAAAGTGTCATAATTTGCAAAGTGCAAATTTGTTTGCAAAGTGCAAACTCTCATATGCTGAAAATGGTGTTGTGAAATGAAGCACTTTTGGCAACAATTCTACGTATCTTGCATATGTCTGTGTCAGCTGTGCTTTCAAATTCTCGCATTGGATGCAGGGGTTAGATGCAGGGATTAGATTTGGTAGGGTTTTCCCCAATTTCAGGGATTTTGTCAGGATATTTCATGATGTTGGGAATTTTGGTCAGGATTTTTTTTTCTGATTTCACAGATTTTAAAATAGATGCAGGGGTTAGATGCAGGGGTTAGATTTGTCAGGATTTTTCCCAATTTCAGGGATTTTGTCAGGATATTTCATGATGTTGGGATTTTGGGTCAGGAATTTTGTTTTTCTAGATAATCCCTTGTGAAATCTGGAATTCCTGAGCTTTTACCGTAAAGGTGTTATTATTGCCTATAAAAGTTAATTATAAAACAAAAGAAATGGTTATTTTATGGGATACCTTTAGGCAAGTACAAACATATGCTGTGACCCAACATTGCTCTGTGGCACTCAGTAATGCTTAAACCCTTTGCCGATTATTCCATGGATTTGAATTTCTTTGTTCCAATCTCACCCCTGATGCATTGCACCATCAGTATTGAATGGGCCTGCATGTGATAGTTTTTGGAGTCGATTTTAACATTTTATACTTTTTTTGAAATCATCTTCAAGGCCTCTCGTGTGAACAGTGCCAGCCTGGAACTTTCCGACAGAATTCAGTCGGCACGCCCTTCGATGCATGTCTGCCCTGCGACTGTAATGGCCGGGCCACCTCGTGTGACGCTGTGACTGGCATCTGCGAGGGTTGTCAGTTAGGCACGGTGGGGGACCACTGCGAAAACTGTGCTGCCAATGTGCAGGAACCGCTTTGTGATAGGTGTCTGCCGGACCACTATGGGTTTGGAACCGAACTTTTTGGTGGAGCATGTTCACGTAAGACATACCTTTTTCATTTCTTTTTGTTTAACATTATAGTTGTTGTTATTTATGTATTAGTTATTGTTATTGAAATGTATTTATTTATTTCATTTAAAATGACATGTGACAGTCAGCAAAGGCTAATATAAATGATGGCCACCTTGCAATGGTTATCACTACATTGCAAAAAAAAGTCAAATCATCAGATATTTATCAAAAGATCAGGTAGTGGAAGAGGAAGGAATGAAGGAAAAACTATTCAAAAAAAGGGAAATTTGTCAAGAAGTGGGGAGGTTGGGAAGGAAATATTTTAAAATCAGAGAAAGAAAAGTGATTGGAAATTGGGCAGAAATTTAAAAGGAAAATAGTTATAAATGACCAGAGTAAAACTTAAAAGTACTAAGCAGTCAAATGTAAGAAGACCTTAAAAAAACAAACATTTAAATAGGCTCAAATAAGGCCATTTTTCACTTGAGAAAGCCCTTCCCCCAGCAGTAACATCTCCGCCCTTAGCACTGGCTAGGAATGAATAAGGTATGATAATTGTTAAAGGGAATATACATCATTTGCTTTTGCTGTAATTTTCAGAAATGGATGGAATTGGGGGGTTGGAAATATAAAGCAAATATAGTTACACTGACTTTTTGGAGGTTTTGGGTTCGAAAATGCTATAAAAACCAAGAAAAACGATCATTTTCCTGTAGTCTGGCTCCCTGACTCCATATAAGAAGAAACAGAGCAGTTTACATACATTGGGGAATTGTAAGGTCAGGGAACCAGTCTAGCTGGCTCGTACCCGTTCATAGGTTTGTAATCGATTGCAAACAAGTGCAATGGTCAATTGGGGCCAGTATTTGAAAAAAAGCCAGTTGTTTCCAACGCTGATCGGCCGATCAGCGTTGGAAATTGATACAAAAATACCACTTTTCTTGAAAATGACAGTATACCAGGTGCCATAATTTTACAGGATGCTTTAGACTGTCATTTACCAACATCCTATTAAGGTATTTTGCAAAAACTTGGTAGCTTTATTTTTCGATGTTTGCAAATGTTGTATATTCCCTTTAACTAAAAAAAAAAAACACTACACAAAATATAAAAGCAGTTAACATAACAAATATTTTAAAACATTTAATACCATATGATATCCCTTTCAAGAATACTAACATGACTTTAAAATTCTTGCAAGTAAGGGAATCACTGATTTGCTATATTGTTCAGTGCGACATCTTGGTATAACCAGGACAAGAACAATATCTGACTGTATTTCTTTAAAGTTTATTTTATCAGGAGGTAGCATCTCTCAAAATTTTGTTGATAATAGGATAATATACAGATGTTATTCTTTCAAAAAACATATCAATCAATGTGCCATGAGCAGCACTTTTGCTTGAAACATGGTGTTAAATTGTTCCCAGTAATCACTTAGTAGCTTTTGCTTATTACATACAGCTTGTAACTGCAATGCGACGGGTACTGGTGGTGCTACACAGTGTGATATGCAGACTGGCCAGTGTCCATGCACAGGCAACTATGGTGGGATGCTATGTGATGCCTGCCAGTTGAACTACTACAACTACTTCGTGGGCTGCTTGCGTAAGTTTCCGAAATTCTGTCTATGGTTTAGGTTTGTGATCTTAAAAACCAGTCAGCAGAGAATTAAAGCAAAAATGAGGTCTATTTCCACTCTGATATATTTAGTAATTGTTGAATACCCTGCAACTTGAATATAACCCCACAAAAATGGCAGGCTACGCAGTTGGAGCTGGGAAAAAGAGTCTTAAGTTGAAAGCGTTTCCCTCAGAGTTGCTACGCAGAGTGGGAGTTAGTGTTGTGCATTGGGTTGGGTTGACCAGGCCAAACCGACCCAAAACATAGATATTAACAGAATCCGAACCCAAACCGATCTGATATCCCTATAAAAACCAACCTGACCCAACCTGGCAAAAATTCAAGGAAAAGCGACTGAAACCAAACAGACCCAAAAACAACTATTTTCTTCTAACATTCCTTGTCATTCTTTTGCCCAACACAGGCTGTGACATGTGCTATGACAGCATCTCGGCAGAGCATACGGACCTCGCCAGCAGGTCAGCCAACCTGACTAACTTCATCGCTACATTGAGGGCAGCAGACATGTCCACTACGCTGGGTCCATTCTACACACGGCTGATGACGGCTTATGATCAGACACTGCAGCTTGTTGAAACGGTAGGAAAAATTGGGGACATTAAATTCCATATAGAAATCAATATTCATAAATTAGACAGTTTACCCATTTCCATTAGTCGAGAGCCTGTCTCTTGGCTGGTCTTAAATGGATGATAAAGACACGGCTGGCTGGTCTTAAACGCTTTTCCAGTTTCACACGAAATTTGGACTCCTATAAAATCCAGCGCCTATTACCGTTTTATTGGTTGACGTTAACGTTCACAATCGTCATGTAGGTATGCACAATACTACCAGTGGGTCAGTATTCCATAGTCCTAAATTCACAATGCACTTGCCACAGCTGCATCTGTGCATCATCGCGCAGTACGCAACACGTGCACCAATCTCCATAAGGCCAAAAAAAAAAAATATTCGGTCTCTGGTCAGACCAAAGGTCCGGAATTGACGCGGCCACGCGGCTTTTTTTTTTTCGCTTTTTTTTTCTTCAAGCTTGGATTGTACAGACAAGGTGGGGTACTATTTTTCTTTTTTGGTGTCCTCATGTACATTGGTGTCCTCCATAATTTGCCTTGGTGCTCTCGATCATTTGCCTTGGTGCAATTTCCCCTTCCTTGGTGCTCTTTGGTAAAAATAATTTGAGGAGGTGCAGAAAAAGAGGGCGCTGTTGGAGCTACCGCGGAACATTTTGGAAAAAAAGATCGACGCGCATGATTAAAATCGACGCGCGCGCTGACCAGAGACCGACTTATTTTTTGGGGGGGCCTAAAAGGAGTTGTTTATGTCACAAGCTGGGCACTCCATTATATAGCAAGAGGGGTGTTTCGAAAAACATGAAGTAAAATTGTTGACTTGTTTTGACTTGTGGACAGAAAAGTTTTGTTTTTTAACTGAAAAGGTATTTATGAATGGGAATAAATGTGTGCTTGGGAGGTGTTAAACACTACCTGGTTGGAGTCTGGATGCTGATAATTACCTTCGGCTCGGGTAATTATCAGTATCCAAACTCCAACCAGTCTTAAACATAGTGTAAAACACCTGCCGAGCACACGTTTATTCCCTTAATTCATAAATAGAAGTGATGCTCAAAGCATGCACCTCCAAGAATTGGCCTCAAAGAGGCTATTTTTCAACTATATATTTGATATAATGATTTGTATTCATTCAAAATATGCATCTGTATTGTCCTGCAGTAAATCATCCGTAAATCATTATTTATGTTCACACAAACACAAAATGATTGAAAACCTCATAAATGAAAATATTAACTTTCACACACAAAAATCTGGCTTAAATCATGACAAAAAAGCACAACAGTGGACCAAAAAGTAACAACAGTGTTGAATCCTTGTAACCTTGCAGTGTGGGTTAAGCAGGATTTGCACCTCCAATTTTGCAATGTTGTGATTTTCTTATAATATTACGAGAAGACAACTGCCTGTGCACCCACTGCCTTTATAAAATGGTCTTTTGAAAACCCTCACCAGATAATGCTCCAAATACTATGTTGGGTTTGGGAGACTCGGATCGCTGCAGTGGTACTTTCCTGACCTTTCACCTTATTGACCTGGATTAGAATCCGAGCCAACAATGTGCAGTCCCTACCTAAATTTTCTTGGTTTTCCTTAGAATAATTATTTTCAGGGTTTTCATCCCACCTTAAAAAAACTGAGCATTTCAATAGCCCAGGCCTCTGCAGAAGAACAAGCCTCCAGTGTTGTAGTTGAGTCAATCACAAGTCCTCACAAGTCCATCTCTAGTCTCATGTCCACTCACAAGCTATTCCAATGAACTGTGACGAAAGCATTCCTTTGTTATTGTTCATCCCTGGTTACTTGTGACTGGACTTGTGAAAGTACTTGTGATTTACTTTTGACTGGACTGGTGATTGACTCAATGACAAAACTGCAAGCCACAAAGCCATATGCAATTTTCACTTATTCCTAATTAAATTACCAGAATTAACCTTTTCACGTTTTTCAGACTAATGCCGTCATCAATGAAGGTGACAATCTAGGTACCCTTGTGATGTCCCTGAACACCACCATGCATCAGCTCTTGGCTAGCCTTAGAGGCACCATCAAGTCCGGCCTAGAGTCAGCTGACCAGAGCCTCGTGACCACTGATGAGCTGGTTGGTCAAGCTCTGGAGGCTGTCGTGGGTGTGGAGCAGGCACTGGCAGGGGCATACAATGGACTGACAAGTGGTAAGCTATTAGAATCATGAACGTTGTGAAGGGGGAAGGACACTTGCTTTTGTCTCCCCAACCCAACACCCTCCCTGATCCCTCCCCCTCCCTGCAAAGAACAACATTTAGCTGTCAATGCTCAATATAATTTGTCTGAAAATTCAAGAGCCAATAAAGTCCCATGCATGCTTGGTATAGTAGTGTAGTAACTGCGATGTCTATGTCAAATGAGTGTAGCTGTATGTTGCACTTGGTATACACGGTTTCCATTTAGCAACTGATGACTGTTGTAATGTGGGACATAGCATGTGATACATAACACCCGGGCAAAGACCAGGGGGCCATGTATCCCTTTGGTTGTAACAAACAAGTCAAAAGTATATCACTTTTTCTGCCGTCATGATTAGACCTACTGATTACTTTTGACAGTGAGAGCTTTGAAGCATCTTTTCCTTTGCAATTATTTGAAATGGTAAAATTACAGTCAGACTTCGGACATTCGTTTTTGAATAAAATCAGATATGATTAGTTATTTGTAATGTAAGTTTTTTTTTGGAAGTTTATTAATGTAGGAATTTTGCATTCTGTCTGTAACACCTAAAAATAATTGTTCAATTGATGTTGTCCGAGCAGTTTTTGTGCACAATTTCAACTTCTATTTCTTTAAAGAGTATTGAGTTTTTATTTCTGTCTCCTTACCCAAGGTGATATCCAGTCCATGCAGTCCATCCTGAGTCAGCTAACGACTGACCTGGCCTCCATACAGACCCAACTCAGCACTCTGCAAGCCTCCGTTGATTCCCAAGAGGCCCTGCTCACACAGACAGTCACCAACTTGACAGAGATTGCTGAAGACACAGTACAGACTGCAGAAAGTGCTCTGATGGTACACTATTAAAATTATTTCAAAATGGGAACAAACAAATTGGAACACATTAGGTCCATATTTACTGGTAACTATCATTTACCCAGCACGATATGTGACAGAGAGGTATCCCCCCCCCCCCCCCCCGCCAATCTCCCTATACACACATCCCCCTAGATATCTCAAAGGAATTCCTGAGATTCTGGTAACACAATGACTAACACAAAGGGGGGGGGGGGGTCCCTCTGTCCCATATCGTGCCACGTATGAACGATCAGGTCCCAGTTTCATTGCGTATTAAATTATAATAACTTGCCAGTCTGGCAGGTTATAAATATTTTTCAGACCTGTTGTAAGAAAACATTTTAACACACTCACATTCTTAAGTCACATATATGTAAATTCATTCTTTCATAACTTTTGAATTAACTTGACATATTACTTTAACGTTTGCTCTCTCCGTGCAATTGTTTGAGTTCACTTTGAAACTTTTCTAGCTATGCAAAAGTTATTCATGTTTGAATGAGAAATTGAACAACAAAGTCTGCCCATGTTTAGTTGTGGAATAATGACGTGTTGTGAGCATGAGTAGAGCAACTTTAGGTGTCATCTAAATGTTGCCAGGGGTGTGAAATCTGAGCTTTAAAGCTGATTTCAGCTTTTTTGGTTTGGGATTTCAGCTTTTTTCCCTCACTTGCTGTGTACAAAAGTATAGGAGATTTCCAAAGTTTAGCTTTGTTACACAGTTTTCAGCTGTTTTCAGCTATTTTTATCAGTGGTCACTCACACCCCTGTGTTGCATCATTTTTTTTTAGACAGCGCAGCAAGCTCAGTCTGTCCATGACAACACCACGGCCCACACTGCCGCCTTGGTCACCAAGGCCAACCAGGTCAGTGACCTGGGTCGACGGACCCAACAGGCCGTGTCAGAGGTCAAGAAGAGGGCAGAAGAAGCCAAGACGGCTGGGGAGGATGGAAAGGGGGCAGAGCTATCGGCAAGGATAGGCCAGCTTGCCAGCGATATTGATGGAGTGATTGAATCTGCGATGACAAAGAGCACCGAGGCAGCCATGATTGAAGCACAGGTACAGTTGCATAGGCCCTCAAAAAACATTTTTTAAATCTAAAAAGACTTAAAAGGACAAAAATGTTAAAATTACAAATAAAAACTAGTTTCACGGGCAGCTTCTTTGTTTTATTCATTTACAATTAAGGTATAAAATTAGTTAGCGAATGTGGATCATTCCATAAATTTAGGGTCCACTTTTTTTCCTGTCCCTGTTACATCTGACATCTATGATTTATAATTCTGATGCACTTCTTTATCCCTTTGGTGCACGGGGTGGTCACTAGCAAATGCCCAAGGAACATTATAAACTGTGGAATGAATCCAAATTATCTGTGCATCAAAGGGTTAATGCAGTCGTCTTACAAGCGTGATAATGAATAGCAAACTACCTACCCCAACAAATAAAAACTTGTTTGAAGTCATTCTTAATGATACTTGAATGGCAAATTACAAAGTACCAAGGTAACAGGACACAAAATTATGTAAGAATTCTGTTCCGTTACAATGAAAATATATGAACTGTTTAACCTTTTGACAGAATCTTTGGTTAATTTAATGTGAAGTTTGAATGAAGTGTAATTCTTGAATGAATTGATTCAGTATTTCACATTTGAATCAGTATAAGCACACAATTATGAAAGTTTCATTGACTGGCCAATGTGAAATGTTTAAGATTTCATTTCCAAACTTTTTCTTTTTGTATGACCCTTGACCTCACAGGCTGGGGTCCAACAGGCCGCCAATAGCCACATCATCACAGAAGTCACCGAGACAGGGACCCAGACTGCCAGCCTGGTTACTGACGTAAATTCAACCCTGACTGATGTCAATGCTCGCTATGATCGGGCCCTAGCAGCCAACCAATCAACAAGCGAGGCCGTGACAACCTCCGAAGCGTCGTTCAGTGCCGCAGAGGAAATGCTGAGTATCGTACAGAATTTTGACAGTCAAGCTAGTGGTAGGTTGAATTTGGAACACTACTTATTTAACAATTGATGACAGTATTTCAATAGACGTTTTGCATTCAGTAGCCATCTTTGAGGGTTAGCAGTAAATGCACGAGAAATCTACTCATGTGTGTCCCTGTGGAACAAAATGTACATACCTCGAAGACTACTGTAATGCAAAAGATCGTTGGTGCGAGGGGATGACATTTGATACAGAGTAAATTATCTGTACATTTGTAGCCTTGCTCACATTGTAATGGGACGTTACATGAATGTCTGAAGTTTCAAACTTGTTTTTTCTTTTTGGCATAGACTCATTGGGGCACTATCCAGTCACCCGTTATTTTTCATGAGAGGAGGGGGTTTACCAAAAAAAATTCCCTGAAATTTCAATATGTTGGACAGCCATGTGGATGGTTTCATTTACGCCCGCATACAGTGCGCCATGAGCACATTCAGCGCGTTGATCATTATGCGTGGTGAACCCCTCCTTTCTTCTTCCTTCCTCTCCCCCTTTTTTGTTGGGGGGGGGGTTGGTTGGTTCAACCCCCTCCTCGCTACACTGCTGCTAAGCATGAAAAGCATCCTTGCAGCTATTGTGCAAAGTAACTGCTCCACGACACTTAAATCTAAATAGAAGCTGGCACCATTAATGATAATGAAATAGTTGCATATTCTTCCTTCAGTATGGTCATATTTTTATCATAGTAAGTATTTTGAATTTGAATGAAACAAAAATGAAAATACATTCACCCTATGAGTGATTGGATTTTTTCTCGAATAAAGCCATATAATTTTACAAGAACATGCCATGAATATGTATTTGTTCGGTAATGCAGTATGCATTCATTCCATTCACTTTTTATTGTGTTCTCTGTTACATACATTTTCCCCTTTGTGCTTGACCAACAGAACAGTTACAAATTGTTACCTTTTCCATTTTGGGTCATTTTGAATAGATGCTCAAACAGCTGCAGATCAAGCCGTCCTGACGCAGCCTGACATCCAGACCCTGACCACCCAAACTGTTGCCGTGGCAACTGAGCTGAGGGGTCAACTGACGGGGGTTTCTTCTGATGCTCGTGACGGGCTGAATGTGGCCAACCACGCATTCATGACAGCTCAAACTGAAGGCCAGGTACAAGAAACACAATTTTTCCTTTATCCCTTTAAACTCAGCCTTAATTTGGATTTTTTTTTGACAAAATTCATTTCTTGGACTATTTTCATTAGAATTCTTGATGATATCTGGGTAATTTATATACCATATGAAAGCTTGTGAGCTAGGCAATAAAATTTGTTGAAAGAACGATCCAAATATGATCCCCCCTTTCAATGGCGGCCAAAAACCGAATGTTTGGGTTGTATTAATTTTTGTGTGTGGATTTTTGGCAAAAAATTTTTGAAAACAAACTGCTAGGAGACTTTTGAATGCATTACTACAAAATACGACTCTCACTTCATGAGAAAACACCTCGGAAAGCCATTGTATGCATTTATGGTTGTCATAGTAACTGACCCAAAATGACACTTATAGTGCGGTTTTGGTGCAAAAGTGATGAAGTTTGAGGCTTTTCCTTTATATTTCAAGCAATCAGTTATTCACTATTCCATGAGACTGGAAATTATTATTCCTTTTCTTTTTTATAGAAATATATATGCCTTCATCTGAGTTATTGGAAAATGTTTCCTTGCATAAATAGTGACATAGCATTTAGGATATTGTTCAAGTATCATCATGATCGTAATCATGATAGCTTATATGCCAATGAAAAATACTGGGAAAATATTATGTACATCAGTGTACATGTACACTACATCAGCGTTCAGAAGGTCTGCACTGCTGTCAAGGTCTCCTTTCTCTTCATTTTCGTCGCCCAAATCCAGAAGATTTATAACATGTTTGTCAACCAAGTTCCTCTTGGGTTGTTTTTTGTTATCTGTAGTTATTTTCCCCGGGCAGAATTGGGTAGGAATTAGGGCAAAAGAGGTGACAAGGAGCGCACTTGAATTCATGAACGGTCATAACACAAAGCGTGAAGCATGAGTGGTAAACAACAAAGGTCTGGCATCTATTTCATTTCAGCTATGAAAACGTAATTTCTCAAGTATGAGTTGTTGAAAATTTGTAGGACAATTAAATTGTCACTTTTTTGCATGAAAAGACAACCTTAGGCCAAAAAAAATAAGTCTCCGGTTTCTGGTATGGAGCTTGTCCAAAAAGTGGTGCGGCGACGCGGCTTTTTTTTTTTTTTTACCTGACTTTTTTGCTTCAAATGTCGGCTGATGACTGCAAATAGTGCCCGACTAAACTTAGTGCAAATATATGGGAGTCCAGAGAGGCCACATAAAGCTTATTCTCGACCATAACCCCATCTAAAAACACGTTAAAATTGTGCAGTAGCAGGATTCCAGTCAAACCAGTGAGTTTGGCGGTTTTGAGACATCATCTTTCATTGAAAAAAAAACTTTTTCATTTTGCCGACACGCATGGCTACGGCGACGCGCGCGCATACCAGAAACCGGAGACTTTTTTTTTTTGGCCTTAGGGTAGTAGCAAATTCATCCCTTTGTAAAATCTGTGATGACATGCCGGCTTCCTCAGCTTCAAAGGAATGTGGAAGTTAAACGTTTATACAGAATTTACGTTGGATTTGTTTCAGAGCATTGACTCGGTGAACCAACAGGCAACCCAGTTGGCCAGGGAGTCTTCCATCAAGCTTCAAGACACCAATCAGACATCAGACTCAGTCCGGGCTGTCAACACGACCCAACTCCAGCCTGCCAAAGCACAGTGCGACACGTATGCCCCACAACTCCAGAGTCTGGAGAGTACGGTGACACAGGCTAATGCAGATGCACAGTCTGCCACAGACCGGGCTCTGGATGCCCAAACCACTGTGAACAGGCTCCTGGCAGAGATCAGGAACATTCAGCAGGCTGACCTGTCAGCTTTGCCCGCGCTGATGGAGAGGATTAGACAGGCGAGGGCGACATTCACCCAAGGGGATTTTGCCCAGTTGGTTGCGTCATTGTCATCTTCTGTCCAGGAGCAGCAGGCTTGGCTGGAGGCTTCACAGGCACAAGCTACAGAGATTCAATCACAGATTGATGCTTTGGAGAGCTTCAGAGTCAACTAGTTCATTTGGATTTGTTTGTAACACTGAGGTAAACAGTGTGAGAATTTGGGTGCTTGGTTATTTTGCTCAGACCCACCTCCCTATCTTCATTTCTTTGAAGAAACATATTTTGTGAAGGAAATACAGACTTTGCAAAGTGTTGTGAGTAGCTCACTGTCAAGATCTTTTGACAAATACATGTTAATACTGTGTGCATCTGTCATACGTATGCAGATGTGTTGAATTTGGGTGAGTTGGCAGGGTGAGTCAAAAAAAGCGGAACCCAAACCCCAACAATTATTTTTCATATTTGAACAAATATGTAGCACCAAAAATAATAATGACTGGAAAGCCAATTTCATAAGCTACTTTTAGATGAAAAATTACTGAAATTGCTCAATCTGTTCAAAGAATATCACCATTTAAATGCAATGACCCTAAAACCTCTTTCGTCCAAAAAAAAGCAATTGATTGTGTATTCTTACTGTTTTGGAACAACAAAGAAAATGACACAGAATACTTGTTTCAACAACTTGTCAACAACTGTAGTACACAATATCTTTGTTAAAAACCCTGGTTAGGCAAATAATATGATTTATAAAATCCACTTTTTTGAGAAGACGGGCCTTCAAGAGGACTTTGTTGAATATTTTGAACTTTTAAACTGAGGTTTTATCGCTGGTGATGTTTGAAGACATTGAGACGACGATTCTTAAAATTGCATTTTTGGACGAAAGAGGTTTTAGGGTCATTTGTTTAAATGGTGATATTCTTTGAACAGATTGAGCAATTTCAGTAATTTTCATCTAAAAGTAGCTAATATGAAATTGGCTTTCCAATCATTATTATGTTTGGTGCTACATATTTTTTTAAATAGGAAAAATAATTTTTTGGGTTACCGGTAATAATTTTCCACTTTTTTTGACTCACCCTGTATTAAACATGTATTTATTTAAATAAATCTGAGGACGCATGTGCCAATTGTGCAGTGACAACAGCAAACTGTATAGGATTTGTAACATATCTATAAGGGCACTGTTGTTTGTTTGTCATTAGTTTTCACACATGTGCTTGTTCATGTAACCAGTGCACAAACAGCATACGATACGTAATGCTTGAAATGTTTGAACTGTACCCTTACAAGCTTGTCGCATGTCTGCTTGTTGAGAAGTATCCCTGAAAGTGGCCACACAAAGGAAATGACCCTGTACAGTAATTAAACTTGATAACACCAAGGGTAACGTTTTGTGTTCTATTTTCTCAATGTGTTTTCTATCATTTCTCATATATTTTAGATGACAATATCATATTAACCATGTTGATGTTGAACCATTCTCAGTGAAATATGAAATGGACACCTTGTCACACTTTTATTTCCTTCATGAAACTTTATATTAGAGAGGCTGCTCATTACAAAGTTTTATGTTCCAAGTAATTTAGATTTGTTGTATTATCTTAATTGATACAATTTACCACAAAGTTTACTGAGATAGTTTTGGAACCATTATTGGTTGATGACTTACACAGTTTTTGTCTGAATTTTTTTAAAAATACTTTTTGGCAGCTTTTGAAGGATGAATTTAACATAGTGGTTGTACAGTGTCTTGCTTTTGTGTTCTTCTGATTTAATTCGAATAGGTGAGCAATGCTTTGATGTGCTTCAGCTATACATATTGATTTTTGAATCTTTGACCTGATCCCTCATAATGATTAACTTGAAGTTCTCCATGTGTGATTTTCTGTGTGAAAGTTTCTACTTTATCAAAAACCTGGGAGTGTGTCCACCTTGAATAATGCTTGGATTTAAAAGTCCAAATTTTCACAACTTGTAGATCATGTTGTTTGGATCAGGTCATTTTTTAATTTCTGTAAACCGAGCAGCTGATATTGATAAGTGATGTAAACTAAGTTTACTACAGCTGTTTACGGATACTGCAGTTTTTACTACACCACGAGCCCTCCACGATTTTAGTAAATTACTTTTTACATAAACTGCTTCACATCAATTGTTAAACTGCACAGTATTCTAATTGAGATGATTGATTAGAGACATTTCACAAAGCGTGGCTTCAGCCTCTGGCTCAAGAATCCTATAATTTTGTATGTAACAGGATTCAGCTCAATACAGATTCATTTTTCCTGAAATTTGAAGCCAGAGCCCTATACAGAAGTGATGATTCATCATATACAGAGCCACAGCTGGGTCTAAAACCAAGATTTCAGAAATGGTCTTTGATTAAAAAATGAAAAATCAGTTATGTTTAAATCTTCCAGCATTTTACATAAGTTTATTCAAAGTGCCTTTATCAGAAATATAAAATTATCACTCAACAAATTATGTTTTGAATGACTTATAGTGAATCATAATAGTCACCATTTCTTTCATATTTGACGGTCGGTGCTGGATTTTTTTCAATATATCATTAACATAATTTCTTGCCCATATGTACCTGTGCATTTTGTAATTTGTTTTTATGGTGCATTCATGAAGTCACATTGTCATTAAGTACTAAAATATTGTTTGTATATTCACAATTATACTATGCCTGAATCAATCCCTGTCATCTGATTGGTGGGTTATTGATCACATGTCATTTAATTATTCGACCCAAATCACGGCACTGCTGCACAGCAAAAATAGAAGTTCTATTCCTCCGGAAATAGAAGTTCCATTGCATGTTCACTCGATTGGTGGCTCTGACCAATCAGATGATGAGGATTTATTAAGGCGTTGTATAAAACAAATAATGAATGTTTCACCTTCGTGCAATGGAAAGAATAATTCCATTCGGTGACAGTTTGAATGTTCCATTCCACTCAGCTTTGCCTTTTTGAATGAACATTCTATCTGTTACCTCAAGAAATTATTCTCACCACTGCACTCATAAACATTCATTATTTTTACATTGATTGCCTATTTGACTTTTTGTAATATTTGGATTAACTGTGTGGTGTACATTTCTTGTTTATGTGTGTTTGATTATTTTGTGCATGGTTCATTTTTTTGTGACAACTGTATATTCCCTCAGATTTTAACATTCCAGAACCTGTGTGAGTGCTCTACTAAGAGAAAAATAAAGATTTATTGTCAGATGGCATACTTGGAAGAGAACCCAATATCCGTTGTGCTGTTGTTATTTCTAAACTCTAGCAGGACTTTTTACATGTCACTTCGTGGGTGGTTGGTTGGTCGGTCTGTAGGTCTGTCCCCGGAAAGTTGCCCAAACAAATGAGCCCACTAAGTTTCCCATTTGGCGAAAGTTTTTGGAACACGCCCCTGTGTCTCGATCGATGCACATGTGCGTCTATTTGGCATATGAAGTGAAACATTCCGGGACCGGGCCAGAGCTTATTGTGCACTCATGCTTGTTTTGTCTTATGTTGATTTATAATAATGACAGTTACCCCCCCAAAATTTTTTTTACATTTTTTTTAAAAACAATTGTGGAATTTGTTTTAGAAAATGTTTGGGTTTGGGTTTTTAGCTTGTTATCACAAATTGACAACACATTTTTCGATAAATATACAGTAGTTGACCTGCATGTTGAAACACGGGCCCTGACCCCCCCCCCCCCGGGAAATCACGGCTCGATAAAAATATTCTAATGGTGGTGGCTCTATCCGGTTCGTAAGTGACTTCGTCATACACGCGCACGCACCACTGATTACGAGCGCCCATTGGATAAACACTCAAGTTGCGTTAACTTCCGGTTCCATTGGTGCCATGCTACACCATGTACAGTAAGTTGAGATGACGTCACACTTACGAACCGGATTGGGTCTCTCCCCCCCCCCCCCCCCCCCCACAAAAAAAACAAAGATATAACTGGTCTGAATGGCTAAGGGAACGGAACGAAAGGATGAAAGAGATTTTTTCAAAGAAATTGCTTGCTTTTTTAAGGGTTCTTTCCTTGTTATACTTTTAATTTTGAAAAAAAAGGAATCGGGAATGTACGTAAATATATAACTTTTCGGCGTGTTTGTAGAATTTGTTGCGAGCAATAGCTCAACTTTGTTAGCGGTGACGTGATTGGTCAAAACTGGTGCAGGTGGAACTTCTTGAACTTTCGTCTGCGCAGCGCGCGCAGCGGTAGCCGAGTCCGCGAAATGCATTCATGAACATGTAACCACACAATAACAACGTGACTGCGCTTGTATTGCACTTTTTCGTAGTCCGGGCACCACTGCACTGGTTGTTGACGGGACTCCAAATGCTGACATCAAACTCTGGCGATGTTAAATCAGTTTTACCCTCTTTACTCAGATTTACAATGAGAGCAGAGGCTCTGGCACTGTTTGTTCTTTGCCTGGTGTCTTCTGGAGATGTTTTGCACGGTATATTGGACGCTGCTTTGGGAGTTTTGGTTACGGAAAATGATGGGGGCCGTGAAGTTGTCATCGGCCGGTGTCGCGTGGAGTTGGGCACCGGGCGCTGTGGACTCGGTACGGGGGACAACAAGAGTTTGACGGGTAGGAGTTTCCGGCGAGGCCTGTTGGTGGCAGACGCTGCAGAACTGCCTCAATCGTTACCACCAGGTAAAACCATCTATGTAGGCTGAATGTAACCCCTCCTGACTAGGCCTAGTATTAACACTTCACAAAATCCATTCAATGAGGATTTGTCCGTGTCGAAAGTTACGCTTAAGATTTCACACTTTTTTCGGAAAGAATGTTGCAACCTGATGCCACTTCCGCGGTTGTGTACAAAGTCTATGGAGAGTCAAGAAAATTGTCTTAAGTAATTGGAAATGTTTCGTACTCTCAGATTCATGTCTTATCTTTTTTGCAGTGACTGACCTTCATTGAGATGATATAGGAAGAAAAAAAGTGGCGCCAGGTTGCAACATTCTTTCTCGTTGCCATTTGAAATTGAATGCTAGTGATGAAATCCTGCCCAGCATTAATAGCAGTTGTAATAATAATTTCAGTTTTTTTGGCAATTGTATTTTGTTTTTCATTTTGGAGTCCAAGAATATCCTCAATTCATTGCTTTCCTTTTGTCTTTGCACAAGCATGTTAAACATTGACATGTTTATTTGTATCAAATTATGGCTCCTGACTGTCATTTGGGTTAATCTTGTTACCCTTCTCATAAGCTATAATGAGACAGGTGCTTAAACTAGATTGAAAGTCTGAAGACGTTTTTTAATTTTTGTATCCTACCCATATTAAAAAATGAGAGTAGTTATTTATTTGTTCATTTTCATTGTCAACAATTGAGGACGGTCCAGGAATTACACTAAGTGTTTCACTTCAAGAACACGTTGCTACCAGCTGCTAAAAGCAGTTGATCACTGATTTCTCTGAAGTAATGATTATGGTGGCGGCTGACCTGTTTGATATGATTATACTCCATGAATTAGAGTGTGGTTTTACCAAGAGGGAATGATCCCCTGGGTGGTTTGTCCTCATGTTATGTACATTTTCTTCAGTGACAGCGATTTTGTTTTCTGTTAACAACCTCAAACCACAGCGTAGTTCTCGATTACTCTAATACCACAACAAGAGCATTTTCTGGTGTAATTTTGTTGGTTTACAGAATGAAATATTATGAAATAAACAAAATCAAATTTTTACTGATCTAAAGGCACAATGTCTAAGATTGTGGCTGCCCAAATAATGAAGATGTAAGAGCATTAGGTATTGAGACTTAGAAAGACATTACCAAAGTAACATAAACAGGATTTAAGATCCTGATATCCATCCTAGACTACATTGTACCTACACATACAATTATATTAGCAGAAGCTCTGAAAACCACACAGAGCAATGCTGGAAACCATGAAGGGCACACCCCCGCAATAAGGATCTTCCATTTAGTAGCTGGAAATTTCTGGAAGTACTTGTGCTGTGTCCTTGGTTATTTTATTATTTCATATTTTATGTTGGCATGTGGTCTTTTGAGTTGAAGGACAAGTGATCACTGTAAGATCATGCAACTTTTTCTAACTACAAAACATCAACTCTAAAGGTTTTCCGACTGTTAAACACATTTCAAGCATAAAAATAATATCATGTGATACCTTGCAACAGATGTGCTTTGGGAGAACCTTTGAAATTTACCTGGTCCAAGAATTACATGTACATTACTGAAAAAGGGTTTAACCAAATGTTCAATTGTACATTATTTTTACAAAGCTCTGGTATGCGACTGTGAGTTCTATCCTGGCCCAGTTCTCTGTAGCAGTAATTTTAATAAACATGCATAAGCACACTAAAATTACTAGAAACATAAATGTAGGAACACTGTGTAACTAAGATATATAACAATTATTCGTAGTAAATCATTTTGCATTTTGCCAAACTATTGAAAATTTCCGGTGATTATACAATAATTGTTATCACAATTTATGACCTTTGCGGATTGTTTTCAGTCCACTTTAGTTTCTGGCTGAACTCGGCTTGGGTTCACCAAAAAGTCAAATTGTATTCCCAGCAACAGACCACCCCATGCCCCTGGCACAAGGTGCCACAAAGTTCAATTTGTTTTCCATCCAAAAGATTTAGAAACATTCAATGGTGTCAAAGGGGTATTATTAACTTTCATTGCACTACAGATGGTTTGAAACAATAACATCTGAGCCCTGTGGGAAGGTGATCATGTGCTGAAGCAATGTGTGTAACAGTGTACCCTGGGGCCTTCAAATATGATCAAGTAGGGATATTTTACAGCTGTTGTGAACATTAATAGCAGGTCCTTGACCCAGTATGTTTTGTGACAGCAGCCAGATGGAGAAGACAAACCTACTGAGAAGGATCAAATCATGATCATCTGGCAGCAGGAACAAGCTTTCTTATCAAATAAACATGACTCCATTGGGTCATTTTTGATGTGATCATATTTTCCGGTCATGGTGATTGCCAGGTCCATCGAGGTTTCATGACATTAAAAGTATATAGTATTCATTGGTTTGCTTTAAAATGAAATGTTATTAGTCCACCAAGTGAGCTTTATTATCCAATTTACTGCAACTGCTGTCAGTAACAAAGAAATCATCAATTTCCCTTGGACACATTGGGTGCTAGCACTGTTTCATGTATGTGTGCTGCAAATTGAAAGTAGGCCTACCAAAGACATATGACAAAAGAGAGTAGAGATTCCAGAGGCTTAAAAACCATATTGTTTTAATGCATTTTTTTTTTTTGGGGGGGGGGTGGATGTTTCCATCATTATCCATCTCTGATCCAGTACGATGGCCCTTTAGAAATGTACAGAAGTTTGAACCCTTAAAATAGGGAATAATAGTGTAATGGAACCATTGCTGAGTGGCTTAAAATTGGTTTAAGGACAAGGGGCGGGTCCAACTTTGGCTGGGGGGGAGGGGTTTGCTGGCTGTCAGGGGGGGGGGGGGGGGGGAGAGGGTTTAGCTGGAATATGCCATGTTTGTCTACATGATTTTCTCATTTTTTTGTGGCCCAAGGGGGGAGGGGGGGGGGGGGGCAGGTTAGACCGCAAGCCCCTCACTAGTTTTAAAAACAAAACGTATACTGCTCAACACACTATTTTCCCCATTCGTAAATACCATTCATATTGAGTCGTTCGTCCCATTCATTGTTTGGATAGCCGACAGAGGGGGCTATTTATTTGTACAGTGCTCACTATGGATACGCACTTTTAGCCAATCAGGAGTACGCGCGTATCACGCGCGCGTTCGATCGATATCAACGCGACGTGTGCACGTAGCTGGATTGTGCATGTAAACAGACGGAAATTCGAGACAAAACCATGTTCTTTTACACAAATCTGAACGATCCATATATTCCTAGACAATGTACTTGTAAAATAGGACCTACACAGCCTTCTTGGAAAGCCGGCGAACAAATTGACAACACGGAAAGTGCATTAATTTCCAATAAATGTGAGTGTTTGTCGACCGTTTCATTGTTTCCAGTGACCGTTACCATGCATCAGTTGTGCGTATGTCGTCATATGATAATTCCATTATACTTCAGGGAGGATAGTATTACCTGAAGCGCGCAAACTTAGGCCTAGCCTAAAGGCCTGATAACAAAAAAACAGGCCCTAGGCCTATGAACAACTTTGAAAATGTTACACATCGTGGAGCATGCAAGATTATCTAAATTTAACTTTATGTAGAAATAGTTGGCAGTATTATTTTCTAAAAATAAAACCTTGAAAGAAATGAAACAGTCCAGTTGACCAAATATGGTAACGGAATTCCCCGTGGCGTACCGCTACCAAAGTTGAAACGCTGAACTTCTGAAGTTCTTTTGAAAGTAAAAAGTACTAACACAAAATTTTCATACTGAACTTTTATTAAAATATAATTTGGATATTTATGAACTATTCTTTCATATTCCGAGTGAGCAAATTGCATAACAAGGTTCAATGGGACACGGCACGTCGCGAAAGAGCAGTGTTGTGATTCGCTTGAACGAAGACCCATAGAGAATGCGCGTATTTCGGTTGTAACATGCATGTCGAACTTCAAACATAAAAGTACTTACACAAAATTTTCCGAGTTTGAAACGATATTTTCACGACATGATCTTGAATAAATGTAGTTTCAGATACCGAGTGAGCAAATTGTGCCAAGTACTTCAAATGAGTGGTATAGAGTGATTTCAAAATGACACAGCGTACTCAGCATCAAATTCTACACGCATTTCTCTGTTCTGCCGTTGGCGGCGCCCCAATGAGACGCTTCAACTCAATATGTGTGGTCAAAAATTGCCCCCAAAAATTAAAAGTTGCCAGAATTCCGCCAATGCTAGTTTTACAATTTTACAATACACAGTACAAAATTGCTCAAGTGTACAATTTGCCACTGACACCTGTTATTCTTTTATATCACATTACATACATAGAGCACTAAACTTTACAAATTTGTCAATATTTTAGTCATTGTTTTCTTTTTCCTTACAGACATGTCATTTGCACCAAACTCCATCTAAGCTCCTGTTAATTTCAGCACAGTTATTTAGAGTGATCTAGAAAATATATCTAGTGATCCACAAAATCAAGCCATGGCAGCATTGGAAGTTGCTGCGCTAGTGCTCGGTACACTCTTTTTTTAATAATAATAATGTGGACAGGCTACTTGTACCTTGAGTGTATTGTTACTCCCATTGGATCTGCTTATGTCAGCATTTTACATTGACATTGAAATGGATCCAAATGCCACAGAAATATCTAGACCTTCTGAGACCAGACATGCATGTGGAACTAGGAATCCCAATACAGAACCAAGCAAACACCCCTAGCCCTCCCCACTAAAGCCTTAATTGGTTGGATATTGCAAGGTTTTTAATCCAGCTCCAACACAAAATTCCATTTGCCAATTTCGGTCAACACGCTGCATGTACATCAATTTCAAAGATTTTTATCCTTAAACTGGTGTCTCATTTATCAGAATATCAATTCAATACAGAATTTTGCAATGACCCAATAAACATTCCTCTGATTAAGGTATTAATTTGGAGTTCAATTCCAATTTTTTTCAGTGGCCCAATAAACATTCCTTTGATTAAATTATTAATTTGTGGTTTGGAGAAGTTTGTGAAAGTACATGTATAAGACCCTGCACAGGATTTCCAAATTTAATTGGATATGACTGCCTTGAGGCCACCATTAATTCTTCAACATCTGTGTTCAATAACAGGCTGTCATTTCTAGAAACAATGATATTTAAACAAAGATTGACAGTTTATTAGAATGCATGCCGTATTAAGTAGAGCCCCTGTGCTTTATTCATTATTAATGCCTTTTGACTTTGAAGTCAACAGCTCTTTTTTATTTAAAGTCGCTTGATGGTAAAACTGTGCTATTAATTGGTATTCATAAATACCTAAGACAGTTTACCCATTCCTATTGGTCGAGAGCCCATTGCGTGGCCGGTTTTAAACGGTTGATAAAGACATTGCTGGCTGGTCTTAAACACTTTTCCAGTGTCACATGACATTTGGACTCTATGAAATCTGGTGCCAGGTTGCCAGCACCGTTTTATTGGTTGATTGTTCACAATCCTCACGTAGGTAAGCGCAATACTACCAGTGAGTCAGTACTTAGTCCTAAATTCACACTACAACGGTACATCTGCATTCTGCGCGGCAGTACGCCTGACGCGCGCGCCACTCGCCATAGAAGGAGTTGTTTACCAGAGGGCCTTACCATTGTTTAGCTAGAGGGGTGTTTTGTTGAGCGAAATCGTTGATAATAAATAACTTTTTACTTTTTTTTTTACTCTTTTGGACCGAAAAGTTTTAATTTTTTTGACTGAAAAGGTATTTATTCTGCTGGGGTACTTATCAGCATCCAGACTCCAACCAGTCTTAAATAGTGTTTAATACCTCCCAATCACACATTTATTCCCTTATTTCACCTTAGTTGAATCTACCCATTGACTAAAAAGCAAATATCAGAAGCACAATTTGACTCAGTTTATAACTACCAAAATTAATGACTTTCACGTGCATGTTGTACTTTTATGTGATGAAAATGGGCTTCCTGCCAGCTTTCAGCAGACGTTCCCAGACACAATGAAGTTTGTTGCCAAGTTTTGTCAGATACAAGGTCATATATTATTTGGAGCAATTAAACAAACAACTTGCAGAATTAACCTGGTTTTCGTGTGCTTTCCCAAGACAAGACCAAGCTCATATTTTGTGTGTATAAATCAAGTGTTTCAAACATTGTTCAAATGTTTCTTCACTTTATGTTGTTCTGTAGTCATAGACTAAAGACACTTCTGGAAAAAAAAAATTTTCATCCAGTTTCATAGACGCAGTTTGTTTGGCAGCTTGCCAGAGTAAAGCCAAAAGAATAACCATTATTGTCACATAGAATATTCTGTTTGCTGTTAACTTTAATGTTGCGAATTGTTTGTATAAGAGAAAGGAATATGTAAACATCACATGAAAAGATATGGTTCTGAGAAAACCTGTAAAGCTGACGATTTGTATTAGATCCATATTCCTTAATTTTAAACTGAAGTATCAGTTTACAATGTATACAAGTGAATTTGGATTGAATTTTTGCCCTAGCAAAGAACATGAATCTTTTGTATTTATTAATAATCTTGGCTCTAATTTGGTCTGAATGTCAAAGTATGTCTAAATCAATCAAGTGACTTGACTTGAAGTATTGTACTTGTAATAAGCTGTAGGCAACAAATCTAAGAATTTTGTTATAAAATGTATTACATATATGAAAGTCGTTATTTGGCATTTTTTTATCATATGATTCATTTAATTTTTTACGTACCTGCGTGTAGGCAATACAGGTAGTTATGGAAAGCTTTGCAACATCACACCCAAAAATCTCTTACCCCACAAAAAAATGGTACAAAGTACTTTAGTACATTCACACGTATAAAGAAACACCTGTTCAAAGTGTCACTCTTAGTTTCAACCATATTCACAGAGGAGACTGGGCGGGTGTAGTGCAGTAAATTTGTGTTATGCCTATTCATAAATGTATCCATTAACTCCAAATAGTTCCCTAGACAGCTGTCCCTGCTGGCTGATTAGGGAGGTTTCAAATTATTTGTTCTTGCCTCGCATAACTAGATGCATGAAATGGTACTGCACATTGTATGTATTTCTGATGTACCCAAAATAAAACAGGGTTGGCGAGTTGTAAGGGTTACAATTATAAATCTAATTTTGAGCCAGACCAATGATCGATCACAATGTTTATTTCACGTTTAGAACCATGCTGATACACATATCTCTGTTCATGTAAATCCCATCAAATCTGCCCGAGCTTAACACAGGCTCAAGGACTTTTTACCCAGAAAGTTCCGTGCTCTGTTTGAGTAATTTGCACCATTCCAAGTATTGGAGGCAGCAAACGCAAGGGGAAGTTTTTGGGCATTTTCTCTACCACCCCTCCCACTCTGGCACTTTAATATCTTGCTATCCAGCCCTTCAAACCCCTTCCCCTCCTACACCCACCACCCCTTCCCTACACCCCATATTCACCCCCTAACCCACCTCCCTTCTCCCATGGTAGTTTTGTACAAGTAGGCAGGCTTCTAGAGCACCTTCCCCAGATATAGGATCTGTTACCTAGGACAGTGGGGTTTCCAGATCGTGTCCTGAAAGGCCACAGAGGGACCTCCAATATCAAATCAAAGAAATCCACCCCATCCACCCTGGCCTGTGCCATACTGGAATGTTTATTCAGGATCCGTCCTGTTAGGCAGAGTTCAAGGAAGGCCAGTTGCAAGGCCACGGATCACTGGGAGCTGTTCATCAGAGGAGCGAGGAGGTCCAATTTACTGCTCCCCATGTTCCCATTTGGGCTGATTAGTTTGTCATACACATGTACGTCACCAAGGTAATGGTTCAGGAATCACATCTAAATCATAAGCCACAACATTGGTCCTTGGCCATGAGTATTTTCACAGCCTACTGAAACTGTACCAATATACAGGATTGAAATTAGGTCTTCATTCTGTGTATTAAAAATGTTGATAACTTGCAATATTTGGGATTTCAGCTTGTGGCTTTTGTAGTTATCCTTATGGTTGACTTCTTTTTTTAGTTTTGGAAATCTTTTGTTTTAATAAAAACACGTGGTACTTAGTATGTTTGTTGAAATTAACCGTTGTTTTGGCAAGATGATACAACCATGGAGGAATTCCTCCATGATACAATGTTCTTTTGTTTGAAAATGACAATTGACCTTTCAGGGCAACCGTTCATCCTTATGAAAATGATTGGTTGGATTTACGGACAGACAACACTTCAAGGATCAAAGTGTGTCATTCATTTTGGATGTTGGACATCCGGTTTTGTGTGGTTCACCTAACAGTGTGGTGTGCTGTTGTGATTGATGATGGCAGTAATTGAGTTATTGGCAAGGTCATGTAAACCACACAATGTCACCTCAAGCTCAGGTGTGTGACAGGCAATGCTTGCTGTGTTAGACCATGCAGCATTATGTTTATCACTGTGCAGCATACATGTATCAGGTTTGACCCAGTTTTTCCCATTAGTAAATGCTAACATCCATGCAGCATGTAAGCCAAAACATTTACATGTACCTTGACTGTGGTATCTTGAGAGTGCTTTTTTTTTCGGAAGAATTCACAGGAACCTGTAGTATAATCAGGGTCTTGGTACACATGTACTTGGTATTTGGCTGTTAGGTTAGATGAACTTCACTTCAAGTTTCATGGGTTTTCCTCAGTAAAATCTATTCATTTCTTTAAAAACATAGATCCTGCATTGTTTTCTCTTGAGAGTCTTTTGGTTAAATTTGACTGTAGATGAGCTCGATGGCATACTCACCGGTAAAGCTAATGATGAAGAAAACTGTGCTTGTTTGCACTGGCTCATTCATTTCAAGTGGTGTAGGTGCACGTAATAAGTTTGTATGCCTTTATAATGGCATGGTTTTCTTATTGCTCAACTTTGTCAAGTTATAATTTCTAGCGCCTGTAAACCAAATTTTGGTCATGGGTATTTAGGCACATGTTATTGTATCCCACAACAGTGCTTCCTTTGGTATAAAGTGCTACATTAGCACCGCATTATCTGTTCATAAGATGGAATTTTTTTTTGGGGGGGGGGTTTGGATTTTTTTGCATCGGGTGATGTAAATCAAATTAGGTTTTGCTCTTCACTGACGTATAAACACTGTATACTCAGTGTGTTACCTCCGGAGTCATAGTTGGAAAAAAAATCACTCGGGAGGGACTCGAACCAATAACCTCCTGCTTTCTAGTGCAGACGTCTTACCACTCGACCAACGAGCTAACTGGATCGGTTGGCTGGTTCGAATCTGATGTACTAGGAGTGGGTACCGCTTTCCAACTTTCACTCGGGAGGTAACACACTGAGTATACAGTGTTTATACGTCGGTGAAGGGCAAAAATTTGATTTACGCCACATTATCATTATCATTATCATTATTTTTAATCATTTCTCCATTTGCATCTGTGATTGTGGTTGATAAGAAATAAAACAACCACCAATAACCAGCTTGTTACCATGATCTCTCCCACAGACACGGTCGATCTCTTGCGAGAATTACGTGAAGGAGGCAAAATTCCAGGAGTCAAGGAAACCGAGGACTATGATGCAGCATGTCTCGTGTATTGGTTCCGCAAACCCACAGAAGTGACTGCACCAGCTGTAGATTACTTTGGCCCAAGGTAGACGGTAATTCCAAAAAGTAGCCTTGGATGTAGATTTACCAGTTTGTCAATCATTTCAACAGATCATTGAGAATATGATGCATGGTGCCTGTTAATCCTGTGCTGTCATCTCTTGTTTATTAACTTCTTCAATTATTTTAGGTTATTGTTGTATAAAGTGAGCAGTTTGTAAACCCACAACACATTTGAGTTAGAAAAATCTAACAATGTCTCTCAGGTTTTGTTATGATGATTTCCTTCTTTTTTTCTTTCTTTTTTTGAGCAAGTAATCTAGCATACATGTAAATATTGGACTTAATGCCATTTCTTCAACAGATTTCCCAAAGGATTCAGCATCATGTTTAAAATCAGGTTTGCAACAGAAAGGACAGAAAACCTACTCACGGTGGTTGATGACAGCGGCAATATTCAGCTGCAGGTTCGGCTTGGTCCCAACATGTGTGAGATTCAACTACGAACAAACACATTGGTGTCATACAGGTATGTGAAATTAGCGTGAACGTTTATCTGTGTTGTTAGTTAGATACAATTTAGTAATAAACTTTTTGATCACAACACTAGAGAATTTTGTACCTGTAATTTTCGACGGAAACTCTGGTCTTTATCAGCAGGATGACACGGATGATGCATCATTGACCTTACGGACATGATCACAACACCACCTCATAGACTCCAGGGAATTTGTAACAACCCCCCCCCCCTCCCAGTTTAGAGAAGGTTTGTAGGCTCTGATGTAGGCTGCCTCCTTCACCCCCTTTCAAATTACCGTGCGTCTCCAAGGTGTTTACTTTAGATATGTCTATATGATGGCCTGGTGATTCTGTATGGATATGTTGAGAAACCTCTGAAAGGGAAAAACTGGGGCGACTGTGCTCCAAAAACCTAGTCTTGAGGGACCTCTCGGTTTCTCCAAGGTCAAGGATGCAACATCCAGGTCATCCTGCTGATGAAGACCAGAGTTTCGGGTAGAAAATTACAGGTATGAAATTCTCTAGTGTTGTGATCAAAAAGTGTACCTCTAAAAGGTATGTGAAGTATCTTGTGCCCCTCTCTCAACATAACCTCAGCATTGTTGTAAAGCTCTTTGTCCAGTTCCTGGATAATAACAGAAAAACACAGACTTGAAATGCTATTGGATTTGACTTGAGCCAGCTTTAACCCAAGCCTAGATAGACTTAATCCATCATTTATTTCAATGTCATAGTCTTGGATTAGTTTTTTCCTGGATGCATGTCTATACTCACTGAATCTAGGCTGGCGTCCAGATTGAGTCAAAGACTGTCATGCCTGATTTAGGCCTGTAGGCAACTATGGGCTAGAGCCAGGACTAGTGTCATAAGGGCCTTTCACATCTAAAATCTCCATGTTGAGCCTGGCCCAACATAAACAATTTGTGAACCCCTGTCACTCTAGCCAAGTACCCGGCCCAATTTACACGGGTCAAACACTCTACATGTACATGGGAGAGGCTCTACATTGAAGTGAACAATGTTCTTCCTCACAACATATGCTCACAAATTAACATCCAGAATCATTACGCTCCTGCCCATACCATTATTCACTGAGTTTGTATGATTTGGTTCTTTTGTGACCCAACAGGTTTTTCAGTGAAAAATTTGGCGACAATCAGTGGCACAATATCGGGCTGGCCGTGGGCAACAAACAGAAGAAAATCACAGGCTACATGGACTGCAATGAAATATCCTCGTTTCCCCTGCGGAAAAAGTTTGACCTGAAATCCAATGGCAGGATGATTATAGCCGGCACCATCTTACCGACTGAAACACCATATCTTGTGAGTCTGTGCAGAAATTCCAAATTTTATGGCCAAAAGTCTCCATGATAGGAAACATCTACACCAAGAATAATGGCCATGAGCATCAACATACACATACACAAAAGTTACTTCAATAACAACTGATCACTTTTTTGAAGGTTTTAATTCTTATTACATCTAAGTGTCCTCTATCTGCTCCCTTCCATTTGATACACCCAAGGCCCCAGGGAGAACAGTTATTTGACAACTGATGGGGCTACCCTGGCAAAATAAAACGATAAATGAAATGAAAAATAAAAATACACCATTGCTTATGTTGTCATGAACATCTTGCTAGGCTCATATTCATGGTATGGAAATGTGCACTTTAAGTATCTCAATTAGTATTAAACATGTTAAAGCTAGCTATTAAATATAAATATATTAAAAATGTTAAAGCTATTAAATATAAATATATTAACATGGTACAACTATGTAACATTTGTTTCCATCTCAGCTTAGGCACTCTTGAAGAATGAAAGATCTATCTCTACTTACCACTTAAGGCGAGCCATCAGATAACAGACCGTTCGTGTACCGGGTCCGGTATGCTAATTTCTTTCACCCCAATCCGTATGAAGCCAGAAGCCACCCGGTTACTGAAGCGTGACGCCCCAATTGGTCCAAACTGGTGACTCAGGGTTTCACAATAGGCAACATAAATTGAAGTCTGACCATTGTTGGAGGATTATTCGGCCCGCGGCGGCAACTTCTATGAAGCTCATCACAGTCATTGTTGCCTACTGGAGGATTAGCGCGTCGCAAATTGGTTCCTTTGTGATGAGCCAGAGCCATGGTGCAGAAGCCTGGTGGAGTTAATCCAGGCCGATCGGTTCCATGCAAGGTCCCAATCCCTTCAACATACTGGGCGGGCTCAACCCCGAACGGTCTGGGGAGGGATTCTAATTTGAGGGCTCGCCTAATGGAGTCACATTTGAAGTTTCTCCTGTATTAAATCTTCCGTGTAATTAAGAAATCTTGGCCATACAGAAATTTTGTATCAGTTTGGTTGACTTCACAGGAGGCCAAATTTAGGTTAATAGAGCAAGCAAGTTCATGGTCAGGACAATTCAATCTGTACTTACTACTTGTAAAACAGCTTGCTGTGGCTCCATGCTGAGAGCTGCTTAGATCAATGTCAGATGATCGTTTGTTGTTTCAAGTTTGAAAATATCAAACAAAATTTCTCTCTGTAGAGTGTAACTGAGCGAATTGCCTTTTAGAAGACTGATATACTTTTTTTTCAGTCAATCTTTGTCATGATATTTCTTTTCACAATTATTGTGCAGGGGAAAATACAGACCATGTATTATAGTGCGGGTTTTCAAGCAGCATCTGATTGTACGACATACTTCCAGTGTGAAAATCAGATCGAGGTAAGATTGACAAGACAGTATTTTTGAATCAGTTAAACAGACCTCTAACCATGGAGGTTGGTTTGAAAGATTGAGTTATTAACTTTAAAGATTTATATAACTGACATACAGATCCTTGTCATTTGATTGGTGGAACTCACATCACGTGACATTCGTTATTGCTCCCATTCATGCCGGGGCTCAAAAAGTCCCATTTGCCCATTGGGAATGGGAAATATTATTCACAGTTAGAATCATCCTTGTTCCATGATGCGGTATTTGTGTGCAAATGCATGCTGGTGTGCGCATTCAGCGTTGCGCGTGTTCAGCGTTGCGCGTAGCGCGTATTGTTTCAAAGAGCCAGCGCTACAAAGTTGTCATTTTTATGAAGGGGTGGTTTCAAGAGAGAAATACATTTTCCACCAATTTTGTATTGAAATAAACTTCAAATATTTCAAATGACAAGGATCTATATGTCAGTTATATAAAACAAATATTGAGTGGCTTTAAAGTGTGAAATGGGAGGAATATTATCACTCTGTAAAAAGTCCAGATTTAACCTTGCCATAATATTCCTCCAATTCCACTCTGAGCCGCTCAATATTTGTATAATATTCCCGTTTTCTATTTTCAAGTTTCACTTCCTAAAATAGATTTGTTTTCAGTTGCTATTTTCCTAGCAATATAAAAGTTATTCAATTTTTAATGAGACATTGAACAAAAAAATCCACCAACGTTATTCAAATTGTTGGCTGCCAGACAATTCGGCTCTCGCGGGCAGGTCATTTGTTCACAATATGAAATTCCCTTTTCAGAGGGTTGCAGATGCCCAAAATTGTTCATTAAAACAAAACATACAAATCAAAATTCGTTGGGAGAAGGGGGGAAAAAAAAATCATTTTTTGAAGAGTATGGGGCATGCATCTTTTATCAAAATCTTGGTTAAGACATTTTAGCTAAGATCAGATACAGTTTTAGCAGATCAATTTGATTTTGGAGCAATAATAAATTGGGTTTAAAATTAACAGTATTTTCAACAGCGATTAAAGCCATGTACAAAACAGGCTTTCAGAGCTACAATATGTCTCTTGTCACTATTTCCCTAAGAAGTTGTAATTGGAAAAAACCTAGTCAATTGCTTTAGCCGAGAGATTTCGATGTGACTTTACTCAAACAAAGTGCTCAATAGGTCAGTTCTGACCTTTAGTTCAAAATTGTTACTTGAAACTTAAGAAACTACATGAAAGCTTCCCATTGATGGCTAGTTGGTGTTTGTTTTATAAATATTTTCAGGTTCCAGCTGCAACCACACCTGCCCCAAGCACAGTATCTTTGGAACCTACATGGCCCGATTGGTTGATCCCTTCAATCAAACCAACCACTGAGGCACCAGAGCCACCTATACCCGAGCCTACAACTCGTGAGCCCACAACCCCTGAAAGTATCCCACCTGCACCTGTAACACCTGCACCCCAGCCAGAGCCCATGACAGTAGCACCGGTCACGACACAGCCACCAAAAATAGTGCCACCGACCACCAAGCCGTTTCTTGTACCAGCCACAATACGGACCACTTCACAGACATTCATGGTTGGGGTGTGTATTTTGAGAGGAAAAGATGCTTTATTGGGTGTAAATGACAAATACCAATAATGGTATACTTTAGGGATATACATGTATATTACCGTAGAAAGCTTTCCCCCTGAAAATATGAGATCTACTTTCACCAAAAGTAATTTCCCAGAAATGGGAAAAATGCATTTGTGTCAGTTGTAGGTATTTGCATTCTATGATAAATCTGGCCATTCCAATTGTCAGTGACACAAAAATGTCCAACATTTATCTGGCCATTTTATTTGTCAATGACACAGAAATGTCCAACACTTACCTGCAAATCAAACTTGATGTGTGAAATGTCACGTAAAAATTAATTTTATCAGTTTGGCAGGCATCTACAATTCTTCATTGATGTAGATTTTATTTCAAGAGGTGCCATCTTGGATAAAAATTCATTCCATCTGCTGTTCCCAAAAATCCTATCAAAGGAATTCATACGGTACATGTATATGAATTGAATAAGATTTTCAACTAATAACACTCATTTAAGTTTTTATTTTAGAGTGCCTGTTTCTGTAAACAGTCTTACAATGGTACATTTTCTCCCATGTTGTATTCTTGTGGAAAGTGTGCACCTTAGGTGGTGCTGTGGGATTGTGCTCTAAAATCAAGTACAGTTTCCTTTTTTTTTTTTTTTTTTAATTACTCTGAAATTGTTTGGTAAAAAAATGTCATATTCAACAAGTTCCTCATTCAAACATAGCCAAATAACATTATGAGTGCCCCTTTGAAGTAGCTTGAACTATTGACCCTGAAATCCAAGCCAAACGCCAGCCCTCTGACAAGAACCACATGTTTTGTAAAGTGAGAGTCCTTATCTGTTCCAAGGAGTAAAGAGGTAACCTTCCTTCGTTTCTTGAATCATAGAGCAAGAACCCTTGCTCTATGCTTGAATAGAGTAAATTAAATAACTTGGCAATAAGTTACTTTTTTATATTCTACAGACGAAACATCCCATCCTTGATACTGGCGTACCAGGTCTCCCTCCTGGCTTTATTGACTATCTGCTTAGGCATGATGACGAGCAAACGGTTGTCATACTCCTGGAAGAATTGGAATTTCTCATGCCTGTAAGTCTTCAATAGCTTCTTTCCATTTCTTTGGTGATATCAGACGATTTTTAAACCCTCAATACTTTTCTTCTTTTGTAAGTCTTTAATTTGTTTTTGTCATAATTTATTGTAACTTTTCTCATTTTGATTTTTTTGGGGTCAATTGTAATTTTCACCAGTTATACCTAATTTTCTTCATTTTGGGAAAGGTATTCTCACCTATTTGCATGTACAGGGTGAATTAAAAAAACCGAAATCCAAATGTCGGGACCATTGGTTTAGTGAAGGTCTAAATGTAGCACTTGCAAAATCTAGGATATGAAAGCACAATTCATAAGCTTTCTTTTAGTACAAGAATCATTCAAATCATTCATATATTTTTCAAGTTACAGACTTTTTAACACAACCACTGTTTTAAAGTTCTGTCCACGGATCACAAAAGTGTTCTTTCAGCAAAACAAAAACAAATCACATAGGGATGTGTGTAAATTGTTTTCTTTTTGCTGAAAGAACACACACCTTTTGTGTGATACGTGGACAGAACTTTAAAACAGTGGTTGTGTTTAAAATTCCATAACTTGAAAAGTACATGAGTGATTTGAATGATTCTTGTACTGAAAGAAAGCTTATGAATTGGGCTTTCATATCCTAGATTTTAAAAGTGCTACATGCAGAACTTCACTAAAACAATAGTCCCAACATTTGGGTTTTGCTTTTTTTGACTCACCTTGTATAGTAGAAGTGGCAATCCTGGCTCTATGGACTCCGTGCATGAACAGTTTTTGACCACTTTAACCAGTTCATGTCGGATGACGTGTATGTACACGCAAAGGTTTTGCGGTATTCGGAATGGAAGACGGATAAACATGCAACAAGCGAGGCCGGAAATATCTGTCTGCGACCCGCTCGCGGCGAGCGAGGCCAGAAATATCAGGGTGTGCTACCCGCAGATGACGGCCTGAACCCGTCTGGCATCGAGGTTTGTAAACAACAATCCTGTGCCTGCATCTGGTCAATGTCAAAATAATCCCGGCGTGAACTGGTTAAAGAGTCACATTGAGAGGGACACACCACATACGCGTTCTGTTTTCGCATGCATATGGCACAGAGTACACACAACTAATTTTATTCTGAATGTGCACAGAACCATGGCATCTTTGGGTGATCCTGGGGTATCATGGAGCAATGTGTTCCAATGTCTCTCCCAGTGGTCTCCCCCAACTATCCCTTTGTAATAGTTGAGGGGGTACTTGTGCACGGAGCCAACAATGTACCTCATGACAGTCCTTCCTCTATAATACATGAATATGCATCAAACTTGGGAACATATGAAATGATAAAATGATGTTCTTATTTTGCAGACCACCTATGGGGATCCAGGCCGACCAGGAGAACCAGGCCCTGAAGGTGTACCTGGGCCACCAGGAGAACGTGGACCTAGAGGAGAGAAAGGCATCAAGGGACTGGTAAGTGTCATAGCAATCTAGAGCAGTTGTCTTTAAAGGCCATAATGATCAACATGGGGTCAAGGTGGTGTTAGGTTTCGTTCTTTTTTGTCATTTAAGCCAACAAGGGAATCGCTATTGTTTGATAAGTTTATTGACTTTATCACAAACTGCTTTCAAATTAAAAAATGCCGGCTGGCCGTTGCACAATCGAAAAGGGGGGGGGGGGCAACTAGTCTAGACCTCATTTGTCACTCTTTTCTATGTTTTTCTTTTCGGTGAATGTTACACCCTGGGCCTCCATCCCCTAATTTTTCAACTTGACTCCCTTTCTTTAAGCATTGCAAAAGGAAGAGACCAGACCATGATCCTGTAATTTGAAATACCATTTATTGGATTAATTATAAAATGAGCTTTGGGGTGTTATGAACGATTGCAGAGTTCTTTCAATTAATTTTATATGAAAATAGAATGAACTAGACCTGACGAGTTTTCTTGATTGTTGGAAAGGAAATGAATGCTAATTATAATGTTTTCAACATCATATTGTTATATAAACATATTTTTTTTTAGATTTACAGTCACATTTCAGCCACCTGTGCCACTAATCAAGAGCCCTTATGTTTTGTCCACTATTGCTACAGATGGTTCCAGGCCATCAGGGTTACCGTGGTCCAAGAGGCCCCCAGGGCCGCCAGGAAGAAAGGGAGATGAGGGGCCACCAGGCCCTCCGGGAGCATTGGGACCCAAGGGTGCAATAGGTCCACGTGGGCCCCAGGGTCCACGGGGCTCAAGGGGTAAAAGGGTGAGTGGGCAAAACCTTTAGTGTTGGATTACTTTGTGGCATGGTTGAATATCACTCAGATAAACACTTCCTGTTTGAAGGAGTGTGTGTGGATGGGGGACTGTTGGCTGCAGCCTGAAGGCCTGTTTTTGTCGCAATAGGTTTCTCATACAACAATGTTGCAGACGCTTGTGTGATCACAAATACACGATTTGGTGCACAATTTCTGAAATTAGCTTCAGGCAAAGGTTGTAGGTGAAGTACATATGCGACGTTTTGTTTCGCGGGATAAAGTCCTTCAAATTTGAAAAAAAATCATGCGATAAGTTTCATGACTTTGTCGTGTAAATGTAAACCTCCTGATTGATTTGTACGAATTAAAAAAAAATAACATGCGACGTTGTCGTGCGACAAAGTTGCGTATGTGTAAATAGGCCTTTAGATTTCATATCAATATATCAGTCAAAACATTATTCATCTTCACATTCAGAAGACGGGGTAGAGATCCTGGGGCAGCTAACCTGCACCAGGTGAGACATAAATCAAGGGTAACCCTTACAGCTGCAACCTAATTCCCAGTATTCTGCTGCACCCAACATGAGACCTGAGAAGGTGATCATTGTGCCTGTGGCCTTGGGCAAGGTACTTTGCTGCAATAGTTTATTGCAGCCTGTCGCCCTGCCCAGTGTATGGCTGAGAATACTGACGTATTTTTGTATCGTGGATAATAAGATTACAAATGAATTCTGTGCAGGGAGGACGAGGCAGGCAAGGTCCACGGGGTGAGATGGGGGACCCGGGTGAAAAGGTGAGTTGAATAATCTGAAATATTTTATCATTAACAGAAAAGTTGGCATCTTGTGTGCTACTAGCCACATCCCTACAAACTGGCATAGATGTTTTGCATTGAACAATTAAATGTTATGCATCCTGCAAAAACCTTTCTTATGGTGAACATTTTCATATGTGAGTTTTAATAGCACAAAAAAGTCAAGATAGTTTTTTTTCAGGGCCAGTTTTTACTTAAATCAACAACCAAATCCTCTTCCTCTGGCTATAGGCCACATACAGGTACAGGCTTTTGACCAGCAACAATTGAATAATAGTACTCCGCACTAATGGTAAAAATAGAAGCAAGTACCCGGATCTCAGGATGTACGAACTTCTTGTGTGAAGATTACACGCACGCTTGCAGCACCGTTTCTCTGCGAATGTATGCGGCCAGGTGTGCATGCATGTGCACGTGATTGTTCGAAAGTTTGTCTGACATGCGGGGTATATGTGCGCGTACGACGCGGAGCAAAATTGACGTGATTAGTGCAGAGTGCTATTGAGAGACTACATGCATAAGAGTACTGGTCACTGTGTTCCATAGTTCACAGCTTCACCTCCTGCTCAGATCAATTTATTTGTTCAACCGCAATCATTTGCTTTGTTATAAGATAAAGATTTTTGGTAGCACCATGTGACAAAGCACTTCTGTGAGTTTGTGGGGTTTTTAAAAGAACCCTTGGAAAATTCAATGTTTCGGACAGTATACTGCCCATCTCAGGAGACTGAAGGGAGTGAAACAGTGAAGTAGTGTAACATTCTTTAAAAGTAATTGTTATTTTATGGTTCATTTTTACTTATTTATTTCATTCCTTGTGGTCTGTCTTTTTTTCTCCAGGGATATGGAGGATTTAAAGGAACCGCAGCCCAGCCAGGTTCACCTGGAGTAATAGGACAGCCTGGCTTCATGGGACCCATGGGAGCAATGGGAGAACCAGTAAGTGTAGACTAGACAACCCATCTCATATCTGACCCTCTCTTCTTAGATGACATTGGACGTAGAGAGGAGATTGCAAAACGTGCACTGTGATTGAAGGTGGGAACAGAGGGGACTAGTAGTGAGAGACCTTATCTGAGCACATACCATGATAGTATCTATAAAACAGGCTAAGAGAAGCGACATAATGACTACCAGAAAGAGGTTCTGTGGATGAAATTTTGGCTATGCAACATTTCCTGCAAAGCAACTTTATGAAACTGACCCTTATATCACAGCTACAAGGCAAAGGATTGTTGTGGTGATGTATAACAGGCAAGGTGCTTTGTCTATCACATCAGCCATCAATTTGTATTTTATAGCAAACAATACTAGGGAGTTTGGTTTAATAAGAAAGACCCAAGCTCAGTCTGTAAGGTTTAGTCCCAGAAATGGCGGTTTACCCTTGCTTATTGGATTTTAACAGGTAGTATAGTATTTTGCTGTGAAGCGAGGGGGCGGGTATCATGCGAGATCGTCGCTGGACTCGAACAAAAACACTCGTGAACCGCTGTTTCATTATTTTATTCCATTTTCTTCCAGTTTTCCCAACCATGCTCCTTCCTTCAACCCTCCTAACAATTGAATCTCAATACAATAGTAACAACTTTCTCCCCAAAGTCCCTGGCCACCTGTGGCCTGACCCGGTGACCTCGGCCCGTCTGCCCAGATACCGGTTTATTTTTAGAGTCCGCTCGGGACCGACTGGTAATCATATTTAGCGCCCTCTATTGATCATTATTTATTTCGTAAACCATAAGCCCCTCAAAATAATTTCACCACAGTAGCAAATCTTTTTATGATTAACATTAGTTTGAAATGTGTAAATGTCCATTTTCCATTGCCAGGGACTAAGGGGAAACCCAGGCCTGCCAGGAGTGCCAGGATTCCCTGTAAGTCAAGTCATTAGGCTACAGATATATTTCTAGACATCTCTTTACATCTTGACTCACAAACATAATGTTTTATTCTGAAATTTAAAAATACTCAGGTAACCTTGATGATGCTGACTGGTTGTGTTAGTGTTAGCAGGTTTTTCTTGTAAACTTGAACGTTTGTTTTCTTTGCTATCAAGTTGAGATTTTACTTTACTTGCACAATTCGTCACCAACACCACTAACTGACACTCACTTGCAATTGAGTGCCAGTTCGTGAAAACCCTGTACTCAACAATGTCGGTTTCACAAACTGACAACCGGTAGTGCACGCGCACATTGGACACTTGACACGAAATAGAATGATTTTCGTTTTCACGAACTGACACCCAAGCATGTTGCGGCAATACAGTGCCGAGAAAAACGCTTTGAAGGTTTGACAATATGCTTACACACAAATTTTATTAAAAACCTTTTTAACTGGTGAAATTAAGATCAGCGTCACTTCGTGAAAACAAAATGTACGGAGTGCGCGCTAGAAGTGCCGCATTGGGCTGGGTGTCAGTTCGTGAAAACGAAAATAGTCTGGTTCTGTAAAATATGGGCCCGTGCCATGCACTCACACGCAACTGAGTGTCAGTTCGTGGTGTCGGTGACGAATGCCTTATTGTAACACCTCCATTTCAGTTAGGATTGTTTTCTCATAGACATGAACTATTTGTGTTTCAGGCTGTTGTATCAGCAAAAGTATTTTAAGCTTGATTGCTGCTGTAAACACACATGTGACTTGATTCAGCATTGTATTGAGAGAAGTCAAAATCTTCAATTAATTTTTCATCAGAGAGATGTACATGTTATGTTTGGCTCAGCACTTTTAGTGTATTTGAATTGCTTCAGAGAAGGGGAATCCCCAAGTGTTGAACTTTTGATGTATTGTCACCATTATTGGCACATTGTCATTGTCATTGTCATCTTCTTGTCTGTATTTATTGGCAGGGATACATGGGTCTTCAAGGTGAGGATGGTGAGCCAGGGGAAGTGGGTGAGGACGGAGACCCAGGACCACCGGGACCTCTTGGAGACAAAGGAGAACCGGTATGCTGGAATTGTCTGTGTAATATTTTTTATATGAGTATCACCCAAACAGGGCCAAGGCCACTCAAAGGTGTGGGCTACAAACTAGAAACAACAGAAAGAAAGAAAGAAAGGCGTCATAGTAGAAGAAGATATCTATTAACATTTCACTTGGATTGTGAAAGATTTAAGGGAAGCATGAAAAACAAAACTGGAATATTTTCCAGTACTAGTCTAAGGAACTATAACAGTGAAAGGATGTGAAGAGGCAGCGAAGCTGGTGCATTGCTTGAAACTATGGTCAGGGGAACAAGTCAAGAGAAGCTGTTGCAATACATCCCATGGTAGTATCTGTAAAAGAGGCTTGGATCAGAAGCTACATACTGCCGGACAAAATACACACAAGTACCCGGCAAGAGTACATATAGTCTGTCATACTATCCAACTTAGATTTGGACAGCCACAGCTTTTATGACAGATATTTAGGTTAGATTTCATAATGATTAAAAAACAGATAATTGGTTTGCCTTCCATTTTCAAAAGAGAAGGTGATTTTTTTATGCAATGACAGACTTTGCAACAGTAACACCAAATTGTTACACAGCAGCGGCGGAACGGGTTTGAAACTGGGGGGGGGGGCAGCACCAAAAAGGGGCACTTGCAAACCAAAAGGGGCACTTGCAAACCCGTGTTGAAATGTCGACACGTTTTTTTAACCGGGCACTTGGCCTCTGTAAAATCCAATGATTATATGCTAAATATGCATTATGTGCCCTTTTTCAGGACCCCCCCCCCCCCAGCCCCAGATGATGCACATGTTAGAAATATGATATGGAAAGGAAGGATATGTTATTCCCCCAATTATTCATAATGATTGATATAACTGAGCTGTTCTGACTTGCTCTCATTACAGGGTCTGCCAGGACCTCCTGGACTTCCTGGCCCCAATGCTACTGGAATCGGGCCCCCCGTGAGTAAACTCTCATTTCTCATGCCCAGATTGTGGTGTAGTAATATACAGGCCAGCATTGATGTATGCATGACTCTACATTGGATACATTAAAGGGCACTGCCTCCTGAAATCCCCCAAAATTTCATGTTTTGGATTGTTTACTTATCCTGTTTCAAACATCTGGTAGAAAGGAAACCAACCTAATGTCTTGCCGTTCCCGAGAAAAGACGAAAAAAAACCCAATTGTTTACATCGAACACGACAGAGTATGAAACTTGTTTCCTGTCGTTTTCATACAATGTACGATACACGTTGTATACAATGTACGATACACGTTTTGTGTGTCTAGTATTACACACGTACACAGCACCGTGCTCAGGAACAGCAGTGACCAATCACCAATGCACAAAATGTGATTTCTTACACATCCACAAAAGGCGAACCCTTACTGCTGGAATCACAACTAGCACAAACAGCTGAACTTTTTGGGGTTGCAGAAGTGGACCCTGAAAGTCGTTCTTGCATGAATAACACAAGAATACTACAATAGCGCCGAGTTTTTAAAGGATAGTTTATTGTGTTTGTATCCTACTTCGAAATGTTCTTTGCGATTAAGATCATTCCGTTCAAAACGCGTTTTGTAGCCCAATTGGGCGTATTCCATGACGCAAGTTCCCTTTAAAAAATAAAAATGCCCCCACTCCCTTCCATCATCACTTATGTCCTCAGTGATGTTTCCCATTGTCATTTTCACTGTTGAGGTACTTTATCTGAATTTCACAGTCCATAAACTCAACAGCCAATTTTCATATCGGAAACACTGAATACACTGGAACGCCGCTATAACGAACATCGCGGGATCCACAGAAAATGTTCGTAACAGTGATCGTTCGGTACAGTGATTTTAAGCTGCCGGTGCTCTGGTACTCACTTTTCAATAAATGGCAATAAAAATGGCACCCTTCATAACTTCACCCTGCATGCCCTGGTAGTTACTGAAAGACGACTTCAAACTTGTTCCAACTATTGAATTATGTAATTACACAGTTTTGAGCTTACCACCTACATCAATGGGTGGCTTTCCTATTCTATGCCTCGGGGAAATAATAGCCACTTGTCGCTCTTCTGTTGATGGTTTTTATGAACAATGTTCAGTTGGTTTTGTACACAAAAATCGGGAGTCAAGGATGATGTTCAGTATAGCCGAATGTTTGGTATAGCGGTGTTTGGTAAAGCGACGTTCCACTGTATGTACATTTTCTCTCCACAGGGGCTGAATGGATCAGTAGGATTACCAGGAGAGCCCGGGGCACCAGGGATGGTGGGTATGCCAGGCCCACAAGGTATGCAAGGATTTCGTGGTCAAAAGGTAGGTAGACAATTCATGGCAGTTTGTATCAACTGAACAATGCTTGAAGTTTAGCTCAGTTGTAGCTGCGACATGAAATTGGAACTCGGAGGTATTTTTTCTTGATTTGATTACCAGGGCAGGAATGGCACACAAGGAGTTCGGGGATTGAGGGGCAGCCCCGGTCCAGAAGGCATAGAGGGTGATCGAGGTGATCGCGGCTTCAAAGGAATGAAAGTAAGCATGCAGTACAGATTCAGCAGAGATGTTTCTGACTTGGCCGTTCATGCTTCAAGCCCCAGTGTTGTCAAATGGTTTCTTTTTGAAAATTGACGTGACACTTTTGTGATAGGACAGTGCTCAAGAAAACGTAAATGTTCCAGTGAACTCCCCTAACTCTCCTTTGTACATCATTGAGGGGGTACTTGCACTCAGAATCCATACTAATATGATTTTAGGAAAGGAAAGTGATATGAAAAAGGAAAGAAAACATTCTCTGCAACTGAATATGGAAACAAATCCTACCCACTTGCATGTATAGGATTCTGATGCCAATCATGGATTGATCATGGCTAAGACATTGGCTGCATGATGTACAATGGTTTTAGTATGGAATTACATGTAGTTGTGTTGGATCAGTGGTGTAAATTTAGTCCAATTTGTTGAAGGAGTGGCATGCTTGAGTTCACTATGTGACTTCATTGAGCAGGCATCCCCAGGAACATTCAAAGCTTCTGGCAAATATGGCACTCAGGATATTTATCAGCTGCCTGCAATAAATACATTTCTTTGAGAAATTTCTGCATACAATATTAAATGTTGCTGTTTTGATGTCGCAGGGTCGGCAAGGTATAGAGGGATTACTGGGCGAGCCTGGGTTTGAAGGTTACCAAGGCGACAGGGGTGAAAAGGGAGGTATTGGACGAGTAGGGCCTCCAGGCCAGAGGGTAAGTTGAGGTCCATATTCACCCAACTATGTGGTAGGCATTTTCTTTGTTTCTTCAACACAAGGTTTCATGTTGGCTTTCACCAGCTGTGGTGAACCATAATTTTTTGCCAAACTATAGTAAAAACGTAGTTCTTGTACGGACTTTCCATTTGTTGATCTTAAAAGGTGCACATTCTTCCAGGTTTGGCCAAACTTGTATTATTTAGATCATTTATTTAACTTAATTCAAATGTGTTGCAGGAAATCCACATTATTGCCTACATTTAAGTTTGTATCTACTGTTCTTACGATCTATCTAAATATCATTTGATGGTGAATGTATTTATCAAGCCCATCTCATCTTTCTCTGTGGCTGGCTTGCTTTGTAGGGAGAGCCTGGACTGGACGGGGATCCTGGTATTCATGGAGAGGTAGGGCAAAAGGTGAGACTGCTACCAAACGTCAACTTGGACCACAATTTCTGGTGTTTGTAATCAGTGCCACCCAGATAGTGTCAGCAGCACATTTATTGGTTACCTGATCCTTCAGTAATAATTACTTAAGTTAAGTTAATGATAAAAAAAAACCTCTTGCACACAAATCTTTGCCAGAAACTGAGATTGAATTATTTGTTTGCAGTTTGTTGATACACATCTGGGTGATCGATATCCTGAACATCAAAAGTATAGGAGTAAACAAGTTGCGCACGCAGGACAAATATGCCTGGCTGTTGAGGATAACAGGTTCAATCCAATTCCGTTCATACTCATTAATATTGTTCAGTGGTATCGTTAAGGATTGGGTTGTCAACAGGTTTCACAATGCAAACTAATTGCTGTCTGTGGACTTTTGAAGATGTCAGCTGTACATTGCATTTGTTATTCATGCAGGGTGATACAGGACCTGATGGCTTTCCTGGCTACCCAGGCTTCCGTGGGGATAGAGGTCAGCCTGGAATAGATGGAATACCAGGAGAAATGGGAGAGGAGGTCAGTCAAATTGGGAGGGTACTGGTTGTGGCTAGTTTGTTAGCTCTGTTAACAGGTTTTGTTTGAAGGCACATAATTAACCAGAAACGTACCTATTGATTGAATGTGACAAACCTTGCCCAGAGTGAATAAAGAACTGGTACAAAACACCCTGTGAAGTTATTACGCCTGCAACTTTACCATTCAGAAGAAAACAATCATTGAAAGTGGTTTTAAAAAGTGTGACGGCACCCGACAGGCACACTTTTTGATGTGCATTAGCAATGGAATCCAGTCACGAAACCCAAGAAATTCTCAGTTTTCTCAAAATGTATAATATCCGCTCAAGAGATTAAATGTTAGTTAATATAAAAATTCATCTTATGAACTGATTAAACGTTATGCACGCTACTTTAAGAATTTGATTAATTTTGTTGCTTCAAACAAGAAAAATGCACAAAGTGCAAATGATCCTATGTACCTTTTATGTGTGACCCAGGATCAACACATACGCACACATGACACATGCCTATGATGTGCATTCTTTGCATGTATGTCACGTAAAATCAAATGGGGGAGGGGGAGGGGGAGGTTGGACAACATCTTCACAGGGGGGTGCTGTTCAAAACCAAAATCATGGTTAATTTCAGACAATAGGTGGAGCTTTTAGATTTCCATGGGACGTTAAAATTGATAGCCAGTTGTGAAAAACAGGGTTTTCTGGGGAAAAATTACAGAAAACGTGTACGAGAACTTCATGAACAACCTGTTAATAGTGGTAACCTATAGACCTGTTTTTTTTCCGGTTGTTAAATTTCCAGTAGGGGGGGAGGGAGGGGGGACAATTTTTCATGGGTGGGCATCCCCCCCCCCCCTTTTAGGTACCTCGCTGATTGTTGGCGCTAACATTTGTGAAAGCTTATGGGCGTGTAAATTAAACCAACCTTGACACAGAAAAGGGCCAAAAAAGCAAAAACAATCAATAATTTGATCAAATTTTGCACAAAACTGTTGCAGTCAGTTTACATCATACAACAAAATTACCTGGAGAGGTTTAATGCGCCCTAGTGTTATGCACTCTGAGCAAGCTTGGAATTGCCAGCACAAATTCTCTTTCAAATTGTGTGATAAAGGAAATTTTTCATTGTTGTGATGGAAATCTGTTACTATTTTTTTCATACAGGGAGAACCTGGGCCACTTGGTCCACCTGGAAACAATGGCACTGAAGTAAAGGTATGGGTATTTTATTCTTCCTTACATTTCCCTATATTCACAGTCAATAACTACTGGTTCACAATAAAAAGGGGAAATACACATGACCACAAGAAAAACAATGAGGAATATTTTGAAAAATGATGATAATAAATCTACAAAATTTTTAAAAGATATGAGATTTAGATAATTTGCCAGATTAAGACCTGGAATTGTTAAAGATAAATATCTTGAGAACCAAAAGTCTTTGAAAATAAACTTGCTTGCCTGTATTGTGACATAAGGTGATACTTAATACCCATCTATGGGGACAGATATTTATTGATAACGTGACCTCAGCAGGCTTGGATGTTGACTGGACAAGACACTTAGTCCAGTAAGATGGAACACCCACACCCTGCACGAACTTTTCAGCGGGTATCTTATTACACGTGCGTGTCGTACAGAATGGTGCGAACTTCTTAGAATGTTGCCATGGATCTACCAATCAGGATTGAGGATTCAAGTTTATCTGACAATAAAACATAATAATTGATTTCCTGGTGAATTCCTTATTAATTTCTATGTTCATTTGTTGATTTGTTAGGGCCCCCAGGGTCAACCAGGCCCAATAGGTGCCCCTGGACCCCCAGGTCACCCAGGTTATGATGGCTCACCAGGACCTAGGGGACCACCTGGTCTCCCAGGTGAGCCTGGATTTGATGGTTACTCTGGCAGAAATGGAACTAAAGGACGCACAGTAAGTGAAACTTTTTTCTTTTTCCAAACTGTATGAAAATGATGGATCACCTTTTGTTTAATAATTTGTATTTTTCCTAACAAGAGGATTTGCGAACATAATCCTCTGCTTGCACCTTTAATCACATTTGATTACCCAACCTATCATAGTCACTTAATCTCTTATGTCCGCCCACTCTACATTTCACTGGGACATAACCGGCAAAGACTCAGTCATGCTTACAACCCATACTAAGCCATACAAGTCACCAGAGAAGAAGTGTCACTGAATGGGATAGTGCCATCCCTTTTCCAAACTTCTATGTTATACTCCTTGCCCCACCCCGGGGTATTGTGGGTCGATGGCCATCAAAAACTGCCCGAGAATACCGTCTTGATTAACAAGCGAGGTATCTTCAGGTTGCTTCTCTCTCTGTTTCTCAGTACTTCGAGTACATCCACAGACTTGTAACAATCAGTCTGCCACACACGAGACACAATATCTCACGTTCCACCACATGTACACTTCAATTCGGAAAACCAACAACCATATTTCCGCATACGGAAAACATTATCTTGATTTGTTATAACAACAAAAAAACCGCTATGCTAGCAGAAGCATTAGCACTTGATAAATGGACATACAAATTATCCGCAGACGGATAAACTATACCCATTTTACACCAAACAACACAAAACAAGACAAAAACCCACAAACTTAACCCCAAAACAAAGGGTTCAAAACAGCATTGGCCTCCCCAAAAAATCATAAATCAATCTCAACATTGAATGGTACAAACAAAATAAACAACCCACATTTGGGAAAGAAAAAGTACCATCTCCACATAAATATGCACTCGTATTAACAAAATAAAGAAACAAAACAACGAAACACAACGTGTTTTTCCGATACCGCACACGGTAGGAAGATAGTTTCTTACTCAAACAACTACCAAATGAAAGAGATTAACAATGTCTTAAAGCCTACACAAGTTTCAACTATTTTCTGACCAAGAAAATAACCAAAATACGGCTTTTAAAACTAAAAACAAACACACTACTGGCCCGAAATCCCACTACGAATCCAAAACCCTCACAAGGTTTTCCGCGCCACTGCACCCACACGCCCATTGGACAATACAGTGACCAATCACAACACACATATGGTACCATTCACTACCGCCACGGCTCAATGCGCCATCTCACGCACGCAAACCGTGCATATAAACCCTGAGAGAAAACCAACGAACCATCACTTCTCAAAATGTCGAAACTAAGCAAATCCAAGAGCAGCAAGAAGAACAAGTCCAGCCAGCCGCCTCCATCACCTTCCAGCTCCATGTCATCGGGTATTCCTTGCGGACAACAGTCTCCTACCAGCATCTCAAGCGACGACGAATCACTACTCCTGTCCTGTGAATTAGACTCCGGCCCCTCCACATCAAGAATCACACCAACCACCGTCTCACACAAACTCTCCGAGGAAAGATTCAAACTGGTGAAACTCTTGTCAGAAAACGTCAACAAATTGACATCTGCCAAGAGTCACATCACCCGCCAAATACGGCTCCTTTCCCGGTCTATCGAGACTAGCACCCCACCACCTTACATCGAGGTAAACCTACGGCCACCACGTCCTCACAGATCTCTGAAATTTCAGAGTGCATTCCAGGATCGCTGGAGCAATCTCCAGAAGAGAACGTCGTTGCTCTTTACAAGAGTAACATTGGAGGAATACCAACACCAACTTCACTACACCGAGGCACAGCTGACCAACGCCCGACGTTCTGCACAAGAACAGCTTGCTGACTTCGAAGGACAAGACCACACCACCGCTCAACAGCTGCTAAGTTTCTTCACCAGGCCTCATCAACCAACCAGAGGCACGAAAAGAAAACGACAATATTAGTCGATCTCTGACTACAAAACCAAACGGTCCTTTTCAGGACCAACACAACCTCTCAAAAGAGAAATATCCATCAGCTTGCCTTTATTATTATTATTATTATAATAAATAAATTGGAATATAACCCACCCCATCTTACCTTATTCGTTATATTCAAACCACAAACTCCTCAACTACCATGGCAAGAACGAAACTCAACCATAAAACCAAGAGATCTCTAAGTCAACTGAAGTCCAACAATTTCTCTAACCAATGCAAATCGAAAAACCAACGAGCCAACTCCAATCATTTGCGTTCATTAGCAGAACAATGCCAATCGTTCATTACCAACCTATCCAAAGCAACACTATCGCAAACCGAAATAATTGCTTTAGGAAAAGGTTTAAACTTCGTACCCACTCCTGCTAAACCAAACCGCAAATCACTTGTAAGTGACATAAATACCTTCAACCGAAGACTAAGAATCGCTTTTCTAATGCGTAACAAACGCTCCAAAAACCATCCCTTCAAACCACCATCAAAATGGCAACCAAAATCATCCCCTAGTGCAACACTAGAAGAATATTTGGAAGCCACAAAATTCGAACTGGCCCACATCAGGCTAAGAAATTGGCAGAAAAACATGACCACGCAAGAACTATCCGCCATAAACAAACTCAAAAACAATCCTGACATCGTACTCAAACCATATGACAGAGGCAGAGGCATTTGCATTATGAACCGTTCAGACTATCTACAAGTGGGTTACCACCACCTTGAGTCCCATCACTATACCTAACTGGACCAAGACATTACCCCACAAACCATCACGATGGTTCACAACACACTAATAGAAATGAGAAACAACAACACATCGACAACGATAGTCTGAAATACCTCGACCCACTTCCACAAAAATGTCAATGTCCCACCAGGTATTTTCTCCCCAAAATACACAAAACCCCACCACCGGGAGAACCTTTTGTTGGACGACCAATCATAAGTGGATGCACAAGCCCTATGGCCAAAATCTCAGAATACATAGACTACTTCCTTCTTCCCATAGTAACCGCACAACCCACATATGTCCGCGACACAGCAGACATCTTGCGCAAACTGGAAGAAAGAAAATTTCCACAAGATGTTCTAATAACAAGCATAGATGTTGTTTCAATGTACACAAATGTCCGACAAACGGAAGCGATCGAATGCGTTTGCAATGCCCTCGACAATACAAACCTTAGCTATCCTATCACAAAACCACCCTCAACTTACATCCAAAAACTTCTGGAACTCATCCTTGGCCCCAACTGTTTCCAATTCAGAAATAAGTTCTTTCTCCAGAAAATTGGTTGTGCAATGGGTTCCACATCGAGCCCTGAAATTTGTGACATCACCCTACACGACTTCGAAAACAAAATAATCCAAAAAGCGGATAATATCCTCACATGGTGGCGCTATAGAGACGACATACTGGTCATCTACAACGGAACTCTGAACGAATTCCAAAATCTTGTTACGGAGATAAACAAGATGCACCCAACCCTGAAATTCACATATGAAGCCTCTGAATCATCAATCAATTACCTTGACTTAACCATATTCAAAGGAGACCGTTTCCGTAAAACAGGAATCCTAGACACCAAAGTCTACACAAAACCAACGGAAACCTTCCAATATCTCCACAAAACATCATCCCACCCACCTCATACTTTCAAAGCGTTCATATACGGAGAAACACTCCGTTACGCTAGAAACACCAACAACGCGGATGACTTCCACAAGAGAGTCAAAACATTCTCAGAGAAACTAACCACAAGAGGATACAATCCCACTGAAATCCAAGCAGTGACATCCAAAGTCTCACATGCCGATCGAACGAGACTGATACACAACACGAAGGATGGAGAAAAAACAAAACAAACTCCACTTGTCTTCACAACCACCTACAACCCAGCCATAAATCACGGTGACATACATCGAGCAATAAACAAACACTGGAACCTAATCCAAGGCAATCAAATACTTTCGGAACTTTTTCCGAAACCTCCATTCATTGCCTTCAGAAAAGCCCAAAACATTCGGGAGAAATTGATAAGAGCTAAACTGCCACAGTTAACCCAAGAGCTCAAACCACTCCTAACAGAACAACATACTGCTCTCCTTACTGGAAGAACAATTTGAAACCGACTAAAGTCACATGGCTCAAACCAAACTTACATGATTGGAATAAACCCAATCCCAACCACAACTATTCCGCGAGTCAGCCTCGATTCTTTTTGAATCACCTATTTGCAACTGAAGAGTGCCCAACAGCAAGGCACGAAAGCATGCTATTGCTAACAAGAGGATTTGCGAACATAATCCTCTGCTCGCACCTTTAATCACATTTGATTACCCAACCTATCATAGTCACTTAATCTCTTATGTCCGCCCACTCTACATTTCACTGGGACATAACCGGCAAAGACTCAGTCATGCTTACAACCCATACTAAGCCATACAAGTCACCAGAGAAGAAGTGTCACTGAATGGGATAGTGCCATCCCTTTTCCAAAAAAAAAATAAAAAATATTGCTAACAAGAGGATTTGCGAACATAATCCTCTGCTCGCACCTTTAATCACATTTGATTACCCAACCTATCATAGTCACTTAATCTCTTATGTCCGCTCACTCTACAATTCACTGGGACATAACCGGCAAAGACTCAGTCATGCTTACAACCCATACTAAGCCATACAAGTCACCAGAGAAGAAGTGTCACTGAATGGGATAGTGCCATCCCTTTTCCAAACTATATTAACAGCGATTTTTTTTGAAATTTACAACATATTTTCTTACCTTGATGCACACATTATACTTTTTGGGGAATTTCTGCACAAATAGGGAACAAAACCTTGCCTATCGTAGCAGTTTGCTGCTAAGGTTTTATCCATGTACTGGCTGTCATCTATCTATAATTCCAGGAATCAATTACCTCCAGAACCAGGCACTTTATGAAGTTTAAAATCGGCAGGTGTATTGCTCAGAACCCCAGAATGTGAAGTGTCAAGTTTGAAGTTTAAAAAAACCCCAGTATTTTCATAGGCCTAGACCATACAAACGTGTATATAGACCAGACACGACCAGACCAGACACTGCTGCACATTTTGAACGGGTACTGCACTCTCTGCCGCGCCACGGGTACGGGTAGTCAATGTAATAGACCCTGGTGAAACCGGAGTTGGTGCTCTGTGGAGAACGGGTGATACTCCGGGCTAACACACATGGAAATGGTGGTTGGGTATGGGCTCGACCATTTCTTGAAGGGGGAAGATCACGAAACGGTGAGGTGGTCTCGACCATATTTTTGAAGGGGATGATCGCGCAACAGTGAGGTGTAGATATGGCGCGTTGTTATACTGGCACTGCACTCTATACTGCCATACTGCATATACGGGCAATTTTCCCGTTCCAAACAGGCACATTTTGAACGAGCACTGCACTAGTGTATTTAATCAAGAAAGAAACTCAAACAGACAGTCAACAGGCTCGATGTTGCAGCAGCTCCAGTATCTTTGACTGCAGTTCAACTACTAGCTCATCACAGCCATATGGGAGGGTTTTGCAGAAACTGGGTCAAACCCACACAACACCTGCGCTGGTTTTGACCAACCAAAACCAGATCAGACCGCGAGAGAAGAAACAAATTCACACACAAAAATAAGTTGTATCTGCAACAATGATTCCTGGCTAAGCCAACAAATGTGAGGGTTGTTTGACATGGAGTAATTTTTCGATGACCTTTTTTTGTTGCAGGGAAGAGCAGGAACCCCAGGTTATCCTGGTGGTGCTGGTATGCCTGGAGGTGAGGTAAGAGAAATCTCAACAGATTGACCCTAATGCACCTACTGTGGAATTACTGACAAAAACATCAGCTTTGACAATTGTTAACAATCCCTAGCCAAGGGTTGGAACAGATACTGCCTCTTACCTTTCAGTTCTTGGCCGCAATGACACATCTTATTGATATTCTGTATGCTTGTGAACACATTCCTGGTTAGTACAACTGTATACATTTAACTGCAGTCATGCAAAGCTTTTGCAAATTTAATCACAAATGAATCACAGTGTGGCCTGTGATTGTGCATTTTTTGCTGTTCATTGTCATAGGAAACAAGTATGCCACAGTGCATAAAAAAGTGAGGTTTCACATCAACAGTAGGTCCATATTATTTGTTAAAAATGAAACAAGAAAGAGGGCGTGATTTTTCAACACTTGCATTGTCTTTCTCGAAGGAAAAATGACAGGGGAACAGAAAATAACATGTAAGGGACCAATATTTAATGTTAAAAAATGTAAAGAAAAAGGTGATAGCACAGTTAAGCAAAGTTTTTGTAACATGAATCAAAACTTACCTGTTAATTGTCAATGTCAGTGAGGTCTATGTTTAAATGGACTACAAACTTAATTGCATTTGTGTTCTTTTGTTGTTTAGGGGCAAAAAGGAGAACCAGGGAATCCAGGGCTGGCAGGTGCTCCTGGAACTTCAGTGAGTAGAATCGTATAGATTTCAAAAAGGTTAAGGTGACATCTTTGAAATTGAAAAGCATTGAACAGTTTAAACTGTCAGCATTTGCCTTAAAATGTCATTGAACCAATGAAAATTCCAATTAGCAATGCTCCTCATGTCAGCGCAGATTCTGTCAAGAATATAGGACTGTGCTTTTATGATAAGTGCAGAATCTGGCTGCCCAAAAATCATCACAAGCAAGTAACATGAAACCCACTGGATAGGCGATGGACAAACCCTAACCAATAGGCCACACTCCCTCACAGTATATTAGTGCCATGGAATTGGGCTTGATCAACAACAACTTCTACTGGTTGAATTCACAGGGAGAGAGAGGAAGTCAAGGTATCAAAGGTGAACCAGGAGAGCCAGGCCTGCCAGGTGACAATGCTCTAGATGGGTATGCTGGGGATGATGGACTCATAGGAATCGAGGGCCCAAAGGGGCTTCAAGGTGAACCTGGAATGCCGGTGAGTAGGCAGTCCAGGCATAGATGCAGGAAAGTAGGCAGGTTATACTCAGACGACTATGAAATAAACCAAGAAAAACTATCGTATGAATTTCTGCCACAGCTGTTTATATTTAATCAGAAGGTTTTGTGCTGGATACCAAGTTAACAGGCAAACCAGACACAATGAACAAAACCAGTGGGGCATACCGCACCCCCAGTATGGGTACTCAGACCCAACCCCTGACCCAACGTAATGAGTCCAGTCCACAGCTGTGACAAAGTGATGAGTCCCGGTGTATAAAACAAACTTTGTTTTACCGAAGACTCATGTTTGTGCAGTACCTTATTGGATTAGTTTCCCTATATGCATATTTTCATTTGCATGTCAATTTCATCACCTTATAATACGATGACCTAATTGCCGCGTGTTTGCCCTTTATTACTAAATCATGCCACCGACATGCATACGTGACCTGCACGCGTAAGTGACTTCGCGATGTCAATTAATACATACAGACGTGCTGTAAATAGTACATAGCTGTGTTGTTATTTTTACTGATCAATATTTGCAATGGCTAGTAATAAAGCACAGCGAATTACAACTGACGAAAACATTGCCGCTGCGTATAAGGTATTTTATCATATATTCATAAATACCTAAGACCGTTTACGCATTCCTATTGGTCGAGAGCCCGTCACGTGGCCGGTCTTAAACGGATGATAAAGACATTGCAAGCTGGTCTTAAACACTTTTCCAGTGTCACATGAAATTTGGACTCCCATGAAATCCGGTGCCTTTTACGTTTCATTGGTTGAACGTTCAAATTCCCCACGTATGCATGCGCAATACTACCAGTGAATCATTATTTCATAGTCCGATATTCACCCTACACCAGCCCAGCTGCGTTTTGCGCGACATCGCGCAGTACGCGCGACCATGGAGGTGGAATGTGCGACGCGCATGCAGTTGTGCAGGGGCATTCCATATGATAGTCAGAGGGGTGTTTCGTAAAACATGAAGTAAAATTGTTGAACAAAATGGTTGGCAACGTCTAGTTTTAGACTTGTTTTGATTTTTGGACTGTAAAGATTTGGTTTTTTGACCCAAAAGGTATTTATGAATGGGAATAAATATGTGTTCCGTCGGTATTAAACACTCTATTTAAAACCGGTGTGAGTCTGGATGGGTGATCAGACTCACACCGGTTTTAAACAGAGTGTTATAATACCTCCAAAACACACATTTATTCCTTTAATTATGATAAAAGTGATTATTCTAAAAAGGATGTGAATGTGGTAAATAAATGCTGGTTCAAACTTGACAAAAAAGTGATGTTGAACGTGAATGTGTTACATCATGACAAGTTTGCAAAGGTTGGACCCATTCCTGTTCCAGCAAGTTTTGCTGTAAATGTTTCATGACAAGGAATTCGCTTTGTATTCTCTTGTAGTATACACCTGCCTTTTAACTGACATTCATAAATACCTGAGACAGTTTACAGATTAAAAAAAATAATAATTCAAATTATTTAATTGAAAAATGCTTGCAAAGACAATCCCAAGTTTGTATCAAAAATGATTAATAGTGTACATAATTTTCAGCTTCAAGCACAATTTGTACTAGTACTCGTACCCGTATTCCGAAATACAAGTACTCGTAATCGGAATACAAGTACTCGTACTCGAAAGTACAAGAACTTGTACTCAGAGACCTGTACTTGTACTCGGAAGTACTCGTACTCGTACTCGGCAACCTAAGTACTCCAGTACTCAGTTCTCGGATAAAGTCCTCGACAAAAAGTCCTCAACTACAACACTGGTTTCAAAACCATTTTGTTATGTTTAAAAAAATTCTTTCTAGTCTTGCACGATTGTATTAAAATATTTCATTTATATTTATTTGTTGTATTACAACAGGGCCCAAACGGACCTGCTGGTGTTGCAGGTGACCCAGGAAAAAGGGGAATACCGGTGAGATTATATATGTCTGGTTTTGAAAATAAGACTACTTAAGATATATATATTCTGTGAATTGAAAATAATGTAATTCTACAAATGTAATATGCAAAGGGACTTTGGGGTTGTTTGCTTTATAGGTTTTTAAAAAGCATGTTACAATGGAAAAATGCAGGATTTGTTATCGTCTTTTCAAAAAGAAAATGTATATGCTCATATTTTTGTAAAATTAGATTTGTTGGTTTCATAGTATATTTTCAAAATCATAGAATCATATGGACAGATGGAAAAGATGTGATCATTTTTGTCTTTAAAAGGCTTTGAAACTTTACTTAGAAACTTTAGATTACCCGAAAACCAAAGAGTTATTTTATTCATGCAAACTAGTTTGTAATATATTGAAAGGGCTATTAAATATCTAGTACATAATTTCTGTCCTTATGCCTTGTGAGTTGCATCTTGTAGTTTATGTTACATCTTGTAATTTGTTGAATAATGTTGTTTATTCAGGGTGATAGGGGTCCAAAAGGCGATAAGGGAGAGCAAGGAAAGCGAGGACTTCGGGTGAGTTTTAGGTAAATTTTCCAAATAAAATAACTCTAAAATAACCTAAAACTAAATAAAACAAGACGTGATTCCAACGAAAGTTCCAAAGTTTTCTGGTTACCATTCAATCTTGGTAGTGCTCTTCAGTTCAGAAACTCACATGCGCCAACTCCCTTTCTGTTAATTACTATGCTTAAATTAACATGCATTTCACATTTAAAAATCATGACCTTTTACTGTATCTTTTACTTTTGGGGAATTAAAAAAAAGGGAAACATTTGGGGGCCCCCCTTCTTGTTTATGGGTTTGGGCAAAAGTAAAATATTCCTGATGTTTATTAAACACTTAATTTTTAACCATGCACATTTTCTTTAAATAGCTGTTAGTATCCACCCCTGTTCCTTTCCTTTAGAGACATTACAGCTATGCCAGTGACTTGGTTTTTTCTTTCAGGGTGAGGTTGGTAGGCCAGGAGCCAGTGGGGCGAGAGGTCCTAAGGGACCCAAAGGAGACTTTGGAGGCGGTGGCGGGCTAGGAATACTCGGCAGAGGTGGAAGGAGGGTAGGATGTCCGTTTTTCTGTGGTTGAATTAGAGAATGAGATTGATTATTGTAAAAATAGGACCACATTCAACATGATCCACAGGCACATTTTACGTGGGTTTTGTATGATTGTATCAAGACAACTATTTTCAACAGAGATGGCCAGTTTTTCGGCTATTGCCAAATTTCTGGCTTTTTCATGTTTTGAAAAAGTAAAAATCCGGCATTCCATCCCTTTGCAGGCCTGAAAAATAAAAAGACGTAAAAAAATTGCTGCATGTTGTCGTTCAGCCAATAGAAAAATCTGTTTCGAGTAGTTTGATCTTCGCTCATGAGCCATTAAGAAAATGGTTATGCGCACGATCAAACGTAAGTTTTCTGCATGGACATACAGGGTGAGTAAAAAAAGCGGAACCCAAACCCCCAAAATTATATTTCATATTTAAAAAATATGTAGCACCAAACATAATAATGACAGGAAAGCCCATTTCATAAGCTACTGTTAGATGAAAAAACTACTGAAATTGCTCAATTCGTTCAAAGAATATCACCATTTAAATGCAATGACCCTAAAACCTCTTTCGTCCAAAAATGCAATTTCAAGAATCGTCGTCACAATTGTCTTCAAACATCACCAGCGATAAAACCTCAGTTTAAAAGTTAAAAATATTCAACAAAGTCCTTTTGAAGGCCCGTCTTTTTAAAAAGTAGATTTTATTAGTCATATTGTTTGCCTAAGCAGGGTTGTTAATAAAGATATTGTGTACTACAGTTGTTGAAACAAGTATTCTGTGTCATTTTCTTTGTTGTTCCAAACAATCAGAATACACAGTCAACTTTCTTTTTTTTTCTTTTTTTTACGAAACAAGTTTTAGGGTCATTGCGTTTAAAATGGTGATATCCTTTGAACGGATTGAGCAATTTCAGTAATTTTTTTCATCTTAAAGTAGCTTCTGAAATTGGCTTTCCAGTCATTATGTTTGGTGCTACATATTTTTTTAAATATGAAATATATTTTGGGGGTTTCGGTTCGGGTTTTTTTTTACTCACCCTGTACCACATTCACATGACATGTGTACAGTGAATGAGAGTGCTGATATGCGAGTCCAGGGTCATTGCGTATGTTCAATGGCAAACGTCATGCTAGCAAATACAAAAACGTATGTATTGTACATTCTATATAGACATACACATGTTATTGTGATGTATATCTGGTGTATTGCAGTTGTTTCAAATTTTCAGGCCTTGGAGCGAAATCCCACTGGCATCCATGTAAAGTCGGACTCCCTATTATCGCGGCATCCCTATTATTGCGGCATGGGAAATTTCTCTTTTTACGGTGCCAAAACTCCTTCAAGTGGCATTTTTTTCCCAGTTCACCAGTCATTAAGGACTTTTTGCCAAGTTGTATAAAAAGGACGATTAAAAAATGTTGTGTTTTTCGGGACTTTTAGCGATTTTTAATAAATAATAACGTTTTCCAAAACTTGCAAATTTTCCCTCACCGTGTCTGCTAAAAGGTACCCTCTATATTTTAACTTAAATCTTTAATTGCCTGGTTCCCATTCTTCAGCTGCAAATGTAAAATGAAGTCGAAGGACTATATTTGCACCACGAAATCGTAAAAACTTTTATGGGATCAAAATAAGCACAGCGCGTTAGCGAAAATAAAACAGCACATCGTGTAAAGTGAATGGCGCCCCCAATCTCCAAACAGTAGACTTGCCTCAGTGAGTTGTGTTCTCCTTTCGGGGGAAGGGCAGGGTCTTAGAAATCATCCTGCAGATATAATAGTCTTTAATCAACTTGAACTTACAGGGAAAATATCAGACTTTATTCAGGTTTTTTGGGGGGCAAACATTAACTATGAATAAAAAAGTTGAGATCATTATAAAAACCACTTCACGCATACCGCGATAATAGGGAGTCCACCTCCATTCGCACACTCCGAGCATATCTATTTTCACAGGCATCGTACACGGAATAAACCACACCACCGTTGGAATTTTTTATAACAATTTGAAAAGGAAGAGTTATACTACACAAAGACAGGACAATTCGGGAAGGTTAGTGGGGAATCTCTATTCCGAACGAGAAATGTGATAAGTACCGCAATAATATGGCAACCCATCCTATAACAATTTGATACGTATAAAAAAAACCCTCTAGGTCGCAATGTTACTGTCCACTTCCAACATGATGTAAATCATGAGAAGCTTGAGAAATCAGTCGGTTGGCTGTTTTAACTTTTCTTTCAGTACTATTCTCTTTCAGTTCTGATCTGGGATGGATTATGCACGGGACACTCTTAGGCTTAAGGCTCGGGTCTCAGGAAAAATCAAGGGTCTGCAAAACGTTTGAGGGTCTATAATTAACAAAGGCACCATGTGCCACACTGCAGTGTTGGTTCCATATTCCTCTTTACAAGTCATATTTTTCTCTTCGATTTTGCAACTGTCATGACTGAGGTCACTTTTTTTCCACAATTTGACCCATACTAGGGGCGATATGGCGGTCGAGGTACCTATGGCCCAAGGGGTGAGCAAGGGGAGAAGGGAGAGCAAGGCCCCAAGGGAGAGGAGAGTCCCATGGGTGAGCGAGGCATCGCTGGAGCCCCCGGACCCCAGGGGGAAATAGGGATCCCTGGCGCGAGGGGTCCGGTGGGAAGGAAAGGAATACCGGGCCCCCAGGGACCCCAGTATGGTGGCCTGGGTGAAAAGGTGCGTTCATTTGGCTTCAGTTTTTCGTCACGTAGACCTTGTCTTCATGTAAAATTGTAGATTGAACATTAAATTAGCTGGTAATAATGAAGACGTGAAATCAAGTTTGTATTCGGCCGGTTTTTTTTTTCGCTCGCCGCACACCATGTCGCATACTGTCCCATGGTATGTGTAGCATGTGGTATGACACTTACATGCGAGGATGGTTTGTGCATCCTCGACCCAAATATGTGTGTACGTCAACTCCAATTACCGACTTGAATAACTGGTTTTTGGATATTACACAAACTTTGGCAAATGCTACCAGATTTGGATGGAGTTATTACAGCTGATTCAAAGATGAGCACAGCAAAACTACAGGCATAATTTACCAGTCAATCAATGGGTCAAGAGAATTTATGTTTGGGCCATGCTCTCAAAACTTGTACCATGAGTAGTTTTCAGCTAGTCAATTCTTCTGTTCGCTGTCTAAAGACCATTTCATACCTCACGCAAATGTGAAGCAAATTTGATGTCAGGAAATATTTGCTGCAAAATGTTCAACACTTGAATTGGCCTTTACACCAGAAAAATAATAATGGTTTCAAGTTGGTCTCGCTTCTTTTGCCTTTGTGAAGGGTAGGAAAGGTATAGAAGGTGTGGTAGGTGTACCTGGTCCCCAGGGTGCGCCGGGTGAAATGGGTCCCCCGGGTGTCAAGGGCAGTAAAGGGGATCCTGGTATTGATGGGGACATTGGACCACCAGGAGAGCCAGGGCCAGATGGACCGACGGGACCACTGGTAGGTGTCTCTGTGTCTCTGTTTATTTTTCTGACCAAAGAAATCATAAACTGTAGGTGAATTATCACCAGGGTAAACCAAAAAACTTGCTGTATTGCACCATGTTTAAGAACGGTTGATGGCATAGTGTGGAATACTACTGCTAGCATTTGCACTCAATCGTAGGGTTTCCAAAGTCATGGAAAAATCCTGGAAAATCCTAGAATTTTGTTATTTTACAAGGTGTCGTGGTAAATTGTTATTCCAAGAAAAAGTCATGAAAAAGTAATGGAAGCCCACACAACCATTACATGATGATGCGCAACCCATACATAATATTTGGCCATGGCAGTCTTCCAGTTTGCATTCCAATTTTTCTGTACTTCCTCTTCATGCATGTATGCTCAATACTTGTTGCATGTTCAAATGCACTGTTGCAATGATTCTGTGGTTCAACCTGGAAGGCTGAAGAAGAATGGTGTCCCTTGCCTCAGTGTCATGTCAGGCCAGTGTATTGTAAATAGGCTCCTAGGATGCCAAAACAGCATCTTAAGAGAAAAGAAGTTGTCATGGAAATCCTTAATAACTTTGTCCTTCCAAAGTCGTAGAAAAGACATAGAGTTTCATTTTGAGATTTCTGTGGGAACACTAATTGGCGGATTCAGGATTTTTCAAAGAGTCCAATTCCAGTGCTTTGTGTTGTTTACTTGAAGATGGTACTTGTACACAAGAGTCCATGTTGGCATTCTAAATACATTGAGTTGATTCACTGATCCCTGTAACTGCTCCTTGTTGTATACAGGGGTTGTCAGGTCGTAATGGCTCAGCAGGACTTGATGGACTACCTGGAGAAAAGGTCAGGAGTTGTTAAGAGTTATTAAACAAACATTCAAACTGTGTTTGATGTATGGTGTTGATGGCAATCCTACCCTGAACCGGGTAGACATCCCTGTACTAGATCACCTTCATGCCATAAGATACAAGTGCTGATCAGTGAAAAACATGAGTTCTGTAGTTTTAGGCTTGTGCACATTGATGTGCATGATAATGGCAGACACACCAGGCACATGGAAAGATACTTGCATTAGGGCCAATCACAATTTAAATGAAAGTTTGCTATGATGGTGGTTGCCACTTTCAGAAAATGTTATTAGCTCACAGCCATTTAATGCATTGGTTTATGGTTTGTGTCTTTAAACTGCTGTTATTTTTCTTTGATGTCCTATACCTGTATGCAATGCAGGGACCCAAAGGTGTAGACGGTGTATATGGTACAGCTGGTGCTGATGGAATTGTGGTAATTATTTTAATAAGATTAAATGACATGAACTTCTTCACCATGGGAGTTCCTTTATTGCCTAGAACAGAGTTACTGTGTATTGCATTGGACATTGCCTAAGCTACACTCAAGTCTTTTTTAAGACCCCAAATAACTTAATTCAAAGGTGTACAGCTGGAATCAAGCCTAAGTACGAAGGTTGTGCTGGCTTGGTACATGTAATGAGTAGGATTATGATTGTTGGGCTTAAAAGCTGAAAGCTGGTTCATACTCGGCCTGAATTTGTAGCATCATGGCAAATTTTTAAATTTTAGAAAGTTGACCACAGTTCAAATGGGGAGAATTTCCAGCGAATGTTTCGTGCCATGAAATTTGCTGCGCATTTGAATTCATTTGAAGTATGAACCTGCCTTGAGACAGGTATGCCAGAAATGCGCTAATATTTGACCAAAAGAAAGTTGACTCCAGCTGTGAATAAATGTAATACCTATGTTCTGTTTTTTGTGTTGGTTGTAGGGACTGAGGGGCATACCCGGTGAGAAGGGAGAGATGGGTGCACTAGGACCCCCAGCCCCACCGGGTTTCCCAGGCTACTTCGGAATCATGGGCCCTAAGGGAAGAGTGGTGGGTACAATATGATCAACTGTAGTCACATTTGTAGTCACAGTAGTTTCAAGTGCATTTCAACAGTTTCCAAAAGCTATACATATATATCGTCCGTGTACCTGTTTACGAGGCATCAAGTTTCTGAGGTTTGACCTTGTAGCGACGCACACACGCAGATTTGTACCACAACCAGTTGATTTGTTGTGTGAGGGGTACGTGTTCCGCCGCAAGCCCAATGAATTTGGGAACGGAAGGCTATGTCGGTGTTCTTCTCTTGCTTGAAACAAATCCTTACACTCTCGAAAACCGGTACATCAAGGATATATATGAAGTTGGATCAGCAAAGTAACATCGCTTCAGAATTGAAAAAACAATCTTAGGATTAGTCGGTATCTAACTGATTGACAATATTTCTTGCACAATAGATTGACAATAAGATGAATAATGCAAGCTTTGATTTGTTTTTCTTGGAGGCAGGGATTGCGAGGTCGGCAAAATCGCAGGGGTTTCAAGGGAGCCAAGGGAGATCGGGGCGTGAAGGGCCCTAAAGGAAGCAAGGGCAAGAAAGGATCTCGAGGCCCTGAAGTAGGTGGATTATGCACTGCTACCAGCTAGCTACTGTAAAATAACAAAACCCTTGAAACATCGCTAGTGAAAAACATAATATACAAAGTTGAGTGCTTGTATCCACCATACAGGAGATGGATGCTGCATAATTACCTGTGCTCATCAGTGCAACTGCCTTTAATCAATTTACGTGGCCAATGTTGCATAAGGTTAAATGATGACATATAGACTACATTCCCAGATTATAATTAGCTTTTGTGTGCATTTCTTTTTCTTTTGTGTTTCTGTTTCTCTTTACACTCACCATGATATTGAGTTGCGTAATGTAGTATTAAAGACACATAGGATCATTTGGGTTTATCCCAAAAGTAACGTAGTTATTATCGAAAAGTTTACTGGGATTAAAGATGGTACTGGTACCGCCCGGGGAAATTATTTCATCTGGCTTGCTGTCGTCTAGAAGAAATCAAGAACTGTAGGTGATTTTCAACGATCAGTCAATCGTTGGCAATGGAGTTATATAGATGAAATCATGTTCAGTGATCAACAGGTTGTGCCTGGTTTTTTCACTGTTTTCTCACAAAAATATAATATCCACTAAACTGAAACTTCAACAGGTTAGGTTTTGAACATTCCTCTTTGGATTTTCAGTGGTGTTTTTATTGGAAACGAACAAAATACATGAAATGTAAATGATCCTATTTGCCTTTCAAGCAAGTTGCTCATGTCATTTATGTAACATGTTTTATTTTTCTGATTCCCCTGGCAGGGTCGGGAGGGATACAAGGGAGCATTAGGGGAACCAGGCTACATCGATGATGGAGAGGATGGTATTGATGGAATCAAGGGCCCAGTTGGCATGAAAGGAGAAAAGGTAACAGTCATTTAATCAATCAGGAGGATGGGGCAGCTCTCCTTATAGCCCCACACCCCAGCCCCCTCCCAAAAAAAGGGGGAGGGGGAAGAGAAGAAGAAGCCCCAAACAAGTACTATAATTTGAAATGAGTGTCAATGAAAGTGATCAGAAGGGGTCGAAATTGCAGCTATTTACAGTGCATAGTGTACAGTGTCCCTTAGTGTCAAGTCCAATCAGCCTCGGCTACCCCCCTCCCCACCCTGTGCCACTGCTATTTATACCTGGAGTTAACAGATCAAGTCCCGTTACAGTAAAGTTCGACACAAATTTGACAATGTGACAAATCTGTCCAAAACCTGAATTTTAAGCAATTTGATATATTTTTACATTTCATGATGTTTTCTTTATAATCTATCAAATATCAAGACACAAGAACCGTTCATTAATGATGCTAATTGAACACAGAGTAACAAATATGTGGCGATTTCGTCACTTGGTCTCATTGATTTTACATGTGGGCTAACCTTTTACAGTTACGCTAGCCTTTGTGATTTGCAGTTTGATAAGGTGAGTAGTCTGCATTCTAAAATGTAAAACACATGCTAAGTATGTGTGACGAATGTGTGCATGCTCTAATCTTCCATTTTGATGAAGTGACAAATATATTTAGTAATTACTACCTCCTTAATTAAACATGTTTTTATGAAAACGGAGACAAGGTATGGATGTTTAACTATTGGGCTATCGCATCAGTTGTAAATTTCAATTTTGGGGAAAAAAACCTTGCGAAAAGACAATTTTTAAATTGACAAATTTGAAAACTTTGCTGCTTTGTTGGTACATTTCTCACTTTGTCAAAATGATGTCCATTTCTGTGCCCGTTCTGATCTTTTAAAACATGATGGAAACATCGTATCCTATTTCAATTCATTCTAGTAGTTTTATCAGGTTTTGATTTGGTATTTGTGACAGGGTGATCGTGGACTTCAGGGACCACGAGGACCATTAGGCAGAGCAGGCTACTCAGTGACTGGTGCCAGTGGGCCATATGGACCCCCAGGGGAAAGAGGGCCTAAGGTAAGTAATGAGTTTATACTCAAATGAGGGTCAGGTCCCCAAGACATACATATCAGGGCTGAGCCTCATTATGAGGTAATAAAGTGTAAAGGAAAAGTGGCCAAGTATAAACTGCTATTTACAATCAGAAACATGACAGCAATTTTTTATGACTGTGTGTAACAACTGAAATGTTCATTGTTATTAATTTACTGTACTGTGTACTGTACTGTCTACCTTTCTGACAATGGCGGACACTCATGTCAATAAAATGAAGTGGGTACACCAGACTCAAAACCCAGTGGGTACATCAGGCCACAAACTTTGGGTATATCAAACCCCAAATACACGGAAGCTATCAGATTCACTTGAGATCCATGAAAGTATAAATTCTACAGAAGTTATTGGAGACAGGTGTGTTCCTACTAATGGAAAACTTGAGTTCCTGATTTGTCACAGGTTTTCTCCTTTCTTATTTGCATATTAGTGCAAACACGATTTGCATAAATGGTTAAAGGTCATAACACAAATTTGAAACTTTATTGCACGTCAAAGACTAACCCCAGGTGTTTTTTTTTAGAACAAATTGTTCTAATATTTCCATAAGCATGAGTCAGGCATTTTATCGTTTTTGTTCTCTGTGCTAAAGGGTCCCAAGGGAGAGCTAGGAGCTCCAGGTATACCTGCCCAGCCTGGAGAAGAGTTGGTCCAAGGACCTCTGGTAAGTCAAGGTAGCATTAACGCCTCCAACTCTAATTCTGTCCTTTGATTGGCTGAGACCAGGTCACAGGGTTTTATATATGAGTTTACTGGTTCAAGCATTTTGTGGGGGGAATTTGCTGAAATGAAAGTTTATTCCGTCTCTTACTTTCAAGTTTATATTGAAGCAGAATTGTATTGGTCGGATGTGGATTTATGTCCGAGAATGTGCAGAATTTATGGAGGAGGTGTTTTAAATATTGGACTCTTTCCCTTGTTTACCTTGGAAAAATGGATGAGTTGGCGGCCCCTGAATTTGTCAATGTCTTTGTTTAGTCAGAAGACACTGAAAAATGTAGAGACCAGTAACAAAGGGCTGGATAGCTCAGTTGGTAACACACTGGCCTGGGATCAAGTCCTTTTGAAAGTAAGTTGCTTGAAGTAAGACCACATTATTGTTCCTGAATTATTCTCAAACAAATATCCATTCAAGATGATCTTGCATAAAGTGACAGGCCAAAGTGCTTTTTTTTTTAAATGACGGAACTTTTAAACAATTTTGTTTTGTTGGTACAAACAGGGACCTCCAGGACCCCGTGGTCCTCCAGGGCCTCCTGGTAAACCTGGCAAGATAAAGGTAAGCTACATGCTAATATGAGATAGATCTGTGAGCAACATTGGAAAGTGTTTTGTCTCTTAATAATACATACTGATCCATCCCTGCAATTTAATCGAGCACATTATTTAAGTGGGTCTGCTGAGAACCACACAATAGAAACACAAAGTTTGTGCTATTTGCAGAACGTCCATCTATGGATACATATATTTCACTAAAGAAACATCTGATCTCATATAAATCTATCATATTTTGTTATGCATACTTTGTTTGTGGTATCTAAGGATTAAGATTTCAACAAATAACTTGGGAAAAAAATCTCAGATTCTTATGTATATTTAGCAGTGCCATATTGACCAAAAATTATTTTTCATATTGACCAGCAAGTATTGGAAATGTGTGAACAGTGATTAATAAACAGTCCTCATCCATTGTTTTGATGTTAAGTGTCTTTGTCAATAATTCATAAATACTAGCATATCCAAAACTGCCTCCAGTCTTGTGCAAAATCAGTTAACCACAGAGTAACACGAAAAAGCTATTCTATCCCAAGACAACTTTTTGGGAGCACTTAAATCTTTGGTGAAATTTTGCATGCCCACATGCTGAAAAAAGGTTTTCTGCCACCAACATGAACATGTCAACAAATTGTGCAAGATATAAACTTTCCCCAAAAAAGGCCCACCAAAGTGTGATGTTGTTCCATATTAGCTAAAAAGCTACTCAACCCTACCCCTCTGGGTTTGGTCAAATCATATCAGAATTAGAGGATGCAAGACTGTTAGGGTTAACGCATTCATCATCATCATTGCCATTGAATGGCTTTATACTGATACACAAGTATCAACAAATGGGCAATTACTTTTGTTGTAAATTGATTGTCAATGCTTTCTCCTTCATTTATCGCTGACGTTATTTTTTTTAGGGTGAGAAAGGTGATATGGGTCCCAAAGGTGAAGCACCACAGGGCCCTAAGGGCCAGAAGGGCCAGAAAGGCCCACCAAATGACCCGCCGGTTAGAGGCCCTAAGGGACCAAAGGTAGGTGCATTACCTTTCCATGTTATGACTGTCTCCTCCCCCTTTTTAACTTCTTGCCCCGCCCCCTCTTTTATTACAGTGAGTGTCTCTCATGTATGTATTAAGAGTTGTAGGAAATAATTGCAATGGAATTTTCATTTATAAGTCTGGAATTTTCTCACTGGGTGGACAAATCTAAAAAAAAATCTGCATTGGATAATACCTTTACCCAAACAGATCATGGAAACTCGCTTAATGAGAAGGTAGGCATTGAAAATGGGTATGGAAGTTACCACTCAACATGGATGTTTAATAAAAAAAAATTACTTGTCATAACTTTCAAATTTAGTACTATCTACTAACAATTTTATATATTTTTTTAAATGTAAATCATGTTCAATTCAGCCATTGGCTGGACTTATGATGTTTTTGTAATAAACCACTTTGAAATGAAATGAAGAAAATGAAAATTGTAGGTTTTATCCAATAATTGGAAAATTTCCAAATTATCATAACATATAAAATGAAAAAATATTTCTAACTTATCATAACTAATATAAAATTTAAAAAGCCTACTTTATTTCACCTGCATTGCCCAGTAATCAAAAACCTTTTTTTATGAATAAGAGCAAAAGAATGAAATGTAGAACAGTTTGATATATTCATTGCATTCAGTAGCTATCTTTGAGATATGCCTTGTTATGTTCATTCATTAATAATGAATACACAAGATGTGCACTCATGCACATCCCTTACAAACAAATCACGTACCTCAAAGATGGCTGTAGTGCAAATGATCCACTGTAATAAGAGAGACTTGTAGTATTCAGAGTACGGTTAACATTTGTTTTACAGAAGGCTAGAATGACCGTTTGCATTCCCTGTGTTTTTTTTCTTCCAGAAACAATAGTTCTCAAAATCTGGCAAATCTAGGGTTTTTAACCTTGTCCCAGTTTGGATATTAACCAGTGTGTTGTTAGGCCCCCCAAAAAAGTCTCCGGTTTCTGGTATGCGCGCGCGTCGCCGTAGCCCTGCGCGTCGGCAAAATGAAAAAGTTTTTTTTTCAATAAAAGATGATGTCTCAAAACCGCCAAACTCACTGGTTTGACTGGAATTCTGCTGCAGCACAGTTTAAACATGTTTTTAGATGGGGGTATGATCGAGAATAAGCTTTATGTGGACTCTCTGGACTCCCGTACATTTTGCACTAAGTTTAGTCGGGCACCATTTGCAGTCATCAGCCGACATTTGAAGCAAAAAAGTCGGGTAAAAAAAAAAAAAAGCCGCGTCGCCACACCACTTTTTGGGCAAGCTCCATACCAGAAACCGGAGACTTTTTTTTTGGCCTTACGTTCACCTTTCTCTCTTTGCAGGGTAATCCAACACCAGGACATCCTGGTAACCCAGGCCCACCAGGATCCCCAGGACCCGGCCCTGGTTCAATAGTAAGTATAGGATCATGTCCCTCTACCAAACATCCACATCCACTATCACCTCATACATATTTATGAGCCAAATGCACTTCTTTCATTGGTTTGTAGTCCAGTGTGTCAGTGATGTTAATGTAGCTATCCTAGACACATGATGTTTTACATCTGTCTGGTGCAAAATTTGATCATTACTAGGCCAAATACAAGGGAAAGTAGATTTTTTTTCTGTTGTCATCACATCATAAGTTTCCCTTGCCTGTAGTGATGGTCCATAGTTCTTGACAGATTAAGTTTTGAAGGAAGTATAGCTAGAATTTGTATTGTTTCTTTTTCTTAACAGGGACCGCAGGGTCACAAAGGTGTGCAGGGCCCCAAGGGTATAAGGGTGAGTCTCATATTAATCCACTCAATTATGAGTTCGCAATGGTGTGTACACTTTCTGGGAACATACTTGGCTTAAGAAATTGACAAGAATTTCTGGGCATTTAAAATCACCACCATACTACACAATTCAGTGGGCGTGTATGTGTGATCTGATACACTGTGCCCTCTGGAGACATGCACACAATAGGAAACAAAAGATTGTATACGTCTCCACAGGGCACAAAATAGATATATGGATTTTACAACAACAAAAAAACTTAGGAATTTCCAAGGTATGTTGATCTGTCGCAAATGGTAGAGTTTTAGAAAAGGGGTAGTAAGTCCGAATTTCAGCCAAATAAATTAATTCTGGTTAAAATAAGAGCATTTTGAAACTGTACTTTCAAACTCGAAAACTTTACACGAAAACAAAGAAATGTCCCCACGAGTATGAGTTGCTCTCGAGTTGATTGCTCGCAACACGCCTGTGAAGCAGGTGACTTCTACCAAGATGTGAAAACTACAACCCTCGAAATTGTAGAGCAGAGGTCTTCCATGCCACCTCGCCTTCATGTATATCAGATATTAATATTAAATTTGCTCAAGTTATACACTGCAACATATTTAAAAATATTTTCTCTCCTAGCAAATTTCAGTTTGTGTGTTTTATTTATACGGGAAAAATACTTCCTTTTTCTATTTTGGCCCTTTTTAACCCTCTGTAAATGTACTTTTGCACCCAAAGTATACAAAAAGATATGCCTGACATATCGTCGGCCGCAGATAATTCAAAATTTGTATAGTAATTATTCCATAACTATTAAAACGTGAGAGGTTTTTTGTTCGAAGTCATTCAAATGTAAATAACAATTGTATTGCTAGACAAATATCAATTTAAAAACAAAATCTATTTTTCGGGTTGAGACTTGAAAATAGCATGGATAGAGCAACTTTAGTGATAGGTGTTAATTGAAATTAATGAGATACAGGTGTTGTGTTTCAGGGTCCCCCTGGACCCCCAGGTCCCCCTGGCCCACCTGCAGGCACGGCTCCTCTACCCACCACAATACCAAGGATCACACCTTCAACACTTACACCCACGGTAGGTTGGGAATAGTCCTGAATCATAAAGTGGTATAGCTTTGTCCACATGTGTGTTTTCCTGTGGGAGCCAAGTGGGGATGAGAGCCACCAAGCTCCCATAAGAAAGCACACATGTTAACCAAGTGTAACCCTCCAGCACAAAAAAAGTCACTTGGACTAAATTATGAAAACTGGGATTTAGGGCTCATTGGAAAGGACATTAAATAAGGCATCTGATGATGTATAGAATATGGGAATTGGACAAAATATGACGGAGTTACAGGTATTTTCAGTTCCAAATTTTCATCAATATTCAATGTTGTATAGACTATAGGCTGTATCTTAAAATATGGCCATGCAGCTTCCGACTGGTTTTGTGCTTGAGCGTCACATAAACTTTGGCCTTGTTGTGTAGTAATGACTGGCAGTGTGAGCATTTTGTGGAATGGACTTCAGTTAAAGACTGCAAATTTCAGCATGAATGTTATGTGAGTAAATTTGTTTTGCATTTATATTCATGGCAAGCATGAACTAATGTGATAGTATGCATTTTGTGCTGCTTGTGGCAAACTTTTAATATTTATAGACTCCAGACACAATTACCCCGAACGGTGAAAAAGATACTTGTGTACTATTGTGGCCATTCACCCATGCCCAGTTGCACTCCTTTGCAAATATGATGGGAGTAAGAAACACGATGAAGGCTTGTGCATACCCTTTGAGCACCGTATGCATGCAAACCAGTACGCACATGCACTGTGTCCCTAATACCATACTTGCTGTTCTCAACATACAGTGCATGCAATTTGCTGTTCCTACAAAATGGTCTTAGCGAATTTTGAAACATTTTGTAAGTTAATTGTAGGAATGTGTAGAATTACAAGGAAAACACAGGGAAGGATCTTCTGAATGAATATTACTTGCTCTGGTTACTTGCTCTTTTTTAACAGCCTTCTGTGCCAGACATTAGGAAGAGAACAGGCACCGAGTCCGACCCAGCTGTCAATTGTAAAGACTTAAAATCAGATTTTCCAGATTATCCTGATGGTAAGTACTCTTATTGCTGTTAGTAAGTTTAACTTATGAACATATAATGTTTGAAATTTTCCACACAAGTTAAAATTTTGAATCAGTAGAAAGTATAGGCAGCACACGTCCACTCAACTCTTGAAATATTAAAAGAAGCATATACAAACAATGCATGTTAAAATGCATAAAATCAAATTTGGTTGACAACTGTGAGTTTCTATGGTCTTGATTGAGAGGGAACCAGTGGAATGTACGTCAATACCATGAAATACCCGCTGACTATTCAATATCAAAAATGATGTTGTATAGTTATCCGGGTACTTTTCCGAAAGTATGCAATACGCTGATATATTGTACTTCTTTGAAGCCTGCTATGAATACTATTTTGCAGTATTCAAGCCAAATGATGTATACTTTATAGACTAATTGTTGGTTCAAGTCCCACCCGAGCAACCCTGAGAAATTTTCTGGAAAGCTCTTGGGCAAATTATGCATTGCAGGTAAAAATCTGTCGGTGAAAGAGAAAGCCAAAATGAGATTTACATCTTCCCGTTGTAATAACTCCATTTCACAAGTCTTGTTTCAACTGGGTTTGGACCAACAGGACAGTACTGGCTGGATCCCAATGAGGGTTCAGCAGGGGACAAGTTCCAGGCATACTGTGACCTGACTGGAGGTGGTAGGACCTGTGTCAGCCCCATCACTCAAACTGTGAGTAGCAACAACATGGCAGAGGGTTTTGTTTTGTAAGATCCACCACAATGCTGTAATTTGTATGACATTCATCTTTGGAAATACAAAGTCTTCCTTCTCATTGTTTTGATGGATCCTTTGAATTTAATAATTTTGAAGGTAGAGTATATCATTTGCAGCTATCCAAGAAAGTAACTAACGAAATAATTGTTGAAAAGCATACTTGGTTTAAAGATAGTAATGACACTAAAGTCCCTGTGAAATTATTCTTTCTCGTGTACTGTCATTATAAAAAAAAGAATAAAAGAAGGTCATTTCGTGAGATGCATCTAAAGACGAATTTTGGATATTTCCGTTGGTAGTTTGTTTTTAATTCGGCGAAGTCATGAATGGGTGCGCGCAAGCATTGACACAACGTGCACACGTGCGCGGTTGCTTTAATTCGTCAGTTCAGTGCGTGACATTGTGTAGCTGCAATCGGCCAAATGAGAAAGTGTCCCGAATGCTGATTTCGGGCGCAATTCCAAACATGACTCAGCAACTTGTGAATGGAAATCAAGATCCTAGAATATTGTTTTCTCGGAATATACAGCATTCACTGAGTTAAAACTTTGTCAGGTTAGTTGTTAAGCACTCGTCTTTAGATTTTGAGTACTTTTGTTGTTTTAAACAAAAACAAATTCACAAATGACAAATGATATACTCTACCTTTAAACTGGCCACTCTTGTTCTTGGACTTTTACCAATTTGAAATTGACTTCAAACAAAATTCAGTACCTTTGGTTTGTAATGTTAAGATACACTTGTTTTCTAGATTGTTTAAAAGCATCACCACTGTAACTGTAGAACTTGACCAATTTCCTCTTTACTCTATGGAGAGGTAATATTTAGGGCAAATAGATTTAGTTCTGTTGCCCGAACTTCAAAATCTAAATATGGCAATTCACAAGTGAACAAAGGTAGGGATGCTGCGTAGCACTGTGTAGAGCATGGAAATATTAATAGTAAATGTGGAACAGTGCTCACCAGATAGTAGTTGTACCCAAGCTTTCGGACATCCGTCCTTCAGGGGAAGTTGTTCTTGCATTACCAGGTGAGAACGTCCCCAGATCGAATATGAGAAGCTCTTGTTCTTTGCGTTGTGCGTCAGTTGTTGTCGTAGTTACGAAGCACACTTGCATGTTATCACAAGTATACGGATAGTGGCTGCCGAGTTCTCACACTATGCAGATGTTCGGTGAATCGGTCGGCGAGGCGTCGCTTTGTTTCTCCAATGTAGTTTTTGTTACATTGTTTGCAAGTAACGCAATATACCAAGTTTGTCGTGGTGCAGGTGTACTTGCTATGGATGTAAATGAATATGGATTTCCTTAACTTCAAAATACTCGGAGACTGTGTTTCCCTCTGTTTTCTTGTGTTCGTTTTTCTGCATCAGCTTGAAACAAAAGCATGGGACATTAGTGAAGCAGGCTGGTTCAGCACTTGGCCGGAAGGATTCACGATAACCTATCAAGCAAGCACAGTCCAACTGAGATTTTTACATTTAAGAAGTAAAAAGGCCACTCAAGAGTAAGTATGATTACTTTGTATGCTATATGCTAAAGTTATCCTTAACAACTTATTCAAGAAATGCAGGAATTTAACTTGTCTTGAAGTCTCAAGTACGAATAGATACCAAAGTACAGAAAACAAATGTATTGCAAAAGAGTTACCAAACTACACCAACTGATTTCTGCTGAGCCCTTTATTTAGCTAAGCAATATTTTCTGAGTAGATCCCTCCATAAAATTGGGTCCAAAACACTTCTCCTGTCAGCAATGCTTGACCAAAAACGACTACAGATAGACTTTAATGTGACTGCAGCTAAACTTTAAACTACACAATTCACAATCAAATCTGTGAGAAAAGTGCAAATTTTAAGTGGATTCACAAGCTGGAGGGCCACAATTTGGTCAAAGTCATACCGAGTATCATTTTCCCTATCCTACTTTTGTTGGTTCCTCTGTTTATTTTTGTTGCCAACAGAATAACCTACACATGTCAACGTGGTGTGGCGTACTTTCACCAGAAGGGGAACCATTATGACAAAGCTGCCCAATTCAAAGCTTACAATGATGAAACAATCACGCATGAGAGTCCAACGCTGCAAGTATCACAAGATGACTGTCAGGTAGGCAAGCTACTCAAGACAGCCCCCCCTTTCCTTTTCAGTAGATGACATGGACTTTTAAGAGAGTGGGTAATTTGTTACATTTCGAATCAATAACATATAGTTGGCACGAGATCAGCAGGCAGCAACGTCAGAAGTCACTTTCCTAGCCCTGACACTTTTTCCGATTTTCAATTCCCTTGTTTCATCACTGATCCAGTACAAATATTAAATCCTTTATAGACTAATCCGGCAACAACATGTAGAAGTCACTGCTGTGGTGGCACCACTCTCACACATATATTTTCCCTACCAAAATGCCTGCTGTTTCTCTAACTCAAACTCGATCCCACGACCTGCTTACGAGAGCAGATGTCTTTACCACTCAACCATCAAGCTTCTCAGGTCAGCTGGCTGTAAGCTTGTGATTTTTTTTCTCGCAAGCCCTCGGACAACACCGAGTATATACAGTGTTTCTTTAAAAAAAAAAATTGTTTTAAATATGTCAGTGAAGGGAAACCAATATTGAACACTTCCAACCTACGCACAGGTGTTGTGCTACCTAAATTATAGCTTCTAATTATAGTAGATTAGTAGATGCATTAGTCTGTTTTTTGGGTTGTTTTTTTTTCCAACCAGTCGGCACCCAAGAAGCAAAAGACCACTGTCATGGAGTTGTCAACCAAGGTTGTTGAGCAGCTGCCCATCACCGATATCAACCCCCAGGGTTACAATAAGAACAAAGGCCAAGCCTTTGGCCTAGAGATTGGCGCTGTGTGTTTCCTATGAGGTGACAGCCTTTACAACAAAGAGGTCAGAGAAATTTGGATTTGAGTTGGCACAAAAATGTCTCGAGGTATGTCATACATAAGCACATCATTAGATATCAGTCTTTTGATGCACAAAAGCAGATTCAATCCATCGTGTAGCTGATAACACTGTCTATCTGTTGATCAACGTAAAGAAGGCGGCACCATTACGCAATTTAAGTCTGATGGGCCAAAATAAACACCAGAAATTTGATTGTAGTGAAACCCACATTTTTTGTAATTATAGAGGCCTCAGATCTCTGGACATTAAAAGATGCATGGTTCAAGATCCCTCTCATAGTGTTTCGATGTCTGATAATTTTTTAGGGGGTTAAACCATAGAGCTATATTAAATTACTAGAGCGCTTACTCCCCATTCTTGCGCGCGGAGATGCTTTGAAGCCGTCCTGGGAGCAGACATTTTGAATTCATGTGCGTGTTTGTAGAACATAATGAAATGAGATGGATTGAATTTTGAAAGTGTACTCTACATGCAACGCGCAAGTAGAACATACGAAAACTTCTTAAGCGTGTCATGACAGTTAAAAAAACCCGTCACGGCGAAAAGCATCTGCAGCGAATACGCGCACGCATTGCGCTGTTTGCGTAGAGCAAAATGACACGCACATTTGATGATCGTGCGCATCGGTTTCGGGCGTATCAGCTTCAATGACACACCGGTATGGAATACAAATGCAGATATGCAAATAGCCGTACAAAAGCTGTACAAATTTTCTAGTTCTCCATAGGTTTGTGTACAAACATGGATGCGCCCAGCAGGCATTACTTTGTACACGTGAGTTAGCACTCTAGTAATTTAATATAGCTCTATGGGTTAAACCAACTTACATGCACTTTTCAGTTCTTAGCTTGTTATGGTGGAATTTGGTTCTCTGGCCTGAAATGTGGTAAAGAGCAACCTAGTAAATATAGGGTACCCTAAGGAAGATTAAGCATTTAATGAATGCTGTAGTGTAAGTACGGTTGTGAAGCTAATCTAAAATATGGTTTTCATTCAACCTACCTCCTAATACACTGCCCAAGTCCGACATCTCCTCCCCAGGGCAAGCTCACTTCCTTGACAGCGGTTCATGCACGTTCCTTAACGACTCATTCCACTCACATTTAACACACATGATCACAGACAGCAATTTTACATCCTATTTTTATAGAACATTTTCACAACTTGGGTTTACAACTGCCATAGTGAAACGTTGTGTTTATCTGGAACGCTGCAGTGCATGTGAAACAGTAACTATAGTTGCACCAAGTGAGTGATGTCATGACTTCGGCAGCATATCCCATATAAAAAATGTGAGGCTACATAAAGAAATACCTCTCTGTGGCACTTGATATCACATGCTTCATTCATAAAGTACTTATATCCATATCCATCAGAGGCATGTCAATCCATGACTCGGTTGATAGTATGGCAACAAGTTTTTAAGTAAATATTTATGAAATATGGAATTTTGTAAGAAAATATTTGTTTCATAGCAGTTGACGTTAGTGTTTTCAGTATCAATGCCTTAAAGCTTTGTATATGCACTGCTTGCTGGTAATTGGCTGGTCTAGTTCCAGTAGTTGTAAGTGATAGAAATCATGAATGAGATATGCAAATAGATGGGCGGAGCTTGTATTTTTTCGTGCATCTTTAAAGCAGAACTATGAATGTAAGAAGTTCCCTAATTATGGGCATCACTTGACACAACTACACAAAGATGTACTTGAGAGCATTTCAAATGAACATTCCATTTTTTAATGTCTTACTGCCATTTCTTGCCTACTTTGGTTTACATTTATTCAAAGCTTTTATAACAAAATGTATACAGCCATTCTGATTAATAATGCAACAAATATAAATATATATATAAATCTGAAACATATTTTTACAATAAATGTATAACAGTGGTAGGTATCATATAACGGTGGCTAATTTTGGTTCCCACAAAAGCTGCAATTTCATTATCTAATCTTTTTCAATATGCAAGCTATATACTAAAGAACTTCTGTTGTATAACTTTCAATTTTTCTTAATTGAAATTTATGTCTGATTTTTTTAAAAAGTTGGTTAGCATACATAACTCACAATGTACGCGTGCATAAAGGGCAGATATATGAACACTGGAATTATATTTTGGCTAGCTCAATTTGATTTTCAAATGTGTTTAAAAAAAACTACAGTTGACAGTCAGCCATGTTCTTCAGTCATAAAACCTTTATTTCACTTTTGGACTAATTTACGAGCCAATTTTCTCAGCTTTAAATGACCTCAGTTTCTTCTATTCTTTTTAATTGTCCTCTTGAGTTGGAATTATCTTTACCGCTAATCAAGTTGGTGTAATTTTCTGTGCATTTTATACTTTGACCGCAAGGTTATCTCTTAGGAAATAGTATGCAGAAAGCTGGTATATTTTGTTTAGATATTTGTTGATATCCAACTTTGCTGAAACACTTGCATGCCTATCTTTTGCGCTTGTTGTTGACAGTATTGCTTTTTAGAAAAAAAGAATATGCTCTTGATTTTTTTAATATTAAAATAACTGCCACATTGGGTTGTATTTGAATTGTTGATTACTTTATTTGAAATTATTAAAGTGACACTGTTGGTATTTGAGCCAATGATCACTGAATCAGAGCAACAAGCAACAGACATTCTACGATGTTCTTCATTGCATGGTGAGTATTGACTACCATTTTTTTGGTATCATTCCCATTCTTCAGAAAATTTTGATCAAAACAGGATGTGTGTCGTCAATCATATGACTTTACTAGATAATGTCTTGAACTAGTAATGAGCTAGATGATGATGATGATGATGATGAGTAATGAAACATTTATTGTTAATATTTTCAACCATTTAGAGTGATAAACAAAATGGTCTTAAACAAAAATAAGAAAAAAAATTTTGCTACATTCAAAATTTATGATTTTGTTTTTGTCATACTAAGTAGTTTTTCTATTTTGTTAAGTGCACATAAGTCTTAATTTAAAACCATCAGCTGGGTTTGTTGTCATTGGCTGTGTATTATGCCACTACCAAAATAGTCTTGATCCAAGGCTGGATTTGCATTTCAGTCCCCGTAATAGAGCTGGTTCCCGACAAGCAGTGTAAAACCACCGCGGCGGCAGAGGTCACTATCAACAAGATGAATCAAATTCAGTCTTGGGAATTTTGGCAGTGTCACCCGGGAAATTACAAGCAAGGATTATGCACGTGCATTAGCCTGAATACAGTGTGTAGTTTCTGGTTAGCACTGCCAAAGTTCTCTAGACCCGATTTGATTCAGGGAGCGGCTGCATTAGGGGAATAAAAACCAAATGCAGTCTTGGACCAAGACTACCACCAATAATGACCAGAGCAATAAATCAAGAGTGAGAGGGAAATTTGTCAAGTGATTGTTTAGAATTAATATATTGAGGGCATATCAGGTGAAGGATTTCTCCATATGTTATTAACATGCAGTTGAGTTGGCCCAGCTTCATCAGTTATTGACTTCTCACTACCATGTGTTGTACACAGGGTTCCCACAGTCCTGAAACAATCCTGGAACATCCTGGAATGTTATAGCTATCATGGAAAGTCATGGAATTTTGTTGTTTTTACAAGATTTCATGGAAAGTGTATATTCCAAGAAACAAATTTATGGAAAAAGTCATGGAACCCTGCACAACCCATACGTGATGATGTTGAATTTTCCTATAGCAGTCTTCCAGTTTGCAATCCAGTTTACTGCACTTCTTCTTTATGCATGTATGCTCTAATACTTGTTGCATGTTCAATGTACAATTGTCATGCTTTCTTGGTGCTCAGTGGTCTTGTGACAAACTGGAAAGTGCAAAAGGCTCCTAAGATGCAAAACAGCATAGGAATTAGTCATGGATAGCCCTAATTTTGTCATGGAAAAGTCATGGAAAAGTCATGGAAAAGTCATGGAAAAGTCATGGAATTCCCATTTTAAGATTTCTGTGGGAACCCTATGTTCAGTTTCTCGTTGCCTCGCAAGCAATATCACAGATTTTTCATATACATTTCATGTGGCACAGCAAAATTCAGTAATATCAACATGCAATTTTGTTGGGTTACTTCACACACTGATATGGTCTGCCTTTCCTCTGCTCCCCACCCTAGGGGGCACATATTGGCATCCCCTGTGTCACACTATCAGCTAGCTGTTCCCCTGTCAGTGTGTCCACACACCAGCAGAGTTCACTCTCTATGTAGCACTGCACTGGCTGGTACCGTCCATGCTCATCACAGACTGGTATGTAGATGTGACCGGAGCCTTCATCAATGTCCAGAGTGGATTCCGCTTCTACACGGCGGGCCAGACAATCGAAGGTCAGCTTGGGATCTGCAGATGGTGAGAAAAACATTGATTTTATTTATTTGAATTGGGAGGATTTTGTTAAACTTTCCAAATACACCGTCCTCCAGTGCTTCAAAATGGTGGTGTTTGGCAGCTTGTAACTTTGGTATGTTAACTCTCCACTTGTAAAAAGCTGATAATCTCGGTTCAAAATGACACAGTGACTCGCTTGAGACAAAGAGCTGACACATTGGATGGAGCATCATAATTAATTTTCTTATTCCGTCTTAGTAAGACAATTGATACTGTACTCGGAGACATTATACGGCAGTAGATTGAAAAAAATGCTGGCATTTTACAAATTCTCATTTTATATGTCAAATTTCAAAGGAATTAAGTTACTTGGATATGAAGAGTTTAACTTTTAAGAATAAAAACAATACAGCAGCTGTCTCTAAACTTCATTTTTTGCTTTTAGTAATCTTAAATTGTGTTTAACTATATAACAGCCGTTGAAACTGACTATTGGCAGCCAGGAGAGAGCTTTTAAAGGTAACAAAATGGTGTTTATTGCATTTTGGAAATAACCTTGTCATGAATGGCACAAGAACTTGCACAAGTAATTATAATAAGTAGTATTTGGTTAAAAATACATTTAAGGTTATATTTTCAAAGATAAAGGCAGTATATAGGCTTGTAAATTATGACTTTGAAGTTTCACTACACATCATACAAGTTTATTTGCCAAATACAATTCTTTCATTGGTCAAAGTTTCAGTGCACGTCGGGGAAGTAAAAGCAATTATTCTGCACTTGCTACGCTCATATTGTTGTTCACCTGGCCAAAAGTACAGAGGAAGTCCTGGCCAAAAGTACAGAGCAAGTACCCCAAAATTAGCTCCTAGACTTTCATTCATGCAACAGTAGCAATTGCAAATAAGTTGCTGGTAATGCCATAATAAAAACTTAATGATGAAGGACTTATTACAATATACATTTTATGGGAGGGGTTTTCTACAGACTTTTGTTGGCTTTTTTATATTGATGCTAAATAATTATGTATGAAGTATAATGAAAGTTATACAATATGTTTTTGGGATGTTGAGCACAACTACTGACAAAATCCAGCTGACACCTAGGGACTTCAATTTTTTTCTCAATTTCCCCCAAACCATGTTGAATTTTTACAAGTTCAATGAATGTAGATACATACCCATTTGACTAGGAGTTGGGATCTGACTGCAGTCAGGCTTTGTGCCATCAGAGACCCGCGAGCCTTTCAGCTCATGACCGCTAGTCTGGTCCACACACCAACAGTCCTCTCCATGGCATTGAATCTGTAGTGGCAGTAATACAGCATGTGATGTGATGGCAGTGTTTATGTCGGTGAAGGGCAAAACTAAGTTGTAACTAATCTTAATCTCCTTAAGATAATCAATTATGTAGTCAAAGACTTAACGATCTCAGAGCACTGCACCAAATGAACATATTTAGTTCATTTCCTCTTGTTAAACAACGTCAATATATTCTGGGACTGTGATAAGTTACTATTAATGCGTTTATTTTAACACAATAACAAAGATACAAATGTAGTCACAGAACTGAACTATGTGTTAAAAAGATGCAAAATCAATTAAGACAATCAACTTGTCGGTATATTTTCATTTAAAAGCCCCTAGAGATTTTGGATTCAAAATCGAGAGGGCGATAAAAGAAATAATGATTTTTTTTTAATCAACTGCTTCAAATCATGGGAAGAACATTCAAGTCACATTGTGCTCTTTGTCAACATTTCAGTGGTCGCATTGTGATATCTATTGTTTGAATCATGTCTCCGGATTTCCCCTTTCTTTTCGTTTCCATTATTATCCAACATTCAAATTATTGCATTACACAATGTTTTTGCAGAGTAAATAAGCTAATTATGTGTAATATTGCTGCTTTAATCAGTCCATAATATCAATTTTGCTCCACTCACCGGAGTAAAGCTACCATCCTGTGCACAATCCAAAATTGGCAGGCCTAGTTTGGTGGCACTCTTAGCTTGATGCAGACACGATACAAGCTTGGTCTGTTGTGCTGCCTCACGCAGCATGTGATCTTCTGATGTCGTGGTTGGGCTGGATTCTGTATGCATGTAAGGAGAAAAAGAAAGATCTAAAATATTTTGAGTCAACATTTTTGTATTCCTGTAAGCATATTTCAACAGAACAAATGAACAATACTTGTGTGTCTTATGTGGAAAAACAATATTTGTGTGTCTTATGTGGAGAACAATGTTGTATATGCGCTGCCGAGATCACACGTTGCCTGGGGTAATATGTCCAAACACACGTGGCCTTAAGTAGCGAACAATAGGCACGGTGCCCGATTTTCATCAATATTTCATCTGTCACTCCTGCATTCTTCATGTTCTGAGCGATGATTACAGTCAACTACAAAGCACTGGACCATTTTTTAGTCTTATTCTCAATTTCCGAGAAATTCCAACATGAAAATGTTTATGCGGAGATGACCCCGCGTGACGTCACACTTCTATGGCGTATTAGGCCTGAACATCATGGAACTGTCCAGTGGGTTTAGCTTTAAGTTCAAAGCAATGTGATTTCAAATTTCAAAAGCCAATTAGGTAACACACCTCCCCCCCCCCCCCCCCCCCACGCCCCGAAAAAAAAATTACAGTGCGAAATTTCATTTGGAGTGATTTTTACATTGCCACTTCCTATGATGTATCCTACTTGGGGAAGTATTCTGTCAATGACTTGTTATCATTAAATGTCCTCTGACCAAAAACATTGGGTAGCTGCCAAGATTGGCCCAGAAATCTCAGCTTGCAGATTCATAACCTGCTTCTTTGTTCATATTGTGAAGTTCTTAAAATATTTCTTGACCCAACTATACACAGACAGTATAAGCTAATTTGATTGCTAGCATCTAAAATTGTTGTAGTCCAGGCTTTTCCTCTTGTGAATCATTAGAATACATTCTACTGCTCGAGATTCTGTCAAGTTGTTGGTTTTGTGAAGTGTTTCAAAAAGGTCGCATGACCCCTTGACCTGGACCACATGCATTGCAGTATGCACCATGCGAATTGTCTACAACTGAGCAATATGAAATGCTTGTACAGTAATAACTAGTCCTTGAGTTCACCACATGCACCATCGAAATTGCCAAAACCTGGATAACAATTAAATGTAAAATGGCAGAATTGTTTAGCAACTCTTCATCGAGCCTTTGGCTTAGGCCGTTATCAGCGGCCAGGCCCATAGCTGGTTATAAACCCCAAGTTTATAACTGCTCCATCATACTATTTCCCCTTATTTAACTAAACAAATTATGCTTTTAAATCTCTCTTCAAATTATTCCTTGAAATCTTTCTTACCCTGTTGTTCCTGTGGTTCCTCTGCACACTGGCAAATGTCACAGTTGTTTTCATCTTTTTTGAAGCCGTACTCACAGTATATCTTGCAGATGATCTTTTCATCACACCCAACTGTCACCCAAAAAAAGAAAAAAGAAAAAACAATGTGTTTAAAAATAACGATTATAAAAAACAACAAGTGTTCCTTGTTTTTATTCGTTTCAAATTTCTTGTTCTTTTCTCATAATGAATCAACTTTTAACAGCTATACTTCAGAAAAGACAACAGATACAGCCATTCACGCTGAACAAGTTCAGTTCACAGAGACTGATTCCTGTGCTGCTGAATGTTTGTGCTTATGGTATCTCAACAATGGTGATGTGTGTTAAAAAAAAATTGGAAAAGTAAAAAAGATAGTCATGGGTGTCTACAGATTCCCAAGTGAGAGAACTTACAACATTTACCCCCCCCCCCACCACCATCCTGAAGTGATTGGCTACCATCTATGCTGCAATTACATAGTTACTTCAATGCCTAATGTTATTAGATGTGTTAGTAGAGGCAAAAGGAGTGAAGTCCTACCTTTCTTGACTTTGAGTGGTTCATGAGCAGTGAGAGCTAGAGGCATGGGTGGTAGTCTGACCACTTCAGAGACTGGCCTCATCTCAATGTCTTGACCTGCAACCGGTGGCCTCATACCTGAACAAACAAGGCATTATGTTTCTTGTGAGGAACAAATGCCTTACAAACGCATCACAAACACACCTATTAACCTTTCTCTCTAAGGGCTGCAGATGTGAGCAAGTTTGATCAAGACCTTTATCGACCACGTGCCAGTGATGAGTCTCATAGCTAACCGAGGCCAGCCTATACCAATGTTGGTCCCAGTGAGCCACAAGCAAGAGATTTCATTGTGACATTTGACCATAGTTTGACCATAGCTTTATATACTGTTGAGGTTTGATTTGCTGAACTGAACTCACGTGGACATCCTCGGTAATTTGGTCCTCTGGCTGGCCTGTTGTTGAGCAGGCAGCACCCATACTTTGCTGTGGCTGGATCGCATCCTGTGGTCACAGCAGCCCTGCCCTTAATAGCTGGAAAACAAGAGATAATGTCTAGATGGAATGAAAATCCACTTTGCTTTACTTATTATTCTGTATATGGTTTCAGGTTGCCAATGGTTACTGCAACAAGCAGAAAGATGAACAGTTACTTACAATGTAGTGGGTCTCTAGAATCATACTAAATATGTTCTGGAGCCTTCATTTCCCTGTTCCCACATAGTTTGGTTAAGTCTTTCAGATGATCCTGCCTTTTCTTGGCATTATCTACTGAAAAAAATTTAAAATATGAAAATTTGTGAGAGATCTTACCAGCATGTGTTTCATTTCTTTCGCCTAGTTCTGTAGTGTAGCATACCTCTGCAAGTTGGAAGAGAAATAGGCTAGCGAAGTATGACACTTGTTGTGGTCATTTAAAAACCTTATTAGTTAACCATGGTTGCTGCTTCAAAATGCATAACTGCAAGACCAAATGTTCCAAGGATATTAGACAGCAGGAAAGACAGTGTCTGTTGGAGCAGTGATGAGTAGTGTATGTGGTCAACATTACCAAAGTACACTTATCACCTTAAGGCTTGATACTTGCTACTATTTCTCATTGTACAATTTGGGGAAAGTAGTGTTAAAGTACTGTTCCTGAAGCACTGACTGATTTTGACCACCAATTTCAGCCAACGGTATTTTGCGTACAACACCCCCAAAGTAATCCTTCATTATTCTATTTTCAAATACACCATAAAAGGGAAACTGATAAGTGCATTACACTCATTTTCAAAAGTTGACCAAAGACATTGACTGGAGTGGCATTTGAACCTGTGACCTCCGGATTGCGTTCTGGTGCTCTACCAACTGAGCTACCGGCAAACATGGGGCTGGATAGCTTAGTTGGTAGAGCACCGGAACGGCAATCCGGAAGTCACAGGTTTAAACCCTGCTCCAGTCAATTTCTTTATTGAATTTTTAAAAGTTAATTTTGTAATCCCTCTTCGTACACATTTTACAGTTTTTGCCCTAAACAGTAGTCAGTGTTTTAGGTTTGCACTCTGAACTCCCCCGAGAGAATATCATATTCCTGGAACTCCATGTGTAGCAGACAAGAGTAGAGAGAAGGTTTAAGTTTAGTACCGGTACTTCTTGGACAGGTTGACCCTGAGTAGGTTTTTGCATTGTTCAACACCTACCTTGATTGTCTGTGACCAGTACCGGGTCAAGGCACACCCCTCTGATAGCCTGGTCCACCTTCCTCTCTACCCTGTGGGGTAGGGACGGTGTGCGACTCAGTACCCACAGTGCCTCTCTCTGTTTGTCACAGGTGCTGTCCTCATACGTGCGGTGGCAGGAGTATGTCACAGCATAACTTGTGTAGTCAGTCGACAGAATCCAGTATTCCACTGCAACCCAAAAAAAAACAAGCCTAGCTCTCAATGCTGGAAATGCCTCTCCCACCCATGTTTTGTAAAAGGAAAAACGTCAACCACAAACATGCACAATTTAAAATCAATTTTCATGGGACGGATTCATTTTGCTGAAAGTAGTGAAACTGGAATAAATTCACAGCCGGCAAAAAAAAAAACACTTCGATAAAAGGCGCAAAAAAGCCAGTATTAAATCTGTCAATTGATCAACAGACACCATTGGCTGTTGGTGAAGATTTGATCTCAACTGCACTGATTTGCTCAATTCAGTTGTTTTGTTAAATTACATGAAAATCACTTTCCCTGTGTACATTAAAAAAAGGGATGTAAAATGAAATCGTCTTTAACACTGCTACAAACCTAAGATAGAGTACAGTCATATGACTCATCTAGTGGGTGGCTGGGGGAGGCTTGAGAGAAGGAAATCTGTGGGGGTAGGTGAGGGGCAAGAGGGAGGGGAATAAGTCATGGTCATCGGAGGCCCTGGGTCCAACAAATGTGGGAGCTAGCCCCCACATTCCGGGTGCTGCCTAAACCACTCACAATTCTGGGAAATCCTGGCTGCCTAAATTCAAATTTATGTCAGTGATGTGAATGTCACATATTTTGTACTGGTCGATAAACATGTGCATTATAAGACTGCCACAACTATTTTCCTTAAAAATCAGAGAAGCTATTTGTTACGACTACTCATAAGTTACTTTTTTGAATAAAGTTGTTAGCTGGCTTGCACTCACAAGGCACATTGAAATACACATGGTATCACAAACACGTACATGTACTGCAGCTCTTGTTCCCTAAATGTGGGGACTACACACGTGTTGTGTCATGGTAATATGAGGACCGGAGATGCTATGGGGACAGCAGAAAGTCCCCTTAACTCCATCCCAATTTCATTTACAATAAACACTTCCCCATAACCCTAACGCTGTGGCGGCCCGCCCCTAGCATTATCCCTGAACTAGACTATACACAAGGCCAGATTGGCTTATTTAGTAAAACAACAGTCACAGCTGTTGATATGTATGAAGACATGTCAGTGACTTAAATTGACTCAAGCAAGATGTGATTTGATTCAAGCACATTCATTGTGACTCAATTTGATGTGACTCACTGCCTTAGACTGCCAAAATTCAGTGACTCATTACAATACTGTTATGTGAACCCAGGGTAGCAGGGGTAGAGCCCCCAATAAGTTAAAGCCTCAATCAGCAAATGAACCCCCAGAATTGGCAAAATCATCGTTTTATTGGTAAACTTATGTCAGCAAATATGCCATAACAAAGAGTGCCACCTATTGTCTGATAGTGTCCAAGATAGTCAGTTTTCAATATAGTGCCTCCAACAGTCATGTAGTGTCCAGCCCCCACCCCCGCCTCTTTTTGGCATTTGTGAAAGCCAGCTGACTGGAAACAATTCCTGGTTTCCTTCCAGTGTGAAGGGGCTGTCGGCAAACTTGTCACACCACGTCATTCAAGTCTCACTACACCCCCGTGTGAATCTTAATGGCGCATGATGGTATTACACATGATGCACTCACCAGCTCCACTGACTCCGTATTTCTGTGGGATAGGGAAGCTAACGATGATCTTAGCTGGGTGCTCCGGGCCCAGCCAGCCAGACCCTGGCATATTCATGTTAGCACAACGCCCATCCCTATAGCACCATGAAACAAAAACAGAATTGGTTTAGTGATGTGCCACATAGATTGCAGAATGCAAATGTAGGGATCCAGAAACATGTAGTTGTGTCACAAACATTCAAGATCTTTTGCTGATTGTAGTCATTAGATTGTATCTTCGAGGCACTGAAGCTTGTTTATATCTTTTAGAGTAAAATCTTCTAGAGTGAAGAGAAATTTGAAATCCAGATAATGAACTTTTGAACTCACAACTTAATGTCTTTCATCAGTAGTGACATGTGAGCATCCTGGCCAGCTGGGCCACGGCTGAAGAGCAAGGAGCGCATGTCTGGCAGCTTGAGGGTGCTGTTGCGCATTCTGGTGTGGGCAACCTCATACCACTCACCCAGAAACTGAAGACAGGACAGACAGAAAGAGTTCCAAAACATTAAAACAACATTAAGTTCATTCAGAAATTCTACTCATAATAAGGAAAGCTTATCATTATATTTAGAAGTGTATTACACATGTGTTCATATTTTTAGCTGTGTCGTTGGAGGATTTTATGTTATAGGTTCTAAATGTTTTTGTGTGTGTAAAGACGTACCTTTTCTATTATGAAATCCTTCTGCAGCTGAAAGTTAGCTATTGCACATGGGTTTAGTGTGCTGGCACCTATGGACCAATCAAAGCAATATTAATCCCCACTCAACTCATAAGCAACAAATTGATCATAGATAATTCATTCAGACACACTTCATAGTTTGCAACCTCTAACACGTTTTTATAATGGCCCGTACCCAAGGGCGGATCCAGGGGGGGCCAAAGGGGGCCATGCCCCCCCCCAAAAAAAACGAAACCAATTTTTTTTTTTTTTATATGACACCGCAATAAAGGCAGGCAATGAGTACACCACCATCTTTTCCTCAAAAAAACATTGGTTAAAGTGGTCAGAAATTGCCTCAGATCGCACCACAGAACATCTAGAATCCACAAAATTTTCGGGGCCCTCAAGCGGGCCCCGAACCCCACGCCGAAATTTTTTGGACCCACTTTTTTGGGCGACCAAAAAAATTTTTGGCCCCCCCCCCCCAAAAAAAATGGGTTCTGGATCCGCCCTTGCCCGTACCCTAGATGATAGTTTAGAAAGCATAAAATTCTGAAAATTGTGAGACATTATTAGGGCAGTTGATTGAAGAATTTGGTAAGTGTCCATGATCCGAGCTCTTTTTAAGAACTGTTTAAATTTGACAATGAAGAGTGAGATTTCTTTGAGGTATAAATGACATTAAGCCCTGTAAGGACCAAGTTGTACACTGATATTTTATTTTTGTTGTCTATATATATATATATATTTGGGGGGGGGGCTGAAAGCATTTGCAGTGGTGACAGAAGTTAAAGCAAACTACAGAAACTACTTTAAATAAGGAAACTATGTTCAGGTTGCTGGCAAAATCACAATTTGCATACCCTCAAATTCTATTAGAGCATTTTGTGGCCCATGAACTTGAGGGTTTGTTAAAAAAAAATGGAAGTCTGAACAGGACTGTGAGCTTGTATTTCTGTGAAATTTGCATGAAATTGGGCCCTAAAATTACTCTATTTTGCAATGGAGTGCAGGCATCATTTTTCAGAATGGCAATGGGCTTCAGGACTACTTTTAGGGGATGACCAAGTCATCAGATTACCCCCAAAAAAGTTAACAGCATGAAAGATGACTAAATAAGCTTTAATTTGATGTGTGTCTCAATCACCTTGGAGAGTTGTGAGTATTTTTCCTGATATTTGGAAATCCGGGTTTATTTATCACGGGGATCTATGGCAGTTTATTTACTGGTCTGCAACCTCGAAGAGCTCCACAACATTTCTTTTTGTCCAGGCTTATTAAAATAATAAGCTGAGGGTCTTGTAGCTCAATAAATCCAATTAGTGCTCCTAGTTTTAAAAAAAATATACGGAAGTGTTACTGTGAAGCCCAGGATCTGTCCTCAAGCCGCAGGGCCTATCTGAACCCCTGACTCCGCACAGAATTTCTCCAGGGACATCAAAAACTAGAGATGATCTGACTTGATGAATCATCTTACACTTCCTGTGTAAGTGGGAGTCTTGGTCATCAAAATGTGTAGTATTCAAAGGTGAGGTTTTGGATGCATCATCATTCGAGATTAAAGTACAATGCCTGATGCACTAAATGTAGAAAATATTGACTTGCAGTGTGATATTTACAGACTTGTGTTTGGTTGATTTTGCGTATCAGTGCAGAAGCATGCAGCCATCTTTACTTGCATGTAATGTCGCTTGTTGTGCCTTTTACGGGTACTTACCAAGAAAGGGTTGCTTAAAAGTCCTGAAGTAATCGTAATTGTTTCACTATAATATTTGTTATTCTAATTGCTGTTCACTGTAAGTGGTGCCTCAGATATGCGGAGTGAGTTTGCTTTCAATGTTAAGAAGTATCTCTTGTATTTTGTTTTTGGAGGAAGTCTTAAAACAAAAGTTATTGAAAATAAATGTGTTAGAGTTAGTATCTGAACAAGGGTACCAAAAAAGAACAGTGCTTGTTGGGACTAGAGATGATAAGGTTGGTATTCATACAGAAAAAAAAAAGAAAACTTGGATAAAATTGGACCCAAAACTGGTGTTAGATTGCAAACTAGGATAGAGGGATCATTCTTTGAAAATACAGATGAGCTTCTCAACTTTTTTTAGGGATGGTTATCTGCGGAGAGAAATGTTACTAAAAGGTCTTCATCCGCTTCGTTCACAAGTACCCCCTCACCGGCAAAGAGAGTACAGTCGGCGCACGGAGACCATATCCCCTCCCCAGCAGGTTTAACAGAAAACGAAAGATGGTAAATTTATCTTGATTTTATTTTGAAATGAGCACCTTGAATGGTTGCGATCACATTTCTTGATTTTTGGAAGTGGGGGTATTTATTCTTTACTGCAAGCCTACTCCTTGCCCGCGGGGCCGGGGTTAACTCACCCCGCCTGCAATCTGTGTTGCCATCAGCCTGACATCCTGTGGAGGCGGCAGGGAGGTGGTTGGGGGCTTGAGTCAGCTCTACCTCACAATCTACAAAACAATCACATCATAACCAGGGGTTTCTTGAAGTGTGTACACGTTACTTCCTCTCTTCCTCAAAAAATGACGGAGATGATTGAATGTCTTTCAGGCGATATTGTTCTCAATTTGAATCTGTCAATCAATTTAATACTCTTGAGATTCCATATGACTGGACACAAATCAATAGGGATTGAAGCAACATGATGGCAGCTTTTAGTTTTTCATGCCCTAGGCAGATTTTTTCATTAGTTTCTGCGAGTGCATTATCATGAGCCAAAGTACGATTTGTGTGCAGAATGCTGTGGCAATTAATACACTGTACCATAATTTCGTCAGTAATTACTTACAATTCATATTTATTTTGACTTTGGCCTGTTTTATGATGGTGGACAAATTTTAATACCTAATGTTTTAGGTGGAAAACAATATTCATCACATTTTTTTATACATTTATCTTAAAGTTGCATACCTCTTGCCCTTCAAAATGTTTTTTCTTCTCCAAACGAATTTTTTATTTGCTTGTTTTGTTCTAACGACAAAAAAAACTTTATTCCGATTTTGGAGCAAAGGCTTTCATTTGCGCCCAAATGAACTCGCCCTGCGAGAGCCGAATTGTCTAGCAGCCAATAGATCAAAATTTGTGAAGAAATAATTCAATAACTAAACGTCGGTTGATTTTTTTTCATTCGATGTCTCGTTCAAAAGGGAATAATTTATAGATGGCCATCAAGGAAAAATAGCATTTGGAAAAACCTGTAATTTTTCGGGGGGAAAGTCGAAAATAACATTGGGAATCATCTTTAATAATGTCGATTTGTTTTTTATTTGAAGTGGCCAATCGACCCCAGAAAGCCCGGTGGTTTGGTAAAGCTGTAACACGTCTGCAACAGTAAGCAGACGGTTTGGGGTTTCAGTCCCACCCAAGAAAACTTTGGATTTTTTTTCTCACAGGCTATGAGACAGCACTGCATACAGTGCATTTGAAAGTATTGTCAGTGAAGGCACAGTTCTATCAAATATTTAACAGTTTCAGATATTCATTATCTGTTTTCTTTTACCCCGTGGTACATCATGCAGTCGATGTGGTCGTATGCACACCGATGACAGCAACTCCGGCACCCTGGTCCGTATTTCCTCAGGTACACCAGCCAGGGACCTTCCCATCAGCCAAGCGTGCTCGCCCCGCTTTGTGCACGAGCCGTCAGAGCGCTGCTCCCCGCAGCTGTACACCAAAGCATAGCTGGTGTAGTCCGTACTCACAACCCAGTAATCCTCTGGCGAGAACACAGAAAAAAAACATTCGAATTTGATAATTCCTCTGTAGAGTGTTGGCATTGACCCAATGATGGTCAGGGCCTTGTGAAAAAAATACTCATTTCTAAACAACGGAACGTATTCGTCAATGTTGTAGTGTTGCACGGGGAAGTATTTCGCTCTTAAATATCAAACAATAATAAATCTTGTATAATTAAGTCACTGGTTTGCTTTTATTTTTCCAAATCAACACTTTATTGCACTCTTGACTGTTTATGTTGACTATTTATTTGTTTAAAATAAATTTACCATCCGAGAAAAATGACGACTTCCATATATACCAAAACTTCTTCAGTTCAGGGAGATAACTTGATCATCCTCCTCTCCGGTCTCCGCAAAAAAGGACACTTTTAAAATTTGTAAAAAACTTCACCCCAGAATTTCCCTTAAATAAAACAATCTGCCTACGGAAAACTGTAATGGATATTTTTTTATGATAATGACATATTTCATAATGTAATATGACATCTAATATAATCTGACCTGGTGGGTAGTTGGGCATGGGTGGATACAGTAACATCTTGGCCGGGTTGTTGGAGTCTTCATCGGCCGTGACCCGGGCTTCAAATTGCCACGAGTTACAGTCGCCAGGCCTGCATGGGCACAAGGAAAATCATGAGTCTTGTGCAGTAGATCTTGGTACATATTCTATTAAGTTGATATATTTGAAATGTTCCTATCTTTATCTGCCTATGACGGCAGACCATTTCTCCTATACGTTGTTTGAGTTGGTGTCGGCACAGTGGCGGCACTGTGCCGACACAATGGTTGGAGCATCCATGATAAACCACTTTCAAAAGATTTGCGCTGCAAAAAAAGGGTTACTGTGTGAAGTATGTAATGCGTCTGTCTGTCGACTGTTTCTCTTTTGAGTAGGTGTCGGCACAGTGGTGGCACGGCATCGGCACTGTGCCGACACAATGATTGGAGCGTCCATAATGAGCCACTTTCAAAAGATTTGCGCTGCAAAAACAGGTTACTGGGTAAAAAAATGTGATGCGTCTTTCTGTCGACTGTTTCTCTTTTGAGTTGGTGTCGGCGCAGTGACGGCATCGGCACTGTGCCGACACGATTGTTGGAGCGTCTATAATGAGCCACTTTCATAAGATTTGCAGTGCAAAAACAGGTTACTGTGTAAAACAAAATATGATGCGTCTTACTGTCGACTGTTTCTCTTTTGAGTTGGTGTCGGCACAATGGCGGCACGGCATCGCCACTGTGCAGACACAATGGTTGGAGCATCCATAATGAGCCACTTTCAAAATATTTGCGCTGCAAAAACAGGTTACTGGGTAAAAAATGTGATGCGTCTGTCTGTCGACTGTTTCTCTTTTTGAGTCGGTGTCGGCACAATGGCGGCACGGCATCGGCACTGTGCCGACACAATGGTTTGAGCGTCCACAATGAGGTACTTTCAAAAGATTTGCGCTGCAAAAACAGGTTACTGGGTAAAAAATGTTCACTACCCCATGATATATCGGTAACCTTTTTCCAAACGTACCTGACCACTCTGTTGGTTTTCATTGAGACCGTGCCGTCCTCGCGTAGACCGTAGTGGGAGCGTCTCTGATACGGGTAGTGCGTCCGCTGAACCTGCGCTACCACGAACCAGGTGCCCATAAACTAAAAAGTCCGAGCACAAAGAAAAATGAATAAATCATGAAATCATTGCTAAATCACGTAGCGGAGTAGTGGACATGTCTTCATTGTCGTCTTGCAGTTGCTCGCGTTTTGTATTGGGACATAATGGCGTTGGCATCAAGGTTTTTCAATGTACCTTTTCTTTGCTTTTTAATTTTTTTTTTAGGGGGGGAAGGGCACCCCAAGAAATACGTTTTCGACCTGAAAAGCTAGTTTGTAAAGCATGAAATAATTTGTTATAACCTTCATGAAAAGACAGCTGCAATATGGTAATTAAGGACGCCCGAAGCAATAGGTGTCTAATGCATCGCCTTCCATGAGAATGCACGTTACTTCTTCATGCATGGCGAATAGGTCGAGAAAATGATTTTGTACTTGTTTTCAAATTATAAATAAAAGTAACCTTGTGTCCATTTTCATCAGTACAGAACAGCTGTTAAGAGAAATCGTGGATTTTTTTTCATTTGTGAGGAAGCTATTCATAAAATGATAATGGAAATGTTTGCTTCAGTAAAAATAGAAACGATGTAAAACAACTCACAATCGGCACCTAAATTTACTTTTCGAAATAAACGGGAATTCACGAACTAGTCACGTTTCTCTGGCAGTGACGCATCAAAGGTCATTTGCAGGGGGCATTGTGGTTCTCATTTTTAGAAGCGGACAGTCACTGGGCTTTCATCATAAGTCTCAGTTTCCATCATAAGAATGGTGCATGATAACCAACTTGTTGAAGTTTCAGCTCAGTTGATAATAGGCCTATACCTTTCGAGAAAACACAAAACATATGCGCAAATGTTTGGGGTTTTGAACTGGATTCCGTTGCGAACGCACGTAAAACCCTGTGCCCGCGGGCACGCGCACACATGACTGAAACCACTTTCAAGGCTTCAATTATTGTTTTCTTCCGAATGGTACCATTTCGACTAATAGGATTTTCTCTTCAAATCGGTAGGTATTCAAAGAAAACAAAACACACCTTAAAGATGGCTGCCGAATGCAATCGGCCTATAGGATCATATTGCTATCCATGCATTTTGTTCGTTTCCAATAATAAAGCCACTTTACTTAAAATCCAAAGAAGAATGTTCAAAACCTAACCAGTTGAACTTTCAGCTCAGTGGATGTGACACTTTTCGAGATAACAGTGAAGAACCTTTTGAACGCGAAACACGATTTCGTCCATCATAGCACTCTTTTGTTACAAAAACATTGGAAATCATCTACATTTCTTCTAATTGACGGCAAACCAGACGCAATTTTTTCACGGGGTTTTAAAACCAGTACAAAGCTTTTTGATAATAAATTCAGTAGGTTACTTTTGGGATTAATGCCAATGATCTTATTATGCCTTTAAAAGTGTTCGTTCCAATGAAGACGGTACACGGTGCCCACAATACAAGCAACGTGCGTTACATAGTTCAGCCGCGTTATCAAGGGAATTGTCACTACTGACTTTTAGCGGGCCTGGATGTGGCCGTGATAAGTGATGGCATGCCCTATTGTTTGGCTCACGCGCCCAATTGCGAAATAGCATCCTATTGTTTGGCGTGACCCCTGATATGACTACGTCACCACAGGAAGGCAGGAGTAAAGGCCCATATCAATTGTTGAAAATATGACAACGGCTTTAAAAATTATCGTTTAGGTATTTAAACAATAAATCAAATGGAAAAAAGTAAACAGTGATACAGCACCTTTTGGGAGAAAAACAAATTTTGTTTTATGACATGAAGGCTAGGCCTTGCCTATATATGTACAATGCTAAACCATCCTTCATCCAGGAGATTGTTGGCTTTTTTTCTGGATTTTTATATTCAACAGTAACACACTTCGAGTCCAGTCCGAGGTTATGATGTGTGTGCCCTTGAGCAAGGCGCTTGTCACTCGCTGCTTCTCCCCACCCAGGAGTGAATGGGTACCTGTGAGGGCAGAGATGGTTACTGTGAGAGGTGGAAATGGCTGCATGCCTACCGGCCGTGCATGCTCCCCAGGGAGTTGAGAAGGTTTCAGGAGTGTTTGCCCATTGAACAGGGGTAATAATAATTGTAAAGCGCTTTGATACCCCCGTTTAAAAAGCGCTATATAATATGCCTGTTATTATATGGAATCACAACTTGTTAGTTCGGTGCCCCTAATTAGTTTTTTTTTTGGCTGCAAAAAGGTCTGACCCCACTTAATTGAAGTAGCAAGCTTGGGAGATAGGCAGTGAAAGATAGGTAGCAATTATAATGATGAAATAGATCATGAGATATTTTGTCAATGTTCACTATTAAAAGACAAATTATACTTAAAACGGCGAAAATGCCAAGCTTTTCAAAAGTTGCACATTTCGGTAGCTCAAGAGATCCAGTGATCCACTCACCCTTTCCAGTGAGAAGTCCTCTTGAAGTTGGAAGTCATCGATGTGGCACGTCCTCTCAGAACTGAACGGCGTAGGAACACAAGACACCCAGGCCACACAAGCGGCCAAAACCAACAGTCTCACAGCCACCATTGTTTCTCTATAATGAATTGAATCAATAGTTAAGCTGGGCTGTAATTATTTCTATTGAATCAAGTTCTGTTCGCATCCAACGAGCATGGAGTAAAATTACTTGAAATCCAAGCCGTGCGATTTTCGGTGGGGGTTAACGGGTATGCCCATACGAAGTGGACTAAGAATCGTTTTCTGAATATCTGCTGTGAGGGCAAAAGACTGAGTCATGCGACCAGGGTGAAACCACTGCACTGGGGGAATTATGTATTTATCATAGTAAGTTTCAGGGTATAATCAAACCCATAGCACAGAAACCTTTGCCCATTATTGTTCATGCGGGGACCGCGAGCCTAGTTTTCCGTTCGTCCTTGCCCGGCATGCCAAGCTCGCATCAAGTTGGGCCTTTTCATTCTATTGTTATGTCATGCATTAATTGTGTCCCTGATATTGAGTCTTATCGTAATGTCAATGCATGATACTAGAATTCGGGCAAAGTTCAAGTTCAAAGAAAAGTTCGCATTTGCTGTTGAAGCATGCCTGGAGCCCTGGACCGGGAATCGGTGACGTATGGGAGAGAGGGCAATGTCCTGTCTCTGGTGATTATGACCTGTTGTTATGGTTGCACGGACCGGTAAACTGCTAAAGATTGCCGTACGTGCCACCCAGTTCCGAAATTCAGGAAAAATACTCGCAACTCTCCAATGTGTTTGAGACACACATCAAGTTAAAGCTTATGTCATCATCGTTCATTTTCTGCTCATTTTTTTGTTGGGGGGGGGGATTAACCAATGACTTTTGGGGGAAAATTTCATCCAATCGTAAAAAGTAGTCCTGTAGCACATCGCCATTTTGAAAAATGATACCTGCGCTCCATTGCAACATAGAGCAATTATAAGGCCCAATTTCATCCGAATTTCACAGAAATTCACGAGTTTGCAGTCCTGTTCATGGCTTCCAACCTTTTTTGTTGTTGTTACAAACCCTCAAGTTCAGTGCCCACAAAATGCTCTTATACCGGAGAATTTGTGGGCCTGCAAAATAATCGTGATTTAGCCGGTGTAAGCAATTTCGGCCTATTTACTGGCTGCACCCCTAGCCCTAGGCGTGTGCGTAATGCCAAACAAACTACTGCCCGCTGTGGTAAACTATGACAGCATAGTACGACATCGTTAAAACAGTGTACACATATTTTACAGAGCATCATCATGCAGCTCTTTTTTTTCTTGTCCTTTTTTGATGGATTCTGACCTGAGTGTTTGTGAGTTGAACTTCACTGGGCATGAAAAGATGCAGTGATACATTCATTACCCAACATATTTAGAGTGGGGTCTATATAGGGTGGTCCCCCCAAAACAAACACGGAACGGCACACTTCCACTACCTTGAGACTCAAACCCCCTGTGCCAATTGATGGAGAATACTTTTAGAATTATGATACCAAAATATCCCGATTCGGTCATGTAGTTTCTGCTGCAGAATTTTGTGAAGCATACTTCTTTCATGTGGGTGCCATTATTACATAACAATCCCTCTATAAATTACAATGTAAGTCAAATTCCCGGCCGCGGTTTGGTAATTCATCGGGACCAAAATGACCCCCACCTTGCTTCACAAAATAGGCTCTAGAACAAAAATTACTGGATCGAATCGGGCGATTTTGGCTTCATTTTTCTTCTACAAAGATTCTCCATGCATTGGTATAATATGTGGTTTGAGTTTCAGGGTAGTGGAAGTATGCCATTCCGTTTTATGCAGGGGGAACTAAGTTAGGGGGCCAATTTCTGGAGGGAGAACTCAATGCATTTAAACAATAAAAATTTCATTTTTGCCTGTGGGAGGGGGGGGGGGGGTACCGCGAATAAAGACCTCGACAGGGGCTGTGTGGGGATGTCCCCCCCCCCCCCCCCCAGCCCCCCTCCTTCGTTACACCGGGGCTGTGCACAAACAATCCAATTACATTGTAATTACTCTGACTTTTTCTTAATTAAAAAAGAAGAAGACAATTGGAATTTTAAGTAATGAAATTAAAAACCGATAAATGCCCCCTCCCCCATTCGTGTTGCCAGATTGTTTTGATTTTAAAAACTTGCATTTTACAAGGTTGAAGATGCGCATGAAAAAGGTGTGTTCTTGCCACGATCCCCGCACTCTTGCCGAGAGAGGGCGCTCGAGTTGCAAACACTTTGCCGGAAAAAGTTGGTCTGGCACCATGGTTTCCTTGCGCTCGTTACTGACCGAAATTACCAACAAAGCAACGGGTGCCTGACTGATGCTCTCGACTAGCTCGCCAAGCGCGCTAGTTTCTTAGTTTCTCCGGTCTATGCATCGCGTGGACGGTTCATTTGGAGCTGTCGCATAAAATTCCTGGCACGCCAACAAAGTTGTAGCTGTCAAGCAGCTGATAAGGTGGCTGTCTCCAAGTTGTATTAATTATTTGTTTCTTATTTCTGAGCTGTCTCTCATATAATGGAATCGTACTAGCCTACAACAAGTCGTACATACTCGTACTCGTCAACTCGTGACAGTGTGCTGTAGTTGTTGTTGGCCGAGTAGTCACAGAGCCAGGGAAGGCTTCAGCCTAGGCTCAGCCTCATATACTCAGTCGAATCATCACGATCATGGGCAAGAAACAGAGCAAGATGAAGGACAGAGGGTCTTCAAGATCGCGTATATACGGCCATGGATTCGGGTAAGCAAGGCCTATAGTGCACTCATGCCTTATATAAAAGTGTATTTAGTCGGCTAGATAATTTAGTCGGCTTTCTTTCAGTTTCAGTAAACAATATTTTTCATAATTCAGTAAACGATTGTACAGCGCCCTCTTTGACACGTTACGAGTAGGCCTACATTAAAAAAGGTATTAAATAACAGTCAAATTAAAGTATAATTAATAAGTGAGTTCGGTATTCCAAAATATGAGGTGGCTATCGTTACGGCGGCCGTTGTTTAGCGCCCTCTACGATACTTTTTTGATACGCACGCAGGTATATAATTATTTGTTTCCCCACGTTTTAGCGAGCAGTGCGACAGCTCAGTCGATAAAGGGTAGGACTTTGCACCGCGAAGTTGCGGGTTCGCAATCGCATCTCAGTTTTGCACTCGAATTTTTCTCCCTTTCTAACCTGAGGCTTTGGAGGATTTTTTTTAAAAGGGAAATAAAGTCCGAATTTCATAACGTTCAAATTCACTTTTTTCCTTCTAATTTTATATTTTCTTCTCATGTTTTTATAAAAGTTGCAGTCTACCGTAACGATAGAAAATGGGAAATGCGTTACGGCTGCCGTAACGATAGCCACTGCATCCAAAATATTGTGATGCACAACAAGATTCAACAATTTTTTTTATTCAGGATAAACCTGGCAGATAAAATGCACACAAGGCCATGGGGGATGTGGTAACCGAATATGTATTCTGTGTAATTTTCCATGCAATCGAAAGGAGATGGCAGTTTCATTCGCACAAATGTTTGGACGCACAAGACTCCTAAAATAAGTAAAAACCCTTTGCTGTCCAAATGGTTTTTTGCAAAATGTTACTTCAGAACACGATGATCTCTTCAACGGAAGGCGTAATCAGAATTACAGAGCATGAAAAACGATATGCGCCTTATATCATGATGTTTTTTTTTTGACGATCTGTTTTGCCGAGATGCTGATCTCGGCACCGAGTTATTTGTTGCTTTAGAATTTATTTCTGTTGGAATAAGAACTAATTATATTGTTTGAAGTATCCAAAAATACATGCAATATGCATTTTTTTCCCTAGGCCGAATGGCCAATATCTATTTCTTGTTAATTGGCTTTAGATAAAATCAGTGCAATGAGGTGTATGCCTCTTCTATGTTTTGGGACTTAAAAGGAATATACAACATTTGCTTTTGCTGTTATTTTCAGAAATGAATGGATTTGGGAGGGAGGGTAGTATGTTATAGCAAATATTGTTACACTGACTTTTTTGAAGTTTTGTGTTTGTACATGCTGGAAAACCCAAGAAAATCAATCGTGTTCCTGTAGTCCGGTTCCCTTACCATTTTTAAGATGAAACAAAGCAATTTATAGATGCCGGGGAATTGTAAGGTCAGGGAACCTGTAATCGATTGCAAACAAAATGTGAACTAACTAAATATGGTTAAGTGGGGGCAGTATTTGGAACAAAAGCAGTTTTTTCAAATGCTGGTCGGCCGACCAGCGTTGAAAATTGATACAAAATTACAACTTTTCTTGAAAATGAGAGCACACCCGTCACTGCGTGCCAGATTTCACAGGATGCTTTAGACTGTCTTTCACTAACAGTCCAGTAAGGTATTTCATAATAATTTGGTAGTTTTGTTTTTTGATGTTTGCAAATGTTGTATATTCCCTTAAATACCTAAACATTTGGTGATGTACAAGCAGGGGAAGTCACTTTATGTGTTTGGAATCATCTAAATACTTTGCTAAGATGCCATGTTGAATATCAGCTAGCTTCATTTTGTGGAAAGAGGAAAGGGTTTTGAATTATGAACGGAACTTGTAAGCATTAGATGTGTCCTAAACTACACAATTATTATTTTTTTCCCCTGGAACTCCTTACTCTCCTGTTACCATTTTTTTTGCGCCAGTATTTCAATTGTATTATCTTGACATGGCTAGGTACCTACGTGTATAGGGTGGGTTCACATCCCTGAAATGTCATACGAAAGGGTGAAATTGACGAGAATTTTGCTTACCACGATCACAGGAGTCTCCACCTGGCCGTCTGTCATCGTTGGCTGTCGATCGAGGGCGCTTTAATTCTCTTGACCAACTACAGCGCGGCTTTCAACAAGCTTTTTCTTTCTCTAAATGCCGTCGAAAAAAGCCGCATTGTAATTAACAATTTGCTGCGACAGCAACTTAAGGTTTGTAAAACCCGTACAGTTCTGGAAAAAAGTACTAGTAGGCCTAGCAATATATATATGTCAAACAAATTTGAAAATGAAGTACATGTCATGTATCAATTCATATTGATGCCCCTTATTTAAAAGTTTATGATGTCCTCTATCTCATAGGATGTTGTGTTTGTTTTTAAACGTATACATTGTGCAAGTCGGTGCACAATGTATTAATCCGAGTAACTACATGTAGGACTCGACAACAATCGCCTTTTATAACATGTGGTCGCCATCTTTTCGTCGTCCCAATGCAACTCGGGAGTCGTTACCGTGTGGGTGATAAGGTGGGTCTGACCATTTCCTAAAGAGGGGGATATTATCTTGTTTTCAAAAACAGTGAATATGGGATTGAAAATTTGTCAGAAAAGTATACATTTTGACAGGCTAAAAATTGTTTGTTTTTGTTGTTTATTACAGAGACTACACCGCTGTCAATTCTATGGAAATAGCGGACGTGAAACGTTACACTCCAGTCCACACTGACGCTGTGACCAGTGTGACTATTGCTGGCGATGTGTCATACATTACAGGCAGTGCTGATCAAGTAAGTTGAAGAAAAGAACAAAATGTGATTTGCCATCACTACCAATTGAACATCTGGGGCCCAGTTACTAGTCTACAGTCGACTCTCATTAATACAAACTCTGTTAATACAAATTTTGGTTATATAGCAAACATGAAGCCTTGGTCCCAACTGTGCATTTTATGCGCACAATGAATGGGACCAACGCTTCTCTTAATACACAATTCTGATATAACAAACCTTTTGGCTAGGTCCGGCTGAGCTTGTATTAACGAGAGTCAACCGTACCTCTGTATTCTGGGCCCCTCTGCTGTCAGTTGAAAAATGTGTGGAAAATGTTGGTTTGCTTTGAACTCTTCAAAACATTATCTTTCGTTTGGAAGTTGCTTTGTGTGCATGGCAGGTTGTCAGCAAACTTGCAAGAAACACCACTGCAAGTTCAAATACTTTTTGGGGAAAGAAGCCCTTGGTTCAAATGAGAAAGCAGATATCTAATCGTGTCTGTGCTATTTTTCTTACACGTCAACTCTCTCACTAAACTCAATGCCTTAAAATCTGAGCTGGTTCCAGGAATGTGTACAAAATACTGTTCATATTTTGAGTATAGACATCCAGGCGCGCGATCACGATACACTCACGATACACTCACGATACACTCACGAGGCCCCCATCAATGGAGAAACCATTGTGCATGCTACTGTACAAAGCAACTGCCCCGTGACGGATTATCTGAACAATAGCTAGTGCTATGCTTTCGCCTTTAAGGGGTCCTTCACAATAGAAGTGATAGATAGCATGTCCCAATTAGTCTAAAATAGAAAAGTATCTATTCTACTGAGTTGTACTACAACTAGGATCTACTGATCAATAACAACTTCTCCAATCTTTCAAAACAAAAACCCCACCGAAATCAGATCAATGTTATGGAATTTGATTTATTTGTGTACACGTCTGTGTATGTGCATGTGAATGCAGTGCCTGCCTCACTTCATGGGCTTTAGTTCATAAATTACAGCAAGAAGCTTTTAACGGTACACAGTACATGTAGCTAGCTGAGGATTGGTTTCATGACATCCAAGCTCCCGGGATTCATCACATTTTTTATTGCAGGAAAGCTGGACGCTCCATGAATCGGACAACGGTGCTGGCTCTGTTTAAAGTCAATTTTCAAGCTCTTGAAGTTTGTTGAAGGTGGCATTAGACATCAGCCCCAACACAGTGTGGTTGACAATGGGGAACCACTGTCAACGTTTTTTAAAGAGATTTGTGATAATTTATCACTTAATTAAGAGGTTGAATGATAGGAATTTTAATACTGCAGTAAAAAAAGTCCATACCAACAGCCATTGTTCATAAGGGAGTATGATGCCGGTATGTTGAAATGATGAAATGTTCCAATGTAAAAAAAAAAATTCAACTGTTGTTCACATAAGTTATTGTTTTGATGCTATACATTTGAGATAAGAGAGAAAACGTATGCTCATTTTTTTGAGATTTGTACCGGGATTCCATTCTTACGCACAAAAATAAGTCTGCTCGTGGAAACATTTTTTTAAACCACCTCAAGTAAATAATTGTTATTTTTTCCTGAATGATACCATTTCAGGTGGAATAATTTCAAAGGGTATTTGGTACCAGTCCTATCTTCACTATGCACAAGGATTTTCTCGTTAAAAGTTTTTGTACGTGCGCATGCTTTTAATCATGTTAATACTGTACATGGCTAAGTTGATATGAATGTTCCATATATCTTTCTACGTGCAAAGCTACGGTACATGTATACAGAAGCAGGAATCTGTAATGTGTTGGCTAAACACTTAAATAATGTGCAATGATATTTTGTGAATTGTTTAACAAATTAAATGTGGGTCCCTCAAAATCCAACACGTTGCTGTATACATGCCAGGGATGTAGTCAAGCCCAGCATAAGTCCATCTCAAGTCAATCACTAGTAACAGTGGATGAACAATAACAAAGGAACGCCTAAGCTGCCAGAGGCCATTGGAATAGCTTGTGAGTTGGATTGGGACTGGAGGACTTGTAATGGACGTGGGTCTGTCCACACTAAAGGTTACAACTTATAACTTTATGGGTGAGACATGGGAGGGGGATTTCAAAGCAGCTTTTTTTTTTGTTTTTTTGTTTTTTGTGCTAATTTTTGTTTTTTAAACATTCTTGTATTATCCGTGATTGCAATGATAAATAATTAGGCTGATTCACTGGATATTTAGGAAATTACTCGGCCATCTTTAAGATGAAATAAAGGATAAATGTTCATAACATAGACGGACACTCTTGAATCATTACTCTATGTTCTTGTTATAATAAACCCATCCCATGTTCCATATTCAATGAAGAATTGGTATCATTCAACATCAAAGCAACCTGTTAAGTATTAACAAAATTAGGATGTGACTTGATACATGTTCATAACATGTACAGAAATTTGTGAAAAAATTTCTGTACCTGTTAAGAACATGAAGTCTTGAAGATGTGCCCACCCTGTAGTTAAAATACCTAGAGGTTTAACCTGAGATTGGCCAGTGGCAATCTCTCAATTGATAGCTTTACCTTAGGAACAAATTTGGGATAATTCATGTATTTTATTTACAGCTTCCCACCACTTAAAAATGAAATGTCTGTCCATGTTGTGAACGTTAAATCTTGAAGATAATCCTCTGTAATTTCTGGAAACCTGAGAAATTTATCAAACTTGTTGGTGGGCAATGTTCTTACTAAGATATTGGATGAAGAAAGACAGAAAACTGAACATATTACTTCATGTATCGACTCCTGTCCATGGTTCCCTCTAAATGTCACACTTTTGTAACCGTTAGTTTGGACAGACCCACTTGCAGGGAGTCTTTTGATGAACTCGACTACATGTTCATCGCTGCATGTCGGTTATTCCAACATACTTAAAGAATTACAACAACAAGCCCTGAATACACCAAATCATAACGTAAAATCAGATAATTGGATCTTAAATGATGTAAGGTGGTACAATTAAAGAATTCAAATAAAGTATGTCGGGAAATTGTAATTGTACTTTTTTGTACTAATACTTTTATTGTTTTCAATTACAAAAATATTTTTATTGATGGCAATTCTTTGGCTTAGACGGCTATCAGTTTGAATCCTATCAGGGGAGGTTTATGACTTGCGCTGCATGAGGTTGCTTGGAGCAAAGGCTCAAGATTGATCAAATTTCTTCCAAGTAAAGCTCGGGGCCGAATCGATAATAAGAAATGGTCACCTACAGAGGCAGTCACCATGAAATTAAACTGACTTTTTTTTAACTTTAATATTGAAGCGGCGATTGAATTTCTGGAAACGACTGGATCGCTTGCAATTTATCACTCCACTAATCTGGAAATTGGATGATTACGTATTATGTTTCACTCGTATAGTACTAAGCATAGTCTGTGGAAGAGTATACCTTTCATTAAATTCTTCCAAGTATCATATTAGCATTTCTGGTCGAGGACATAAATTGTACAATTAATGCACAGTCTTTACTAGAGTTGGCAAGAAATGTGATTTTACTTCACTTTTAGGCTGATGCAGTCAATATTGTAGCTGTGGGAGTGGGACAAGTGACACAACATGTGGAGTTTATTGGATATTTGACATCATGTGGAATTTATTTGATGATGTTGAATTAGTTTAGTGATGCACAGAACTGAGCTGAATATCAAAATTGAACATGGTGATGTGACCTAGGTATAGTTGTATCAGCTTGTATGTAGTCAGTATTGCTTCGATTTGTTCAGAATTGCTAGTTTTTCATTCACTAAATTGTGCAGAGAATGAGCTTTACAGCAGCATGCCCTGAAGCACATCAATTGGAACCTGAGTCGTGTGGAAGGAGTGTTTTTGTCTGTGGCAGTAGATACGCCGCATCTATGGCGTCTAGGTAGACAACACTTTCAAGCTCTATGCTCTCAAATAATGTACATGTACATGTATGAGTTCAATCATGTAGCTGATATTGTTATGAAAGGCAAATGATCACAATATAATTTTTTGGATCAGTTTAGAAATGAATTTGATACTTTATCCTCCGAGATGTGTCAGAATCCACCAGGATGTTTGGCAGGATTTTACAGAACTCAAGAAGGGAGAACCTGGCTACTTTTTTTCTCACAAAGGGCTTTTATAATTTTCCTTCAGTTTTTTGCAGTTTAAGTACATAGTGTACATGTGTACGTGTTCATCTTTTCAAACTGTGGACGAAAAATACCAGAGAACAAAAGAGAACAATATCTTCCACGGTTCCCAGCATACGTCCGTGATTGGGGTCGTTTACAAAACCTATGGGCGTCTTCCTAAAAAGTTAAAGTACAAACAAAGAGGGACAATAGGACGTCCGCGATCGACGGTGAACACGTTTGTGTGTGCTGGTTGCCTGGTTTGGTTCTTGCGTCTAGTGGTGAATTATGGAATTTGTTTTGAGAAGATTACTAGCGTGAAGAGAAACTTTTCTTCTGTTTTGTCGGTGAAGGGCAAAACCTAATTTGATTTATATCACCCCGGCGCAAAAATTCCATCTTATAATTCTGTTTTGTTATTGTTGATATAGAGTATGGTGCTGTATCGTTGGATGGAGGGACGACTGATGCAGAGATGGGTGGGCCACAAGAGAGAAATTACCAAGGTGGGTTTCCCCCCCCCCCTTAACCCCTCCCCTCCCCCTCCCCCTCCCCCTCCCCCTCCGCTCCCCCCTAAAAATAGTTTGTTTAATTGGCAGCATTGGCAGAATTGTAATCAAGCCTGCCACAAGTCAATCGTAAGCCAGGTCACAAGTCAATCACAGATCAATTGCGCAAGTCAATCACAGGCCAATCACAAACCAAGTCACGAGTCAATCACAGGCCAATCACAAGCCAATCACAAATCAAATCACTCATCAGGTCACAAGTAACAAGGGATTGAACAATTGTAAAGAAATGCCACTTACAAAGTTCATTTCATAAGTTTGTCACTTTACTTATACAGAATCACTTTAGATAGACTTGCAGTGACTTTTACCTTTCTCCAGCTTTTTTTTTTCTTTCAAACATTTTAAAACCTATTTCATCCTGTTTTTATTAATTAACTGTGCATTCACTGTAACACAACTGCAAGATTTATAAATGCCATTTTCACAAGAATTGGTCTCAGTACCCCTTAATGTTGTATACCATTGGAAAGCTCTTGTGCGACAGAATCCAGATATATAACAAACTTAATTCTTATAAAGTCTGACTTTAATTTTCAGCTCATTTTGTGATGACAGGTCACATATTTGCAAAAGGACTCGGACTTGACTTTTTAAACAAGTCTTTTTGCAAAAACGTGGACTTGTTTAACAAATGTTTGTCAAAATACCCTGATTCCTATCCATGAAAACCCTGAGCACTCATGAACACAATTATTTCAGGCTTTATGTCATCCGCGCCAGGTACCTGTATGTACATTTTACTAGTCAAAATCGTGAATAAGAAATGTGTACTGCACAGCTAACATCATCAAACATTTACATGTACATGTCAAGCATTTTTTTGGCTCTAGAGCAAAATGATGTACAAATTTGTTGCGGAGTCGCAGTGTAAACATGCGCTTGTTGAGACAGCTGCTAATGACGGAGATGAAAGCATCCAGAATACATTTTTTCCCAGGATGTGATACCTTGTCAGGAATACTGAACCACAAGATAGATGTGACAGCAATTGTGCAGGGGCTGTAATGTTTAGCAGCCTCTTAATGGATCACTAACCAACCTCTCATGTCATATATTCCGTCAGGCTTTGAATGTCTAAAAAAATGCCCCAGAGGGGCTGTAACATTACAAACCAACTCTCCCCCCCCCCCAAAAAAAAATCCCAAAGATATTCTGTTTCTGTTCAGAAGGTTGATGATATCCACACCATTTTTTAAAGTGGGAAAGTGGATACTAATCACAAAGCAGAGGGACAGAAATAGAAGTCAGGACCCTAGATTTTCCCCCATTTTTGTTTATATGCAAAAAGTTCAACTTCTTTAGTTGCCTGGTGCTGACATCTAGTAATCTGAAACCTGAGTGAGTTCTTTTCAACCATTGTCTGCCCTACTTCCAGGCCTTAGATTAGTGCATCAAATTTCCGGGAAAGGCTTTTCCTTCCAAATCCATCCTCTTTCTCCATTAAATATGCCTTTTCTATCGATTGTCGGGGAGGAGAAAAAATGATAACAGCAAAGACAGCGCAGCAGAAGGAACAAGTACATTATCTCCGGGGAAGGCTCAGATGACAGGCAGACATCACAGATGATCCCAGAAACTGAACCAAGATGATTTCTGATTTGTTGGGCTGATGCATGCTCTGACGCTACAGCATTCTCATTTAAGCCGGGGCACGAAGCCATTAGACATGCTTAAACCCACGGGGATACCTCACCGACAGCTCCCTGCTTCTCTCTGTTTTTTTTTTATCACTAAAGCTAAAAAATGTAGGATATATTTAAACCAGTTTGAAGAAGTACTTAGGACACTGCACGCAACATGCTTCACCAGAGTCCAAGTGCTGTCGGTAATTGTGGCAAATGGGTTTGGTGCTTGGCGTCCCACGAGAACCTAGGATGTATTGCATGATAATCAATATGTCTGACATTTACTGGAGTCATATCCATGTCACGCACCTTGTGTATATAAGTTTTGCAAGTCAGTTAAACACACTATAAATATTGATATTTTGTCCTGCACAGAAGTTGAAGAGCAAAAGTAACTTGTCGTAGTTGCTGTTATTTTTGGATGTCATTTTTTCTTTACAGATTTTTTTATTTGGTTTTACTTTGATTGTTTTCCCCTAATTTTGTGTGTGTGTGTGGCGGGTTGTTGGGGTGTCTGTTTGTTTGTTTGCTTGTCTGTTAAAAATAAAAGAAAAAGATATTGAAGGTTTGTTATGGCAGTAATGCTCTACTTCTCAATAAAGACATTTTCTTCAAGCTTTGTGCCCTAGGGTCATATTTGATGTGCAAAACTTGCAAGAAATGCAGCTTTTGACAATGAGTTGTCTCCTGGATGATGTTTTTTAAAAGAAATGTATTATAGGTTGTTTACATTGTCTGGGTTCATGTTAACTCATGTTTGTTTACTATACATGTACATGAACAGTTGTTTCTGCTATTTAGCCTGTGGCTTGTGCGATTTTTAAATGTCAAGGTTAGAAATCCAAAATTGGATGCAGCTGTGCCCAGCACAATTTAATTGTTATCCCTTCAAAAGAACGTTTTTGTCCCACAAATGTATCACCAAAAATTATTCCATTTTTTTTTAGGCTTCTGTAAAATTCAAGCTTTTAACAATGTTTCAGCATCTAGGTACATGTACTTGAAGTCTTGTCTGAATTTATCTACGTACTTCTCTTTGTGTTTAGAGAAGGGCACTCAATAATTCAATTTCGTTTTACCCTCGCCAGCTTTTTTGCTGGTCTGGATATGTCTGCTAATGGAGCATAATGGGAACAGCTTTTGTTTGATCACAAAGTCCTAGACAAAATGAGTCTGTTTATATATGATGGGTATGTAATTGGAGCCAGGGTCTCAAATTACCAAATGTCTCTCAAGCATAGAGGACTGACTGCAGCATGTACTGACTTAATGTTGCAGTGGATATATTGAATAGGGGAATGGATGTATTTATTGAGTTTCTTTAAAAAAAAAATTATTGGATTATTTTCAAACAGACATTTGTGAAATGGAGAATGTCATTTTAAGTACAAGTTTTCATCAAACTGTTTACTAGTATAACAACTGTAAAATTCAGAAATCTCCAGGTCAGACCTTGTGTAAAATTCTGCTACTTCTTTGCCAGTTCGCGTCGGAGGACGATAACACGCACTGGCTGTTTTTATAAACAGGCATGGCTGACAGGTTAAGACGTCTCCGTCAGGCTAACTCGTCTCCGGGTGACGTCTGAACACGCACACAATGTCCATGAAGTCTGTGGAGGTGGACCTTGTGTTGATCTGGAATGGCTGTTGTGCACGGCCTATTGTACAATTAATGTTCCAGTGCACACCCCGGAGTATTAAAACATGTACACTGTATGAGGCTTTGGCAAGAAATATCGTACATATACTGTTGAAATGACTCTTGTGAATCAGTGATTGTGGGGTTCGGCTGGAAAATTTTGCCTTTTGTGAAAATCGAAATTTTCGGCAATTATAATCCAGGCACGAAGTGTTTAATACATTACCGTAATTGTGTTTTTGTAGATACGGGTCTTTCCATAAATTTGGGGTCCAATTCTCTTCTTGTCCCTGCTTCATCCGATACGTGTACAAGATTTTGTAAATCAAGGAAACATTCTTAATGCCTTTTATCTCCAAAATTGATTATGTAAAGCAAAGCACCTACCAAACAAATAAATAACAGTTTGAAGTTAATTTTAATGATACTTGTGGGACAAATGTAATTACACAGGTCAGGTGTAACAGGGTCACACAAAATGTCAACGTTTTGGACCCATATGATCTTCATTCAAATGACCCCTATCTGTACATGTGTTTTATAGCTCCATGATATTAGAAAAACAACTAGTGAACTTATATTTATAAAGGAACTCCTTTAAACTTGATAAATGCTACAATTTGTGTGTGTGAAGAAACCAAGCGCCTAGTACATGTACATACAGCTATGCTTACAACCCCCCCCCCCCAAAAAAAACCCCACCATATTCATGGGGTGCTTCTACACAGCACATTACCAGAAAATGGTTTTGACGTTGGCACGTACAATATGCATCCCTGTCACATTCTGTATGCCAGCAATAGACAAACCTGCAACGCTTGCTGCAAGGCCTTCATCTGATGCATGAGATACCTCTATTAACACCTGATGGTATCCATCATATCCCTGGTGGATTACATCAGGCAGTATGCACCAAGCGCTCTCCCTAGAAGCCATTCCTCCCTGTCAGTCTTCATCTGACACAGTTTCATCATTTCACCATCAGTATCACTGTGTCTGTATCCCCTCCCCCTGTATCTCTCTCTTTCTTTCTCTTTTGGGGTGGGGGGGGGGGAGGGCTGCAGGAAGATGAGTTGAGGTACCGAGGCATGTGTATCCTTGTTACATCCGGACAGGTTCACAATACATGCATAAAGATATAGTCCATCATTTGTAATTTGTAGATTTTGTTCGTTTGAAGCAACAAAAGTGCTCAAAATCTAAAGAAGGGTACTGAACAACTAACCTAATGAAGTTTCAGCTCAGCTTCAGCTGTATATTCCGAGAAAAACGGCATTCTAGGATCTCAATTTCAAATCAAAAGTTGCTGAATCATGTTTTGAATTGGGCCTGAATTCAGCGTCCGAGACACGTTCTCACTGAGCCGATTGCAGCTATGCGATGTCGCGCACTGATCCAACGAATTATAGCAACCGCGCACGCGTGTGCGTGTGCCAATAAGGGCGCGCTTCACCGAATAACAAAACGAACTACTAATTTAAATTTCCTACGATGCGTCTTTAGAAGCACCGTTGGAAAGGCCTTCTTTCGTTGATTACTTCAAAATGACAGCTTGCCAGAAAGAATAATTTCACAGGGAGTTTAGTCCCCCTTACTATCTTTCAACCAAGTATGTTTTTCAACAATAATTACGCCAGTTACTTTTCGGATAGCTGCAAATGATGGGCT